TCAGGAAACGGATCTGGATCAGGCAATGGATCTGGAAACGAACCAAACCCAACAGTCTCTCAACAAGAACCATCTAGCCCATCAACTTCCACCACCAACACAAACACCAACTCACCAATCATATCCAACTACGAAGGTTCAGGATCCACCCATGTTGTATCTTCTTTCTTGACTGGATTATTCATCATCAGTGCCTTATTCTACTAGAGATATACCCATTCTAGATATTCGTTTCGGTGTTTATTCCATATTTTCATTATGTTACAACATCACATTTATTAAAACTTTAATTATTCAAACAACACTTTTAGTTGAGATTTCGGTAACGACAAAGTAGAAGGATTAGCAGACTTTTGTCTTCTCCTTTTACTTGTCAAATATGACATTTTCGGTACTTACATATAAAGCGTTTACTTCAAGAAGCAAATTCTTTCTACATTTGTTTATTTCTTATTAGCAATTTTTCATTATTCGGTTTAATCGCTAGCTATTGTAGCCCTTAGGCATGTCATTACTCTAGAAGGAAAATTGTATATGTCGTACATCGGGAACTGACATTATAGTCTCACATCCATTCACAAACTCAATGTCCGAATTTGCTGCTGGAGTCATCATGGCTCCTGTTTCGTCAATTGGGCTAATTGTCAATTTAGGCAAGTACAATTTGCCCACGTGCAAAGGAATCATGCGCACTTCAGTCTGGAAGGGATTCTTCAAATCAATGGTCTGCTTCTTGACTCCTGATACCAACCAATTTTCATCTGGTTGAACAATGGCTAAAAATTTTTGATTAATGGGAGGTGGCGTTGGTGGTAAAACCTCGTCATTTCGTGCAGATGCATCATGTTCAGCAGGAGAAGCAGCAGTAGCTGTTGCTGCAGCAGCATTAGCATTAGCAAGGTCATTTGTGCCTCGAGATGGAGAGGATACTGCCAAAACGGGTGGATTGTTACTGTGATCCGACCAATTAGTCACTGTTTGGATATGTAGTGTGACTGGAATAGGTTCTCCCACAACGTAAGTGCGTTTTTCATACTTGTATTCGACAACATGAAGATAGTTCAAAATGGGGACGGCAACTTTGATCCTCAACTGGTGCTCAACTTGACTCAAATCGGATTTTTCAGTGGTGATTTCCTCCAAGCGAGCAAAAATCTGATGTAATTGAACTTGATCTTGACTGTGCTCAACATATCTACCAATAATCCTATCAGCAAATAACTGCAAATGCTCCAAGTTTACAACTTTTAGCACATCTTGCACAGCATACCTGTTCAAATCAAAATGCACTTTTGACAAGATCGTTTCTTTGATCAAATACCAATACCGTATCAACTCATGCTTTTGCAACAATTGCCATACGTACTTATCCAACAAGTGCTCGCATTCTTCTTGCAAATTAGTGTAGCAGAGTGAAAGATCCAATTTATCTTCACAATCTATGGAATGGCCCTCCTTTGGATTAATCTTGTAAAAGAATGTAATTGGTTGTTCTCCAAATGCAACCAAGTCTTGCAAATCACTTCTATTTGGCAGTTTGATATCGTAATCGGCACTGGTTAGCTTCTGCAGTAGTAATCGAATAGGCAACTTTGCATCCACAGTTCCAACCTGAAATTTTGAATAGAAAAAATTTGTCTTGAATACGTCTTGCACTGAGACTGACACACTCAATCTTGCATCAACGTCGTAGGAAACTTGAGCCGTATACTTAACCTCACCAACAAAGTAAGTTATGTGAGCTTGCATATTGATCAACTTTGTGTCAAAAAACGTGTAAGGAACTTGAAGTGTCTGAATTTCTCTTGCATCGAGTTTTTCTATGGTGATTTGAGGTTTCGAAAGTCGAACACCATCAGTCCTGGAAAAGAGCTCGATTTTGACGTCGGACACTTTATTGGATCCATTCTTCAAAACCAAGGTAACCTCCGTAGAGCCCAATTCAACCACTTTTGATGCAAGAAATTGTGCTTGGAATTTATCAACACTTTGACAAATCAATATATCAGATGAAGAAAAAGACTTGGGTTTACTCTTGTGCTCAACAACAGTGTCGTTGAAAATGGAGCTGTCAGGACCTCCCAGTTCTTCTTTTGAGTAATTCTGACAAAGCGACAACTTCTCATTCAATGAAAGCACTAATCGATTGACTGAAAATAGGCCAAACTTGACATCGCAGGTATAAAGTTTGAAAGTTTGTTTATCGCATACATCGGACAATTCAATGTTGTTACTCTTGAATTTCAATTCTGCTCCCGCATCATCTACTAAAAGCACCTGCATGGATGAGCATCTCACTGGTACATTAAAGGAATTGTATATGTCAACCTCAACGTAATACACGTCATTATCTGTAGAGTCATCCTCATTGACATAAGGTTTCACTTTGAACTTGAAGAAATTATTCAAGGGGAACTCCAAGGACTCAGACAAGCTGCCGCTGCAACCATCAATCTTGTCGAAAAGTTGGGCCACATGTCTTTTATTGTGCACCAATTTGTACGAATTTATTCCCACTGAATCGCCATGCTTCTTCACCAAACACGCAAGCAAGTTGAGACAAGTTTTCAATACTTCCTCATCACCAATGGCGGCATTATTTTGACCCCGCAACTGTTCAACACATCCAAGGTATATTTCCAATAATATCCCACCTAGGAAGTCCCAACTGTTTATAAGAAAATAATCATAAGAGTTTTGCAACGTGTCTAAACATTCTTGATAATTTCCTTGGTTATAATTGAGAATGGCTAGGTCTAGCGATAGGATATCGATCGACTTCACTCTAGTGCACTTGACCAAATCGGCAATGATATCCTCAGTTAGGCCAAAATAATAATCAACAAACGATTTCTCATCCTTGACAATTTCCAGTAATTCCGGACTCTGGATGATGACTTTAGCCTGTTTCTGATCTTCTTCATCCAACGCTACTTCTTCAAATGCATCCCCTCGTAATCCATCAATTACGATGTTTTGCAATTTAGCGATCTTTCCAACAACGGTTCGTTTAAACAACTTCAACTGGGCACGCATTTCCAATATGTCAATCAAAGGCACCTCATTAGTAGATGCAACAGTAACATCTCCATCGTCGTCGCCAGACTTGCTCACCAGATCAATCAACTGTTGCACAATTGGAATGTCCAAAAAAGACTCAATGAGCAAATACACAAACTCATTATTATCGTTGAAATGGGAATCATTGAGAAATAGCATTAGTCGTTGATACAATTTTGAGACATGTTTAGAAGCAATGGAGTTTGACACAGCACCACGCGCCAACTCCTGAAGGATGAATGATTCGTTGATAAATATAAGACTCTTTAATTGCACAAGATTGATCTTTTCCAGGTTGACCAATTGCTGTTTGAGTTGCTCCTCATTTACAAAATCATCAAAGTTGAAATCTGTCAATGATGAGCTCAATTGCAACTCGTGATTGAAACTGTCGGCATTATGAGCGGCAAGATTATCCAAGTCATCCGCCAACTCCTCATTCACAAGCAATGCATCCTGTAATAACTTCATGTCCTTGAGTAAATTGTACAACTCCAACTTGGCAGCGAACTGCTCCACGTTTTTCCGTTGATGAATCAATTCATTGAAAGTATGGTACCGACCAACAAAAGAATTCAGAAGCAATGCCTTCAACTGCATCATAAATGATGTAATTATATCCTCCTCGTCCAGTGATTGTTTCAACTTAAACACTCGTTCTCCATCATTCTTTATACTATCTTCACCCATGGGTAAAATCGTCTTCAATTCCTTCCCCTCTGGACCAAAATCATGTTGCAACTTGTCAAAAAACGAAGTCTTCATAATCGAAGACAGTCGATCTTTTGCATCTTGAGGAATATACAACACAATCATCCATGAACAATTGGTCTTTAGTACTAAATTTTTCAACCATTCTCGAATAAGTGGTCGCACTTGGCCCCGATACTTGTCCAATGAATCAACACGTACAAATATAAGACGCACATAAGTCTTGATGTCGTGAGTGATGTAGTCGCTTTTCTTGGGTACTTCTTCAACAAAGTCAACATCGAGCTTGGTTATGGTTTTCACCGATTGGTTTGGCTTGAGACGGATATGGAGATTGGTCAATGGTAGTCGCTTAGAAATGTCGTTTTGTATATGTGGATACACTCCAAAGGGATCATAGTATCCAATTCGAACAAGATCAAGCTGATTATGCGCAGGATCCGGTACCGCTGACATTAGATAAAACAGTTGACTAGTTGAACAATCTACGCTGTCTGTTTGTTTAAAAAAAAAAAGAAAAATAAAAAAAAAAAAGGTAAAATAAAGTAAAGTTCACTTGACGCGACAGCACAAAAATTTAAAACTTCTATATAAAATAAACCCCCAAAAGCTACATATTGTAACAACGGTAATGCGATGGGTTCCTGTCCCACCCCCTCACCCCCCGCACCTCACCCTCACCCTCACCCTCACTTAAAACCAAGGCAACTTGGTATTCTCTTCCCATACCAATTCTCCCTTCATCAACCGCTCCTCATCGATAGGATTATTCATCAAAATAGCAGACCTCGATGAATTGTCAATACCAGTTTCAGCTGACCAACGCTCAACAAGGTGACGTTTAACTGCGTCATTAATTTCTGATTCCCAGAGTTTGACGTTTGTAGTTGGTTTCCCAAGTACAGGGTAATGAACAAAATGGTGTATTGCCAATTGAATCAAATCGACCACGGTTTGATCTTGGTTGTCAAATGCAACTACTTTCAAAATGGTGGCGTAATTGTCCTGTGCAGTCTCTGATGACCAATCAATGGTCCAGATAATGAAGCCGGTCACTTGTCCATTCTGTTTCAACTGCAAGCCAAATACCTTTGGTTCGTGAACGAGGCTATCCTTGATCGTGTCATACTCCTTTTTGAAATCTACAACGTGTCCCTGTTGTTCATGGAATAACTTGTATGTGATAAACTTGGCTCTCAAATGAAACCAATCAACCAAATCAGATGTGGGATTGATAGATACCCGACTCTTGTGATCTTGTTCAACTTTAGCAATGACATCTTGTTCGAAATAAATTTTGTACTGATCCATCAACTCTTGAAACTGGTGGTATTCAATCAACTCGTATTCCACTTGTGGTGGTTCCACCTGTGAAACATTCCTCAATGAAATATCGATCAAGTCAACGGGGAACGACTTGAATCCATTCTTGGCGTAATATTCACCAATTTCGGAATACAAAAACGTAAACCCATCAGGACCGACAATATCCTGCTTGGCAACTTGCACCAATTTGTCAACCATGATTCTAGCATACCCTTTACCGCGCTTCTGGGGATAAGTGAAAACACCACCAATACATCCACTCAACACCAGTGACTTTCTAACTCTTGCACCATCGTTATCGTATTCAAATTTCAAACTATCACGAACTAGCATCTCAATTGAGCAAAGTGGTTCATTATCAAATGTAGACTTCAACATAAATACATAAAGCTTGTTGTTCCCAGAAGATGTGATTTTCGATTTGCTCAACACATACTCCCTCAAGACGTAATCGTCCTCAGTTAATGCTCCTTTCCAAGCAAGACTGTTTTGATATCTAGTGAAATTAATATTCTCTTGCTCAGTCACATGGACCAATTTGAATTGTTCTGGGGCTTTATCAATCTGTGTAGGCGACATAATTAACCTCGTGGCGTATTGTAGTGTTGTAGTTATGGCTTCTTCTTTGCGCTTTATGGATGAACCTTGATCCTTTTAAAGTATCTTGAGCCAACGGTTAATCAACACGTGGGAGGGGATACAAATCTTGCCTTAGTGCCGTACGGTTTCATAGAACTCCCTTTTTTTTTCGTCGACTTTTATTTTATTTTTTTTTCTGTTTTTATTTTTTTTGGCTGTGGTTGTAATTGATGGTTACAGTTGTTTTCAAAATCCACTAACGTCAATCCATCGCGAGGTTTGTGTGTGGGAAAAAGTGTTGAAGATTTTGCGTGTTGTCCCCTAACGTTAAGTACTCGCGGGAAAGTTGGAATTACGCGGGTCAGTTTCCTAATTGGTGAAAGTGCGCTTACAGCGAAGAAAAAAAGAAAAATTGGGTGCCGTTTAGCGAGGCACCGGGATAGAGAGAAGGAAATTTACCAAACACCCTTGAAACATCTTCGGGGCAGGGTACTGCTCTAAGGTACCAAAGATAAACTTTTCTTTCTTCTGTATATACTCATTAGGAGAAACACATAATCTATTTCCCTTGGTTTTCCCCAATTTCGAGATGGTAAACGCCACACTAAAAAGGCATTTTCCAATCTTTACGAATGGCCATTACTTGTTACTAGTAGTATTTGATATGAAAATTCTTGCAGTGGGTTCTAGTGAATATTTAAAGGTCCCTTCACTCATAAAAAGACGTGTGTTGCGAATGGATTTATAAATTGCTGCAATTTTACTTTTAAATTTGCACTAATTTTACATGGAATATGAGAAGAAGTTCTCATTGCCGCCAAACCACACAATTTTCAGAAACGGATCAATAATTACTGTCAAAATTCTTGTTTAATAGGACTGCCTTTAAGTATACTACGAGTCTACCTTTTAAATTTGTTCACCAACTTTAGAAGTTATGTCATCGACGTTTTTTTGAAAAATGACCTTAACTATGGGGGAAAATCGCAACTTTGAATATTTTGCGTGGTGTCTGGCTCCCGTGAGCACTGGTTATCGAAACTTTACATTCGTAATCAGTATCACCGTGGTTGGCAAATTTCCCTTTTCAGTTTAAGCAATACTAAATCAGCAATCGAACAATAAAATGAAGAAATTTCGCAGCAACTTTTCCTCCTCTCTCTATTGTGAATTGCGCAATTTTCATTTGTGGGGTAAAATACAAACCACAAAAAAAAAAGGTTTTGAGAATAAGGAAGATTTACTACTGTAGAGTTTGGATGAAACGGATGAAACGGACGAACCGCACCCGTAGCCAATATCCTCAAAATCACCTACGTCATATTTTCCCAATTCCTCTTCTTGCTCTTCTTTGTTCTATTGTTTAATGGAAACATCAATCCATCTTTCTCTCAAACGTTTTCTTCATTGAATTTGTCTAATTTGGTGGAAAACCAAAACAGAAAACACGAATTTTTTTTCAGTATCGTACTACTAAAAACTTTAACCGCCATGAATAGAGATTGGAATGAAAAAAAAATAAAACTTTCTACCGGAACCGGGATCGATTCCATCTTTGAGCGGAGTTCCATTAGATTTTTGTTGCTGTTGGATATAGTTTAACTATCGGAGTTTTATAGAAACTAAACTTGTGGAGTAAGAAGAGTTTGTGCTCTTTGTTTCTTTGCTTAAAGTGGTCACTAGACACTTAAACAGTAACAAAGCATGTTGCATTTGCTTAATTCCTGCAAATGGTGGGTGCAAATGATGTAGGGGGTTCAATAGTAATGAACAGTAATATTCAATCAATAAATACAGCTTAGTCAGAGGGGTTATTTGTGTAGTACAACTGTGGCGTGGTTTAGAAAATAAAAGAAAGAGGGGAACGGTACTCAGGACAGCATATGAGAGAGCATGTGTTGATAATAATATTTTGCAGAGACGTATTATATAACCACATTCTTGTCTTTGACTAATGTGTGGTTGACTTTATTGTACATATGTATGGTTATGTGCTAAAAAATGTATATAACTACCTAATAGTAAGTCTTTGATGATTTATTAGCTCTGTGTATCGATGATGATGGATGATTGATGATGGTTTGAAGTGAAATGTGGGGTATGAATGATGACCTGTATATTGCGCCCTTTGTGTAACGACAACTAAAAAAAAAAACAAAAAACAAAAAACTAAAACAAGAGTGTGAGCAGCAGCAGCAGCAGCAGCATCATCACTTTTCCGCTTGCAATGCACAACCTAAGCCCAAAAGCCTCTACATGTTGTAAATTTTTAGTGGCAACAGAGTGGTGTATACTGAGGTGCTCCAAATCTTTTGATGATGGTACTGAATATCATTTCAATGTCGGTATACGTAGTCGCGTAAATTATTTCACAACTCCGAGAACGAAAAGAAGAGAAAGAATGAGAAAGAAAGAGGTCTCTCAATTCCAAAATCAAAAATGTGTATTTCTTCCTATCTTAACCTATGTACTCTTCATTTGCATAAGAAACCAAAACTTTTCATCCTGTAGTTGCAAAACCTTTCCTTTCCCTCTAATTGATGTTGTTATACAACTTGTGTTTGAAAGAACAAGTAACAATGTTGTATCCGTATATACAATTGTTGATAAAGTCTAATACCAAGTCAGTAAACAATAAAACAAACAACATCAAGTTCATCAAGTAGAATAGTAGTGAGTCTAACAAGTTGTATGCCCCTTCGACTAGTGTGGTCTCGTCTGCTGTTGATGGTGCTGTTGCTGTTGCTGCTGATTTACTGCTGTTGGTTGTTGATGTGGTGAATAAAGCCATTGTTCTGTATAGTGACGTCTAGCGAAGCAAATAATAGTGGTGAATGGGTAACTGGAGAATGATGAAATGCTCGAAGTGTGTTTAACAGAAGCCCGTCTGTTGTAGTTATGAAATTAGTTGAGATCAGTAGAAGTATAAAAGCATAAAAGACTGAGAATAAATAGAGATAAAAGTCCAGTTGAATGTGTTGAAGAATTTGGAGGAGTTAAATCATTGTATATATATATATATATATAAATATGCTAATAGACAGTGTAGTAATATATAATAAAAAGCCATGTAACATTAAATGTGCGGTATACGTGTAGTATGTGCATCATAGTGTGTGTGCGTGCCGGAGAGAAAATTTTGATGATATCCTGCATATAACAAGACAAACTGAAATTATTTAGTAGTTACACAAAACAAAAAACCAAATACAGAAACAGAAATATTCTAAACTACACAAAGACAGACACTTTCTTTTCTATATGCAGAGCAGCTTTAAAAATTTATCACACTCACTTCTCACGTAGTATGATACACGTGACCATGTTTTGACCCCTCTTCCATTTTTTTTTTCACTCAATCACTCTCTTTATGCCTCTTTTTTTAACAAGTTATTTTTTTTTTTTTTTTTTTATCATCCAAGCGTAACACATCTTCACTTTGTTAACTATTTATTAGAATTGCTTGCTTCACGAAGGAGGAAAAGAAAATGTCCTCTAGTAAAGCAGCGAAAGAAGCAACCTAGCAAGTGGAAAAATCCACACTTTCTTTACAAATGAGTGAAGAAAACCTCTTTTTGTGCTACAACAGAATTGGATATTATATTTACCCCGTCATACATTCGGAAGCAATTGAATTATATAAGTCCGTTACTATTGGCGGTAAAACTTTCAATGACTAAAACCGACTCATTATGCACTGAAAAAACTTGAACAGCAATTTAGGCTAAGTATTTACACGGAATGATTTCCTAACCAATTTTTTTTTTACGAGTGAGAGAGGAGTGTCAGGGGAGGAGACATGCGGTTTCCTTTCAAAGTCTCTGTGATATATAAGTTGTTGCTAATGGAAATGGCTGTATATATCTCCTTTGTGCAGGCTACAAGTCTAGCCTCAACTATTTTACTGTCTATCATCCAAAACACGTGTACACGAAAGAGTATTAGTTTTCTTTCAGCGCAAGTTCACACTTGGCATAAGCTCCACCCGTTCACCCCCCTCCCCTCCCCTTTTTTTTTTCTTCCACTCTACAAGCAAATAAAAGACAGTAGAAATCGTAGATATAAACAAAAGCTATAGGAATATCTCTGCATTGTTACTATTCCTAATTAGGAAAGGAGGGGGCAGTGAATGTGGTAGTGGGGCAGTGTCCAAAAACACTAAAAAGCAACAAAAGACAAAAGAATTTTCTCACAAAACTAACTTTAAATTAACGAGAAAACCGTTTTCTGCAATAGAAAATTAGAAACCTTACTTTCTACTTTTAATCCTTTCGTTGCACTAAGTTAGTCTTTCGGCATGTCAACGTTCACTTCCCTACATTTCAATCAGTCCCCATCTCCTATTTCTTTTCTAGGCAGAGGTTGTGAGGAATAGGGACTTGAAATCGAGTTTCAAAAGACACCCATCTCCCTCCTCCTCCTCCCCTCCATGTTTGACGATAAAAGATGCATATACAATAGAAACAAAAAATAAAAATATTGCCTTTTACTTTTGGAACAAAACACTACCAACGATTCTAGAAGCAGTAGTCTAAAACAATAGCAATATATCTAGACATGCGTACACGATATCATAACTGTTTTAATCGTTCAAAGTTCTATTATTGTCTTTATCCCCTTTACTCGGCTGCAGTTTTCTTTGGCAAATTCACCCGTCTGCTTCCGCTCTCCCTTTTGACAACAATACTGAATTTTCCTAAATTTCAGAAGTTTGAAACTTCGCATATCCATGTAGGGCCTTACATTGGTGCACTAATGAATTTTGTAGAACTGTGTTGCAGGCCAACAATTTGTATCGCAGCCATTTCGACACCAAACAAAGCCGATCTTTTAAAATCGGTTTCCATATCTGAATGCGGGATAGATAATATTGTCTTTGCAATTTGCACCCTTGTTCCATGCATTACACTGGAGAAGACGCCACTGGAGAGAGATTCCAACAACTTCGCTTTAAAAAATAAATATGGCATTTACAAAACTCTCTCTATAGACTATAGCTCCTCCTCGCCTCACAACTATTCCTCTTTTTGCAACTCAGATTTGACCCATCCTTCCAAACCGCCCTTGACGATAATATCCTGTAAATTAGTACCCAACTCACCAACCTTCTGCTGCAAAATGACTTTAGCATCAGAATCAACAACAGTCACAGTGGCTTTCGTAACATCCCACTTCAAAAACCAACCAGTACGGATTGTCAACTCACTACTACCTTGGTACTTGACTCTTAATTTCTCAATCAAGTCAGGAATCTCCAACGTCAACAACGCATTATTGATGGAGTTTCTACTGAATATGTTACCAAATGATCCAGCAACCACCAACTTCATGCCGCGTGCTAAAATGCACGTGGCTGCTTGTTCTCGAGAAGATCCGGTTCCGAAATTGTATCCACTGATGATGATGTCATCCAGTTTGGTCTTGGTCTTGAACTCTGGATCATAGTTTTCCATACACACTTGTGCCATTTGTTCGCGTGAGATGTCGTCTTGGTATGTGTATTTACCGGGGTAGATTCCATCGGTGTTGATGTTGTCAGCGTTACATAAAATGAGTTCACCTTGGATGGATTTGGGGAAACCTGGCAAAACTTCAACTGATCCAGTAACAGCATCTGCTTCAGCAAATGGCTCCTCTGCAGGAGCAGTGGCAGCATCACCACTGCTCAGCTTCTTTGGAAGATCAATACTCTTGACAATCTCTGGTGATGGATTAACTGACGCACCATTAATCTCTTCAGGAGCACCGATTTTACCCAACACAGCAGAAGCAGCCACAACTTCAGGCGAGGCCAAATACGCCAATGCATCTTTCGACCCCATTCTTCCCTTGAAGTTACGGTTTGTGGCACTGATTCCGACTTCACCATCTTTTAATAACCCAGTACCCAATCCAATACATGGACCACATCCAGCAGGTAATGGCTTAGCACCTGCGTCAATGATAGTTTGCCACGCACCAGCAGCTTCAGCATCCTGTTGGACCAATGACGAGGCAGCAGCAACGTAGAATTCAACGTTTGGATGTACTTTGCGACCTTTCAACACGTCAGCCGCAGCTTGAATATCAGATAAACGGGAATTGGTACATGACACCAAGTAAGCCTTGTTGATTGCGATATTGTCATTGGATAATTTCGATAATGGGTTGGAGACCTTGACTGAATTTGGACCGGAGACATAAGGCGATAAAGTGTTCAAATCAATAACTAAATGTTTTGCATATTTCGCGTCTGGGTCACTTGCCAACCCATCGTTTTGCAAAGATTCAATAGTGGCAGCATTGATTCTTGGATGATTTGGGCCAACTTTCTTCAATCTATCTTGATAAAACTCAACCAACTTATCATCAATAGGAAACAATCCACTCAACGCACCCCACTCAGTGGTCATATTAGCGATAGTCAACCTATAATCAATAGACAAATTCTCCACACCATCTCCTACAAACTCAATAGCATGGTTCAAGACTTCATCATTATTGAAGACACCACACAATGCAACAATAATATCTTTCCCAGTGACACCCTTCTGTAAGTTACCCTTCAACTCAACTTTGGCAACCGGTGGGATCTGCCACCAAGTTTGGCCCGTGGCCCAAATACTAGCAGCATCAGTACGCACAATAGGGGTACCCAACGATCCAACACCACCATACGTATTACTATGTGAATCAGAAGCCACCGTCAAGTTCAAAGGAAATGCATATCCTTCCTCGATCATGATCTGATGACCGATTCCTCTTCCGGCAGGATAAAAGTCGATGCCTTGTTCCTTAGCGAATTTCTCAATGTTGGCATACTTGGTCAAGTTTTTGGCCGTCTTGTTCTGCACATCGTGATCCAAAGTACACACAATTTGTCGATTATCTTTGACTTTTTTAGCTCCTAGGCCCATGAATTTGGTAGCTACGGGCCATGAATTATCGTGGGACATGCAATGAGCTGGTTTGATGGTGACGTAGTCACCAGAACGCACGAGTTTGTTTGGTGGTAAACCGACAGCATATTTCTGAACGATCTTTTCAGTCAAGTTCTGTGCTGTGGTGGAGGAAGTGCTGCGTAATGGAGATGTCGTAGATAGCAAACGATGGAATTGTAGCCTCATTTGGGGGAGTAGGGAATGGAAAGCAAAGAGAGATTGGGGGTAGAAGTGTGTGTGTTGGTGTGAAAAATTTGAAAAGTCCCTTATCGAGAAGTAGAGAGCTGTATGCAGGAGATTACAAAATTTTTTTCTTTTTCATTTTCTTTTTTTTTTTTTTGCCGAATCGAGTTTTAACCGCGAATGAGTCACACGTAATATGGAGAAATCGATTGGATTATAGAAGAGAGAATGAGCCGTAACACGTGCGGCTTTGGTTTTAGTTGCAAAATTCCCGGAATCACAAATCCCTGCAGCACACAAGAACAGCCTCTATAAACGAAGGTGACAAAGGGTAAGAGCACAACTGAATACAGTTTAGTACTACTATATGGACAGAACAACGAGGAAAGAACCGCTAGAATGTTGGAGGGTGTTGGTGTTTCAAACACAAAACACATTATTGGGCAATCAAGAGAAATACCTGAGCGCAATACCTCAGATCAATGAACAGACAGCTCGATACATGGACGTGATACATTTACCACAGTCCCCTTATTGTTTTCTGTCTTATTTAAATCCATACTTCTCTCGACTTCTGAAACATTGCACCAGAAAAAAAAAAAAATATGTATGTCGCGTTGCATCACTTTCCCCAAGAAGAAAGCATGATTTACGAGCTGCTAACACTTGCAATTGCTTCGTCATATGTCGCCGCAATCTACTTTGCACTACCAACACATCTACGAAACAAGGACCGTAATAATTTTAAAGTGATTCGACACAGATTGAAACGAGTTACATTACTTTGTGCTGTTCTCGTCCTCTTTATTCCATTGTTGATACCAGGATCATTCATCAATAATATACGACAAGTTGGATTGGTTCCGGGACTCACTACTAGTGGTAGCATATCTAATGACATTGCCAGCATTTGGTACTCATTCAAGTTTATCAATATTTTGTTTGCGTGTTCAATATTGCAGATATATGTTGAGTCAACATTGAATGATATTTCAAATACACCTATACTCTATCATGTCAGAGACTATGTATTTGCCCCAATGACTGAAGAGCTCATCTACCGTGGGTTGGTTTTACTAGTCGTCACCAAAACGTGCCCACATTTCGTCAAGTACACACCGTACTTGTTTGGTATTGCCCACTTCCATCATGCAATAGAATCATACAACAGCAGATCCATAGGTTTACTGTCAATTGTTATATCTACACTATTCCATTTTGCATACACTTCAATGTTTGGCTACTTGGCCAATTGGATATATTTCAAGACAAATTTCAATCTATGGTCTCCGATAATCATTCATCTGTTTTGCAACTTTTATGGATTCCCTACCTTGACCATTGAATCGAGGAGCGTTGTCGTTAAAGTAGTATACTACGTCTTGGTAGTCGTGGGGTTGTCACACACGTATCGTGAGCTAGTTGATTAGAGAGCTGGGGTATATCGTGCTAATCTCTCGTCTGCTCAATGGGCCATAAAGTACGCGACACAGGGAATGAACTCCACAGCATTACAGAGATTAACACCAGATTCGAGTAGAGGAAACTGTACAATCCGTGAGTGGTTCTAGATACTGCCGTGGTGACCAATATCAGACTAGAACTCTTAGAATACAGTTGGCGGGTGTGTCGGGAGCCAAGTTGATAGAAGATACTGCTGTGGTTACGAGAGCATTTTTAACAATCTCATCACGGACTAGAGCTGCTCATCTCATCATATATCATAAAGAGATTCAGCTGTTTGTGATAAGAATATCTTAATAACCAGTGTCGCTTTAGTTGTTTTGTCGTGTAAAAATGAAATGTTCACCATCATCATCATCATCATCATCATCACACAGACACGTAAATAATTTTTTATTTTTTTTTTTGTTTTTTTTTTTAACTTCGTCTGTTGTTCTTATTTCTCTCTCCCTTCAACAAAATCAAAATTAAAGCTAAAACTTCACTAGTAAACCCTTTCAGATCCACTGCAAAATTAATTCACCCTTGTTGCATCTAACACAACACAACAAGGTAAACAAAGCTAGCCTTTTTCTTGAGCAATCATCCGTATTTCCAACACCATAGTCACTCATTTTTCAAATACACTTTAACTGTTCGATCAGATCGCCCCCACTCACACACATTTGCTTTTTACCTTTTCAGCCATAGATCACTTGTATATACACCACACTGCCCTTTCCTTCTTGCATGATTTAATTGAAAATGTATCTGCCAGACTCATCATTTCAAAATGATCCCAATTATGAATCTGCAGTGCAGGATATCGAGCAGGAGAAGAAGATGGTGGCTGCATTGAAACGATTATCCATTGGGAATTTGATGCAGTACGACCCAGATCTCCCCCCTGGGTCCATGGATGATGTAGACCCATTTGCTACATCTAGTCATTTACAACCAGGGGGCACTGAGCTTTACGACGAAGAACTAATACCCCAACATACACGAAACGCACATCCGCGTAGTTCGTCCTTATCTTCAACCAGTGGCTCACCAACGAAATCCCCTTCCAAATCACCCACATCTTCCACATCTTCCAAAAGAGACGATTTGGGAAAATCGCCGGTCAAAAGTCATAGTTCAAGTCCGGGTAGAAATCATAATTTACATGCACCATCATCATTCACTGGTAAATCGCCGAGTCCAGTTAAACGACGCAGTCTATATATGGACAACGACAGCATACTAACCACAGATGAGGAGTTCTTTGACGCTTCAGAAGACCAAGTCTATGATGCATCAAATACTGTGTGGTTACCGGCTGAATTACACCCACAAGTCAACCCGGAATCGTTCAAGACATTGATCAAGCATCAAGTCGAAGATATCAAGGATCGAAACCTCAAACGAAGATCAACAATTTCGAGACGGTCAACTTTATCTCGCCAACCATCCATCGCCGATCATGAGGAAGAGCCAACGACAACAATTAGGGTCCAAAAAAATGCATTACAAGAACCAGTGCAAGCTAACCAAGACCAACAAAACGGTTCCCTTTCTAGAACACCCTCATTAAACTCATCCAAATCAGCATCACCACCAAAAGATCCAACAAAACGCGAATCATGGTACAATAAACAAAAGAGGTTTTCAAACCCTTCATTAAAAGAGTTGACCACGGAGCTACAACAATTGTCGAAAATGGCAGGCATGGACAAAAGCGATGCTGTGACGATTGCCAGGACATTATCATCAAACTCGTTGGGATATACTGACGTTGAGAGATTGGCAATTGATGAGTTGAATAGATCCCCACCTCATGGCGACACAAGTGGAACCTCAAACACGTTGCATTTACAGCAAAGATTACAGCAGCAATTTAATCAGTCGCTATCAGGGGAGGATTTAGATGAGGAAGAGGAGCCAGCCTTTTATTCAAACACTTTACCCCTTCAGGATCTACACCGCGATTTTGCATTAAAGAGGAGTAGAAGGACTGATTACAGGAAGAAAGATTCTGAGTTTTCAGCACTGCCAGAATCTCTGCCATTGAGTAGAAAAGAGCAAAATCACCACGGCAAGCCAGCTGGACAAAGAGCGTACAAAACGAGGGACTCTCAATTGTTGTTTAGTTATAAAAAACTAGATGCTGACACACATTCGGAGAAAACGCAGCAGAGGGGACAAGTGTCATCTGAATACCCACTTCACACACTGAACACCTCGTTCACCAACTCTCGAGGAACTCCCCCTGGTACTCCAATTTTTGAAAACAGGCTACCCTCCCCAAGACATACGCAACGAGATCCTCACTATTCGAATAGATACCCACATGCAAGAAACCAGGATCAACATACCCCACAAATACAACGGCGAGACATTACTCCACAAGGGAATGTACATCCGGATGAACGCCAGTACCCCCTGCGTCAACAATACCAGCAACATCGCCAAAGCCGTGATGCCAAGCACTTGCCAGATTTGCCTCACCAGCAGCGTCAGCAGCACTCACCATACTTGTTGCAGGGTCAACGTAATCGATCCCCCTTTCAGCATGGCAGTCCAGTTGGGGAGCACTTCAGTAGTCGCCAGGATTCTCATCATTTGTCACACAACAAGGTTAAGAACCCATTCCCCACACAACCACAAGTGAAGTCTACTGGACCTCACCACCAATTGAAGTCGGAGAAGAAGCTCATGTCGGCATCCAACACTAATATCAATGATTTTATGGTGGAAACCCCTACGAAGCAGTCCAGACACCACCATCACAGTCTTACGAACAAACACCACTCACGGCAGTCTTCACAAAGGCCGCAACCGGATGTGCCAATGTTATTTCCCAGCTCCAAGGATCCTCAGAACGTTCGATTACAAAACCAGGTTCACCCGCAGCAGCAAGTAAGTACTGAACTCAAATCTCGCTCATCTTTACGACCAAGTGGCTCTGTTCCTCCTAGGTCAAAGCAGTTACATCAAAACTTGGATTTATTAAGGTCTGAGATTAACGAGTTCAAAGAGAGCTTGAACAAGGATAAGCGATTACCAGAGCGTCAAAGCAATGCCAGGTTATCATCGCTGCAGCAACAGCAGCAACAGCAACAGGCTTCAACTCCACTGCATTATCAAGTTCGACAATTGTCCAAGCAGCAGCAACAACAGCAAAATTACCCTTATCAGAATCCGCCTGAACAAGTACCTGAATCGGAGATCAGCTTTGATGTTAGTTACCAGGACTTATCTACTGATGATCCATTAGGTATAGAACAAGAGGCTTTGCGTGAATTGGGAATGAAAAAGGATCATCATGGAACTTATGGTGTAGTTTCTGCTGGATATGACAAGACTGGTACGATTGACGCACATACCCAGACCCAAAACACCCTCGAGCGTGAACCACCAATTAAACAGTCTACACCAGAACATGATCCGCCACTTAAGCAATCTACACCTGAACAAGAAGATGGTAATGCTAATGATGATTTGTTTGCAAATATACCAGATGTTGATGTTGATGATGACTTCTCTGATTTGGATGATGAGCCAATTCTTGTTCCATCTGCAGTGGACTTTACAGATGGCCAAGAGTTGCATGGCCCACCATCCGGTGATACTTTTAAGGATGTATTGCAGTTGTCACGGAGTCAATCTCCACTGACGCCGCCAGTTGAAGGTAAACTAGATGAACCATTTTTGAAAAACTATACCCAAGTTCAATCTGATACTTCGTCTCGTGTTAAAACGAGCTCCAAACCAACTAAAGTCAACACCAAGTTATTCAATAAAGGTAATGTACAAATTATCGACTCGAATAACTATGAAGAGAAAATGGGCATGAAAATGGGCACGAATGGTGACGATGACAAGAATTTGAAAAAGAAAAAGAGTTTTGGAATTTTGAGTGGTGGTAATAACTTAACCCCTCCTACGTCTAGTGAACTCGCTGCAGATGGTGACAAATCATTGAGGAAGAAAAAGAGTTGGAATTGGTTGAGAGAAAGATCGTCAAGTTTGTCGTCTATTGATTCAGCACAGCAGCAAGCACAGGTAGCGACTGAAAATACCACTGTTAACCCAAAAGTACCATTGTCAAAGCGATCATTCTCCAACCCTGAAAAATCATCGAGCAAACGTGAGAGAGAATCAAATGTCCGAGTTGGAGAGAAACTCCCTCAAGGTGATGCCACTTCGGCACATAATCCAGATAAGGAAAATGTCTTGTCAAAGTTGTTCAAAAAGAAGTCGAAAGCTAATTTGTCCAATGCCAGTTTACCTTCAGTGCATTCACAAGAAAGTAAGGATTCTGGAGTGACCGTCAATAGTCAGGATCCTAACTATGACTCTAATGATCCGCGTGGTTTGAAGAAAAAGACAAGTGGGTTGTTCAAGAAACGTTCAAAGACGAAATTGGTTGGCCAAGAGGGAGGTGCCAAGGTGTCACCACCAGCACCTTCGTTGCAGCTGAAGCAGACTCAGATGGTTCAATCCTCGTTGAGAAGGAATAGCACTGAAATGATCCTGCCGCAATCGAGTAATAATGCAGAGAGCATTGTCAGCAGCGTGGAGTCAGAAGCGCCACTTTTGCAAAACTTGAATTTGGAATCAGTGAGAGTGGACAAAGCGGGAGGTGATGATGATGCTATGCGGGATGCCGAGGCAGCTTCGTTTGGTACCAATGCCAATGATGAAGCAGCAGCTTCTGCGCAAGAAGAAAGAAAAGGTTTTGATGAGGATCGCAAGTTGGCAAATATCGATATCAATAGTCTTGATTCTAGCGATGACATTGCTGAAAATACAACTGAGAATGGCTTAAAGAGTAAGAAACTGACGGTTAAGAAACATAAGCGGTACCGTCATAGGAAGAAGGAAAAGCCAAGTGGAGTCACTGAAGAAGTTGCTTCAAATTCAAGTGAAGGCAAGGTTTCGGTCTCCAATGTCGAAGATCCAGTTCTTGGAGAGAAAAAGGCTGTTTCTACAATTGCCGTTGCACCACTCGCTGATGCCAAAAGTGGTGAAGTTAATGAAGATGGTAATCCTTCAGATGCTGCATTGACTAAAGAGCAACAACAATTGGCCAAGATTGACATTCAAGAGAAATTGAAGAAATCCATCAAACGTACTTCCAAAGCCAACCAGCCGATTGAATTCACAGACTCGGCATTTGGATTCCCTTTACCTCCACCCTCACAATCAACAATCATTATGCTCGATTATCGGTTCCCAGTGCATGTTGAACGAGCAATTTATCGATTATCGCATTTAAAGTTGGCCAATCCGAAAAGGTCGTTACGTGAACAGGTATTGTTGTCGAATTTCATGTATGCGTATTTGAATTTGGTTGATCATACTTTGCACATGGAGCAACAAATGACTGGTGCAAACGAAGAAGAGGAAGGAGAACAAGAGGATGCACAGGACGATAATGCAAGTGACGAGGAGGATGAAACTATGGTAGATTCTGAAGGAGAAGATGCTGATGTAGATGTTGTTGAACGGGAAGAGGAGGAACATGTGATTGATCATTTTGGTACCGATAGTGGAGCAGATGTTGATTTTGGCGAAGATGTGGTTGAAGACGATGACGAATTTCTCACGGGTTTCTCAAGTAGAAGACGTCGAGTTTCCATGGGCAGTGGTGGAGAAGGAGTAGATGGGGAATCGCTCCCTGCCGAGGAGCGAATTAGACTTACTGCATAGAATAGAGGAATTATATAGAGCGTCATGGACTCTCCGAAAATAGATGTTTGCTTAGACAGATGAATGGTTTTGAAGAGCTTTAGCAAAGTAGATCTTCTTTGTAAGAGCTGTTTGGGATGAGCCCCATCCGTAGGGGGGGGGGGGTAGAATGCGACGGCAACGGAACATTCTGCAACCATCCTGTCCTTGTAGATAGGGTTTACCTGATTACCCCTATTTTCCATTTCAATGTCATGACTTTGCATCTCGCGACAAGACATGTCACGTTTTGATCTTTTGTTTTTCCAACGTGTCATGAATTTCTTTTTTTTTTTTTTGTATTGCCTTTGTCAGTTTTTGTGCTTGGTGCGTAATGGATTCAAGTTCGTCAAAGTCCATCGATCATTGAAAAAACACACACAGACTTTCTGAAAGTCTCTCGAACAGAGCATTGAGACATATTTCAAATTGTACTTGCCTTGACCTTTTTCTGGTTTAGATGTGCTGAATAAGCTTTGAAATTCATTAATCTTTGCTTCACGTGATATGCGTTCTTGTTTTTTTGTTTTTATTTACTCTTTTAAATTTCTTTTGTTTTGGGTACAAGTACACTACCCTGCAGTATTATAGTTCTAGAAACAGATGATTTATGATAAATCAAAGAATCACCTTACCCTTCTGCATCTATTGAACAAGAGTCTTCAACAGTGTATACTTGTTTATACCAATATTATCCCGACTTTAGTACGACTCCAACCCTACTATATAAATATCGAAACCAAGGGCATCCACTTCACATTCTTTTGTCAAATTTATCTGTCTATTGAACCATCGCATAGCCTTTATACTGAACCGTTTTGATCACCTCCCCAACTCCATCCAAAAAAGAAAAAGGAAATACCATGAGTACAAACAGCAAGAGCTTACCATTACTTGCTTCATCCGAGGTTGCCAAGCACAACACCGAAAAGGACTGCTGGGTTACGTTGTACCAGCGTAAAATCTACAATGTCACTGAGTTTCTCAACGAACATCCAGGTGGAGCTGACATCATCTTACCATACGCTGGGAAAGACATCACCGAAATTATGGCTGATGCCACGAGCCACGCTCACTCTGAATCCGCTTACGAAATGTTGGATGATGATATGTTGATTGGTTACATGGCCACCGAAATGGAAGAACAGGAATTGATCAACAACAAAAACAAGACCCCAGTTGAAATGAAATTGGTCACGTCTACTGACTCTCAGGGTAATGAATTTGACATGTACACGTTCCATGATCATTTACCTGCATTGGAAAAGTTATCGATCCAAACTGATTTTGCCGAAGATGCCAAAAAGCACAAGTTCCTAGATTTAAACAAACCTTTATTGATGCAATTACTACGCTCCAATTATACCAAGGAGTTTTACCTTGATCAAGTCCATAGACCTAGACACTATGGAAAGGGGTCTGCGCCTTTGTTTGGAAATTTCCTCGAACCTCTTTCATTGACTCCGTGGTGGGTGGTGCCTTTGCTTTGGATACCCCCAAACATGTACATATTCTACGTGGGGTTGGTGAATCAAAACCCAATTATTGCATTGAGTTTATGGGTGATGGGATTATGTGTTTGGACATTGGTTGAATACTGCTTACACAGGTTTATCTTCCACGTAGACCATTTGTTACCCGACCACCCATACTTTTTGACTTTACATTTCCTTTTACATGGTGTTCATCACTACTTACCGATGGATGGTTACAGGTTGGTTTTGCCACCGGCATTATTTATTATTCTTGCTTATCCTTTCTACAAGTTGGTTTTTGCCATCTTCCCATTCTATATGGCTTGTTCAGGTTTTGCCGGTGGTACTTTAGGCTACATCATGTATGACGTGACACATTACATGTTGCACCATACAAAGTTGCCAAAATTCTATCAAGATTTGAAGACATATCATTTGGAACACCACTACAAGAATTACGAGTTGGGTTTCGGTGTTAGTAGTAGATTCTGGGATGTTGTCTTTGAAACGGAAATTTACGATACATATGAGAAGAGAGCTTAAATAAGCAAGGGAGGCAGAAGCGTTTGTTTTTACTTTGTTTGCCATCAGGACATGGATGCAACGAATGGTGACGAGAGTTTTTTTTGTTTTTTATTATTTTATATTTGCATTTCAAGTTTAATTTGGACCCTGGTTTAAAGCTACAGGGCGAGATTCAAAATAAAATAGAGCTTTTACTTAATAATTTAATCTAATAAGAACCCATCTTTTTTTATATATTGATCGTATAAGAATCTTGCAACTCCTTTTGTTGTAGAAGTAGATCACGATGCCGTTGCGTCAAGTTGGATTCATATTTTTCATTTCTTTCATTTGGTTCGTCTTGTGGATTTCTACCACCATCATAATATTCTTCTTCTTCTTCTTCTTCTTCCTCTTCTTCTTCTTCTTCCTCTTCTTCTTCTTCTTCCTCTTCTTCTTCTTCTTCTTCCTCTTCCTCTTCTTCTTCCTCTTCCTCTTCTTCTTCCTCTTCCTCTTCTTCTTCCTCTTCACTCTCTACTCCATCTGCCTCGCTTGTTTGGCGTCTCCGTTTCTTTAGATTCCCATAATTCTCATCCCCTCGTATCATATTCAACATGTTTTGTTTCAACCGAGCTTCAAAGTTTATATCTTTATTCAAATCACAAAGATAGTCCTTTGCCAATGTGGCATAATCCTTTTGTCCTGGCCCCACATGCTCATCTCGCAACGATTCCAAATACTTCACCACATTGAACCCACCACTTTCTGTAATCACGCCCCTTTCTTCCGCTTCCTCCCTCGCTCGCGCATCCTCAAACTCATAAACGTTATCCACGTTATCAAAAAGATCTTCACACTTGTACATGAGTTTTGTGTACATCTTTGGGCTAAACTGATGCTTCTTGCGGTCGTTAATCATTCCAGCTAAAAGAACGTGACGCCAATTCAACGGGTAGTCCTTTAATAAGAACGTATCGAATATAGTATCCAACATTGAATTGAATCGGTTGGCAACGTGACTGACAATGGCCTTATTTCCCGACATTAATAATAATGAGTCAGAGGATATTTCAAGTGACGAGTCAATTTCGCCCGACTGCTTAAGTTGTGTAATTTTGGCTCTAATTTTGGATGCAAGTCTCGAACCAATTGCATTCATTAGACAGATTTTGGCCAGGGGGACCCGTTCCGTGTATGTAACTTCAACAATCTTGTTCCGAGGATCAAGTAGTTGTTGCGTGTCGTATTCAGGTGCATCGTCATCATCAGAACTGCCACTACTATCGTCTTTGGTGTCTTTGGCGGAGTCATTGTCATCACCGACCTCGATAGAATTATCATTGTCACTAACATCACTCAGACCAATCAAATTACCTCCAGGTTTAGCCACCGCTTCCTTCTCCTGTAAATGTTTCTTCTTACTAGTAGTTGATTCCCCGTTTCTCCTTTTCCGTTTCCTCAGTTTCGATTTTGACTCATTCTTAGCTACATCCACCTGCCAAGTCCTATCCATCTGAAACACCGATTGATCTACATCAATATCATGCTCGTACTTGAGTTCATTCGCATCAATCAAGTCATCTTCATACTTTTGACTTGGTACTGGTACTTTGTCAAACTGTTTTGGCCATTTGGACCATCGCGGTAGTGGGAAATTGGGGTTGATTCGACGTAGAAGAAATGATGAGTATAGATGTTGTGATAAATCAGCTATGAAGTCGTGTTCCAACGAGTGTAGTATTCTTGTTCGTTCGAGCTGCAGCGACATCCTGAGTGAGGGGAAGAGAGAGAAACCTGTAGAAGGGCCGTGTGTATTTTGCGTAATGTACGTGCAAAGTTGTTTTTGTTTTCTGATGATCATCAAATCGCAATAAATCCCGGAACCCGTCATACTCTTCATAAGCATTTACCAATTACCCCTATAAAGTCACTCTATGTACACATATACCCACCATCAACAACTAAGGATACTCCAGTAACATACTGAGCTTTGTCACTTAACAAATAACAAATTGCACTAGCAATATCATCACCATCACCAATCTTCCTAATGGGGATACGAGCCTCAATAGGGTTGTTAAATTGATCGTGTCTCAATTTTGAAGCTGCTTCCAATAACGGCGTGTTTACAAAACCGGGACATACTTCATTCACTCTTATACCTAATGGTGCAAACTCCTTGGCCAAAGACCTTGTCAATGCAGAAATGCCGATTTTGGAACAACTCAAACCAATCAAACTTGGATCAAGTACTCTATGACCAAATATTGAACCAACATTGACAATGTTACCTGGTCGGTTGAACTCTTTCCAGTAATTTACACACAATGTATTTAACCCAAATGTCCCTCCAAGATTTACATTGACCGTTTTATTAAACTCTTCAATCTTGGGAAGGGCGTCAAGTTGAGCTGAACTTGCCTTACATGTCGGCAACGTTGCAGCATTGGCAACAACCAAATCAATACCCTTGTACTCATCCAAAGCAAAATCAACAAGACTAACATTATCCAGCCACTCCCCGATATCCGTTCGAAGAAATCGCAAATTCTGATGAACTGGAGACCCCGGAGCCAATTGGGTATTGATTCTGTCAATTATGGAATCAATGTCTGTCTCATGCGCCAAATCACCAACAACTACTTTTGCTCCTTGGCGTAATAACTTGATTGTTGTTGATAAGCCAATTCCTGACAAGCCGCCAGTAACTACCGCTACTTTATTCAAGAAGTTGTATGACATAGTAAAAAAAAGTGGGTGGGCGAAAGGTTGTGTGGTTAGGGAAGATTATCACTTATTGAAAATTAAAAGGAAATTCTATGTCTATATATGAAATAAATATGTAACCACATGCAGGGGGGGAGGAGGAGGAGGGGGGTTTAGTGTTAGTTGCTACTACTGGCCATCACATCCTCCGTCGATTCACCAACTTCAGTCTCACCTTCATATTTGTTCTCCTCGTCGCCCGACTTCATCCTCTTTCGCCTCTTTTTTTCATCAGAAGCCACGGTGAAGTTCTTCAATATAAACTCATCAGCAACTTCACCATCCAAACGATCCAAATCTTCTCTTGGTATAATCAACGGCCATACCCACTTGGCACAAAACGCAAGAGCAAGCAACACTCCAGGAAACCCAACAGCTGCGATTGTTAAGGTAATGACAAATTCACCAACACCGCCAATCACCTCCAATACCGTATACACATAAAACCACTTCTTATTAGGCAACGCATGAATATCTTTCCATACTTGAGGACAAGTCGGGTCTTTTTCAATGTACTCCCTATCCAAAAAAAAGTACCGGACTCGATTCGTCACAATATTTCCATGTAGACCAGTCACCGCCATAATAAAGAATAAACCAGACAACACAGCTTGCGGGACGAGTCCAAGCAATATAAGAAATGGTCGCGTCATCATTACAAATGTCATGGCGCCCTGTAAAGTATTTGTAACTCTTTGTTCAACAACTGACAATTTCTTGCCGTACTTATCATAAACCACCAAGGAATCCGTATGTAGGGGAGCTTGGGGAATAAGTCCATTTGGTGGTGGAAGACCCAAAAGACCAGCTACCCCAGTAGTTATACCCAATAATAAGAAATCCCAATGGAAAGCAGCTGGTTTGGTTAAAGGATACTCCTTTGATTGGCACATTAATGAACTGACATTGTGATCAAAATAGAACAAAAACGTCAACAATATGGCAAAGGGAATAGCAAGAAATACATCACCAACTTCAATGTTTTCTCCTGGCCAGAAATGAATAAACCACCCATGAGGACGACGATCTCCAGATGCTGTTGGTTGGAACGACTTTGTTATGGGCAATCTTGCAAATGTAGTATCATCCAATCTACCACCAAAGTGAATGAACCCAGTAAAGAAAATCACAGACGCAACAACCCCATAGTCAACAAAGATTTTTCTAACCCAAGGTTTAAAATAGTGTAGATAGTTACCCAAGACTGCTGAGCCAACGCCACATATCAACATACACAACGCAATCATAATTGAGGCATACCCGCTGGCCAAGTCAACCTCCTTGAACTGATTGGACAAAATTTGAATACCCTTTTGTATATAAACAATATTGATAAAAAAGCCAAAGATATCACATGAATACAAACTGATAATCTGCATGAATGAAATGTAATTACCAACAGCAATAAGAATATGGAACACCATTGACCACAAGTATACCCAACACATGAATGGGAAATATGGGGTCCCTCGTGGTGTCATTAGCTCATACACCGTGTAGCTGAAGATAGATATCGGTCCAGTAACACCAACGATACACAAGGGTTGACCTGAGAGCAACCCAAAGACAACACCTGCTATCGCACTCGACATCAATACTTCATTCACACCGTAGGCGTTATCAGTCTTGTCAAACATATCTTGGGCAAAAGCGATAGCTGGAAGTAAGTTGGAAAAGAATATCGATAGCGTTGACGGAATCACTCGATAGTTCCAGGCGTCTTTAAAATCGGACTTGTAGTACGGTAGCCGTGTTTTGAGATCATTGTAGATACCATACCCAAAGTAGTTGACATGTCTAAATGATAGCGGCATGACCGTGGAGCAGAGAGTGTGTGTGTTTGGAAACAGTGAGCAGAGTAACAGTGTCGTTGAAAGATGAGTTTGTTGAGGAAATGTCGCTGCTCGCTGCTCTATTGCTTTGTTATAGTTCTTTGAGTATGAGTATGGCTATCGTTGCTCAGTAAAAAGTTGATTCAGATGATGGCTGTAAATTTTTTGTGTAAAGTGTCGCAACATAATCTGTTTCTCAATGTCGTGGGAGAAACAGAGTAAACCCATGACAAGCCGTAATGGGGGAGGGCTCAACTAACAAGTCAGTGAGGTATTGTGTTGTGCATAACAGTTTATTGAAAAAGCGACATATCCCACGTGGCACCAATTAATCCAAGTCTAAAACCATAGAAAGATCTAATCTGGTATACCTATTTAGCAAAGGAAAGAAGATCCCCCCATGTGGGCAGCCGCTCTCTGTCTCTCTGTTTTTCTGTTTTCTCCATACAAAATAAATAAATTAAAATCCGCCAAGAAAAAAATATTTGCTAAACTAAGGCACTACGAACTTTAAAAACAGAAGAAGTGGCGAAAGATTTAGTAAACTTGGTCGAGAGAGATTTGAGATTTGAGTCACTGGGAATTGATGACGTATAGCACCATTCATTTCCTACACTTCATTTGAACACTCTCTCTATTCAATAAAGAGCCATCGTTTCATGGTCCGCTCAGTTCGCCACATCACTTTTTTTTCCGGCTTTTGTGAATTCAACTCGTAAACCCGCGCTCATCCTTACTCCGATGCTATAGCTTCTTTCAAGGCTCTATCCAACAAATCCTTGGCTATTTGATTGGTCGGCTCAATAGCAAGCGCATTGTGCAAGTTTTCAATCGCTTCAGCAAACTCACCAAGCTTCATATGTATAAGTCCTATAGTGGACGCAATGTTTGCGTCATTACCATAAATTTCATGGAAAATGGAAAGCGCACGTAGCAATTTCCCCTGTTTTCTCAAAACGTGGCCTAAATTCGTCATTATCGATACCCAAGTCCTGGAACTGCGATTGGCTATTTTCAATGCAGCAGTTAGATACGATTCAGCCGAGATGAGGTTGTTTTTGTGGAAATAAAGAACCCCCAACTCGTTAAGTGTGAGCTCGCAGTGTTGATTAAAATGATAGGCATTCTTGAGGTACTCCTCGGCTAGATTTAGGTTCCCCAATTTCACATTCGTACTTCCAAGAAACAACATGGGTAGGTGACTACCAGGGAATAAACGCGCCGCATAAGCGTAAGCATTGATCGCCAGTTCATATTCTCCTTCTGCAGCAAACGTATGCGCAAATCCAATCCAAGCTTGTCCAAAATTGGGGTTTAGGATAGTTGCCTTACTAAAGTATTTCCTTGCTTCGCTGATTTTGTTGATCGAGAGATAATACGTCCCTATGGCTAGCCAGGTCATGGGGTTGGACGGATGGAATTCTGCTAGCTGATGGCTTTTGTAGAATAGTTTGTTTCTGCCACCCAACTCGTACAAGCAACTAAGGTAATTGGGCAATACATCGAAATTGTATTGATCCTTCTCTAAGATCTTTTCACAAAGATTCAAACAAGCATCGAAATTACTTTGAACATATAATTGATCAGCTTGACTCAATAGCAAGTCACAGTTATCATTCAAGTCGTATTCTTCTCTGAGAACATGCTCAGCTTCGTTGAACTTGTCTTGGTTCAAATACTTGCTCAATTTGGTGGTGTACAACAACCTAATTAGATCATCATTGCTATCAATTTCGTGATAATTCAACTCATTAGTGACAAATTCCCATTCCTCATTCGGAGTCATGAGACTATTGGAAATTAGTTCATTGAAAGCCTCATAGCATTTAACATCGACCCTCAAAGCTTCCTTGAAGCATTCTTTGGCTTTCTCAAAGTTACTTTGAGCACTGTAAACTAACCCTCGTAAATAGCACATTGATGCTTCCAACTTGACTCCTCCATCGTCGTTCTTCAATCGGTCGTCTTTATCAAACGGATTAGTTTCACCAATCACATCCAAGGCTTCATCCCACAATTCCAACTTTATCAAACTATAGCCCGCCAAGTAACGGCAGATTATACTTTTAGCAAACTCGTCATTGCACAACACCAAATCTTTACATCGTAGATAATTCCCCTGGTTGAAATACACTTGTGCTAGCCAAAATGCATCATTCGAATCATGTGTTATATCCAAAATCTTGTCACTTAGAAATTCCGCAGTGTTATACTGATGCTGTGTGATTGCGTCGTGTCTCCATAATCGCAACCGATCAATTGGTGTCAATACATCAGACATACCGGGTAATGAATCATCACTCTTGCTTTGCACTGTGAGGTTGTGAGACGATCTGTCCAAGTTGAAAAACAGCGATTTATTGGAAGAGCTTGGCGATTCAAAAAGTTTGGGTTGTTTGGAAGCTGGATTGGGTGGTGTTTTGAAAATCTCCTTTCTTCGATTGAGCATAGGGGAAATGTAGAGTGTGGAGTTGTGCTGCTGTGGTGTTTTTTGATTCTGACCCATTTCGGTGTGGTTGGAAGAATCGAATTTAGGTGGCGTTTGGCTTGTCCTGCAAGTGGCTCTTTGCTGATTTGACTGTAGACGCGCCTTGTAGCTGTAGCTGTTGTTGTTGTTGTAGCTGTAGCTGTAGCTGTTGTTGTTGTTGTTGTTGTTGTTGTTGCAAGGGGAGAGAGAATCGAAAAAAAAAAAAAGAATCAAAAATCTCTTCCGCATCTCATCATCCCATCCCATGCCATCGCACATATTTTAAACAACTACTAACATTCTCACAGTATGGCTCAGACACAACTGAAAGTGGAAAACAAGGCCGAGTCTAACTTTGAAGAAAAGGAAATCAAATCTGCGCTCAAGGGAAGCAATTCCACAATCACCTCGACCACTAATTCCACTGCCTCATCTCGCGTACAATTTAGAATATTTGTAGGATCGTATGAGCACAACTTGTTGTGTCTCTCCGTGATTCTAGATCCTTCTGGAACCAAAGAACCCATTTTCCAGCCAATTTTCCATTTCCAAGCTCATGCGTTGTCGATCAAGTCCATGGACCTCGCCAAGAGATATTTAGTCACTGGATCAAATGATGAGCATATAAGGATTTATGACTTGCAGAAAAGGAAGGAGCTAGGCACTTTGTTGAGCCACCAAGGTACAATTACTGCATTGAGATTTTCAAGAGAGGCTACTGAGGAGGCAGAGAATGCTTCTTCGGGAAGATGGCTATTGTCAGGATCAGAAGATGGGAAAATCATCATTTGGAGAACCAAGGACTGGGAAATTTTCGCTACATTGAAAGGGCACACTGACAAAATCAATGACTTGAGCATACATCCTAGTGGGCGTGTTGCTATTAGTGTATCGCAAGACAAGACGATCAGATTGTGGAACTTGATGACAGCCAAAAAGGCAGCCGTTTTGAAAATAAAAGGTAAGGATCATTTAGGACAGCTGGGTGAATTTGTTAAATGGAGCCACACTGGTGACTACTTTGTCGTTGGGTTGCACAATCAAGTCCTCTTGTACAAGACTTCTACTGCTAAAATTGTGAAAAAATACAAGTTCAAATCAACAGTGATGTGTATTGACTTGTTAAAAATTGATGATAAAGAGTGGTTGGTTATCGGCTTTGGAGATGGGTCAATTGGATTTTACGATTTCGAAACCTTGTTGAACAATATTGGAGATGACGCTGAAGACCAAGAGCAAAAAATTTTGGACAACAAAGCTGAAGTTATTGAGCCTATTTTCACCCTCAGAGGCCACACCAATCGTATAAAAGGTATTACTTTTATGCAAAATCAAGATACACAGAACGTACCACTTTTGATATCGGTTTCGTCAGATGGTAAGATTGTGGTTTGGAACTTGACCTTGAAAGATCAAGTTGCAGTTTACGATACAGGGGAAAGGTTAAACTGTGTTGTGTGTGCACCGGAAAGTGTTGAGAAAGTTGATACAATGAAGAGAAGATTTGGTTCATTAGATGAGTTGAAAGGGGAAGAGCAGCCCGATGTTAGTGAGTCGGAATATGAAACAGATGGTGAAGAAATCAAATCGATTATGAAAGGACCAACCAAAAAGGGAAAGAAAAAGAGTAAAAAGTCAAAGAAAAGAAAAGTCAATGTTACTCTTGAGTAATTGTACGTTTATATAAAAAGTGTCTATGGTTAATTTTTTGGTAATCTGGCAACATTTTTGTCAAACAATTGTTTAGCTCTAACCCACACTGGTGCGGTATCTCTTTCTGGCAATTGTAATAGACTTGGCATCAAATCTTTGGAAAAGAACTCCGACGCTTCTCGTGGCAACAAGCTTGGCAAGTGGTCAATAGAGCACACCGACAATTTGGGACCCTTTTCAGTTTTGACCACAACCGTTGGATCATTGAAAACAGTGGCAATTTCATACACTGGAATTGGATTGTGAGGATTGGTGGTGTCAGCACTAACGTCAACGATTGTCGTCAATTGTCTATCATCAACATTCAAACTCTCATAGTTGATGAATGGTGGAATTGGTTTTGACAAGTAAATACAATTGATGAAAATATTCGAGTCAACAATTTCTTTGAATGGACCACCTTTTGCTGTCTCTTGCATATCCCATTTAGCAACATTTTCATCTGGAATACCAACTTTTTTGAAAAAATCAATAGCACCAGATCCACATCTTCCCAAAGCACCAATAACCAACGCAGTGGGATATTTACCGCCAGTCTTCTCCAATGCTTTCAGCAATTGCTCCTTGACATAACTTATCAAAGCGTCTTCATTTGGGTATGGTGTCACACCTGGCAAATCTTCATCATCACCGTGAGTTTGTTTGAATGCCCAATCCAAAACACCAATGGCAGCACCAGCAAACCCAGCATAAAATCCAAAAGCGGCAACTCTTCTACCTTGGTCGTTTTCTAAAAACTCCAAATCATACAAGGTTCCGTTCCCAGCTGGGAATCTCCCCAAAACAGTCTCCCACCCAGCTTGATCTTTGTAACAATGAGCAAATTGGATATGTTCGTGGACTAATGGGAAAGTCTCGTTTTCTGGCAATTCCTTCAAGCCGAAAATAAGACGATCTTTGGGAGCTTCTTTCCATGAACCTTCAGGAACAATCTCTGCACCAACGTCTTCATACTCTTTGATGTCAAAGGTGGATTGCGAGCTTTTTTCAACATAAACTTTGAATCCAGCATCGAGTAATTGTTTGGTGGTGGTTGGAGTCAAGGCAGCCCTAGCTTCCAATGGTTTAGTTTCGGCTCTTAAATGAAGAGTGACTGGTTGAGGACTCATTATTGACTTGTGTAGAATGTTTTGGGTATTGGTTTGTGGGAAGAAGTAAAGTTGATCATATTATTTTCTTTTTTTTTTTTCAAAATTGTCTTCAGCCTTTGATAAAAGAATTGTGTGGAGTGTGATGATAATGAAAAATTATCCAAAGTGAGTCAGCGCGGCGAAAAAAAAAAAAAGGAGATTGAAATTAGTCATTGGATGTCACATTATTTCATTTCACGACACGACAATGATTTTTTTTATTTCTTTTTTTTGCAACAATTAGAATTGAGAAAGAGGCTATTACAACCAGCCCAATTTTTAACCAAATTCAAATGCGAAATACTCAAACACAAATGTTACTCAGAATTGGGATATCCAAAGTGTTTTAGAAACATTGGGTTGTTTTTCAAAACATACTATTTCATGAGATTCAGTTGGGGCTGCATTTCGAGATAAATACTGTACGGGATTCTCTGTGAAATTCAGTGCAGATTAAGAGCTTCAGTGTGGTCAAATTGCCCTAATTCTTTCAAATCGAATATTTCTGCCATACAATATACAAAAACCTTCTTGAAAATAATCATGATACATACTCATTTAATCTTCTTGGCTGGAGTTACTACAAACAAATTCAGTAAAAGCTGCACATCTAAAGTACATTGTCGTTTAAAATCAATATACTTTTTTTTTTTTTATTTTTAATCACTGCTTTATACACTCTAGTTAACTCTACTAACACCAGCCCCTCCGTCCAAGATATTGTCAATGTTTTCAAGCGCTTTTACTGCGGTATAATCGAAATTCTCCAAAGTACTGGCTCCAATATGTGGGGTCAACACCACATCCTCACGATTGATTAAACGTTCATTAATTGCAGGCTCATTTTCAAACACATCCAATCCTGCAAACAAAATCTTGCCCCGGTCTAATCCATCCAATAAGGCTTGCTCGTCAATGACAGTGCCTCTCCCAATGTTGACAATCCTAAATGGATTGGGAATGGAGTCAATCACGTCCTCATTGATTAAATGGTGAGTCTCGGGAGTTGCTGGACATGCAATCACAACAAGATCGACTTGTCCTTGCTTTGCTGCATCAAGAATTGTTGGCGCATATTTGGCTTTATACCCCAAATCATTCTCCTGTTTCGTAGTCAACTGTGCCCTCTTCACGTACGCAATGTTCATTCCAAGCAGACTCAATTTTTTCCCAATCAATTGTCCAATTTGTCCAAAGCCCACAATCACAGCATTGTGGCCCCTAGGACTCAAATTTGGTCTCTGGTTGATTTTCTCACCAAAGTCATACCCCTTCCCCAGACTCAAATTCAATTTTCCTTCCCTTGTGTTGAATTCTTCATTGGCAAGCTTATATCTTAAGTCTATAGTGTCGGGAATAGTCAGAAGATGGTGTTTCGCATACATGTGTAATTGTCTGAACGCAGTGATTGTGTAATACACAACCAAGTCGGAAACCGGCTCAGCTGCACCATCACTGGGAACATTTGTCATTGCAATCCCTCGTTGGGTTAATTCTTGTGCATCTTGATGATCATACCCAACCGAGCAAAAAGCCACAACTTTCAAACTAGGTGGTACGTAGTCGATAACTGTTCTTAGGCCAGATATTGGAACGAATCCGAGCCAGGCACCGTAGATTGCACTGATATGGGAAAATCTTGTTTTCAAATCTTGAATAAATTGATCCCTCGTGGTCAAAGTGTACTCGAGACACTCATACTTTTGTTGAAACTTTTTGAATTCAGGAAGCGAATGGTTTAGATCGCCAATGAAAAGGACTTGTTGTTTGCTCATGTGGAGAGTAATTGACTTGATTGTACGAATGGATACTATTTGTTCTCCAGCTGCTGATTGATCCTGTAACCTCCTCGGAGATCTGTGCTGAAAAATTCATTTTTTTTTTTTTTGTTTTTCTCTCTTTCTTTATTCAAACGTTTCTTCTTCTCTTCCTTTTTTTTTTATTTGTGTACAAATCCCACAATAGTAGTCCGAGCTGAATCGTACGAGTTTTGATGTCGCGTCTTTTTCGTGGGCAGAGGAGAGATGTCTTACTTGACGTACAGGATAGTCAGAAATATAGTGGGGCTTATGGAGATGTCTTCAATGTTGTAAGAAGTGTCTATTATCGAAACCATATGTGAGCGGAGAGGGAGAGTAGTATCAATTGTCGTAAACACGTGTCTTGCGACACTGATCACCAAAATTGACAACAACGTTAATAATTGCTCCGAGTCGAGAAAAAAATTAACACACCACCCACAACAACTCAATACACAATTGAGCATCATAGTCACACTTCAACAACTACATCATTGTCATCATCAACAACAGAATGGATAATATACTTGCCGCTGTGGAATTTCCAGTCACCATCAACAACCAACCGAAAGTAGAACAAATTATACACTATGCATCAATTGTCAATATCATAATTTCACTAGTGGTTGGTATCGCAACCAACTCATTACGATATTTGTCATACGCCTTTGCTGCTCAGTTCGTTGTTTTAATATTGATAGTAGCCCCAAACTTCTGGTTCAACAGTGCTCCCCCAATCCAATGGTTGGACATCAAGTATTGAGAGGGATAAAAATCTTGTATCTTTGGGGTAATATTGCAACGGGTTGTACAACAAGAGACACAAAGAAAAGAAAAGAAAAAATATACTTGCCCCAAAGTTTTCAACTACACACACATACACATATGTATATATATATATATATATATAAATACCTTCTGTTCTCTTTGTAGTAGCATATATTTTCATAACTCAGATACACCAGATTAGCCAATTTTCATAGACTATCAAACACTCAATACTCACACACACACTCACACACACTCTCTCTTTTTATTAGGAAAGATGGCAGACTATTCCAAATCAAATCACTTATTTCTCGGCTTTGACTTGTCCACGCAGCAATTGAAGATTATCATCACCAATGAACATTTGGACCCATTGCAAACCTACAACGTTGAATTCGATTCCCAATTCAAAGACAAGTATGGTATACATAAAGGAGTGATTGCAGGGGACGGTGGCGAGATAGTTAGTCCTGTGGCCATGTGGTTGGATGCCATTGATTACCTATTCGCTCAAATGAAGAATGACGGATTTCCATTTGAAAAAGTGGTTGGAATCAGTGGTTCGGGACAACAACACGGATCCGTGTACTGGTCACACGATGCAAACAATGAATTGCAGAGTTTGAAACCAAGCTCAAACTTGAGTGAACAACTCAAGGGTGCATTTTCGTGGGAAATGTCTCCCAATTGGCAGGACCACTCCACCCTCCCAGAGGCCAAAGCTTTTCATGACGCTGTGGGAAAGGAAAAGTTGGCAAAAACCACTGGCTCTAGAGCTCATTTACGGTTCACAGGGTTGCAAATACGCAAGTTTATCACTAGATCACATGGGAAGGAGTATGAATCAACATCGAGAATCTCATTAGTCAGCTCATTCGTAACAAGTGTCTTGTTGGGAAAGATTACTGAGTTGGAACAGAGTGACGCATGTGGAATGAATGTGTACGATATAAACAAGTCTGATTATAGTGATGAGTTGCTTGCAGTTGCTGCTGGTGTGCACACAAAGATTGACGGTGTTTCAAACGATGATCCAAAGTACCAAAGAGCAATTGATGATTTGAAGGCCAAATTGGGTCCAATCAATCCAATCACTTACAAGTCTTCAGGGTCCATTGCCGACTACTTTGTCGGAAAATATGGCTTTTCTAAAAAGTGCAACATTTACTCATTTACTGGTGATAACTTGGCCACTATCTTGTCCTTGCCTTTACAGCCTAACGACTGTTTGATATCATTGGGCACGTCAACTACGGTCTTGTTGATTACAGAAAATTACCAACCATCGTCACAGTACCATTTGTTCAAACACCCCACCATGCCAAAACATTATATGGGTATGATTTGTTATTCTAATGGAGCACTTGCCAGAGAAAAAGCCAGAGATGAAATCAACAAGAAGCACCACGTTGAAGATCAAAAGTCCTGGGACAAATTTGACGAGATTTTGGACAACAGCTCCGATTTCAATGGCAAGTTGGGAATATATTTCCCAATTGGTGAAATTGTACCACAGGCACCAGCACAAACCATTCGTGCTGTTTTGAACAAGAAATCGGATGATGATTATGAAGTAGTCGCTTGCGACTTGGGGTCCAATGGGTTTGATATCGATGATGACGCATTGGCAATTGTCGAAAGTCAAACTTTGAGCTGCAGGTTACGTGCTGGGCCAATGTTGAGTAAATCCGGGTACCGCAAACACGACGCAAATACAAAAGGTAACTTCGACACCACATCCAAGGCAAATGAATTGTATCAACAAGTGACCAAGAGGTTTGGTAAATTGTATACTGATGGGAAAGAACAAAATGTGGACTCTTTGACAGCACGTCCAAACAAGTGTTACTACGCTGGTGGTGCTTCCAACAACCTCAGTATCATTCACAAGATGGGACAAATCTTTGGCCCCACAAATGGTAACTACAAGGTTGAAATCCCCAACGCATGTGCTTTGGGAGGAGCGTACAAGGCCAGTTGGAGTTATGAATGTGAGCAAAGGAATGAGTTTATCGGATACGACGAGTACATCAAAAAGCTATTTGATACTGATACTGAGTTGGGTGGGTTCAAGGTAGCTGATAAGTGGTTAGAGTACTTTGATGGGGTCGGTATGTTGGCAAAAATGGAGGAAAAGTTGTTGAAAACGGAGTAATAGAGAGAGGTGTATAGAAATGTATAGAATTGAAAAAAATAAAAAAAAAAAATAACAAAAGAAAAAAAAAAATTATGATTGACAGCTCTGTTTTCTATGTAGCTGAGCATCCATGTTGAGGTTAGTGCTTAAACCTACACGCTGTAGCTTCCATAGACAGCTATCCACTCTACTAGCTAAAGATCCCCAACTGATAAAATTAGATGATGTTGTCCACCCATCGATAAATCATGAGGATGAAGAAGGAAGAGTCAAAGTAGTCGATGCCATTGCGAAATCTGCTAACCCACACAAGACGGAGTTGTACAAACAATTGATACCCACTTTCGGTACATACTTCCAAATGGAACAGCTTGGCATAGCCGATGAGTACCTATTGAGACATTTCATCAACATCAACCCAGGAAGAGTGTTTGATACATTTGATCTACTTGAAAAACATCATTTTCCAGAAACAAGTGGTGAGTTTAAAAAAGTGGTGTTGAAGAAATTAGTTAAAGAGTTTGATAGCAATGAGGAGCATTCAATTGAACGAATTGTTGAGTACTTGAACAAGAATTTCGGGGGAATAGAGGAGGCCCATTTCAAGGATTTGTATGCCACGTTACTTCGTCGTAAAGATGTGACCCAGTTGAACCAGTTGATCACCAGTGTCAGTGTGGACAGAGAGACCCTACTTAAAGAAGTGTTTGCAAACTATGATGATCCGTTGGCAAAATTCGCTTTATTGAGAAGCTTCGAGGGATGGTTCAAAGAGCCGGAAACAATAAAGCCATGGATCTACGCAGTTATTCTCAATATCTGCAACTTTCAATTGCACCAAATAAAGGATATGTACAAGAAAGCTCATCTCAAGTTGGACGTTGACGAGTTGAATCAAAAAATTATAAAATACATCATCGAGTCAAAGATTGACGTTCAAGCAGAAAACTTGGTACTAAGGAAAACATTGGTTGAAGTACTTGGTATATCTCAAAACAATCTTGGTGAAGCATTGAAAGTATTCCAAAAGTATGAAACTTTTGTCAAGTATGGCATATCCAATGTTCAAATAGCCATGGTGAAGGCAATTGCGTACCAAGCGATCAAACAAGACAAGGAAATTTTCAAAACAATGGCCGAAACCATGATCCCACCAGACTTGACAATTCAACTATTGCAAATACTCATCCTTGTTAAATCCTACTTCAATCCTAATGATGGATTGGCATTGTACAATGACTATGTCAATCAAGTGTCGGGCAAGGTCAAAGACGGTTCATCTCAAAAGGGTTTGCTCACACAGTCTGTCATATTGGGATTTCTCCTGAACAATGATCGCGAGTTTGCCTTTCTATTGTTTGACAAGGCTACTGAAAATGGAATCATTGTGGATGAGTTTGAAATTGCACAGATCAAGAAATTGTTCAAAATGTATAGTGATTGTTTTGTTGAAGATGAAAATTGGGATGCAACTGCTAGAGAAAAGATGAGAGATGAGGTTTTAGAATACGTTGAAAGAATTGGGTCGTTGCAAGTGAAACTATTGGCTGCAAGTGAAGGAGAGTTGTGATCGCACGACAACAAGTCTATATATAGTATTAATCCTTGCACTGGTGAACTTCAGAGGATAGTTCTGTTGCCAGCAAGGCCACATGGGTTTTCTTCATACTGTGCAAAGATTATTCAAAAACATATAAATAGGGGTTCTATTTCCCCACTTAATTCTTCAAATCTTCTTTTGAGAATAACAACTAAGGAAGATAAAAAAGACTTTTTTTTTTTTATTATGTCTTCAACCAACTCTTTGTCTCAACTGGCAAAACTCAGAGGTTTCCCCCGAGTCCTTACAACAATCTATTTCAAAATTCGCTTACTAGTGGGTTTAGAGATACTGTTACCAAAGCAGAGAGCGAAATATAACCAGTCTGGGTGATTTTCTGTTTTCTTTTTTTTTTTTTTGTTCCTTACCCCAGATACCAAAAGTTACAATACAAAAATCACTGTGAGCGAGAATTCAATTTTTTTGTGCTTTACTTTTATTTTTGCAATCGATGCGGAGACGGATAAACGCGGAATATGTCGGCGAATTTAAATAGCGGGTAACGCGAAAGACAAAAAATTGTTGCAAAAAATATTACAAGGAGGATGAAAGAAGGGGTTAGTAGTACGGTGAGTTGTTTTATTTTTTTCTTAACCTATTAATGGACGCTGTAATTATTCTCGTAAAGGTTCAAAGAAGCTGCTGCGTTGTGAATATAGCTTACATCGTAAAGACTTCAGCATCAATTTCCGGTATAAAAAAATAAAATATTCTTATTTCTTCAAAATATGGCGTTCAACGGTTGTCCAGAATAAAATACACTATGTGAAAAGTTATTTAAAAATTGGTCTACCAACTAAGCCCATTTATATAACTTCCCCAGAGTTGCTGGGCCTCAACAAACGTCATTGTGAAGCCCCCCCCTCCTAAAGTTCCTATCTTGCACTGTAGCGACAAATGAAAAAGAAAAAAGAAAAAAAGAAAAAGAAAAAAAAAACGGAAATCACAATGCAAAGTACAAAGATCAATTTTTTATTTATTTATTTATTTATTTATTTATTTATTTATTGTTTTTTGCTCATTCTTTAATACCCAGGGCTAACGTTCACTCAATAAAGCAACACAATTTGTATGATCACCCAACATCAAAGTAAATGTGCACCATGACGACATCAGTATGATGCATTGACTTTCGATCTCTCTAATTGTATTTTTCAGGTATCGTAGCAGCATATGTTGAATTGACACCCATGTTTTTTTTTTTTATACATCCACATCCCCGCAAAGTAAGATGCATACAATTCTCTCTCTGTCTGTGTCAAGTAAAAAATGATTAGCAGTATATGCAGGACAATAAGAAATAGCGGATATCGACATCCTACAAAACCACACATAAATTTTTTTTTTTTTTTTCACTTAGTAAATCATAACGAAGTATAAAACTATCTTTTTCCCTTAAAACTTGAATCTCGAAATATTTCATTCACTTTTCCTTCCCCACACACACACACACACACACACACACACACCCACTAATATACATATTCTAATTTGTCACCATGTTGTCTAGAGTTTTGAGAACCAAGGGTTCACTCCAAGTGGCCAAACAATCATTAGCCTTGCAAGCCATCAGATCAAAATCCGTCATTTCATTATCTTCAACCCTCACCTCATACCCAAAAGACCACACTGAGAGTGGTGCTGAACCATACTTGACCCCAAGTTTCCTCAATAATGAGTTTATCAAGTCTGAGTCGACTGAATGGTTTGATATTCATGATCCCGCCACCAACAATGTTGTTTCCAAAGTGCCACAATCTACTGAAAGCGAGTTGGATGAGGCTATTGCAAGTGCCCACAAGGCTTTCCCTGGTTGGAGAGACACCAGCATCATCAAGAGACAAGGTATTGCTTTTAAATTTGCTGCTTTGTTGAGAGAAAACATGGACCGTTTGGCTAGTATGATTGTTTTGGAACAAGGTAAGACTTTTGCTGATGCGCAAGGTGATGTTCTTAGAGGATTGCAAGTTGCCGAACAGGCTTGTAACATCACCAATGACTTGAAAGGAGAAACTTTGGAAGTTAGTACTGATATGGAGACCAAGATGATTAGAGAACCATTGGGTGTTATTGGTTCCATTTGTCCTTTCAACTTCCCAGCTATGGTTCCATTGTGGTCATTGCCTTTAGTGTTGGTCACTGGTAACACTGCTGTTATCAAGCCATCGGAAAGAGTTCCAGGTGCTGCTATGATCATTTGTGAATTGGCTGCTGAAGCTGGTGTTCCTCCAGGTGTCATCAATATTGTCCATGGTAAACACGCCACCGTTAACAAATTGATTGAGGATCCAAGAATTAAAGCATTGACATTTGTTGGTGGTGACAAGGCTGGTAAATACATTTACGAAAAGGGTTCTGCTTTGGGTAAGAGAGTCCAAGCTAACTTGGGTGCCAAGAACCACTTGGTTGTTTTGCCAGATGCTCCAAAGCAACAATTTATCAATGCATTGAATGGTGCCGCTTTTGGTGCTGCTGGTCAAAGATGTATGGCCATTAGTGTTTTGGTTACAGTTGGTAAAACCAAGGAATGGATCCAGGACATTGTTAAGGACGCTAGCAAGTTGGTTACTGGATCTGGTTTTGACAAGTCATCCGACTTGGGTCCATTGGTTAACCCAGAATCTTTGAAGAGAGCAGAAGAGATTATTGAAGAATCAGTTGCCAGTGGTGCCAAATTGGAATTGGATGGTAGAGGATACAAACCAAAGGACGCCAAATTTGCCAACGGTAACTTTTTGGCTCCAACGATTTTGACCAATGTCAAGCCAGGTATCAGGGCTTATGATGAGGAGATTTTTGCCCCAGTCCTTTCAATTGTTAATGTTGATACTATCGACGAAGCTATTGAATTGATTAACGCAAACAAGTACGGAAACGGTGTTTCCATTTTCACTTCAAACGGAGGATCCGCACAATATTTCACAAAGAGAATTGACGTTGGACAAGTTGGTGTCAATATTCCAATCCCAGTTCCATTGCCAATGTTTTCATTTACTGGATCCAGAGGATCATTCTTGGGTGACTTGAACTTTTACGGAAAGGCTGGTATCACTTTCTTGACTAAACCAAAGACTATTACTGCTGCTTGGAAGGTGAATACTATTGACGAAGAAATTTTGAAACCATCTACTTCCATGCCAATTCAACAATAAATCAAGGGGATATATATAGAAGCAGAATTGTTTTCCAAAAAAAAGAAAAAAAAAATAAAAATATAAAATGTGTGTATAGTTAAAGAGAAAGAGAATATAAAACACGATTATAGAGCAATTTCGTGACGTAAATACTGCGCTAGCAGAGTGCGTTGGAAAGTCACTGGTCTATTGATATCGGCCTTGTCCATAACCAACCATGTACACAAACTAGTTGAGGGTTTGCCTGTTTAGGCAGGATCCAATTTCAGTTTTGTCTGGGGTAATAAAGAACTAATAGTTACACAAAATGCCTTACCCAGCGTGTCGCGCAAAAATATCAACGGAAAATTTAAAACCTGAGAAAGGAGTCTTCTTCTGTGTGCGAATGACTCAAAGAGATTCATCATTCCGACAGTCATAAATTATCTTGTGTCCTTGTATACCTGTTGGCAGAATGAAATACTGGGGGGGTTGCTTCATTTGGCATGTCATTTCTTTCATCAGAGCAGAGGGAAGGGGTGAAGGTGACGATGGTCGTAGGTCCAGGGTCTTGTTCGCAATCTCACAGACCCCCTTACACGAGCTAAAATTGTTTTCCAATCAAATGGAAATGACTATAATAGAAGAGCCGTTATACTTCTTCCAATTTGTTCTTCGGTGTAGCGGGAAAAGCTAAAACCATCAACACCACGGAGATTGGAATGCTCAATTGTTTCAACAACTTTGTCTGTCTGTCTGTATTATTTATTTTATTCTTTTCTTTTCGTGTGCGTGTGCGTGGGCGTGGGCGTGGGCGTGGGCGTGTGTCGTGTTCAATTATCAGACACGAAATGAATCATCCGACACTAATTTATGTTACCGAGGAAGACTTGAGCCGACCCGTTGTACTTTTTGACCGAAATTAGGATAACCTTTTCTTTTTTTTTTCTTCTGTGGAGGAACCCAGTTCACGGCATGCGAAATGAATGAAACCTCTCTACATAGATGTAACGAGTTTAAAGAAGCGGTGCAAAAATGTAGGACCATACGCAAAGTAAGTGCGTTGGCCCAACTTTATGTATGCTTGTGGATTCCTCAGGTCTGAAAATTTCGTAAACAAAAAAGAAACCTAAAGAGATGGAATTCCGTGCGTGATGATGCAGTAATTTGATCTTTTTGATTGTGAAAGAAAATAAAAAGAATGATTAATTCCCCTATTCTTACTTGCGTCTAGTCTTTGCTTTGGCTAAAATTGGATCCTCTGAAAGAAAACGCTACTGTCGTTTTGTTGTTATGTCTTGTTTTCTATCTTTGTTCTTTCGGAATAGAATTTTCGGTTATTAAATTAAACAATTATTACACAAAAACTTCAGTTACGGATTTAGCTTTCCATCCGGGATTTTCCTTTCACTAATAAATACACTTTGAATAGATTGGGCAGAGAGATACAGAGCGCACAGAGAGAGGCTTCAAGGAGCACCCCATGAGAAGGGGAGGGGGAGGGGGCCTAGAATCGAATAGCATCTGCGTGACAGAGTCGGCAGCTGGGCCCGCTTTTGCATGACGCAGACGCCCCCGTCCGACAAGTCCAAGCGCACTATTAACGCGCTATCCAGTCTTATTCATCTTTGTGCACCGATGATATTAGCTGGCATTTCGTTGGAGTATTGTGCTGCGTTACATTATCCCTGTGCTGGATAAACATCTCGACAAATGGCACAATCGGATACATCAAAGCTAAAGCACACAGCAACTGCTTTCTTTGGTAAAATGAGAGGAGTACACACAAAGGATATCCCTTCACATTTAATATAGATTCTCTCTTTGTGGTATTTCTTGGTTCTTTAAGGGTTATGTTACTTTTATTGTTGAGTTCCTTGAATTGCTCTGGGGATTTACTTAAAATTAAGCAAGTCAAAGCAGGGGATGGGCACAAGTCTTTTCCATTTCAGTAGTAGTTGCGTATGCATCTCTTTACTTATTATCTATCAGTTTAGCAGCGACTAAGGCACGTTGACAGAAGTTGTATCCCAACCATTAAGGTTTGCAAAAGTTCAAATTGAACATTGAAAATTTAGGACTTTGTGCACGCGATGGTTTTTGTTGTTGTTACTTTTTGCTCTCTGTGTTTACAATTGATCAATCCATAAGTTGTTACAACACTTTTGCTTCTCATTTCTTTTGTTTTTTTTTTTTTTTTTCTTTTTCTGTTCTTTTTCTGCACTAATATATTTATATATATGTATGGGTGTAAGGATGTCATTTGCTAAATTATCGTAAAATGTCGGAATAGAGCAAGTGCAGATGCTGTCGCTGCATTTATAAATTTGTACATTATAATGGTACTTTTATTATCGGAGTCTCCACTCTACGCGCAACAATGTAATAGGGGGGCACAACAGTTTGCCTATTGTCATCTAGAGCTGTTGAAGTCAGTCCAAATTGCAAGTGTAGGCTTTGCAAAGTTTATTGATTCCATATGGATTTAAGTATGTGATAACTCATCGATTGGTAGTCTTTTGTGTGATAAATTCCTCAAAGAATCGAGATGCAGACACTTGACTCAATTTTCAAAAAGGACAAACAGACAGACAATTTATTTATTTATTTGGGATTTCATTTTTGCTTTTTGTCTCTTTTTTTGTTTTATTCATTTATTCTTCAAACTTTTAATTTCACTATTATATATATATATATATACACATTAACATTTACATTTGGAATCATATCTTTCTCATCAAAACCAAAGCAACAAAACATTTCAACAAAAGCTTTGCTCACCTCCTCCTCCCAGGCATATTCAACAACAACTCACGTTTACAATCACCACATATTCATTCCACTCAATTACACAACACACCTTTTTCAACTCACTACCACACAGGTCTCTTTGCATTGCTCAGAATTTTCAACTTCTATTAAACAGCGGCAGCAGCAGCAATTTTTTTATTCACAACGTACATACTTTTGCCCATTTCTGAAATATACCAAGTTATGTCACTGTAGCTTGAACTCATAGTACTACTATTGATCCATTGAAAGTATGTATTACTACATTCCACGCAAAAGGGTCAGTCTTTGTATACGCCCATTGATGTTGTTGATGGACCTTCAATATGTCGCATTTTCCGTGATATTCCGCACTACCAATTTTTTTTTTTTCTTCAGCTACGGGACCCATTGATTTCATAAACACTTGAGCGATGGCGTGGGGTGAAGCAAGCAAAGACTAGAACCTTTTTGGTTTTTGAAGGAATTAACATACTAACTTGCTCATTCTAGCTATTCCTTTGTAAACAAAAATCACAGCAGCTATGACAACAACCGCTCCAATACTAAAGCAACAGCAGCAGCAACAGCAGCAGCAACAGCCATTTGTCAACGACAGGTCGCTACAATCTCAAGCGCATACAGATAATGATAAGACGTTTCCTGCAGAGAAATGCACGACAGTGAAAACATCAAAAGATTGGGTACTACCACCAAGACCCAAACCAGGAAAGAAACTAAAAGAGTTGAAAGCTAAGAAAACATGCACTAAAAAGACACTATCTGCTTCGGATACAGTTGGAGAAAATGCAGCACCAACAACCACTAAAAAATCTGCTACCACCACCCCCTCAACCACTCGTAAAAGTACCAAGAAAAACAATTGCTGCGCCAACGACTTGAACCCTGATTTGTCAACTCCCACGTCTTTGCAACAAAACATCTCCATCATTGACTCGGAAAACTCTTGTCTAAAATCCAACTTGTTGTGTTTGATCCACGAGTATAAACATTTAAAAAGTCTAGTCTTGAATAATTCGTCACCACTGTCAAATGCATCTGAGGAACCAGCCATCACAACTACATCGTCTCCCCCTCCCATCACCTCTAAATTGACTAACGAGTCGCTGAAATGTGATGTAGAGGAGATGGTGGACTCGATGGCTCATGAAATACGCGCAGTTCACAAACGTTCCTTTGTTGAAGTATGTGAAGAAGATGGGGGTATGCTACTGAACATCGAGAACGTTGCAGACGATGTCGAACAATCAGGTCAAATATCAACCTTTGCTCCCAGAAACTCGATTATCAGCACAACAACCTCAACAACTGTATCATCGCCAACTCGAGCTAATCTGGGCCATAACTCAACTATTGACACTGTAGCCTCAACGCCTTTTGCTTCTACACTCGAATTTGAGGAATTTATCAATCTCGATCAACCAGACAACAAGGACCCAAATTCCGACGGAGTGGAAATTGCTGCACCACCAAGCGCAACCTCAAGCTCCATATCAACGTCAACTTCAACGTACAGAAGTCAGAAGTTTGCCCATTACAAGGATTTTCACAAGTTGGACACTGAAGAAGATTCCGATGGCGACATCAATTTCGAAGATGGTGATTTGATCAATGGTGGTGATGGTGGTGGTGGTTGCTGCGATGAAGAAGATGATTTCCTTGGAGAGTTGTGCACGCCTTCATCGAGCTCATCTCATGACTTGTCACGCACAACGTCGCCATATTCTGATTATGAAACTAACTCGTTGATGAGTACATTGACGAGAACAACCACTGGGTCGTCAATTAGTACTATGGTGCATGAAAAGCCAAGTTTCACCAGTGATAAGTTCCATAATAATTGTGGAGGCGGATTCGCTTCGGTCCACCCGCCACCTTTGACTTTGAAAAAGATGGGCAATTTCTTTGATTTGCCAAAGTATCAAGAGAATGATAAGTTGTACAGTTTCAAGTTTGACACTGCTGAGTATCAAGCAAAGAGAATTGATGATGAATACAACTTGGTGACGGATTTCTTGGAGGAGAAATTGATGATTAATGAAATCAACTATTATCTGGAACAGCAACAACAACAACAACAGCAACAACAACAACAGCAGCAGCAACAACAACAACAGCAACAGCAACAGCAACAACAACAGCAGCAGCAACAACTTGGACAGGGATCAAGCCATGTGCAAATGCACGGACAATTACAGAAAGAGAAGCTGCATCAACTACCACAACAGCAAGAAGCGTTGTTGGTGCACAACAATAATAATGACGATGATGACGTTAACGATAGGGGGCTGTTTATGAATTTTTACTGATAAAGTATATTTATGTTTATCTATTTATTTATTTATTTATCTTTGTATACTATTAATGAGGCAAAGTTGAAGGATTTTGGGATTTTTTGGAAAAGATTGCAATTGGTGTAGAGATGCAGTAATTAGTTGTAAGTATTCAAGTGTTCCCCGCGTCAACAGCAGTCCCCCCCCCCCCCACCAACACCAACACATTTTACTGACTCAAAGATTTCTTCCAAACTATTAACAGGAGAAATCTACCACAAGTGTAGCTGTGTTTCATCCCAGCCGAAGCTTGGTGTGGTGCATTTGTGGTGCTGGTGAAAGATGCTTTTGACTTAGGCTTGACAAAATGGTGGTTCTTTTACGTGCATTTATTTTGTGGGCCCCGCAGCCATGCTCCTTTTTTTTTCTTTTTTGATCTTGCAAAGTTTTCTTTACAAGCAGCATTATGAAGAGCCTTGTATTTTAGGGACAGTGAAAGTACTTGGTAAACCCAAGCCATGTTCTAATGAAGTTGCTGTTTTAATTGATGGTTAATGTCACAGAAGCAAAGTCTTTTGGTGATTTTGTGAGATCGTGTACCTGGTTAATGCATCAGCTAGCATTTTGAAGGCGGAGCCAAAATGAGACGAAGGATAAGAGCAGGATCCAAGCCTCTCACATGAATCTGCATTGTGCCTACACAGTGTGTAAAGTTGTGAGTACTCTAAGTTGAACTTTTCGTTAAATACAGAGAAGATGTAGCTGAAGTAGATATTAAGGGGTCCTTTTTTCCCCTTGTGTTGTTGTCACACGACAGGAACAACAAAAATTTTTTATTTTTTTGGTTTTCTTGCGCGCACAAGAACTCTCCAGATATCAACAACAACCAACAAACAACAACCACGGCCATACCATACATACGTTGTGCTACCCACGCTCCTAAATACTAGCAGTAGTATATGCCGTCACATTCTTTTGCATAACGTATCAGACTAGGTGAAGTAACTCATACATACAAAGAGAAGAAGAATACAGATCACGCTCGCTCTAAAAAACCCTCCACTGATCATTTCAAGAACGCTATGCCAAAAACATCTTCAATAACTTCAAAGATGCTACTAAACAAAAGAAAGTTTAGAAAACCACTTCTTCTCGTCTTTGCCGTCAACATAATATACGTCTTAACCTATTTTCTCTCACGATCAATCAACAACAACAACAACAACAACAACAACAACAACAAAAATATCGATACTCAACATATACATATACCCATGGATGGCTCGGGCCTGCTACCTCAGCTAGCCAATACTGATATAGACTACGCTAAGAAGTTGGAACACCTACTAACCAACATGGAACCACCTAAGCATACAACTAAACTAGTCAGAGCGCCACAAGAAATCAAGAGCATGGCCGACTCAAATCTTCTTTACCAGGACGATCGATTAACCTTTGGTTCGTTATTTGATCACATCTTAGCTCAAGATGCACTTCCAAAGCTGATTCCGTTTCAGTGGTCTGACTGGGTTGACTTATCGTACTTGAACCAGCAATTGAGCAAACCATTTGACCAGAGGTTAAAGTGTCAGGATATTATACATGAAATGAATTTTGTACCTTCAAGAGTCAAATCGAAAGCTGAAGCCGATCCAAACAGAGTAGGGTGTGTCAACACTAAAGATCTCAGTGAAGAAGAGATTAAGAGGTTGGGCTTTGATGACAAATCGCAACTACCGGGATTTATTCAATTCAAACACACGCAAGTGACAACAACGGAATACGTGAGAAATTTACAAGGCAAGTCGTACTTATTGACCCATCAGCCACTACCCTACAAAGTAATCTTTTTGAACGATTACGGTGACGATTTGCTGTTTGATGTATACAAAGGACACCCTGAGACTACGAAAACAGAGTTTGATTTGGTAAAACAGTTTGAGCAGATTGCGCCAAATAGTGGATACAAATACAGCCCACAACCAATAATCGAGTTGCAAGAGAGCCATTTCACTTATAATCGACGTATTCTTGCTCAAAAGTTGAACCAGCTTCAACCAGTCAAGGAGCCACTTAGTCAAATGCAACAATCCTTTTTAAACTCCATGGTAACTACCATCGAGACAAAACCATCAGTGAACCCGGAAACGCGGTACTTTAAGGAAGCCACTTTACATATGAACAGCAATAATCACGATTCCGGATGGCACTACGATTGGAGGTTTTTCAATGGGAAACTAAGTGATCATTTTGATCGCACGTCAATCATTTTGGAAAGGTTACTGCGCAATTGGTTTAAATTTAGTGAAAAGTACGGCATAGTTAGCTGGATTGCCCATGGTCCGTTGTTGAGTTGGTATTGGAATGGAGGAACTTTCCCCTTCGACAATGACTTGGATGTGCAAATGCCAATTGAACACTTGCTTAAATTGGGTGAGCTTTATAATCAGACAATTGTGATTGAAGATCCTCGTGAAGGAACTGGAAAGTTTCTTATTGAAGTGGGGACATTTGTGCATAATAGGCATATTTCAAAACGTGGTAATCACATAGATGCAAGATTTATTGATATTGATACGGGTATTTACATTGACATTACTGGATTGAGCACAAGTGGAGCAAAGCCCACTGCAAATTATTACTTAAATGTCAACGACGACATGGATGAAGGGCCAGTGTTGAAGAAAGATGCCCCTGTATTTAACGATAGACGTGTCCATTTTTATAACTTAGACCACTTGTCGCCTTTGAAGTTGACCATGTTGAATGGTGTACCATGCTACGCTCCAAACTCGATCATCCAGCGTTTGAAATTTGAGTACCCAAATCGTGCATTAACCAAAGTAGAATACAATGGCTGGTATTTTATCAACAAGTTGCAAAGTTGGATACATGAGCCATCTTTGACAAACGTGCTCGACCCTAACGACTATAAAAAGTCTAATGGTCGTATCAACAAGACGAGGTTGAAGAAGCTCGTGCAGAACTTGTCGGATGAGGAGATTTATCAAATTTTGACTGAAGATCATCAAGTGTTGGTTGACTATTACCAGTCACAAGCATTAGCTCAATACCACCAAAAGGAGATACGCCACTTGTTCAAAGTTGATGGTTCAAAGAACAGAAACGTCAATGATTTAGAGCAAGGTAAAATTTTGGATAATAAAGAAGCGCATCACGATCAAGCGTATATTCAGCTTATTGAACAAGGTGTGCATTTGAAGCCACCTGTCAGAGAGTCATTATTTGAGTATGAAAAAATAAATGGTTTTAGAGAAAAGCTTTACCAGCAAGCTTTTGAACAGTTGGACAAGATAGAAGTTAGATAGAAGATGAAAAATAAAATTGGAGGAAGTTGGAATTCCCTCTGGTACTAATTTGTATTGTTGCTACTTTTGTCCAAAGGGCAAACTTCATCTCAGCATACCATATAAATGACAAACTGATTTGAGTTTTATTTTATTTTATTTCTGCTTTTTTTTTTCTTTTTTTTTTTCTTTTTTTTCTTGAATTTTTCGCAACAATAGTGTCAACTACTACCCCCTAAAAATAAAAACGACTTCTGTTGCATTTTCTTAAATAGTATACTTTCTGTTGATGAACGCTTAATTTTTACCAGAAGGACCAACTATGCACCTGATTCAGCATCAAGTAGCACCATCTCCGTTGCAACACCATCATCATCATCATCAGCAGCAGCAGCAGCAGCAGCCCCACCGACCCCATGGAGACATGCAAGAGCCACGCGGATATCAAAAACAACCCAAACACCTGCCTATTTTAACCATTAAAAATTTATTTGATATACAGTCAGAGTCATCGTCTCCGTCACCATCACCATCAGCTACATCACTGTTACACTCTGATCACTCGATGCAATCAAAGTCCACTCCATTCAATCGAAGCAATACTAGTTCGATATCCACTTGCGACAATAATCATCAGCGTGTACACAATCATGGTCACTCCCACAACCACAAGACTTCAAAAAGATTGGGCCACGGGTTATCAGTGACCAGTTTTTGCCCTCGTGATGATTATCCAAGCGAGTTTGAAGATTCTCCTTTGTATAACAAGGTCATATTGGAAGTTTACGAGCAAGAGAAGAAAAAGTCGAGTACAACAAAGATGGCTGCAGCTATTGAATCTCATACTTCGCCGCTATCGACGCTCAATTTCAATTTTGATTTTGATAATTGGAGTTTAGACGAGTTGCCACCCATGGATGACGGCAAATTCAGTGACAGAATTCAACACAATACTTGTGTTGATCCGGGACCAGAGCCGTTACTGCTGTTGCCGCTTCCAGAGGTTGATTTCGCACAAGAGGAATTTAGTGGCAAAGAAGTCAAGGATCACAGTTTAGAGTTGAACTCCACGATTGAGAGCATGAAGGAGTTGACGTTGTTGAATAGGTTCAAAGGCATGATTCGCAAAAACTCCAGTAACATGTTTAAACGCTTGAATAGCTCTAGTTTTGATTTGCTTTTGTTTAGACAGGGTGGTGATGGCAAAGAGGACGTAAGCTTGGGCGTGGGCGTGGGCGTGGGGGATAGGTCTACCGGTGTTCTCGCATCATCGCTGTTGTCGAATTTGCCATCGCCTAGTAAGATCAAATTTGAAGAGCATATTACTGACTTGAAGGAAGTTGGGTCGTCACATACTATGCCATCTGCGTCGACATGCACCCCAACACCAATCACTCCAAATAACTACCATCCAACTCCAAATTGCAACCATCATAATCATATTCGTCATCATCATAACCGCCACCAGAAACGCATCGCGGCCCAACTTTCCGCATCATCCTCATCACCAAAACGCAAGAAATCATTCTTGAATTTCCGTTCAAATTCACTACCATTCAACTTCTTTGATTTCAAATTGAATGGCAACAACTCATTGAAGAAGCACAACTGTCCATTTCTCGACCCACCAAAACTGATTTTGAAATGCAAAGTGAACCAAAATTATAATCAGGAATCCATTGAGTCGTTGAAACAGGACCTGATGCAATTTGATGAGTTTTGGCGCAAGTTTGAATTGATGGAACAGGCCAAGAATAATTACACAAATGATGAATTGTTGAATACAATGCGGTTGGAACAGGTGAGAAATTATTATTATGGTAATTGAGCAACGAGAGAGAGAGAGAGAGAGAGAGAGAGAGAAGACGGAGAAGTTGGCAGCGAAGCCCGTTGCTCTTGCAGTATTGGGTATAGCATTTGTAACTCACATGAGCTCTGCTTCTTTTTTTTTTTTATATTTTTTATTTGGTTAATATTAGTTTTTTTTATGGATGCGTTGTTGTAGAAAATAACGGTATAGATCTCGTTCCAGGCTACAGAATGTGGACAATTTTGCAACACTCTACACCATCGTAAGAGACGGCATCAGAGGATTCAAAGTAATCAACTTTTTTTCATTATGATAGAGGCTGCAAAAAGAGTAACAAGTAGATGAAATTAATCTCGCTTCTCGGTCAAGCTGTACGGATAGTCAGGCACGGCACCAGCAGCATCGTATTTGCCAATTGCCTTCACAGTAATCTCTTGGTCACTAGTGTCGCAGTACCTGGCATTATCCCCAACAGTTCCATGGTAAATATGCAAACAGTTGCACTCTTTGTCAAGGCACAATGACCAGATACCAACTTTATTATATAGCAACTCATCCCTAAACAAACTGAATCCAGTAGATAAACCACCCTTGGGACACGCTTTCAATCTATTGGTACGATTATCAACTCTAATAAATTGCAATCCTTCATGGTCCAAATTGTCCACTTTGTAACTACCGTTGATTAAGATTCTGCCCTCAATAAACTTGGTGGTTGTGGTAGTTGCCGATGATGAGTTGTGGTTGTCAACACATTTTGGAATATAGAGTTTGGTTGATTCGTGATCTATTCTCTGGATTGGTGCATTGAGATATTGGGTCTTGTGTTGTAAATTGTAGGTGTAGTCTTTGTCGTAAGCTGCAAGGAAGAACAGTTCTGAGTATGGCTTGACGATCTGTGGCGCAGCTGCGGTGACCACTACAAGAGCAAGAAGGTAGTTCATTCTTAATGATGGAGATGTGGAGGAAGGATGAAAATTATGCTGAGAGTTCAGTATTATACTTTTCGAAAGTGTTGCTTCTTTTGGTATGCAAATAAATTGCCCTCACACACACATACAAATCTGTGCAGATATAAGGCAGGAACAAACATTCCAACTGCCAGTAGTGTCAAGGTCTTGTTGCTTGGTTCTTCTTCATCAAAACTCAAAACCAACAACCAGTTACTCAACAGAGTCCTTGGATGTGCTGGTATTAGCATGTATTATCCAAACTTAAGTAACCGCACAGAATTGAAATAAGTCTGCTTAGTTTGCAACCCAATTACCAAAGCACAATAGACATCGCGTCTTCAATTGTGATTTTCACAGAAGATAAAAAAAAAAAGAGAAAGAAGAAATCAAAATTGTGTGTCCGAACATTGGTGTTTCCTACACGACTTTAGGTAATCGAGAGAGAGACACAGACGTTCATTTAAACGACGTTGTGGTGACCAATGAGACTCTCATAGCATAGTCTTGATCTTCTTGGTCAACTATTAAAATACCAACATATGATACAAAGGATGTATTTCTTCCAAACAGGATGGACTACACACATTTGTTCGTGTAATGCAGCCCAAAAAGTTTGCACAATCCGCAAAGCCTTGCATTTGCTGACAAGAGAACAGGAGACCAAGTATTTGTAGGTTGAGGTTTTTCATTGTAGGAGAAAACAACTAAAGTATTCAAGCTAAGCAGCTTCAATCTCCTGGCAACATACAGTATTACTTTTGAATAGTATAACGCCAACACACACACACACACACACAGCCCAGATAAGTCTAGAATTACAAACGTGGTTGCAGCCACAAACAAACAAAAAAAAAAAAGAAAATAAAAAGGAAACATTTGATCACACAAACATAATACATTTGCAATGATGCGTGTCTTTTCCCCCTTTTTTTCCATTTTATTTTATATTTTGTATTGTTCCGATAATATCGACCGATTGGGAAATGTAATGGTCAAAAATCGCTTGTTTCATTGAAATAACTGGTTCAGTTTTTCAACAAACTCTTTCTCCTGATAGTGCCAAGCAAAGTCATGCCTGTGTCCGTTATGTTGATCCTACTAACTGTCCTACTACTGAGCATAGTTGAATCGGGAATAAGCTTGGACTTTGAAATCGTGCTGCTGCAAATTGAACAAAATTACAAACGGGATACATTTGACACGGCAGTTGCACTACAACGAAATGTCTATTTGACAAACTTGGCTATAGGATCGAATAAAGACGATGTTGTTGTGTCTATAGATACGGGCTCTTCAGAATTATGGGTTATGTCCACTGATGTATCGTGTCAAACTGTAAGTCAGTTGCATTCAGAAAACCCACCCGATATACCACATTTATTCAACGACTTGCCTCAAGATTATTCGTGTGCTGCAAATGGTACGTTCAATACAAAAGACTCAGCAACGTATCAGTTTATAAGCAACGATTTCAGCATTGGATTTGCTGACGGGTCAGCTGCTATTGGTGAATATGGTCGTGATGACGTTGGAGTAGGGAACGTGACTATAGAAGGGTTGAAGCTAGGTGTTGCCAATGCATCTAGTGTTGATATGGGGATATTGGGTATCGGACGCAATGACAAGTATGGCAATTTTGTTTCCTTGTTGAGGAAACAAGGACATATAAATTCTGCTCAATACGCAATCTATCTAAATGACAAGACTGGTAATATACTATTCGGAAGTGTCGACGACACCAAGTACATTGGACATTTGGCAACTACTCATATGGAGAACAGTGCGGTTCACATTAAGGAAGTATGGCTAAGTCTGTCCGACAGCAATGCCAAAACAACCATCCAATCGGGAAGTAAACATGTGATTTTCGACACCGGCTCCACATTTTCAACATTACCACTGAACTGGATTCAGAAAATTGGACAATCGTTGAATGGAACTTATGATGACAACGAAATGGCATATCAAGTACCTTGTGAAATGAAGGACATAGACACAAAATTCAACTTCAAGGTCAGCAACACTACTTTGAGCGTGCCTGTATCAGATTTCATCATCAATAATGAAAGAACAAATGGGAAATGCTACTTAGGCATCATGGATGAGTCGCTTATAGGTGGCACGATATTTGGGTCAGATATATTGAAGCAGTTTTACGTCGTTTTCAATTTGGAAGATAATAAGTTGTCAATAGCACCAGTAACCCATGAAGACATAGCATCAGAGAGCCAGAGTTCGAGTCAGAATCAGAGCCAAAGCCAAAGCCAAAGCAAGCCCAGTAACTCAGAAGAGGATAGGTTTGCAAACCGATCGGAGGCAAGTACATACCGCAAAAAAACGTTGCTATATGTGTATTGCATCAGTTTGATGCTCTTGTCCATCTATGTAATTGTTTTATACTAGAAATTTGATAGTCAATGTATACCATGTTGTAAGTTGGTAATAAGTGTTCTTTCCAGAAATGGCAGATGTAAATCTTTGTTAAAATTTGCAACCAAATGGTGAAAAAAAATACCATACGAGGCTAACAACAAGAAAAATTGCTAAATCATTGTAAACATTTGCATGGTTCTGCAACCTCTTGAATCTTCTAATGGCTTTGCAAACTATGTATTTGTCAGGTCAGGTCCGTATCATTGTTGCTGCCACACATAGACGTCACTATAAATTTGCGCTACCTACAAATTAGGGCTATAGACCTCTATATTTTATTCTGTAAATTTTTCTTTTTTTCTCTGTCTCGTCCCGCACAATCATTCAGAAACAAAAGAATTATTTTTCAGAACGGAAACATCTTCACATCCTTCTACATCATCCACTAACCTACATCTATCAACAATGGCTCCAATTGTATGTATGCCCACTCAACCCTAGTCCGTTGCAGTGTGTACCACTCACGCATGCAACAAACTCCACCTTCGAGTATTCAACAAATGACAAAAAAAGAAAATGAAAGAAAGTTGGAACTCCCATACTAAAATAAATTCGGGCTGAAGAAAACATACCTAGGAAACGAAGATTGTCGTGTGTTATCTTGACGACGATGATACGCCCTTTTCTCATATCCCCGAAAGAGTGGAAAAAGGAATATTTACAACGAAACCTATTGTTAACTCAAGAGAAGAATCATTGAAACGCCGATGGTTTAGTTATTGGTGTTTTTTTTTCTTGATCATCTCAACTCCCCGTTTTTTTTTATACGATGGGAGGGAAAGCTTTGCTGTCGAATACTCTAGTTTTGAAAAAGGAAATTGTGCAATGTTAGTTACAGCTGCATCTGCCAATTCTTTTTTTTCAAATCGAGGACTAGGTGTATTTCTATACAAGTGCGGTAGGCTAACCTTTCTAACTTATTTTTTTTCTAGACTACTAAGAAATCCAAATCTGCAAAGAAATTCGTCGTTGACACTTCAGCTCCAGTTGAAAATGGTGTCTTTGACCAAGAAGGTTACGTCAAGTACCTTGTTGAGCACATCAAGGTTGACAATATCGTTGGTAACTTGGGTGACGAAATTTCCGTCACTTCGGAAGGAAACAAGGTTGTTGTTGTTTCAAACACCAAGTTTAGTGGTAAATACTTGAAGTACTTGACCAAGAGATACTTGAAGAAGAACCAAATTAGAGACTGGATTAGATTTGTTGCTGTTAAACAAAACCAATACAGATTGCAATTCTACTCGGTTGCTGAAGATGATGAAGAAGAAGATGAAGAGTAAATTTAGAAGGGCAAATCTAATTTGAACTTTCGACTTTTTGCTTTTGCTATTTTTTTTTGTTCTATTAAGGAGATACGGGGTTACCATAACATAGGTTTTGTATAAATATTACTAATATTCACTTTCGGAACAAAGAGTGTAACTGATTGTAAGGATTTGAATGTCTCTGTAGTGTTTTTGTAGTTGAAATGAAAATGGAAGTGGTGATGTTTGCGCTACCGCTGCGAAAGAATGACAAACCAAAAAATTAGATCATCAACTCAAGTCCCAACTCTGCTTCTATCCATCATTCTCATCAGTCATTTCATTGACAACACCATCTACACTCCACCATGGAATTGCTACCTGAGGGACAACGAAACACAGCCACCGAGGTCAGTTGGGAAGACCAACAGAAAATCAATAAATTCTCCACGATAATATCGAAGAAAGATCAACAACAAGCAATACTAGAGAAATTGAAAACCGAAAAGGAGTATCTTGACGATTTGTCAACCGAGTTGGAATTGCTAGATGAGGACGAATTGGTACAGTACAAGATTGGCGATGGATTCGTGTTTATAAAGACTAGTAAAGCCTTGAGCAAGATTGAGGCTGATGATGAAGCGATTTCGGAAAAGATTGAGCGTGTTGAAGAGTTGATAGATGGGTTTGATGAACAATTGGAAGAGTTGAAGAAGCATTTATATGGCAAGTTTGGAAACAATATCAACTTGGAGAGATGAGAGTGTGCAGGGGAGAGGAAGAGTCATGTGTGAAGTGGGGAAGATGCAAGGATGTTGTAGTGTTAAGCTGCTTATACAGACATTGAGATAAGCATATGTGCTGAAAAAATAGACTAAGATATGTATCTATATATAGACTAGCTCATATCAAGATAATGTTCATAACTGAGGGATGTCTTATCCTGAAGTGTATTGTATTCACGGCATCTAAATGCATATGATTACTCAATTTGGACAAAAGACCCCCCTCCTCCTCCTCTTGATACTACAAGAAAATCTCAAATTACACTACACCAACTCCGGACACCAATGATGGAGTTTTAAATCAGTGCTGTCAGTTAGGAAGCAGAATCCTTCTCATATACGTTGTTTCCAACTTAAATGTTTCGTCTAGACTCTATGATATCTTATTACTCTTTTGGTTATGAGTAATTTTCATATGCATCATGTGACAAATGTGAAATGGAAGAAGACAAAGACGAAAAGAGAGAGAAAGAGAGAAAGAGAGAATGAGAGAGAGAAAAAAAATATCTCCAACAATTTTCGTGTAAACATATATATATATATATATCAACAGGGTATTTTCTCTTAATTATTATTCAATCTTTCTCTTCACTAAGTAACACCCACCCACCATCTTTTGTACAAAACTATGGCAGACTCATCAGAACCAAACCCCTTCCTTGTATTTGCCACTGTTGCTACAATCATAATCTCAGTAGTTAGCTACTACTTTTTCCAATTATCAAAAAGAAACCATTCCAAACCAGCATTACTCCCAGATCAATTCCAAAAATTCCCATTGCTCAGCATTACTAAAGTTTCACACAACTCGGCAGTTTATAGATTTGGATTACCAAGACCCACTGACACTTTGAACTTGCCAATTGGACAACACATTTCTATTGGTGCTATTATTGATGGTAAGGAAATTGTTAGATCATATACTCCAATCTCGACTAGTGATCAAAAGGGGCACTTTGACTTATTGATCAAGACATATGAAAATGGTAATATTTCCAAGCATGTTGCTCTGAAGAAGGTTGGTGATTTTGTTGAAATTAGAGGACCAAAGGGGTTCTTCACCCATACACCAAATATGAAAAAGACATTTGGTATGATTGCCGGTGGTACTGGTATTGCACCAATGTATCAAATCATCACTGCTATTTTGAACAACCCAGAAGATAATATCAAGATCTCGTTACTTTATGCCAATGTCACCGAAGATGATATTTTGTTGAGAAAGGAATTGGAAACATATGCTGCTAAACATCCAGATAGATTGAAGATTCATTATGTTTTGAACCAGCCACCAGCCAACTGGGAATACTCTACTGGATTTGTCACCCCAGAATTGATTGAGAAGCATTTACCCAAACCTTCTGATGACACCACGTTGTTGTTATGTGGACCGCCACCAATGATTAGTGCTATGAAGAAGGCGGCTCATTCCTTGGGTTACGAAAAGGCTAAACCAGTATCCAAGTTGGGAGATCAAGTGTTTGTATTTTAGAGGAAGAGTGTGTGCTTGTGACAGTACTTTGTTAGACTAGAGTACAGTTAATACATATATAGATCTGAGTAGTTATAAAACTATAAAGTGATAATCCATTGATAAATATATATATATATAAGTAGGATATACGGTATAAGATGCACTTTATACGATAGCACAATTCGTGTGTGTGTGTGTGTCTGTGTGTGTGTCTGTGTGTGCTACCAATTGATTTGTCAAATGACCCAATTCGCTGTAAATTGAGCACAAAGATGTATTTAAACACCGTCGGATATATAAATGGAGAGACAAACAAAAGAAATTCCATAAATAATCATCATCACTGAAACCAATTGATATACATATATATATATATACAACAAAACAGTCCCTTTTCCGTTACCTTATTCTTTCTTCAATAACTACAGTCGTTTGGTTTCTACTTATACTGACTACTCATACACATCCTCATTCAACAACACCCAGCCAGCAGTAACTTCAGATACAATTTCTACGCATTTCATTACTTTGTTGCTTTACTGTATTTAGCAAATCTACTTCACACGTGCGTCAACATCAATCACTGTTTACACACACACACACAATGCTATTACACCTATTATCACTACTAGTCCTCACTGCGCCTACGATTCTATGTCTGGACCACTACTTTGATGTCTCGGGAGACGGGAAAGATAGCTACATTCTACAAGCAATACAAGACCAAGATAAAGAGCTCAAGATTGACAATATCTTGCGCAACCCACTAAAGTACAAAGATTTTCCTCCTTTGGTCAGTGAACCAAAAAAGTCGCAAAGAACTTTGGAACAAGGACATATACCGCAATACGTAATAGACTACGCGCCTTTGGTTCATTTATACAGTGAAGAAAGATATCTTCCTTACGACATTGGCGAATACGTCACCAATTTCCATGTAACGTTTGAGAATGGATCAGTCTATCCTGGCACTGAAACTGACATGAATTTGGACAAATTATCTAAACTCAAACACACTTCGGACTTGTTTCTAACATCAAACTCGGATTTTGATAAGGATCCCGATTGGATCACTGGCGTAAAGAACAAACCTAATTTGATAAATGGCGAGATCAAAAATGCTCCAGCAACTTTGATTGTTGTCGACAAGGGGTTTGGATGGGTTGATGCATACTGGTTCTACTTCTATTCTTTCAATTTGGGTCCCTTTGTTATGGGTCAGGGACCTTATGGCAATCATGTGGGAGATTGGGAACATTCATTGGTTAGATTTTACAAAGGTGAACCAGTTATCGTTTGGATGTCGGCACATGGTGGAGGCGGTGCATTTTACTACCATAATTTGGAGAAATATGCGCTTGACCCAAGGCATCCAGTCATTTTCAGTGCTAGAGGAACTCATGCCAACTACCCCAGTGTAGGCCAACACCCTCACGACTTACCATATGATATATTGAGTGACTTTACTGATCGTGGTCCATTGTGGAACCCATCTAGAAACTACCTTGGATACACTTATGATGGTAAACACGTGTTTCCAGCAACCAACAACTCAAATCCAAGACATGTTGGTCGTGAATGGAGGTACGGAAACTGGCTAGCTTTTAAGGGGCATTGGGGTGATAAGCAATTGCCCGATGACGACAAGAGACAAACGTACTCCTTCATTGGCGGTCACAAGTACATCAATGGCCCCACAGGACCCCTTATGAAAAACTTGCTCAGAGTCGTGCCTTGCGAACGTGCCAAATGGTGGAATTTTTGGAGTGGGTGCAATGTGAGACAAAATATCAAGTGGGGAGTAGGTATAGAGAGTGAGGGATACAATTGTGGCAACTTGTTTGTCAAGGTTCGTCCTAGATGGTTAAAGACGATATTACAGAAAGTCACTTGGGGTGGTGGATTTTGCTACATTGTGGATTTACTTTACGGCTGAGCTGAAGGTGTTGATTACCCTTAGTTTGATTTTTGATTTTATTTATTTCGTTGACCTTTTTAATAGGCTTGGGTCCATATAGCACCGTGTGATTGTTTTGTTTCCAAGTGTGGTTAGAGTAATAGATGTTGGCTTTGGTAGTAATAACAGTAACGCATAATTGGTTTTTCTTATCCAATGCTTGTATAACTTTGTATTTATATTCCTTGATACTTCGCTTGTCTCTCTGAAAGAGCCGAGACAAGGGAAGGCAGAAGACAAAAAAAAAATTATTTACAGTTGATTAAAGCCGTGCTTTATTACCTTTCCACATTGCTTTCGATACATGTCAACTCATCATCCCTCCTTCGGTTCATCTGGTGGAATAGGAAGCGTTTTCAAGTCACTAACTAAGTCATTCAAACCAGCCTCATTATCCTCATCCTCCACATCCAGAAATGTTCCCGTCACAATCAACCCAACCGTTGTTGGAGGTGATCAAAACTTGCAAAAAATATTGAACCAACTACTATCGGACTCCAGCTCGCCTCCAGTCCAGCTAGACGCACTAGAGCAGCTCACTGAAAGTATTGAGCGGTTTTCGCTATCATCAATACAGGAAATATGGTACATGGTACGACATTTTTGCGACCCAAAGCAACCACGCAATGTACGACGACAGGCTTTCAAATTGTGCATTGTTTGTATTGAAAGAGACGATAATTCCATTGGGGCCAGGGCCCGTTACTTTAGTGATATTTACAAGTGCACTCAGTTTACCTTGGGCCATTTTGATCCTAAGTTTAAATTGATTTTGAGAGCTTTATGTATCTTGTCCAAAGATGGGCATGATGTTCATGATTTTGTCATATATGAGGACCGCAGGAACTTGAGTAGATGGTTTACAAAGGGAATCGATACTCTTGTTTCAGTCTCAAGTGAAAAACAGAACCAAATGAATGAGGTACAAGTTGGCAATTGCGTAGACTTGTTGCACTTTATCACCAACTGTTTGAAGTTTAATTATGCAACCCTTATTGATTTCGCCTTGTCAAGTGTGCCAAAGTTGGGCTTGGTAAAGACAACGAATGAGGAGCTTCTTGGTGCCATTGTTAATTTCATCAGTTGTTTGACTTCATTTCGGAAATTGGCAAGCGACAACATATCTCAAATTGTGGGGTACTTGGCATTTGCGCATGAGCAATCGACAAATTCAAACTTGAAGAAACAAGCCCTTGAATCACTTGAAAATATCTGTGATGAGAGTACATCGTTGTTTGTGTGCACTGTCCTTTGCAATCAAATTTCGGACCCGTCACTTAAACAACTTTCTCAAGTGAACCATCTTGATTCAGCTATAACCGCATGCCTTGGATCCTTGGTCTTGATAGAGCTACTAAGGATTAAGCTCCGATTTGAAAAGAATAAGCTTGAATTCCCACTGTTCCTTTACTTACGTTCACTCTTGGATGCATTGCATTTGAAGATACCGTCGATCAATGAAAGAGTATTGCGGATAATGGCAAATGCATTCACGGGACTGCTTTACAATGAGTATGTTGACACGGACTCAGCTGGTGTATTTGACAAGATTTTCCCATTTCAGATTTGGTACTGTGAAGAATGCTCTTTGTTCGATGTGCTTGAAGCTATACAGATTGATGGCGATGATGATAGACAGTTGATGCAGGGCATATGCAATTCGGTAAAAAACTTGTACCAAGCCCATGCTTTGATGATTGCCAAGGACAAAATGATGAATTTCTTTGTGGAAGAAAGTGCATATATTTCACAAGAGGTTGCATTGTTTGTATTACAATGCTTCCAGGATGAAAAGAGTTGTACATTGTTGAACCCATTATGGCATGACGTCTCGTTGCGATTATTGAATCATTTCTACTATGCAGATCAAACTGTTGAAGTGAAGATAAAGTGTATTGGCGTTATTTATGAAGCCTTCAAGACGTCAATGCTAATATTTGATGCCAAAAGTTACAACTACGACATCTTTATCAATATCATGCAACATTCAATTGGTGAAACTGATGAAAGCTTGCTCGACTATTTATGTCGGGATGTTTTGACTACTCTACTCGCTGAATCATCATCCGATATTTTTTTTGAGTTCATGTCTGTGTTGAAAGCATTGTTTGAAAAGAAGCAAACTCCACGTAATGAAATAATCATGCCAAGGGGATACATAAGCCCCAAGCCAGCTCAACCCAGAGACAAAGCATCGCTCGCATTCTTGGTCAACGCGTGTAAAGCCATTTGCACCACCTTTACCATTTCCCTGGCGTCGAGAAAGGAAGACTGTTACAACGTGTTGGTTTCTATTGCCAATGCAACTCAACATGGAGAAGTTTTGTTAACAATTGCCAAATGTCTCATAAGGCTTAGAGTTACCGCCGAAAACTATGTGTACCTCACACACCCACACGATATGGTGGGATTGGCATCCGCATTTAAAAGAGACAACGTTGCTCCAACTGCAGGTCAGTTGTGGACGTACCCTGAATCAGTTGACTATATTCCCCATCACCACCTCGATAAACCAAGGGAGAACTTGCAAATTTCAACTGGTAAGATTGTAGCTGATCAAAATCTGGAGATTTACTTTATTGATATTAGGAAGTGGTTTCATGTGGTTTTGCACATTGTGAAGAATTTTGTTGAATGGGAGGTTTACTCATACGTTTGGGCGCATTTTTGCTCACAATTATCCAACATGCACTTATTTATGAATTGTGAAGATGAGATACTTGAATTTAAATCCATCGTGTGTGACCAACTAACTTTGAAATTGCCTCCAGAGTTGGTATTTCCAAAGAATGGCGATCTCTCCAAAGCCGACTTGCAAGTTGCTTTAGTTAGAACGTTTTCTGCGCTTATTGGCTACCATGACTTGTTCCTGAAGGCAGATGAAGATCAAATAACGTCGAGTTTGATATTTGGATTGGGGTCTTGGGAAAAAACGGCAATTCCTTGTATAAACATTCTCACTATATGCTGCTATGAGATTCCATTGTCGATCAAGAAATATCTCACTTTGATCTTGACGAAATTGCAAACGCGAGTCACCAGTGCAAATGCAAGTACGCATACTTTGGAGTTTCTAAGTTCTTTGGTACATTTACCGGTTTTGGTTTCCGATTTCACGATGGAAGAATTTAAGCGTGTTTTTGGGATTGCATTCAAGTATATCCAGTATGCAAAAGACACTGAATTGAGAAACCCGGACCAGCTAGTTGTGCCCCGTGTGCAACAGCATGGTGTTGACGCCGAAGTGGAGGTGGCGCCATCGACAACGACCAAAGGTGTTTCTTCATTTATGCTGCAGTACATCCTCATCCTTTCATACAATGTGATTTCGAGTTGGTTTTTGAAGATTGAAATGAGTGAACGCAAGAAAATTTCCTCGTTTTTGATAAAGCAGCTAATTGCATCGGACGAATTGAGTACACTGCAGAAACTTGGTGACCATACAATTGGGTTCCTTGATTTCCTCAGGAAATTTACATTTAGTGATTTACCGTTGAAAATAGTCAACTCTACACACAGCAAGAAAACTAGTGCTGGTGCAGTCGATGATGAAGATGAACGTACTGTTTTGCATCGGTGGATGGTGGGGTGTTCGGTGGTTAGCATTGGAACTGAAGTACATCTGGGCGACACCGAGATACTAATTAGGAAACCTACTGGCGTGAGCAAATTGACTGTACAATTGGACCATAGAACTGAAGTGCGCAAAGCCTCACCGGCCGTTATCGATCCCAATTATTACTTGTTGCAGTTGTTTGATTCGAAGGTGAAGCCGATCCCCATGGTCGAAGATAGTGTCATCTCACGAGGATTATCGGTATTGGACCGAATCCCAAGTGTCGAGTTTCACAAGATTGGTATTGTTTACATTGGCCAAGGGCAATCTAGTGAAAATGAAGTATTTTTAAACAAGTTGGGCTCGTTGGACTATCTCAAGTTTTTGGACAAGATTGGACATCTTGTGAGGTTGAAGCATAATAGGTCCATATATACGGGTGGACTCGATATTGAATCTGATTTGGATGGGGAATACGCTCGATACTGGAGTAATAAATTAACCCAAGTGATCTTTCACGTGACTACAATGATGCACCGTCAAGATTCGACAAGTATAGGTATTGATGATGGGATATTGTCAAGTACCACTATTGAGAAACAAAAGGTTATAGATTTGAAGAAACGACACATTGGTAATAATTATGTCAATATCTTTTTCGACGAATCGGGGAATCAAGACTTTAATTTCAATTTGATCAAGAGTCAGTTCAATTTTTTGAATATTGTGGTTTCGCCGCAAACAGTCCAGACCAAGAATACCACGTCATACTTGTATTCCTTGCATCAACACCAACAACAACAACAACACCAACACCAACAGCAGTCGCTTCTGGTACATAAAGAGCGAAAATTTTTCAAAGTCAAGACGTATAGACGAGTTGGGGTTCCCGCGATTTTTGCAACTTGCCATTTCAAACTTGTGAGCGAGGATCAATTGCCGTACCTTGTGAGAAGTGTTGCCATTTTAGCCAGTGAGTTTGCCAATGTATGGCATGCTAGCGACTTATCAGGGAAGTACGTCACCAATTGGACACAAAGAGTCAAACAGTTGCGATTGCTTTACGATAAATCAGTGGACTCTGTCAACAAGGAAAAAGAGCAAGATGCGTCATCTGAATCGTTTGAAGAATCGGCATTGGCAGAGTTATACAACTCATTCGAATTTAATTCTTATACATTATAGTAATAAAGAAAAAAGACATTAAATGGATTATACGTTGCCATACTTTTCTTTCTAGTCTTCCTTTGCTTCATCCTTTTTCAATTCAGCTCTCTCCAATTGCCTGCTCCTATCGAAATACAAATTTGGATGATTAATGTGTTCTAATTGGGGTGGAACCTGGCCCTGTCCCCTTGCTGCATTCATGATTTGCTTTTGATGTGTCAATTCAAACACTTTGGTGCATGCAATTGTGTAATCATGATTATTCACATTGTCCATGATTGAATTCATATCTTGTTGATTCTTGATCCCCATTTCTTCAAGACTGGATCGCAATTGCAGTTCAGAGTAATCACGATACGGACATCCATGGTATTCTTTTGGACCTGGTTTAGGTTTACTCAAGATTGTCGCACAATCCCATGGCTTATAATTGATTCTTGCACCTTCAAGCCCGTATTGGTGTCGAATATTATACTTGTACTCTTTATTGAAAGTTTCTTGTGTCATGTTGCCGTTCTTTGTGAATTGTTGAGTCCAAAATTTGATTGCTTCGTCAACATTCAACCCGATCCCCTTCAAGAAAATACCCAATTGTTGACGACCCAAGTATTTCAAATGGGAATTAGCCATTAAATTTCGTTGCAAGTGGGTTGCACAAAGTGGGTAATGGGACATGATTTGTTTCGATGTGATTGATAATGCATTGATATCGGATGCAAGTTCACTATTCATGTCCGTCTCGTATTGAAAGTTGGAAAAATTGCGTGACAAGTGGTTGAGCAAAGGCAAAAGTCTGTCATCCTCCTCCAATCTAGGAATGGCTTGAAAAGTCTTGATCAAGATATCGTTCAAGCTCTCTTGAAATTCTGCAGCCAATAAATTCAATTGCAAACTTGTTGGCAAGTATGCATTACCTGCTTGCAAATAAACAGATCTAGATGAAACCAATGGACTAAGTTTTTCAAATGGCAACTTTATAAAGTTTTCCTTGGTGATCATCAACTGCTTGATTTGATCATTAGTTAAAGTAGTTTCACCATCCGACGCATAATGTTGTTTCAACATTGGACTGCTGGCAGCAAAGAGTTTATCAATTAATTCCATCTTTTCTTCTCTTGAAATGTAAGACCATGATAATTTGTACAGGTTCAACTCAATAAACTCTTGCTGTTCTTTAGGTTGCAATGAATTGTACCTGATCCTAAACAATATCGTCTCATTCTTGATAAACTTTTTCCTCAACTCTTCAGTTCTACAAAACACCAAGCGGAGGATAAAATGACTATAATAGTCCTTCATACGTTCTTGAATAAGCGTCTTTTCATCTCCATTGGGGCTTAATGGTAGGTACTTGAGCAAAAGTGGTTTCAAAGCAAGTTCAACATCCTTCTGAGACGAAGATCTAGCAACACAAGATTCAATCTCAATGAGTATTTTCAACCTATCAATAGCCCATTTCTCAAACTCTTCCAATGTAATCTCTTGATTTGGTGGTAAATCATAAAACGACAATCTTGATGAGTATAATTTCGGTAGGGTGTATTCGGCTGTGGGTGAAGAGGTCTTGTCCTCAAAGTTTCTTCTACCAGCCGTCCTTCTCTTTACTTGTCTAAACATCTTTTCTAAAGAAATACAAGGGGTCTGTTCAGTGTAATGAGCAAAGAGTATGGTCTGAAGTTGAGCTGCAGTAAGAAACTGGTTTGTTGTTGTTGTTATTTTTTTTTGAATATGAATAAATGAAAATAAACATAAAATACGCGTCTTTCTTTCTCTGTTTATCTGTTTTACAATTTCTCAGTGTCGCGTTGCAGAAATTTACGTCATTACACCGCGTGATTCTTTATATATGTATATATATAAATATAAATAAATGTAAATGTCATAAAACTGTATTTTACGACAGTGTACAATAATACAAAATAAACACACGACATTGGCACTTTTCCATTTAATTGTTGAAACCTCCAAAAAAAAGAAAAAAAAGTTTTTTTACAACTGCAAAAGAGAGAATTTCCCCTAGATATATCACGCGTTTGAAATTCATCATCAACTATAACAACCAGTTTTGATCTATCATTGCTTAATCATTATTGAATATTTGTAGCACTGCACATATTGCTTAAGCTTTTCCAAGACTACTACTACTACTACTACAACTGCTATATTGTCTTACGCGATGACGGATGTTCAGATTGACGCCAACTTGTTTTACAAGAGGTTGGCCATATTGCAGAAAACACTAGAGGATGAGTCAATCCCACAAGGATTGGTCATTGTTGGTGCTCGTAATGACGACAACACGTACAAGAAATCAACGGTTTTACAGAATTGGCTATTAGGGTACGAATTTGTTCACACAGCAATTTATGTGTCGCCCACAAGATGCATTTTCATTACGTCGGAAGGAAAAGCAAAGTACTTGAAAGGTTTGACCAATAAGCCAGACACTGTTGAATTGTGGACTAGAACCAAAGATCCAGAGAGAAATAAACAGTTGTTTGTCGATTTGATCACTGACATGAAGAAGGTTAGTGATGAATATGGCACTGTTTTGAAGGACAAGTATGAAGGCAAATTTGTTGAGGAATGGACTGACGCAAGTAAAGAGTCCGGGTTCAGAGTAGTTGATTTGGCATTGACATTATCCAAAGCAATGGAGATCAAGGATTCGGAAGAGTTTGAAAATACTAAAATTGCTTCCAATGCTAGTGTGGCTATGATGGACACATTTGTTAATGACATGACTGCTATTGTTGATGAAGACAAAAGAGTGACAAACTCTCAATTGACCGATCAAATTGAGGACAAAATCGATAACAACAAATGGTACTTGCGGTCCAAATTGGGTAAAAGTTTACTTCAACCGATAAAAGGTTTCGATCCCGAGTTTTTGGAATGGTGTTACTCACCAATCATTCAAAGTGGCAGTGAATTTGACTTAAAGCCAAGTGCGGTTTCTAATGAGAAGGTGTTGGTTGGTGACGGTGTCATCTTGTCCTCGATTGGTTTGAGGTACAAATCATATTGTGCCAACGTTGGAAGGACATTTCTAATTGATCCATCGAAAGAGATGGAAAACAATTACAACTTTTTGTTGAAATTGCAACAATATGTCACCACTGAATTGTTAAAGAGTGATGTCAAGGCAAGTAAGGTGTATCAAGATACTTTGGAGTACATCAAAAAGGAAAGACCAGATTTAGTAGACAAATTCCCCAAGAACTGTGGTTGGTTGATTGGAATTGAATTCAGAGACTCTACTTTTATCTTGAATGCTAAATCGGAAAGAGTCTTGACTGATGGCCAAATAATATCCCTAACTCTTGGATTCCAAAACTTGCCAAACAAGGACAAGACATATTCCATTCTTTTGACAGATACGTTCAAAATCAGTGTCGATAAGCCCATTTTGTTGACAAATTATCCCAAAGCACAGCTGGAGGTGTCATTTTATTTTAATGATGAAGACGAAGTGAAGAAGAGCTTTAAACCTGAGAGAAAACCAGCTGAGAATCTTGATGGATCACATAAAACAAGACACCAAAATGTCAATGAGGATGACAAGAATGCTGAAAAGATTAGACAAGAAACGCAATTGAAGTTGCATGAAAAGAGGACTGAAGAAGGGTTGGCAAGATTCTCCAAGGCTGATGCCACTGATGCATCAGACTACAAGCCAATATTCAAGAAATATGAATCATATGTACGTGAGTCCCAGATCCCAAGCAGTGTCGCAGATTTGAAGATACACATTGATTACAAGAACCAAACAATCATCTTGCCAATCTCAGGAAGACCGGTGCCATTCCACATCAATGCTTACAAGAGTGGGTCCCAAAATGAAGAGGGAGACTATACTTATCTTAGATTAAACTTTAATTCTCCTGGAGCTGGAGGTAACGTCACCAGGAAAGCAGAATTACCGTATGAAGACTCGCCTGATAATACATTCTTGAGATCCATCACTGTCAGATCTAAAGATCGTGATCGTATGGTTGATGTTTTCAAAGCAATTCAAGATTTGAAGAAGGACTCGGTAAAGAGAGAGCAAGAGAAGAAACAAATGGCTGATGTTGTTACTCAAGCAAATCTTGTTGAATTGAAAGGGTCGAGAGTGAAGAAGTTGGAGAATGTGTTTGTGAGACCTACGCCTGAGACGAAAAAAGTGGGTGGTGTGTTGCAAATCCACGAGAATGGGTTGCGTTATCAATCCAGTTTCAAAATGGATCAAAAGATTGATGTTTTGTTTTCCAACGTGAAAAACTTATTTTTCCAACCATGTAAAGATGAATTGATTGTTCTTATACATTGTCATTTGAAAAATCCAATTATGATTGGTAAGAGGAAAACATTTGATGTCCAGTTCTATCGTGAGGCTAGTGATATGGCGTTTGATGAGACTGGAGGCAGGAAGAGAAAGTATAGATATGGGGATGAAGATGAATTGCAACAAGAGCAAGAGGAGAGAAGAAGAAAAGCATTGTTGGATAGAGAATTTAAGCAATTTGCTGAGCTTATTGCTGATAGTTCAAATGGGCTTGTTGATTTAGATATACCATTTAGAGAATTGGGTTTCCAAGGTGTACCATTCAGGTCGTCGGTTTTGTGTATCCCAACAAGAGATTGTCTTGTGCAGTTGATTGATCCACCATATTTGGTTGTGGCCTTGGAAGAAGTTGAAATTGCCCATTTGGAAAGAGTTCAATTTGGACTCAAAAACTTTGATTTGGTATTTGTGTTTAAAGATTTCGCCAAACCGGTTGTTCATATCAACACCATCCCCATGGAAACACTTGAGGATGTCAAGAACTGGTTAACTGACGTTGACATTCCAATCAGTGAAGGTCAAATGAATTTGAATTGGGCTCAAATTATGAAGACAGTTCAGGCTGATCCTTATCAATTCTTTTTAGATGGTGGATGGTCATTCTTGACTGGTACTGGGGAATCGGACGAAAGTGAAGAAGATGAACAAGAAAGTGAATTTGAAGCTAGCGACGAAGATCCGCAAGATGAAAGTGACGTAAGTGAAGAGTATGGTAGTGAAGAAGAAAGTGATTTTTCAGGAAGCGGAAGCGGAAGTGGAAGTGAAGCTGAGAGCGAAGAGAGTGGTGAGGATTGGGATGAAATGGAGAGAAAAGCTGCCAAAGCCGATCGACAATCAGCATTTGACTGAGAGGGAAATACTTCTGGAAGACGGTAAATCGTAATAAATAAAGAAACATCTGTGAAAAGAAAAAGAAAAAGAAGAAAAACAGTGAACGAAAGAAAGTAACATCTCTATAGTTTTCTATTGCGGAGATGACTTCTCTATGACAAATCAATCGACAGCCACATGTCCTTAAAGTTCCACCAAGAGGCACCAGAACCACAAAGTCCAACCCAGAATGGGGTCAAGCATCCATCTCTCAAACACCAATGCAATACCAAGGGCAATTGTATAACATTCTTGAACAACGAGATTTGCCAAGACTTGTTACCCCATTTACTAACAGGAGTTCTTCTCAACATCTCGGCAATTTCAATTAATAAATAAGCACCCCAAACACGACAACACCAGATATAAGTTTCAATGCACCAATAGTTGTTATCACCAGTCCCGACCCAATCGTGATCGGTCAACCATCCGGCATTTTCAAACAATTCCAAAACGATACAGTTTAGGGCTTGGATCATATTGACAAAACGATCAAATTTGGGTGTTGCTGCACTGGGGTTGCGCCAGGAATGGTATTCGTCAATTAGCCACGGCATGTACTTGATTGAGTCTGTCAATCTGTTGAAAATCCTCACGTCGGCCAAGTACAGATTGATTTTTTTCAAATGGTATGCCAAGTTTGATGGTTTTTGTTGTGACTCTGGTGTTGGTTGAGGCTTAGGCTGGTTGAGAGCTTTGACATTGGATGTGTCGATGTTTACTTTGTTGGCTCCCACTTTGACCAATTGTAGTAATTTGTATTGTTGACGACGTAAGAAATCACGAATTTGATACTTGTTGTTGAGGATTGATGAAATTAGTAATGAAAAGTAACAGATGAAATACAAGTTTTGGTCTACTGTTGATGTCTTGCTCAAGACTTTGTCGTTGATCTCTTGGTAGAATTTCCTGCTGAATATGGACTTCTGCAAGAGATGGTTTAATTGAAGGAGTAGTTGTAATGGGAGTGTCTTTGTTGTTCTTGGTTTGTGTGGGGGTGGTGACATTGCTGAAATCGCCAATAAGCTCGTCATCCCTTCTTGCTGTATGTTTATGTAGTAGTAGGGTTTTCTAAACTGTGTGGTAGAATATATTTCCGTCACTTCTTTCTCCTCCGAAGATGCCTTCTAGAGGAAGTTTCGTTGATTATATATTAATTGAACTGTGGGGGGGTAATGTTCTCTTTTTCCCAATTCTTTCAAATTTTTGAGAAAGAAAAAGAAAAAGAAAATGCGCTTAAGTTGATTGCAACTTTATTTTCTTTCTCTTTTACCCTCGGTCCAACTGCACACTAGCTATACAGTTAGATATATACACACTTCACAGAAGGTGTACATCGACAAGATATATATGGCTTTACATTTCACCCTTTTCAAGTAGCACGTCTAGTAAAACACAAACAGTAAAATATGCATTTTAAAAAAAAATAAAATATATAGTACACAAGCATTCTAAAACAGAGCTTCTATTTCTTAGGTGGATATGGCAAGTCTGGTATTCCATCAGAAGACCTTAGGCTTGAGACATTTTGAGCATGTGGATGTGACAATTGACTCTTTAATTGCTCAAGTGAGATTCCCTCTTTCCTGGCATACTCTTCTCTAGCATGCTCGTCAGCAGAGCCAACTGTTTCCAAAATCAATTCATTGATCTTTTCAACATCATCATTCACTTGTGGTAGTGCCAAATTCAAAATGACTCCAATGAAACCAGTAATGGCAAAACCAGTTTCCATCACCAACACAATGGCATTGAAAAATCCCTTCAATGACTCGTTATCACCTGAGTAGGTGAAAACATGACTAAACCAATCAGGAACCAATGTTGAACCCAAACCGGGAACTAATGCTGCCGTCAAGATAAATCTATCTCTTCTTGTGAACTCGGTTCCTGATATAATCTTGATACCGGAAACAGTCACTGAGCAAAACAAAAACGTAGTCATACCACCAAATACCGGCTTGGGGATGGAAATAATGGCGCCAGCGAATTTACTGAAAATGCCCATAACCAACAAGAAAAACACACACCAGTAACCGACAACCTTGTTTGCACATTTGGTGATAGCAATAACACCGTTGTTTTGAGCAAATACCGACATCGGAGTGACTGTCATTAGACCTGCTAATATACCATTGAATCCATCTGCCAATATTCCTCCTTGGATTCTAGATTCATAAAGTTCGCCCTCAACTTCCAAACGAGATACATCTGAGGTTGCTGTGATGTCACCAATCGACTCCATCATCAACACCAAGTAGACGGCCAAGAATGGCAAAACGATAGGACCATATACTTTCAATTTAAATGTCTTGACCCAAATGAAGCTTGCTGCTTTAGCAGCATCAATTTGACTAGAATCAAAGTACCCACAGGCAGCGGCAACAATACAACCAACGAGCAATCCCAAAATAACTGCACAACTCTTCATAATTGGTGACCCAAACTTTTCAAACAAAATGATGGAAACATAAACAAGGAATCCTAACCCAACAAAATTGGCTGAGCCCCAAGGTTTGGAAAACTTACCCATTGAACACGTTTCATCAACACAACCAGAGCCTCCAACCCAATCTTCCAATCCAGTTTCAACTAAATGAACACCAATCAACATAACAACGGGACCAGTAACCAATGGAGGGAAAATCTTTTGAAGAATCCTAGCAGGTAAAAACGACATCAATATTTCCAACAAGGCACACACTATACCAGTGGCTAAAATCATACCGTATCCATCAGGACAGGGCAATTTTGTTCCATCAGCCGCAGTGGGGCATACACCATTAGCATACATCATGGGGAACGCACTGGATGTGACAGTGATTGTGGCAAATGAGGGACCGACAACCGACAACAAACCAGTGCCCAAATGATATGGGGTTCCGTATATGTGGAAACGAGTGATTTGAATGATGGACAAGATACCGGAAACAATCAAAGATGTACTCACCAAGTATTCTTGTGTTTCTATTGGTAAATTTGCTGAAGCACTGATTAAAATTGGAGGAACAACCAAACCTGCCATCATTGCTAATGAATGTTGCAATCCTAGTATTGCTCCTAGAAGTAAAGGCATATCTGATTTGAGTCCAAAGAAGGGCTGTACTTTTGCTTCTCTTGACACAAATGGTATTTCTGGGGTAAACAAATATTTGTAGTCGTAGTCTCCTAGTATACCATCTTTGGTGGTCCATTTACGGAAAATCCGTTTCGTAGTCCTGGTAAAGTCAATCATCTTTGAACACTATGTATAGATGAGTTTATGAAAAAAATGGGTGTGTGTGTGTGTGGTTTTGCAGGTTTGATTACTGTTGAGATCTTCGTATCTTATTGCGAAAATGGAAAACTCCTGGATAACAATGTTGGGAAAGGTGGTGTGTATTTATAAGCCAGATTTGTGGAACTGGTACGTTTATGTAGATCGAGAGTGTATACGTATCTATTGTCTAATCCAATGCGATGTAATATGGTTTGTTATCTTTTGTGATGGATCTATCCGAAAGGCTAATTTCAAGGCGTTGATAAAGAAACTGGAAAAAGCCTTTAATAAATTGAATTAAATTAAAATAAAATAAAATAAAAATAAATTAAAAAATAAAAAAAAAATTAAAAACTTTTGCAGAGATAACGAAAAATGCTGCAAGTTAAGTTGAATATATACAGACTCAAGATAATAAAAAATAGTTTTTTTAACTAATTTTTTCTCAGTTCTGCAATGTGCCAGCAAACGTGATAATAACTGCATTATTATTACAAGGGATGAAAAGGATTACAAACCTAGTTTGCATTGTGTTTATCTTTGCCAAGTTTCAGTTGCTTAGCTTTTGTACTGCGGGAAATAATGATCCTTTTTCTTTCCTTATTGTCTATTGTTGTTATATTTGGCGATGAATATCCAATTTGACGGATAATATCTTATCAGAGAAACAATCCAAGTCAATAAATAATATGAGACGAGAGATGCCACAAATTTGCTTTACTCAGCTCAGAGTTAGGGTTATGAGAGTAAGCGTGAGCTGATTTGCAGTCTATAAAAATGAAAATCCACAAACCAAACTTGCAGTTGAGAGAGGGGGGTTTGGTTTTGGTGCTGAAATGTGGAGATCGTAAACCATCGGCGGGGAGTCTATTATCTTGGTGTCATCTACATTTTTTTTTTGAATAAATAAGCGCTGTACTGCTTACCACTTTTGCTTCCCTCAAAATCAATAACAATCTCTCTAGCAAAAATAAAAGGAAATAGAGAGAAGCAAATGTACTCAACTTTGTGTGTGTGTAGTTGCCCTTCTTGTCGTCAAAATGTCTTTAAGCAAAGAGGCTTGTAACATTAAAGGCAATAAAGTGCAATGATGTATGCCTTGCAGACCTCTGTATTTTACTCATAATGCGCTTCTTTCTTTTTGTACCATAATCTTGTTTATCGTGTCTGATTGGAGAGAATGTTGCACTATCAATCGAGGATGCTACCAACTCCACTACTTAAAAAAGAACAGAAAAATGCCAAACAGAAAAGACAAAAAGAAAAGAAAAAAAAAAATTTCTTTTTTTCTTTTTTTTTTTTTGTGTGTCTCTACGGCGATATCCGAGATTTGGTTTACTGACACAAATCCACACAAGCTCTTTTAATTTTTTTCTTTTTTGTTTTTTTTTCAAATGCAAGATTACGTTGTTTCCATGTACTTTTTGGTGTTTACCATTGCGGCCCGCTAGATGTGGCAAAACCCAGCGTAATCATTCCCTGATCTAGAAATGCGCAAAAAACCTGGCCCTTAAGTCCGGTCTCTTGCGGTTTGCTTTTTACGCTATCAATCACATCAAATGGGGAAAGAATGAAGCGGAGAAACCACACACTGAGGAGAAGAAATGTCTATGACGTCGGTCTTACTGTGCCTCAGTGTTTCAATTACGAATAACAACTCCAGTTGAACCTCTTAGAACCCATTAGGGCAGCTTCTCTTATAGGAAATCAGACCCTTGTTCGCAGTTTTCATTAGCATCAACAGAAAGCACTCTGGGCATCACAATTCACACCAATGCAAATAGCTTATCTCTGATGTGTGTGGCCATGGGTTGTGGCTTGTATGACTCTCATTTGCAATAAACGGAGATGGCCGACGGCCTGCTATTTTGTCAATTATCGCACCCCTTTGACAATTAAAATTCTATCAAAGTACATTCTATGAAGTCTCCTATATTCTCCCCCTTCCCCCAATTCACCTAATTTGCTTCGGCGTTGGTTTTCTCTGACAACTTGGCTTGAGCGACCAAGTTAGCAGGTGCATCCATTCTCGCCAACATCACCTCCACCATTCTAATCTTATCTGGCTTAGCAAACGCCTTGTCCTGGAATAAATCATTCAACTCGCCAACAGTACCAATCCTCTTTGTTTCATAGTCTTTAGCATTGAACAAGGGCAAAAGCTGTAAATTGTTCCAAGGTTGAATATCATTATATGTGGCATTTTCTCCATGAATCAAACGCTCAATAGTATAACCATCATTGTTCAAAACAAACAAATAGGTGTTATTACAATTCCACCTACACATGGTGGAGATTTCCTGTACTGTCAACTGCAATGAACCATCACCAACAAACAAAATAACTCTTCTATTTGGATCAATTTCTTGTCCAGCCATAGCTGCCCCGCATGTGGCACCCACTGTGTAGCCAATAGAGCCCCAAAGCACTTGTGAAATACCAATGGTATTGTTTGGAAAACGTGACTGAACAATACCGAACGCCGAAGTACCAGTCTCAGTGACAATGATATCTCCCTCTCTGAACCAAGAGCTAACTTTAGTCCACAAGTATTCTTGAGTTAATGGTGTTTCTGGTGGAGCAGGAGAGTTGACCAACTTTTGCTGTGGTACAGGTGATGGCGTGTATGATGGACTGATTGAAGACGAAACTGTTTGCAACAATTTTTGCAAAGCTTCCTTCATTTGCACACCGGGAAAAGTAGCTTGTCTAATCTTGGTGTAATCGGAGTGGAACTCAACAACATTCTTTGTCTTGTATCCATAGGAGAACGAACCAGTATTGAAATCGGACAACAATGCACCAATTGATAAAACCAAATCAGCACTTTCCACCGCCTCCTTGACATCTGGGCGCGATAAAGAACCAACGTAAACACCACCAAATCTTGGATGTGATTCATTAATACCAGACTTACCCATAGGGGTGGTAAACACCGGGAATTGAGTTACGTCAACCAATTTGGCAACTTCTGGCTTACAAGAATGTCTTGAAGCACAAGCATCAACAAGAATGATTGGGTTCCTGGCCTCCTTGATGAGTCTCTCAACGGTTTCAATCACCTCCTCTTGTGCTTCCGGATCATTTGGTTTCAACGACAAGTCAATTGGGGTCTCCAACAATGAACTTGGGACCATCAAATCAACCAAATTGGATGGCAAGCCAACATACACTGGTCTTTGATAAACATAAGCATCTCTGATACACCTGTCAATTTCATTTGGTGCACTGTTGATGTCAGATATGAAAGCACTTGAGTGACTAATGTTTTTGAACATTCTGTGGAAAACCGTGAAATCACCATTACCCAAAGTATGATGCAACAACAATTGTTTTGCTTGGGCACTAACTGAAGGAACACCAACAACGTTCAATATAGCACAATGTTCGGCAAATGAACCGGCAATAGCATTGGTCAAGGATAATTCACCAACACCAAATGTCGAAACAATGGCACCCATTCCTTTCACCCTGGAGTAACCATCGGCTGCATAACCGGCATTCAATTCATTGGCATTACCTGCCCATCTCATACCATCAATTTCATAAATCTTGTCTAAAAGTGATAAATTGAAGTCGCCGGGGACACCAAAAATGGTATCGACTTCTAATTGATGCAATCTCTCGAAAAGGTATCTTCCTAATGTGATTTCGGACATTTTTGTTGTTGTAGTTTGTGGTTTGGCAAAAGGGGAAGAGCTCTGACGAAGGTCGCGAATCAAATGAGGTCTATATATAGTGTGGTGTGCTCCCTTCCCACTCCTTTCATCCAAAAGGTCGTTAGTGATCCGAATGTATACATTTCTGTGGTAAGGCTTTGTATAGCTATTCACCCGCTGATCTCTCTGTATGACCTGATGTTTCAAAGATACTTTTGTGTCAAATGCAGATTGATTGGCTGGACTTTAATCTCCGAGACCACGTAAACGCATATTTCACTGCTGTTATGCGCTTAGACCGTCTTTCTGTAAGCGCATATGCAAACAAATCCCGGAAAAAATCGCGTGTTTCGATAATTTTCCGGATGGTCTCTGAAAGATGTGTAAAACCACTTCGGACATGAGTGTCCGACGATCGGGTTGTTATAAACCACATTCTCGGATGACTTACGTCAACCCTAAATCTGTGTTTGCAAGGTACACTTGAAATCCAGCAACACAAGCAACTATGTAGTTGCAAAGCAATGGTCGTGTTAGAGGGCCCAATTTATATTCTTCTGCAAACTGTAAACAAAAATCCATCAACGAAGAAAAAAAATAAACCAGAAAAAAACGTGATAAACGTATGACCTTGCTGAAGAGTTAACGCAACTACCACTTTCTCAAAGCACAACAGCCATTGCGCAACCCAAAGTCATACATAAGAGAACTTACTACAGATGTATGTATACTAGCCGACAGTAATTGTCTTATCCGAGGAGCACTCAACACTCTGACATGGTTACAAGTGGAATTGTAGGCATCTTTAAATTTTCCCACGTGAGCCAGCTTAACCATTTTGCACCCGCTTTGCATATATGAGATCACATGATTACTAACAACTGTTTCACAGACCTACGATGTCAAAAAGATCATTATCTCCTGAGCACGAGGAAGGAAAGAAGCTAGCAAAACATGGTGAAGATATGGCTATTGATTCGGAATTGATGGCACACCACAAAGGGGAGTCGGATGCCAAGAAGGGTGTTGCTCGTGGTGAGGAAGCTGAGGAGAAGCTGGAGGAGAAACAACACACTGAAGAAAGTGAAAGGACTGCCATCAACGCTGTGGCTAATGCCGCTGCGTCTATTGGCGATCAACAGAAGGAGCAACAACAATACGACCAAGCTCAACAGCAACAGCAACAGCAGCAGCAACAACAACAGCAGCAGCAAGCTTATCATGAGAACCTTATCAAGCAAAAGATTGAACAACAGCATGCGCAGCTGATTCAAAGTCAATCGCCAGAGGGCAACCATGCGTCATCTCATGCTTCTCCAGTGGAACATCACCCAGGAAGTCCTGGCAGTGACTATTCACACGCCTCTGGTTCGGGTACCAAGCCCCAGCACGGCACTGATGAGTGGCATAGACAAAGAAAGGATAACCACAAAGAAGTAGAAAGACGCAGAAGAGAAGCAATCAATATTGGTATCAAGGAGTTGGCGGAACTTATCCCCACTAGAGACACAAACAAAACTCAAATCTTGCAAAGAGCAGTGGAGTACATTAAAAGGTTGAAAGAGAATGAAAACAACAATATTGAAAAGTGGACTTTGGAAAAGTTGTTGACTGAACAGGCAGTTTCTGAGTTGAGTGCCTCCAACGAGAAGTTGAAGCAAGAGTTGGAAAGGGCTTACAGAGAAATCGAGCGTTTAAAAGAACAGCTCAAGTAAGTCCGTGACTTGTTGGGGGGGGGACGACTCGTGCTTATTCGTTTGTTTTCCTTATTTGTAAGATTATAATGTGTAGTAAGTAAATGTTTATTGATTTTTTGAATGAGCAACTAGTTTTAGAAGTACTAGATACTTTCAATTTATCTCTCTTCACTAGCAGGGTATTTTGGTTGTGTATATTGATGCAATAATTTCGCGTCACTATCAAAATTTTTTGTCTTGTTAAATCCATCTCCACGCAACGTTTCGACAAGATATACATATACATACGTATATTTTGCCACTCAGCCATGGGTATCCCATTCCCCGATATAGATCCCTATGATGTGTTGGGTGTTGAAAAAGATGCCTCGCCAATACTAATAAAAAAGACATACAAAAAACTATGTTTGAAACACCACCCTGACAAAATCAAACAACTAAATCAAGATGATCAATCGAAAGCAGCTTCAGAGGAGGAGTTGTTCACTAAGATACAGTTTTCATATAGCATTTTGAGTGACCCGGTTAAGCGTAACCGATACGACACGTTGGGCTCTTTGTCAGACTTGGGTGATGATTATGAAGACGATGGATTTGATTGGAAGGAATATTTCCTGTCCATGAACGAGAGGATTACAGTCGAGATGATTGAGGAAGATAGAATCAAGTACCAAAACTCAGAGGAAGAGAGGGAAGATATTGTCTCGAGTTTCATTTACTACGAAGGTGATTTTTTGAAGTTGTTTGAAGTTATCCCCCATTTGAACTTTACCGAATCAGAGGAGGAGCGAGTGTACAAGATTATTGAACAAGAGCTTCCTCATATGAAAGTGGACAAATCTGTAACCAAGTCGTGGGAGAAGTACACAAAGAGCAGGAAAACAAAAGTGAAGAATATGTTAAAGAAATTGGCAAAAGAAGCTAGAGAAGCAGAGGAGTTGGAGAAGCAGTTGAAAACAAAGAATGAAAAGTCACAAGATTTGGCCAGTTTGATAAAGAGCCGTCAGAATAATAGACTAGATGGTTTGATTTCAAATTTGGAAGCCAAGTATGGGAAAAAGAAGGGGAAAAAAAGAAGCTCAAAAGACATTGATGATGATGAATTTGAGCGAATTCAAGCGGAAATGTTGAAAAAGAGTAAGTAGGGGGGGAGAGGAGTAGCAATGGTGGTTTCTGTATAGCATTTTGCATTAAAACAATTGACAAACGATACGATGAGGAGAAAGTAGGCCGATACTTAGTGAAGAATTGTTGACCAGGCTACATTTTCTGGGCTATCTCTCGTTCCTCTTGATAGTTTTCTGACTCTCTCGCTCAGCATAGAGACCTCAGTCCAGAACACGGCCCCACATGGCCAACCTAGTGTTAATCAAAATCACACAGAACTTTGCGTTTTTGTGTTCGCGACAATCTTTTTCTGATCCATAAACAAAGAAAAAGAAAAAATAAAAAAATAAAAAGAAAAGTGCTCAAGAAAGTTGTGCTACTTTGACTTCACAGTTTGCAGCGTAAACTAACACTTTCAACATGTCGGTTACCTCAGACGAGTCAGACTACCTCTCTGAAGGATCAAGCTATAATGAAGAATTCAGCTCAGAAAAGACAACAAAGTCAAAACAAAAGAAACAGCCACTCGCAGACACGTCTTTGAACTCATCTAGCAACGCGTCAACTACCTCAACTGGGAAACCTTCTAATGCCTCTGAGACATACCAAAAGCTCTCTCAGTTGGAACATATTTTGAAACGGCCTGATACTTATATCGGATCAGTTGAAAAAACTAAAATGGAGATGTGGTGCTTTGATGCGGAATCCGAGTCCATGAAATTTCAAGAGGTTACAATTGTGTCTGGTCTTTACAAGATCTTTGATGAGATTTTGGTCAATGCTGCTGATAACAAAATCCGTGACCCTTCAATGAAGAATATAAAGGTACGAATTGACCCGGAAAATAACGTTATCCAGGTGTTCAACGATGGTAAAGGTATTCCCGTGGAGATGCATACAAAAGAAAAAATGTACATTCCGGAGTTGATTTTTGGTAATTTGTTGACCTCTTCGAACTATGATGATGACCAAAAAAAGGTTACTGGTGGTAGAAATGGGTTTGGTGCCAAATTGTGTAACATCTTTTCCACTCAATTCGAAGTTGAAACGGCCGACTTGAATACAGGCAAACTTTACAAGCAGACGTGGACTGACAACATGACAAAGGTTGGCAAACCAAAGATTAGTGCATTGAAAACAAAGAAAGAATACACCAAAATCACGTTCAAACCTGACTTGAGCAAGTTTGATATGGATAGCTTGGATGAGGATTTGTTATCGGTTCTACGCAGGAGAGTGTATGATCTTTGTGGAACTGTCAAAAACTGTAACATTTATCTCAATGACAAACGGTTGTCAGTCACCAGCTTCAAGAGTTATGTCGAAATGTATGTGAAAGCAATCAAAGAAAGGTCACCAGAGCCTGAAGGCGATGGTCCTGCCAAAAACTACACCACAATTGTGCATGAAGTATTTAACGATCGATGGGAAGTTGCCTTTGCTGTAAGTGATGGTACATTTAACCAGGTGAGCTTTGTCAACTCCATAGCTACAACTGCTGGTGGTACCCATGTCAAGTATGTCTCTGACCAAATAATTTCGAAATTGGTTGAAACCTTATCGAAAAAGGAAAAGGGTAAGAAAAAGTTGATGATTAAACCGAATGAGGTGAGAGATAATATGTTTATTTTCATCAATTGTTTAATTGAAAATCCCGCATTCACATCACAAACCAAAGAGCAACTTACAACAAAAGTATCTCAATTCGGAGGAAAGGAGAAATTCGTGGCGTCAGACAACTTGATCTCTCGTGTGTTAAAGACTGGAATTGCTGAAAAAATTCGTGATATTGCCAATGCTAACGAAGACAAGGCGTTGCAAAAAGTTGATGGAAGTAGAAAACTGCGAATCAAAGGTCAAGTCAATTTGGTGGATGCAAATAAAGCTGGTACTAAAGATGGGACAAAGTGTACGTTAATTCTTACAGAAGGGTTGTCTGCTTTGAACTTGGCTGTTGCAGGACTCACGGTTATCGGTAGGGATTACTATGGCTGCTTCCCCTTGAGAGGTAAACTACTTAATGTTCGTGAAGCTTCAGCTGACCAAATTGCTAAAAACGCCGAAATTAACTCTTTGAAGCAAATTATTGGTCTCCAGCATAAAAAGTCTTACACGGCTGAGAATATTAAATCGTTGAGATACGGTCATATAATGATTATGACGGATCAAGATCAAGATGGGTCACATATCAAAGGGTTAATCATCAATTTCTTGGAAACCTCCTTTCCAGGTTTGCTTGACATTCCTGGATTCTTGCTTGAATTCATAACTCCAATTGTTAAGGTGACTGTCAAGGGTCGTGGTGCCAAAAAAGTGATTCCATTTTACAGTATGCCAGAGTTTGAAGCATGGAGAGATGGAGAGGGACAAACATGTCGTTGGACGCAGAAATACTACAAGGGTTTGGGTACCTCAACCCCGATGGAAGCGCGTGAGTACTTTACGGCTTTGGATAGACACTTGAAGCGATTCCATGCATTGCAAGGCGAGGACAGTAACTACATTGATTTGGCATTCTCCAAAAAGAAAGCTGATGAAAGAAAAGAATGGTTGCAGAATTTTGTTCCTGGAAACCAGTTGGATCCTGAATTGAACGAAATTCCAATTAGTGAATTTATCAACAAGGAGTTGATTTTGTTTTCCATGTCGGATAATATCAGGTCCATCCCATCTGTGCTCGATGGTTTGAAACCGGGTCAAAGAAAGGTTTTGTTTGGTTGTTTCAAGAGGAATTTAAAGAGCGAAATCAAAGTGGCACAATTGGCAGCGTACGTGAGTGAAAACACCGGCTACCACCACGGTGAAGTCTCGTTAGTGCAAACGATCATTGGTTTGGCTCAGAATTTCGTCGGCTCAAACAATATAAATATTTTGAAACCAAATGGTGCTTTTGGTTCGAGAGCAACTGGTGGTAAGGATGCTGCTGCTGCGAGATATATCTTCACTGAATTGAGTGACATCACTAAAGCCATCTTCAATCCACTAGATAACCCGATATACACCTATGTCCAAGACGATGAGCAAACCGTTGAACCGCAATGGTATTTGCCCGTTTTGCCAATGATTTTGGTCAATGGAGCCGAAGGTATCGGAACAGGTTGGTCAACGAATATCCCTTCCTTTGATCCCAAGGATATTGTTGCCAATTTGAGGCGACTTATGAATAATGAACCATTGGAAGAAATGACACCGTGGTATAAAGGGTGGGACGGTGTAATTGAGCCCATGGGACTGCAAAAGTACAAAATCAGTGGAAGAATCGAGCAGGTCGACGACAATACAGTTGAGATTACAGAAATCCCTGTCAAAACCTGGACCAACACCGTCAAGGAATTTTTGTTGGCTGGATTTGGTAACGAGAAAACACCTGCGTGGATCAAAGATATGGAAGAACATCACACAACGAATATCAGGTTTATTGTAAAGTTGAGCGATGCAGAAATGGAAAAGGCGTTGAAGGTTGGGTTGTTGGAGAAATTTAAATTGACTTCCTCTGTGAGCTTGGGTAATATGGTTGCGTTTGATCCATATGGAAGAATCAAGAAATACAATGATGTGTCAGAGATATTGAAGGACTTTTACTATGTGCGTTTAGAGTACTATGAAAAGAGAAAGAATCATATGCTCGAGATGTTGCAACGGAAATTGTTGATGATTTCGGAACAGGCCAGATTTGTAAAGATGATTATCGAAAAGGAATTGTCCGTTGCTAATAGGAAGAAAAAGGAATTGATTGAGTTGCTTGAGCAACATGATTTTACAAAGTTTACCAAAGACGGAAAGCCAGTAGAATCAAAGGACTCCAATATGTTCATTGATGAGAATGACTCTGAAGAGGAGATTGAGAATGAGGGTGATGTTTCTGCTTTGAATTTGAAAAAGGCGGAAGATCGAGTCGAAGGAGAGCATAAACCTGACACAATTTTCTCATCGTATGATTACTTGTTAGGGATGACAATTTGGTCCTTGACTCATGAACGGTATGTCAAGCTTTTGAATGAAAAGTCCAATTTACAGAAGGAGTTGGAGATTTTGATTGGCAAATCGGCCGTTGATTTGTGGAATCACGATTTGGATGAATTCATGGCAGCGTATGAATTGTTTTTGGCTAAAGACGCAGAAGAGAGGGAGCACTTATCAAGTAGTGGAAATAAAAAGAAGACAACAAGAAAGAGGAAAGCTGTTAAATCTGAGGCGGAGCCAGCAAAGAAAGTGAAAGTTGAAGGTGATGATGCTTCACTAAGTGCGCTGAATGTTTCCAAACCACGAACTACACAAGCAAAGACAAAATCAACCACCCCACCCAATTCATCAACGCTGGCGCCAAAAGAAGCCACCGTCAAGAAGGAGCCCAATGATATTCTTTCATTCTTTTCGCCACCAAGCAAGTCAAGTGCCAGGTCGAATGGAGGCGCGTCATCGACAAAGACATCGAAACCCGTTGCTAGTTCAATATTTGATTCGGATGACGATATATTCGAAGTAAGCAAGCCATCTGAGAAACCCAAATCCAAGCCGAAACAAAACATTTTGGATGAATTGGATGATTTGGAAATATTAGGTGGCAAGCCGGAGGTTTTGGAGAGCAGAAAACGTTCCAGCAGACCTGCGAGGTCCAAAATCACCAGCTTATTCAGTGATGACGAGAGTGACGATGGTGTAGAAGATGATCCAAGTGAAGTGGTTGAGATTGATGATGATGACGACTACAATGATGAGTGAATCGTATAGTTAATAGAAGCGCTAACGTGATATTCATTCCTCTCTGACCAGTCGCTCTCATTTGATCACTATAGACGCAGGATAGCATAGGTCTGGTTTTCAAAATACGTTTGTGTTTTGCTAAATAGTAGGATCTGGCCCTGGCTTGTACCTGAGTCGAGTACTGGACGTAATGCAAAAACAAAACACGTTGTTATATTGCCACGAAACGAAAGCTCGTCTCTACAACTTCACTCCCTCTTATTAAGTTTCAAGCATATGGGCCCGCAAAGGCGAGCTCCAAAATTGTCGAGATATTCGTTCAGTCCCCATAACCATTTGACAGATGATGGTAAACGCAGTCTCAACTTTAGAATCTGGTTGTTTGAAAGTGGATTCGGCGTACTTGCTTATATCCAATTGACACGGATCCTTGCATTTTTTTTTTTGAGCACAAATAAATGAAGACATCAGTTTATATGTTTAAAACTTTCAAAAAAAAAACGATTCAAATGATAGCAATATTAGAAATCCGGCTCCGGGTGGAAATCCAACTCCAAGTTCAACTTGACTTGACTTGGCTTGGCTCGGCTCAGCTCATGTTGGAATTGAGCATGCCTAGTAAAAATTTGAGGTTGACAAGGTTAGCCAGGTAAAACATTTCAAAACTGACCGTCAAGAGTACGTTCAAATTTTGGTAAACGCAATAGTCAAACAACGCAGCAAACTCCTTTTCACTCTTGATGAAGAAGAACTTTGACCAAGGATTCTCATACTCGTAAGCTTGTAATTCAGATTGCCAACTAGTCCTGTTGTTGTATTGTAATAAGCTGTACCTCGCAATTTAGTGATTCAATGAGTACTTGAAGTTGGGGACTTGGTATAAAAACTTGGTTGAGTAAATGCTTAATCCCATTGTAACCCACATTGGAAAGAATTAGTGCCATTGTGCTTGTTGGCTACCAATCCAACAACGACAACATCTTTCATTGTGGAGCTGCTGATGTGTGCATGAATGGCATCGATTATGGAACTGTATGGAACTGTATGGAACTGCTGCTGATTGCTTTGGGAAGGTGTCTGGCTCACTTGAGAACAGTGATGTGCGTCACAAGGTAGCAAGAGAAAATAAGGCTTTTGGTGTGCGCATGCCACATTGAGCTTAACTCCATCTTCTTTCTGTCTTTGGTACTCTAGCGAGGCTTTGAGACAGCTCTCGGTCCTTTCAAGTCCTGCTTTCGTCTTTTTAGGGTATTTCTACATTGGTTCATGCTCGATCAGTTTGTACCACCAACTCGCTCAAAAGCTGACACTATGATATGCATATTATAGCGTTTACCGGAGAATGGTTTCTAAAAAGTCTCTAGCCTCTGTGTATAATATCAGATCACTGAGAATGCAACCCACTGTATTCTTGTAAATCTCTCGATGCTCAAAAACCTTAACTCTGTGGTTGTAATATTACCAGTTTCAGAAAGAAACGAAAAAAAAAAAAAAAAAATTAATTTGGACGCGTAAACAAAAAAAAGTTTTATCAGTGTCCCCTCAAAATTGAAAACGCCAAGAAGCTTATAGGGGACGGTGTATCGGGGCCGGGGGCCATACAACAATCCATGGCTAAATCATTGTTTCAAAGATCGAACAACATTGATTGTAACAGAAAAGTAGAAGAAATAAAGAAGAAGAAAAAAAAAATGATAAGCTCAGTCGTTTAAGGTACGAAGTGGAAAGAACAAAGTAACGCGTCTTTACATGTGAAGTACAAAGTCACAGGGTAAAAATCTGGTGTACTGCATTCACAACAACAACAACAACAACAACCGTCCTTATAATGGTACCTTAAAATCGAAGAAACCCGTTTGTAGTACAAACTATAAAACGTGTGCATGTAGTCAAGCTAGTTATTGTAACCTACATTCTCAACTAAAACAAGAACCAGACCTCATAACCTTAATTTTAGCACAAATGACGTAAGCAGAACCAAATGAAAATGGAAATGAGAACACGTCAATAAAAGATTGACTTAACAATATATCAAGAGAAGCCAAAAGGCTTATGGAAGAAGAGAGGGAGTTCAGCTTGCTCAAAGACCATTGAAGGACGACACTTCTTTTCACAAGAGTATGGTATTTCTTTCTCCTCCTCTACAATTGATGAAGACAATGCGTCAGGTACCCGACACCTTCTATCCACATTATAGAGGTGTGGCTTTACTTGAGCTTCTTGAATCAATTCCCTTGTCTCTTTTTTTTTTTTTTTGTAACTTTTACATTCGCCCATAATTGACCGGGTTGGGTGATCTGAAACATGAGACTACAAATTGTTTTTGGCAAAGATATAATTTTAATTTCTAATATTTCACAGGACGGTAAAATAGGGTGAAAGAAGCTTTGAGTATGACCTATATCTGGACAGTCTAATCCTTCTCAACAAGACAGTCATGACACAGTACGTGGTTACCTCTATTTTGTTCCTTGTTGTATTGTTTTCTTGTGTACCTGTGAAAAGGTTAAGCGCCAAATCAAACAGACCAAAATCATTTCGTGTCCCAGTTACACAAAGAAAGGTATCCAATATTTCTTTTTTTTTTTTACCAATTGTCTGGCAGTATAACAACAGCCCTTTTTTTTTCATATCTCTGCCAAAGCATCTGCCCATTTGATCCCACCGATATTCAGTAGTGAAATAGAGACTTGGACCAAGGTCTAGCTAATTCAGGTTGATCCCACTACTTCTAAACACACACAGCTGCCGAATTCACACTTTCCACTCACAGAAGCTTTACCGCCCGTAAAAATAGAAATGAGCGTTGAGCATCATCCACAACAGCATTATCAGGCTCAAATCCAACAACAGATGCAACAACAACAGATGCAACAACAACAGATGCAACAACAACAGATGCAACAACAACAGCAGCAGCAGCAGCAAATGCAGCAGCAGCAGCCGGAAACTCCGCAAAGACAGGTATCTTTCAACGTTTCCGACCATTATCAAATATTGGAGATTGTTGGTGAAGGAGCATATGGTATCGTATGTTCAGCCATCCACAAGCCATCACAACAAAAAGTGGCGATCAAAAAGATCGAGCCATTTGAAAGATCAATGTTGTGCTTGAGAACCTTGCGTGAACTCAAGCTTTTAAAACATTTCAATCATGAAAATATCATATCGATACTTGCTATTCAACGGCCATATGATTATGCCCATTTTAATGAGATCTACTTGATCCAAGAGTTGATGGAAACAGATTTACATCGTGTGATACGTACACAAACATTGACTGATGATCATATACAGTACTTTACATATCAAACATTACGAGCTTTGAAAGCTATGCATTCGGCAAATGTTTTGCATCGAGACTTGAAACCGCTGAATTTACTACTCAACTCCAATTGTGATTTGAAAATATGTGATTTTGGTCTTGCTAGAAGCATAGCCTCCCTGGAGGACAATTTTGGGTTCATGACAGAGTATGTGGCTACTCGATGGTACAGAGCTCCAGAAATCATGTTGACTTTCCAAGAGTACACTACTGCTATTGATGTTTGGTCGGTGGGGTGTATATTGGCCGAAATGTTGAGCGGCAGACCTTTGTTTCCAGGAAGAGATTATCATAATCAGTTGTGGTTGATTATGGAAGTTTTGGGTACTCCCAACATGGAAGATTATTACAATATCAAATCGAAAAGGGCAAGAGAGTATATTCGGTCATTGCCATTTTGTAAAAAGATTCCATTTGCTGAGTTGTTTAAGAATGTGAATAATGCTCCAATAAACCCACTAGCGTTGGATTTGTTGGAAAAATTACTAATTTTTAACCCTGCTAAACGTATCACCATGGAAGACGCTTTGAAGCATCCGTATTTGCAATTGTATCATGATCCAAATGATGAGCCTGTTAGCGAAAAAATCCCCGAGGATTTTTTTGATTTTGATAAAAAGAAGGATGAGTTGACCATTGAGGAGTTGAAACGGATGTTGTATGATGAGATAATGAAACCTTTATAAAGAAAAACAGTATACCCAATGCACACCTAGTATACGAATTGATTGTAGGAGGAGAGTCGTAGAAGGTACATCCCGAAATAACTATTCGAAGAATCGATTCCAAAAACTAATAACATTCAAACAAAACAAAAAACACTATAAAATGAACTAAACAAAGGTGAGGAGGGGGGAGGGGGAGTGGGATATTTATCATCATCATCAGAGCATGTACTCTTCTGTAACTGCTATGTCTCTCTTTGCGTAATGCCGCTACTTCTTTCTTCCAAACAAGCCTCTCTTCTTTTTCTTCTTACCACCATCATTTTGCAAAGAACTAGCACTATAATTCTGAGCTTGATAAAGGGGTTGTTCATCAAAGTTAATCACCGGTCTTCCGCCTCCTCCCATATGTTGTTGCGTACCATCGTCTTGTGCGCCTCCTTGTCCATTCAAATTATAGAATGGGAAATCTTCATGAAACCCCCAACCCAAACGGCCACTCTCTAATTGGTCTCTGTAATTGACATCACCAGTGATTGCATACTCAAACCCACGTATGGTATCCAAAGGTCTCTCATTTCTGTTTCTCGTAGGGTTGGACATGTCAGTTTGTCTAATTGGCTGTCCAAAGATATCCTTCAAATCAGCTGAGTCATGGGACAAATAAGATGGTCTTCTAGTATCTCTTTGAGCGGCTTGTTCAAAAGGTTGGGCTTCATTGACAGCAGTTAAAATGGGATCATGAACGTTGGCTGTGTGTACCTTATAGTTTTCCTGGTCCTGCTGGGTGATTTTCACATCTATGTGTCCCTCTTGTGGGGTTTTGTTGGATGATTTTGATCTAAAGATAGCCATGACTGTATAGTAATAGCGAGTGTAGTGACTGCGTTGTTAAACCTGGTTAAAGAGCAAAGAAGAAAGGCTGATAAAGTGGAACCTTGTTGTGGTGGGTTTTTCTCTGTTTAAAGTTGGATGTAGTAAAATTTGTTGTTGGTTGAAATCAGGAAGGGGATGTTTAAGAATAAAAAAAAAAAAAAAAGAAAAAAAAAAATTTCCTTTGCGTAATGGCTAAATATTTCATACATGAAAATCCATACGATATATATATATATACATGGGTATATGTGTCTACAACTAAGAGAATGAAGTGTACATCTTCCACGTAATACGTTTGTTGGATGGTGCTATTCTCTTGAGAATGTTTACTCTGGTCTCTATGAAGATGGAAAATTTTCCTCACAGCCTTGTTTCCGGCGTTAAAAGATTAATAGAGTGCTTACTACTGTGTATTATTTTGTGTATGTGTTTGCTACTATTGTTTTTCTTGTTTTGTTATCCCCATCAACTCTATTGTCCAAATTCCTCTATCTCCATTGATCTTGAACTGGAACAAAGGGGAGAACTCAATTTTTTTTTTTTTCTTCTGCTTGGGAAGTCTTTAAAGGGAGATAGTTTGTGTGTGTGTGTGTGTGTGTGTGGCTGTGTGGCTGTGTGGCTGTGTGGCTATATGTTCTGTGTGCATGTGTGTTCCTGAATTCATACGTCACCTTAGGTCTACACAGAACCGTACCGCCAGATCAACACAACAGATTTTTTGTTTATATTCTCTCTGGCAGGAGTCTCTGATGCTTCAATATGAGCGTGCGCCTCGTTCCCGTTTTGCATCGGGAAGGAAAGGATTGGAAAGGAAAGCCCAGAAGATACACAAAAAGAGCTCAACTATGCACAGTAAGAATTTAGAAATCAGACGCACCGCGCGCAACACCTCCTTCGAGGAACGAGGGAGATACGGATTTGCAATTGTACTTTCAACTTCGACATCGTCCGAGAGTATAGATTTGAGCTGGAGATCATTAGGCAAAAAGATGTATATCCGAGCTTAGAAATCAACTCTTTCTCATCGTCGATTGGTTTAATCTCCTCAAGTATACCTGGAATTTGCCTCAATGCTTGGCTCGGATCATGGCTTATTGAACATATGAAGCACACCTCGTTACAAATAAGTAAATAATAAGAGGTGGTATTTTTTCGCAGACTTTGCAACGGTGAGTGTGTTGGCTTTAGAGCTCCGTCATAGGTAAAGACCTTTGAAATACTTGTCGCGTGGGGTAATGTCGAGTTGTACACAGTTGCGACATCGGCTGAGAACTCACAAATTTCTTTCACCAAAAAGCTACCCCTAGAGAAGAGAATAGACTGACACACAGGAACACTACTATCCCTCTTATTCTTTTAATCTGCATACCATCCCATCATGACTTCTACCCGCAAGAACCCCATACAATTTGTGTCCTTGATATCGCGAACTGACAAGCCATTATACATCCAATCCTTCCTACCAGAGCTAAACTCTGGTACAAAAGAAGCGAGCTCCGAAGGACAGCAGCCCGAATCAGTTCAATCAACATCGACAATCAACAAGTTCCTCAAATTCAACTTTTTCAGCCACATGGCACTAGATATTTTTTCTTCACCTACATCACTAGCTCTACGTGAACAACAACATCAACATCAACAACAAAACTCCAATGGCGTCTTGCTCTTGTTTATCCAAGACCAAGTAATTGTGTATGGGTACGAATCCAACAATGGGTTGAAGATAGTTGTCGGTATGGATCAAAGTGCCACGATAAATCAGGATAACTTATACAAATTCATAACATCGGTTTACAAGTTGTATCTTAGAGTCGTGTGCAATCCATTTAGAAATTTTGGCACCAATGAACAAACCCAGCAAGAGGAGAGCAATGAAGAAGATGTATTGAATTCGCCCAAGTTTGATCAAGGAGTAAAGAAATTGGTGGATGATTTTATATAGCTTATAGACATAAACACAATTTTTCCTTTCTCAATTCCTATTTTAATACAACGTTTGCTCCCCTTAGCTCCAAGTATGCTTGATCAACACCAGGGTGCATATTTTTTATAACCTCTTGATAAATTTCGACATTGTGGAATCGTAACTGGTTAGCTGGGTTCTTATACTTCCCCTCCAATCCTGTAATATCACAATAATGTTTCTTTGGCAACAAACTTGGTGGTGCAGTAACTGACAAGTAAGTGGGCTTATCCACAGGTAGGTTTTCCTTCTGTTGTATGCGTTTGATTTCGTCCGATATTAATTGTCGACTTGGTTTATAGCGTCTATTTCCAACGGGTGCCCTGTTTGGATTTTGCTTGAATGAATGAGGTTTAGTGGTGATTTCCAGAAGCGCATGAAGATCTGTGGACGTCGTTGTGGCAGGTGTTACCGATTTTGACATAATGATGGACGACACTATAGGATGAGAGCGTGCTCTTGAAGATGGGAAGAAAAAGGCTTTGGTGGTCTCTTTGCACCATCTTCTTTATGGTACTGCATAAAAAGGATTCACCAACCACAGTGCGTCAACGGCCAAACAAAACATCTTTCTACACAGTGTCAGTGTGAGTAGAGAGGTGTTGCTTATTGAGTCACACACACACCAGACCGCAAGAGAACCACATTCCTGCTTTTCGTTCGTTTCTGTACACACCATCAAATGCATAGCGACTAATACGCATAGAATAGCATCCTGGAATAGACTCTCACTACATACACTAACACCCACAATGATACTATCGAAATTCCCCACGAAACTACCAAACTTACTTGCATTCAAAACGACCCCCACAAACCACAGCTACGTAACCCCACTAAGAAGTTTTACAACAAGCACTCGTATCTTTCAAACCCCACTCGAACTATATACCAAACGAGTACAACAAGGTAAGTTACGAGATGACCCATACCAACACAAAATCATCTCTTCATTATCGCAATTACATGAACTGTTGAACACATACCAGCCACCCAAAGTCGAAATTCCAACGTATCAAGATTTGAAACCAAAATTTTCCCTCATAAAGACATTTTCATCATTTTTCGGCCGCAATGGTGGCAGTTCAGGCTCCACCACCGGTGCTTCCGATTATGATTTTGGCAACGACGGTACGGGTGTCAAGGGTATCTATCTATATGGGGATGTCGGGTGTGGGAAAACCATGTTGATGGATCTTTTTTACCAAACAGTGCCACCACACTTGAACAAGAAACGTGTTCATTTCCATCAGTTTATGCAAAACTTGCACAAGCGTACACATCAATTGAAAATAAAGTACAGTTCCAAGCTGAGCTCGGGCGAAGAACATGATGATATTGATGTGATTCCTATATTGGCAGCTGAAATTGCTCGTGATTCTACTATTTTGTGTTTTGATGAGTTTCAAGTGACCGATGTTGCTGATGCCATGCTGTTGCGACGTTTATTAATGATGTTGTTGTCGCCAGACTTTGGAGTTGTTTTGTTTGCCACGAGTAATCGCGCTCCCGATGACTTGTACTTGAACGGTATTCAACGAGTCAGTTTTATCCCTTGTATTCAATTGATTAAACATAAATGTCGAGTCATTTATTTGAACTCGCCAACCGATTATAGGAAAGTGCCTAAACCCATTAGTTCGGTGTATTACTCGCCCAAACCAGGAGTGAAATGGGACTCCAGGGTCAATCGTGCCAATTGTGCCAAGCATGTTGCTCAATGGTATGAATATTTCAATGACGGTAATACTTCGTGTCAGGATCAATTGACTGATTTTGATCTTGAAGTATGGGGGAGAAAAATCCCCATCCCGTTATGTTCACCGCCCAATGTGGCCCAATTTACATTTTTTGAATTATGTGGAACCCCAAGGTCAGCAGGTGATTATCTAACGTTGGCTGAGCTGTTTCATTCATTTATGATCACAGATATCCCATATCTTAGTATCGACGCTAGAAATGAAGTGCGTCGTTTTATTACGTTTTTGGATGCAGTTTATGATTCCCATGGTCGGTTGGCTGTTACTTGTGCTGCTCCATTCAAGGATTTGTTTGTAGAACCAGAAGACTTGGCAGAGGGAAATTATCAATTGTACAAACGACAAAAGGATAAAGGTGTTGAAGAAACATTTGAAGACGACGAGTTGGTGACAAAGCATGGATTTGATAAATCGATTGCGAAAAAGGCAAATATGTTTGCCAATGATGAAGAACGATTTGCATTTGCTAGAGCTTTGAGTCGGTTGTCCCAAATGAGTACAACTGAATGGATAGAGCATGGGCAGTGAAAAGTATGTTGTGTAGACATTTATAGAGACGTTTGTAACTGTAAAAGTATTTATTCGTAAATTGACCTAGAGTAAAAGTATGTTGAGGTATTTTCTGCAAGAGTCAAAGTTGTGACTTATATCGCTGCATTTACAGCCTACATTATGGGCATTGACGCAGAATTGAACAAGGAGCCTCTCGGAAGCTGTTTTCCAAGTCTGTGATGTACATTTTGTAGTCATCGTGTAGGGCCATTCCTAATTTAGCAATCTGTGCTGTGTTAAAGATTGTTATGAGCTAAGGGAACTTAAGAAGGTTGCGAATTTACCTCCCTTTGACATTCACGTGCAATTTCTCTTTTTCCTCCCTTCTTCCCCACTCCACCATGCACCTTGTTTCGGTCTCGTTGGACAAATTCAAAAGTTGTGCCCGTAACAAAATCATGTAAGAATATATTTGTCGTTGACCATTGGTGAGACTTGTAAGTGCAGTTTTATAATGAGTTTTTATTAAACTATTGAAGAAACTAGTAGAAGTCATGGCATCCTTCCGAGCTGGAGAACGGTTGCCAACTTTGATATGTGATACCACAAATCATCATAGGAAGTATTTTCGAATTTGTTTGTCCAACCATTGTGCCATCACGGTTAAAAAGACTTTACGCCAAACTATCGAGATAAAACTCAAGGGAGAAACAGACACTTTTTCAAAGGCAATTACAATTCACTGTGCGTGCTAGATGGTGCTGAATTACAGTTGGAAGAAAGAAACGTGCGGTGGCTCTGGAGCATACCGATTATTGACTTGGATAGAGTTGACTCGTTATACGTGGCCATTACTGTCATAACTAGGATCATCTAATACCCCATGTATATCCTTTTCACGCGTGAAATTTCAAGCAGTTTAACAGTTTTGGAATTGCTGCAACCTGTTGGAATTGCATGTTTTTGATGCTATTCGATTTTTGTTTAGAAGTTGTGATACTTCCACCTAATGTAATTCGGTACATTAGATATGTTGTGTATTGTAAAAAGATGATCAAATTGTTTGTAAATATCAGTGGCACCCACTCCATTTAGATACATTAACCCTAATGTATCAACTCGTTTTACTCATATATACAGGCTGGGTTGTTGAACAAGTAAGGAAGATGGGACAGTATGTTAACACATAGGTTATCTACTACATTGGACAACCCTTAAAAAATGAATGCATTGTGTGAACACATAAATTTGCCGTTTTTTCTGTTGCACAACGTTAGGATTATATTACTCGTAAAAAGCGTGGGGAGGTATAAAGAAAACGATCGCAACAGAGTTCTAGAACAACCTTGTTTTACAATACATCAATATTTTGGATATTGATGTCTCATATATATCAAATCAGGAAAAATAGAATAAAAAGGAGGGGATGATGCAAAAAAAGAATAACACGAAACCTTGGTTGTTGTTGTTGTTGTTGTTGTTTTTGGCGTGTCTGTGTTATAAACCCCAATCAGGGTCAAATAACAAGTGCGGTCTAGTGAAAGGGATTTTGTTACTGTATCGAAGGACAAGAACAAGGGGTAACGTCGTTTTTTTGGAATAGAAACGAGATTGTTTAATTATACGCGGTCGATACTTACATAAAACCGATTGTTGTTGGACAAAATGGAGATGCCAAGCAGGCACACAAGGAAGGGAAACAAAACACAGGGTACGGTTAGGTTTCTCTTTTTTATTTATTTTATTTTTTTGATTTTGTACGTGTGTGTGTGTGTGTATATATTAATTACACCAGATTTACTGTAGACAGTTGCCAAATGCTGAATCAAGTGGGCTCTATATTGGAGCATTCTAATAGTTACAAGGTAACAGGGTTTCAGCACCACTTGAAATTTGCAAGACCAAACCCGCATCTACTAATGTGGGTTAACTTTGAAATAAGCCCGGGTGGGAGGGAGAAACAAATTGGCTAGATTTCATATTGCCGAAGCAATCACATCAATCCTGTATCTGTCTCTTCTACAAGTGATGCTTGCTTCCTATAATACAAATGTCTTAAATGATAAGTGTATCTAATTTCGGAGATAGAAAGTATATGTTATCTTGCAATAATCTCAAAGTAGTAATAGGTACTACTCAATTGGGAAGAACTGGTTTGTGTAATTTTCTTTAAGTTCTGTAGTNACAAAAGTTGGAAATGTAGATTGTATACAGTACGCACCTCCTTTCGAGAGAACAAATATGTCAACAACACACAAAGAAGACATTACTAACGCTTTGTTGAGCATTCCTCAACAATAATCAATAAAGTACGAAAAGAATACTTAAGTAAAGAAGAAGGAGCAATTAGATAAGGCAACTTAACTAGGTATATTTGGCTACATTGCTTATCGTCCTTTGATAGCAATTAATACAGAAAAATTCTCTTGGCAATAAGGTTACCAAATCACCGCACACTGCTTTGTATCTTTTTGTCACTTTGTCTGTTATTAGAGTTGCTACACTAACTGTGACGTTTTCGGGATTTTGTAACCGTAGTCACCAAGAGTCCCCCATATCGTACAGAAGAACACGGGATCCGCAATTAGTATTTCCGCTTGAAAAAAAAAAAAGAACGATTCGGCCGACGACCGAAGTTTCAATTCTGATATATTGCGAATACGGATGAAATGTTTGTGGGACTAGTTCTCAGTAAGATATGTTTCAATAGTGAACCGAGAGTGTCTGAGAGTTTCGCTTCCACCTCTCTTCACAGAGAAGCAACCTCCCCCCCCTTGAGTTGTTGAAGAAATTCCAGCTCATTCTGAGTTTGTGCTATTTTTAGCCACCAATTGTAGCAGTGAACAGTGAAGTAATTCGAGAATTTTAAGCCGAGGCACGTAACCAGCAACACTGTTATTTGCAATAACACAAAACAAAGAACACACAATAAAAAACAAGAACAATAGGACAGGAGTTCCTTCGATTGCTAGGAACAAACGAAGAAGAAGAAGAAGAAGAAGAAGAAAAACACCTCAAAGACAGATTATATATGTACGTACGAAGTGCTAAAACCCACCTCACAAATGAAATTCATAACCAAGCTAACAGAAGTAACAAAATCAATGCTATTCTTGCCTTCCGCATAGCAAGGAATCTCTCTCAAAAACAGCGAAATTCGGCAATACATTTAACTGTAGGTTGTTGTGGGAAATGGTACTGACATTGTGGGTAAGAGATGTAGCTCTTGAAGCCTTGTAAGCTATTCCATAGATTGGTATGGTTGTTGCCTCTCACCAGCAGCGTGGAATTATGAAAGCAAGCTACTGCACTGTCTCAAGTTTGTGAAGCAACAACAATTGTCTAAATGTAGTTCACAAGCAATAAAAACTAACAAAATTTGTGTAAACAAAAAAAAAAGGAAAGAAAAGGTAAACAAAAGTGTGTGTTTATATGCAGTATCAGAGCAAATCTCATTTTACACACAATGCCTAAACAGACAACCAACTTAATACAATACAATACACTACAATTTAATATTACATCGAGAAACGAAAATAAAAAAAAAATTAAATCTCATACTTAAGATTTCAGATCTGACAACCAAAAGTAAAAATCAAGTCTAAGCATACTAATTAACCAACCAATCACCCACCACTCAACACACGCACACACACCCAAGCTTACTAGAAGGGAAGAAGTGAACTATTCCAACCTACTCAAATAGACTTCCCCTCCCCTCCCCTCACCTCACCTCACAGGTGCTTGCAAATTGATACGTATCCTACTACACTCGCTTTTTTCCTTTACTTTTTGGATACACATCACCATCTCGTCCAGATTCACATTGACTAAAGTGCCCGTCATATCTGGAGCGCCCTAAACATTGTCACATAGTTGAATCTACACACATATCAAAGTTTGAGCTACTGAGAGTAATCACCCCCCCCCTTGTTTGTTGCTGAAATCTTTGGTTGCAAGAATATCAAAGAGGCAGCCAAAAAAAGAAAACAAAAAAAAGAGCAATCTCATTTAGCCACCGTTGACCACCACAATCTACATATAACACATAGGCAGATCTCCAATTTGCTTTATTTTATTTTTTTTTTTTCAACCAGCTATAGGACAAACGTTTCCCATCCATCCATCATGTCTAATGTTTCCATAAATAGTCAGAACTTGTATGACATATCGCTCAACTCAAGAAAACTGTCTTGTCCATCAGTACCACCACCACCACCCTCAACCAAAGTGAATGGTGGAAACTCTGCTCCGAAGAGAGTGGCTTCAAGAAGTGCATTACCCACATTGAAAGAGCACAGTGCATCTGTTTCAAATATACCGAAAAGACCGGGCGATTACTACATTCAAAAGATCAACTCCAAGTCGTCATTAAACTTGAACAAAAGTCAACCGACTGTTCCATCATCGTCGTCTGTACCAACAAACCCATCCAGAAGAAGAATGTCTCAAGATTCCGTCATGTCTATCCAATCTTCGTCATCTTCCTTTGAGGACCATGCACTGGTTGTGTCGTCACAATTTGATGCCCCAGTTGCCAGTTCAAGTTCTGCCATTACGTCGAGCACTTCTCCATCACAATATAGTCGAGGATCTCAAGTAGTGGACTCTCGATTAAGTTCAATGACTTCTGCCTCAACATCGGCATTTGAATCAAAAGTTTCTTTGGATGAAAATGAATCCGCGATATCTTTGGTCAAAGCTCCTTCAAATTTCAAACCACAAGCCTTAAAGGCAGCATCGACAACAAATGTGCTAAAGTCATTTCCAGTACTGAAACCCCTCAGTAAAAAGGAACGTTCAAAGTCGGTGACTACAGTGCCCACCTTGAATCGCACAAAATCAAAGTACATGAGCTCACAAGACAGCAAGGAACGTCAACAATTGAGAAAGAAAAAGTATGAGGAAAATGATGACGATGAGGAGATATTGTCCAATGACTTGGATAGTTTGATCTTCAACGTACCCGTGATCAAAAACAATGAATTGTATTCATTGCAAAAGGGAAGTAGTACCACACTCAGCAAATCCAAGTCAAGATCAAACTCAGCTTCTTCCAGTACTGTGACCATACTATCAAGAAACGACTTAGTCAGTGATGACAATGACAAATACAATATTAGACCCTGTCCTTTACCAGGAAAATTGAGTACTAATCAGTTGCCGACACTTTATACAAACAACGATGATAGTATAATTGAAGAAGATGAGGCCACTTTTGATGAGGATTCGGAAATCACCGCCAACATTTCCGATTTTTATTCCCAAAGAAGTGCTTCGGTTTCAAAATTGATGAAAATGACAAGGGAGCAAAATTTGATGTATAAGTTACCGTCTTTTATCAAATCCCAATCATCAATGGAAGATTTGCACTTGATATCACCCGAAAAGTTGAATTTTCTTGATCAAACTAGACCAATTAATTTACCACCAAAACCAGCGTCCGACAAGACCAAACATAATCGTGAGTTCACAAAGAGTCTAAGTCTGTTTGAAAGTGTTGCCAAGTCTCAACACGACTCAAGAATCAAAACTGTTCAATCAGCACTTTATCACCAGCAACAATGGATTAAGATACTAAACTCCTTGATGGATTTGGACACGAAGCATTTCAACAAAAAGTTCACTAGTGAAAAGAATCAATTGAGAAAGCTAGCCTGGGATTGCAATGTTCCTTCAAATCTAGCATTCCAGTTCTTGATGAAAATATTGTCCAACAACTACTCATCGCAAGACTCGGTGAACACGATTCGTAACCTGTTTGAGTTGTTTGACCAAAAATTGCAAGGGTTGACTGAGGTAATGAAACAGAGTAAGAATCGTGAATTCAACAAAATAATGGACTCGGTATTGTCAAAGCCCTTGATTGCCAACTCTGGTGTTGATATGAGTCAATTCAAGACCAACTTTATCCATCTTTTGTATATAAAGAGCATGAGTGAAACCGGCTTATCAGAAAAGGATCATTCAACAATCCCCATCATCTTGACTATATTCCCCCAGCAATCTGTCATTGACATTTATTGTTTGTTAGAATTGATCAATCAAGAGATTTTCAACCGTGAATTCATCAACAGTTATACTCCACCCTCGGGAGAAACTAGTGAATTGACTTTCCATGACACATTTAAGTTGATGCTTCAATTTAATGACTCGTTACCATTATCATTATCGGCTCCAACCACACCAATCATAGATCAAGGCAGGTTCGAGCCGGTCAAAAGCGATGAAAGTCAGGACAAAAACTCAACCAACTTGGTTGTATCTCCAACATCAGCAAGTATTGAGATTGTAACCAAGTTGTTGACACTACTCATTATCAATTCGCAATCGACCAAAACCAAATTGAAGAACAATCAAAAGTTGATAAAACTGTTCGTCAAGACGATGTTTTTGGATTTCCATCTTGGTTGGAATTCGTATAGTGAATTGATCAAACTGGATAAATCAATCAGGATCAACAACTGTTCTGATCAAAGGTTGAATTTGGAAAGGTTTGTAGCAAGGTGGACGTCACATCATTTTGGGTAAGTGACAAAAAAAAAAGAGAATCCAACAAAAATGTCCAATATGTGATAGAATGCAACGTGAACAACGCGCAAAAAAATGGTTTTATTATAGAGTAACGGCAACAGGGTTTGTTTAATTTTTTGGGCTTTTGAGGTTTAGAGGTGACTAAAATAAGCTAGTTCTTGTTTGGTTTTTTTTTATTTTTTTTTTTTCTTTTTGGTTTTTATAGGTTCTTCGTTTAATTTATTCATTCTTGTTTGATTTGATTCTTTGTATCGATTAAATTCGATGGAGGAAAAGAGATGCCTAGTAGACTCTGTAGAGTTCTGAATCTAGGGATTGATCGTAGCAGAAAAGTAAAAAGAAAAAAATATGCTCCCAGACAGGGAATTGAACCCTGGTCTACCATGCGACAAACGGTAATTCTAGCCACTAAACTATCTGGGATATTTTTTGAGAAGATTAGTGCTCGACAATACACATAGTACTATATCCGAAAACCATCCTGCAATTGAATAGCACTTAGACCATCGACTTATGCAGTTGACACAATCGCTGAGTCTATTGAGAACTTTTTACGTCTCATTTCCACTATTTAGAGCTTGATTGGGTTCAAAACAATGAAAATCCATGGGCTGAGAAAGATTTTTATTTGCGGCAATTTTTGCCAAAAAATTATTGCAAAATGTTAACATCAGATACTTCACTTGAATACATGGGAAGCTATGACATTGTACTGTATCTGCTATGACTTCATGAACATCCACTCTGCTTCGGTTTCAAAAAAAAAAAAAAAAAAAGATAATGCTGAAAAGAGCTTACTATATTCTAAAAACTAAATTTCTCTTCATGGACTATGTTATTAGATACTAAGTAGTCATAACCAAACAAAAACTGTTCTACAACATCCATGTGGGTCACAAGGCACTATCGCCCAATAATCCACTTTCTTTTATTTACCTCTGCGTTGCATTACCTCTTTGTATCTCTCTTCAATATCCTTTCTTCTCTCTTTATGCTCAATATACTTCAACTTGGTTATATACACCTTCCAAATTTCCAACACTATAGCCTCGTCTTTGAAAATGTACAAACATCGTTCATATATGCTTAGCGATTTTTCAATGTATCCCCAAGTTTCCAAAAACGCCGCATAATTTAATAAATTTTTAGGAGTGGCGATTTTCAATTTGATCAACATGTCATAAGCATCACAAAGTTTGCCAACGTAGATCACATCATCTGCTGATTCAATAAATGATTCGACCAAATCAAGATAGAATTGCCATAGTTTAATCAGTTTTCGGATCCGTTTTTGAACCGGTATTGACGAGTCCACGTAGTCGATTTCATCATCATTATTTCCAGTCTCACGATACAACACATCTTCAAGCATCTCTATGGCATCCAGCTCTTTAAAGTAATCGCTTCCAAGTCTCATTTCACTCCAGCTGATATATAGTTCAGCTAGCTCATTAGGGTGCGGGTATTGTGACTGGACTGACTTGCCATATATAAAGTCGGCGGTTTTGAAATCTGAGGAAGAAGCGTATATTTGGGCATATTTGATCCATATTTCGTATAGTTTATGCTGACTTGTGCCGGGAATTTTCAATGGGTTGATTGACTTGATGGCGTTGGCAATGGTTTGAATGAGGATGTTTAGTTGAGCTTGATATATTTCGAATCGACTGAACCAATAATCAACATTGTTTATATCGAGACGGAGTTGCAAGTCGTTTATCAACAATCGTCTGTCGGTTAGGAGTTTTTCATATTCGGATAATTTTCGTGAGAGAATGTTGGTGTTTGGATTGCTATTGGAGTCAAGGTATGTTTGAATTTCACGCTCTTCGAATAGCGTAAACTCATTGTACACTTTTTCAAACTCGTTCAAACTTTTGCAATCTTTTAATGCTGCCTGATATATTCCTCTTATCCTATCAACTTGATTATTCTTCTTGGACTTGTAAAACGACACTAGTTTCAATCGAAGATTCGATGTTTGATCGGGGTACTTTTGTATCGCTTTGTTCACTTCCAGTTCAAATTCCTTCTCCTTCACTGCATTCTCTACAAGCAAGTCCAAGTATTCAAATAGGATCTGTACTTGCGATTTGGGCAAGCTCGAGTACTCATTAGACAGAACAATCTGTCCATACAACTTCAAAACACCGTCATTGTCACCAAACTCGACGAATTTATCAATAAAGTCCAAAATGGTCAAATTTAGCTCAACAGGGGTTGCGGCTTGATCACCTTGCAAGACTTTTGGGCTGACAAACTTCATTAGCCGTGAGTAAATATCCACGCCAGTTGGTCCACCAACGATATCACCAAACTTGATAAACAATACCCAGATTTTATTATGCTCCGTAGATGGTAAATCTTGTAAACACTTGTTAAACTTGTGTCGTATATATGTCACTTGGTCAAGGGCATGTTCAATTAAAATGTCAAAAATTTTGAGCCATATAAGTAACGATTTCGACTGCGTGGTGAGGCATTGATCAATTACTTTCTTCACATCCTCCGTCAACATTAGTTCGTAGTTTGTATCCACTAAGTTCAAAAAGGCGATCCATAATTCTTCCGATTCAGGTACTGCCTTGACTGCTCTTGAGATGAGGGAAAGTTTCAGTGGAAGGGTATCGTTTAGCTTGGATTCAAAATATGACTCCCACACTTGTACGTCCTTTTCGTTTTCAATGAGAGCACTCTCATACTTTAAGTCTTCTTCTTTCACTATCTCTTCAACTTTGATCATTATTGATCATTGCAGATTAGGAAAGCTTTTCATTCTGTGGTTGAAAAGAGCAAAAGAAAAAAAAAAACAAAAACAAGAGCCGAAAACTAATCTCAAAAACTTCGACAATCTCAAGCCAACAGAGTAAAGCCGTTCTTCATTCTGGGCCAAGCACTACCACTTAATACAACCATTTGAGAATGTCTGGGGCAGGTAACCGTGAGCAAGTGTTTCCCACACGTATGACGTTGGGAACCATGAAGAGTAAATTGAAGGGTGCTCAACAAGGTCACTCTTTATTAAAGAGAAAGTCAGAGGCATTGACCAAGAGATTCAGAGATATAACACAACGAATTGATAACGCCAAGACCAAAATGGGTAGAGTCATGCAAACGGCTGCATTCTCTCTTGCTGAAGTTTCCTACGCCACGGGTGACAACATTGGCTATCAAGTGCAAGAATCTGTAAATAAGGCAAGGTTTCAAGTTAAAGCAAAGCAAGAAAACGTTTCCGGGGTCTATTTGCCTACTTTCGAAAGTTCCGTAAATGAAGAGATTAATGACTTCCAATTGACTGGGTTAGGTAGAGGTGGTCAACAAGTCCAGAAAGCCAAGCAAGTTTACACCAAAGCTGTTGAAACATTGGTTGAGTTGGCATCATTGCAAACGGCATTCATTATATTGGATGAGGTTATTAAAGTCACCAATAGGAGAGTCAATGCCATCGAGCACGTGATTATCCCTCGAACAGAAAACACCATTGCATATATCAATTCTGAATTGGACGAATTGGATAGGGAGGAGTTTTATAGGTTGAAGAAGGTGCAGGAGAAGAAGCAAGAAGCGGCTGCGGTTGCTGAAGCTGAAGAGAAGCTTGATTTGGCCAAGGCGGAGGGCGCGACTGATGATGTAGGAGTTCAAAGAGATGTGGAGAATTTCGATGTCAGAGCAGACGCCAAGGGCAATGTGTTAACCGAAACAGAAGATGATGTTATATTTTAGTTCATATTATACAGATTGTGTTGTCAATTTTAAAAAATCTATATCTAATTTTTAGTCTATGGACAAGTGTAGCCACCATCGACGGCGAGGTTGGCACCAGTCGTGTATGTTGATGCATTGGATGCCAAGTACAAGTAGGCTCCCACCAACTCTTGTGCCAATCCTTCCCTTCCCAATGGGGTCAATTGCCACCATTTGGCCTTCATGTCTTTCTCAACAAAGTCAGAGATCTCAGTGGCAATATAACCTGGAGAGACGGCATTCACTCTAGCAAATGGCGCCCATTCGACAGCCAACGATTTTGTTAAATGAGTACAGGCAGCTTTTGCGGCATTGTACGCAGCTTGCAATTGAGGGACGTTGACAATGGTACCAGACATGGAAGAAGTAATAATCAATGAACCTTTTCCATTCTTTTTGAATATTTTACCAACAGTGTGGGCACAGTAGTATACACCGTTCAAATCAAGATTGATGATTTTGTTCCATGAGTCATAGTTATCAACGTTGATCTCGGGTCCTTCAGTCCAAGGAACACCCGCATTGGCAACAAACACATCAATGGTCCCAAAATCTTTCTCCTGTTGAGAAATAGTCTCTTCAACACTGTTTGAGTCGCCAATGTTACATTTATAAGCCTTTGATTTCACACCATACGTCTTTTGCAAGTATTCAGCTTTCTCATCTGCAGGATGTGAATTGTACCAAATAGCCACGTCCGCACCGGCTTGAGCAAAAGCTTCAGCTACTGCCCAACCAATACCTCCAGATGAGCCAGTTATTGATGCAACTTTGCCCTTGAGTGAAAATAGATCAAGTACATTCTTTGCCAAGGTTGGTGCCTTTGTTGGCAATGGACCTAACTCTTCGTTGCAATACGATTTGATGTCACTCATGATGGAAGAATATGGTAATGTATAATGCTTTGGAGATATGATTTGGAATACTCGTAAAAGAAAATTATCCAACGACAAACTTCTGTACAATTGCTGGCGTATTTATAAGTTTTTGCCCACTCGACGGAGTTCGAGTTTGTGTTGCATAATTTAATTCTCGCTGTAAAGAGCAATTTTCGAATTGCCAAACACACAAAACTGCCGTACGTAGTAACTTCCCTTCGACATTAACGGCAACAACAGCTCCGATGCATTGCAAGAAGAGGCAAAAAAATGGAGGACACAGGAAATGGAACTAGATTGGTTACTAGATGAGGAACAAGCTCGGGATAATTATTGATGAAGGTTTTCAAAGGGCCACAAAAATACGCCCCGCTTGCCAAAAATCCCGAGTCGGAGGAATCTTCCATCGAGTGGGGATGCAATGGTGGCTGCTGCTAGCGAGTTGGTCTCGCATTTGTACATTCTTTCGAGTGGGTTTCCATCACTGCATATCAAAGAGACCTACTCTGTGCTAACAAGACAAGATGAATCGCCTACACTATTACAAAAAGAAAAAAAAAAGAACAACAACAAACCCCATCAATCTATGACATCATCGAAGTATCACTCACAAAACTTGAAAAAAAGTCCATTTCACAGTAAAAATTGTATATAGAATCTATGGCACAGTGTAACCTCCATCAACGGCCAAATCACAACCGGTTGTATAAGTAGCGGCATCGGAGGCCAAGTACAAGTAAGCACCAACTAATTCCTTTGGGTGACCTTCTCTACCCAAAGGTGTCAATTGGACCCATTTTTTTTGCAAATCAGGATTAGCAAAAGTTGTCAAATGGGTGGAGATGTAACCTGGAGAAACACTGTTAACTCTGGCAAATGGGGCCCATTCAACAGCCAAGGACTTGGCCAAGTGCTTGACTCCAGCTTTAGCCACGTTATAAGCGGCTTGCAATTGCGGAACGTTGACAATTGTTGCTGACATTGACCCAGTCAAAACCAATGAGCCTTTACCTTGTTTTCTGAAAATTGGACCAATAGCATGAGCGCAATAGAAAACGCTGTTCAAATCAGTGTCAATGATCTTGGTCCATTTGCTCAAATCTGCAACATCAATTTCTGGTCCCTCAGTCCACGCGATACCAGCATTGGCGACAAATACATCGATTTTACCAAAATCCGATTCAATTTGTGCAACTGTCTTTTGTACCTCTTCAGCAATACCAATGTTGCAGCCATACGCAATCGACTTGACTCCGTATTTTTCTGAAAGATATTTGGCCTTGTCATCAGCGTTGTGTGAGTGGTACCAAATGGCTACATCAGCACCTGCTTGGGCGAAGCCTTCAGCAACAGCCCAACCAATTCCACCAGAGGAACCTGTAACTGAAACCACTTTACCTTTGAAGGAGAAAAGGTCTGTGATGTTATCAGAAACTTTTGGGGCGGTAGTTGGTAATGGACCCAATGCGGGGTTACAGTAAGAAATGGTTTCTTCGTCTTTACTCATGTTTGTGTGAATACAGTTATGAAATGTGGAAAGGCAATTGACAGTGTATTGAGTGTAAAAAGAGGGATATCTTGTAGCAGATAGTTTGAGGAAGTTGGTAGTGGTAGTCCTATTCCTAGCAAAGCAATTGAGTAACGAACTAATATTGAGTTTAACTGATTAAAGGAAAGGGAAAGCTCAAGGCGAAGCAACAAAGTAGAAGAAGTGAGAAGAAATTGACAGCTATTTATACTTCTAGCGGTTAACAATTGAACTAAATGGAATGGGAATGATTGACTTTTCCAAAGCGCAAGGAATTCCCGGATAATTCTATTGTTCTTTTTTTTTTTTTTTCCTGTTCAATTGCTATACAGTGTCGGACTTAAAACTGCGACTTTTTCTTTTAAACCCGGTACTCCGTTTTCGAACATGTGACAGTGTCAGGGAAATGGGGAGATCGGTTTTCATGACGTACTTTACTACACAGACCATATTCTCTCTACCTTAAAAGAATTTTTGTATTAACAAGTGACTTACTAACATGTACATGTAATCTGCTATAATAGCAACTGTGCAACTTAATAAACACGCTTGGCTGGTGGGACCGGTTTACAGTCATTGTCATCCAAAGTGTGTTTGATAACATGTCTATAGTCTAAACGTACTGGTGATCCCCAAGCGTCTTGGTATGACAATGTGTGTTTTCTCCATTCCTTGTCGTCTCTTTCTGGGTAATCATCTCTGGCGTGGGCACCTCTAGATTCTTTTCTAGCAGCAGCGGATGCAGCAGTTTGAGTAGCACATGTCAACAAGTTTTGCAATTCCAAAGTTTCAACCAAGTCACTGTTCCAAATCATTGAACGGTCAGTAGTTTTAACGTGTTCGAAGTCCTTGTCAATAGAGTTGATCTTTTCAACACAGTCATCCAAAGTTTCTTGAGTTCTGAAAACAGCACAACCTTTTTGCATAGTCTTTTGCATATCCAATCTAATCTCGGCGGTGGTCTTGGATCCATTAGCATTTCTTATTCTGTCAAAGTTGTTGATGGATTCGTAACCAATATCTTTACTGTGTGGTTTAATTGGCTCACCAGGTTTCAAGTTACCAGCAATGGTGTGCGAAACAGCTCTACCAAAAACAACCAAATCCAACAAGGAGTTAGCACCCAATCTGTTGGCACCATGGACTGAAGCACAAGCAGCTTCACCACAAGCCATCAATCCTGGAACGACTTCATCCTCACCTTGGTCATTCTTTTTCAAAACTTCACCTTGCCAGTTGGTTGGAATACCACCCATATTGTAGTGCACGGTTGGCAAGATTGGAATTGGCTCTTTGGTGACATCAACACCAGCAAAAATGTGGGCAGTTTCAGAGATACCTGGCAATCTTTCCTTCAAAACCGCAGCTGGAATATGAGACAATTGCAAGTACATGTGATCCTTTTCAGGTCCAACACCTCTGCCTTCATTGATTTCCATGGTAATGGCTCTTGAGACAACATCTCTTGAAGCCAAATCCTTGGCATGAGGAGCATAACGTTCCATAAATCTTTCACCTTCAGAGTTAACCAAGAAACCACCTTCACCTCTAGCACCTTCAGTAATAAGACAACCAGAACCGTAAATACCCGATGGGTGGAATTGAACGAATTCCAAATCCTCCAATGGCAAACCAGCTCTAGAAACCATAGCGTAACCATCACCAGTACAGGTGTGAGCAGAGGTACATGAAAAGTAAGCTCTTCCGTAACCACCAGTGGCAATAACAGTCCTGTTGGCAAAGAATCTGTGCAAGGTACCGTCTTCTTCATTGTAAGCCACGATACCAATACAAGCACCGTCTTGCATCATCAAGTCCATGGCAAAAAATTCAATAAAGAAATGACAATCGTGGTTCAATGATTGACCGTACAAGGTATGCAACAAAGCATGTCCGGTTCTATCGGCAACAGCACAAGTTCTATAAGCTTGTCCACCCTTACCGTATTCTTTAGATTGACCACCAAATGCTCTTTGGTAAATTCTTCCTTCCTCATTTCTTGAGAACGGGACACCATAATGTTCCAATTCGTAGATGGAGGCAGGTGCTTCTTTAGTCATATAATGAATGGCATCTTGATCACCCAACCAATCAGAACCTTTCACAGTATCGTAGAAATGCCAATGCCAGTCATCAGGATGCATGTTACCAAGAGCAGCATTGATACCACCCTGCGCAGCAACAGTGTGTGATCTCGTTGGGAACAACTTCGAAACACACGCGGTCTTGTAACCAGCTTCAGCGAGACCGAAAGCAGCTCTCAAACCGGCACCACCGGCACCAACAACCACACAGTCGTACTCGTGGTCAACAACATGGTACTTTTGGCCCATGTATTTAGCGGCATTAAAGTCGGAACCTTTAACATTGGCACCTTGCACTTGTGACCTGATGGATGTGTTGGAGAAAAATCTTGTCAAAGACAAGGACTTTGGACGTAACGTTCTCAACATTTGACGCTTTGTATGGGGGGGTAGGGGGGTGGGGGGTAGGAGTGTTATGAATAAATAGTGGATGTAAAAAACTGGACCGAGGATTTAATGGAAAAATTTGAAAAGACTTTCTTCGACGCAGTGGGGGATCAGATTATGTCAATGATTTGTAGATGCACAGTTTATCCCTGTTTTCCTCGTTGTTAGTCCGTTTCAGTTAAAGAAAGGGAAACCTTGTGGAAAATTTATAAAGTAGAATCGAATTGGTTAAAAAATCAGTGAGAAAGAAGGAAGGAAAAAAAAAAAAAATAAAAAATTTGTCTGGAGAAAAACGGTTGAGCAAATGGCGGGAGAGAGGTGGAATATAGTGGCAACCTGTTGAGGTACTTTATAATTGAGACTAGATTTGGTTGTGGAAGTCATTGAGAGTACTCTGCTTCATATGCAATTAGAATCTTTCTGAAGAATAACTCTTCTTTACTGTTTCTACCCAATTGGAATCTGGATTACAAAATACTGCGATTTGATAGGCCAAAAAATAAACAATAAAGACTCGGAAAAAGAGCCGCACTAATTTCTATTTTAGGCCACGTAAATTTTCTTTTTTTTATGTTCTTGTTTCTCCATTCCTTGACTTTCCGGGACCAACAACAACATGTTTTAGTGAAGCGAGTTGTTACAAAGCTTAAAAACATGGGGTTAAAGTACTACACACACACACTAAAAACACCCACAGCAACTATACAATAAACACAACAAACTAGTGTATCTTCTTACCCTCAGTCTCATTTCACTTCTCTTGCAACTATATCAATTGGAATCTTTTGATCTCCAATTTTCTTGTACCCGGAGGTAGTAACGATATACGATTCTTGCCCCCCAGGTAAAGGTACATTTTGTGTAATGAACAAACCCGCAATTTCCTTAAAAGACAACAACTTCTCCAACAACCCACTCTTCAACTCAACCAAGCGAGCCACCAACGGCTTGAGAAACGTCATTTGCATAATCTCATCCTCGACTGTCAAATTTGCTCTTAAATTGTCAGTTATTTGCTTATATATAGCCTGCTCTTCATCATCGTATGTGTACACGCTGAAAACCTCACGCTTAGAAAGACCCGAGTCATCAGTGGCCACTTCGAGGTAGTAATGGCCCAGCGGACCTGTTTGAAAGAAAATAGGCTTGTTGTCAAACTTCTCCGTGAGAGGAGAGCCACCTCTGACTCTTGTGTATAAATTCAACTGTGTAACGGCACACAGGGCGTATGCAATTAGCGATACAAAGGATACAATTTCAATAATTTGCATATTCTCAATAGCCGTTGATGATTTTGAAAAAAGCTCATTTTGCAGCCAAAAACCGTGTCTTTTATAATTTTCTTTGAGCAGCAATGTTAGTTCAGAAACGGCTTCTAAAAACTTGCTTCAAGTCTTTGGGATTCTGCACAGGACAATGCATGCACTTGCTTTGCATAGTAGAAGTCTTCTGCAAAGAAAGTGGTCACTGTTGTTATGACGACGCAACAACAAGCGGAGCCGAACAAGTAATTAGGCAAAACTACAGTCTTGTCCTCCACTAGTTGCCATGCACAAGGCTTGAGTAAGTAGAAAAAAGTCACTCACATAGATTACGCAGTACAGCAACATTAACATCAACATCAACATCAACATCAACATGTACGCCACTGGCCCTGCAAGGACAAGTACATACGTAAACGCACGATACTGCCTCCACAAATGCAAGTTCTAGATTCACTTCGCAATCCCATACATCAATCAATGGCCAGATGATCTAATTGGGAAGGGGTTAGCCTCGAGCTGGGCAAAATGGTTCGAGGGAGGAAAGTACAGCGAATTAACCGGGGTCGAAGAGGTCAAACTCCAAAATTTCCAGAAACCTGCCACTTTTTCCACACACACACACACGTGGTCTCGGGCGTACAACTGGTGATTAACTGTAAAAGAAGACGACAAGGGCCGACTTTCTTCTTCATCTATCAATGTTGGTTGCATATATTTCTCTTGGGGTGAGGACAAAAAAAATAAATAAAAAAAAAAAGAGGACACACAACCAAAAATTACTCCTCTTTTAAATATCCTTCACAACAACTAAAACATGGATGAAGATCTAACCAAATCAGTATGGGATGATGAATTCGATTCCAATAAACCCAGCAATGATCATACTGCTAGTGGGTTCAGTGAGGGCTTGAGCAATTCTTCTTCATTTGGTCAATCTATCACTCCCTTGGCCAATAATTTCCAATCGTACTCAATCGATGATCCATTTGCTAATCCATTTGAGGATAAGAAGCCGGAATCCGACGAAGATAATGACCAGGACGAGGAAGAGGCACAAAACTTTTCAAATCTCAACCTAGAGCAAGAACAAATACATGAACTAAAATCAGAGGAGAGGAAAGAGTTGAAAAGTCAGCTATTATCCGAACTCACAAACGGATCTGAAGAGAGTGACATATTGAGCCAAAAGGCGCACGAACGGACACCAAAGCACGTCAGTAAAAGCGATGAATTGTTTCACGATAAGGAGTCTCCCGTTAAACTAGTTCCGCTGGGTGAGGAGACGACATTGTCGCCTAGTAAAACATTGAATGTGAAGAAGTTTAAAGCTGGAAGACCTCGCAAGTTCAACTCAAAGACAAACGTGCACCATTTGAATCCGTCGCAGTCTGGGCCAACAAGTGGTGAACTGCCACTAGGACCTTTAGGTGGCGCGACAAAGGTTGTAAAAGACGTGGCACTGGAACCACAGCAACACAATCAGCAGCCAGAAAAGCTGGGCGAAAAAGTTATCGATGATTCGAAAGGCTTGCATGAGCCCAAGAAACAGCTGAGGTTTAGAAAGGATGAAAATGAGTTGGATATCACAGTGGCTGATCCAACGAAAGTTGGTGACATAACCTCAGCTCATATCGTGTACACTATCAGAACAAGAAATAAAAACCCCGAGTCTCTGAACTTCCCAAACTTGAGTACTGCAGAGGTGACAAGAAGATATAGAGATTTTAGATGGATATATCACCAGCTCCAAGCTAACCATCCCGGAAGAGTGATCCCCCCACCTCCTTCCAAACAAAGTATAATTGGTAGGTTCAACGAAAAGTTGATTGAGCACAGAAGATTTGCCCTAGAAAAGATGTTGCGCAATATCAGCAACAAGCCGGGTCTTGCCAATGATCCTGACTTTATTTCGTTTTTGACAAATGACGGAGACGGAAGATTCAATGAAGGTGGTGATCTTGAGAGTTCGGCCTATAATGAGGGCGGGCATAATAATTCCACCACCTCGTCTGCAGCCAGTGTTGCAACCAACGCTGCCATAGCCTCTACTGGTTTCATGAGCTCGCTATTCTCCTCGTCCAGTAAATTTGTTGACCCAGATCAATACTTTGTGGAAAAGAAAAACTACCTTGATGATTTGGAGTACAATTTGAAACAATTTGCTAAAACTATTGATTTGATTGGGACACAGCGACAAGATATGATCAATATCCTAGAAGAGTTGGCAATCACAGTGGAGGAATTGTCTGCGTTGGAGATCAGCAAGGCTACTGCAGATATTCTCAATGCCTTCAGCGAAGTTGAATTTAAAATCAAAGATAATTTAGACAGACTCAACATCTCGGATCAGTTGACGATAGGGTTTACCATTGACGAGTATTTGCGAATCATTGAGTCTATAAATTATGTTTTCCAAACAAGAACAAAAATTCACCAACTGTATTCTTCTTTGACGTCGCAAATAGATAAGTTAACCAAAAAGCAGCCACTTCTGCCTGAGAGGTCGTTTGAAGTTGAAAAGCTCAAGGAAAGACAGAGCGACTTGAAGAAGCAGTTTGATGACATAAGTGCCACCATTAAGACTGAGTTGGAAGAATTTGAACTCAATAGGATTGACGATTTTAGAAATAATGTTGAAATCTACGTCGAGAGTTCTATAGAGTCACAGAAGGAGGCAATTGAGTTGTATGAAACGTTTTATAGTCGGTACATAGCTGTTCAATAGTGAGCCAGAGAGTGATTCAGCAATTTCTGAAAGAGAAAGAGATTTTTAAAAAGCATCTGCAGGTCTTGTTACCTCAAGATGACTCAATAAAAAAAAAAAAAAAACAGAAGAAAAAAAAAAAGACTTTGTAGATACAATGCGACTCATTTTTTCTCTTCCCCACTTGAAAATTTCTAAACAATCAAAAAAAACATAACAAAAATAACAAAAAACAGGGTGGGCCGGCCTTTGCAGCACATACGACTCTACCATGAGCATCCAAGTACATTTCAACGACGTCAAGTTGTCAGTAATATCAATACCCAGGTCCAAATTGTGGATATTTGCCAACTCAATTGTACAACTTCTATACGACGCAATCGGAGACGAGAAAAACCACCGTGACTCATCCGATAGCAGTGAAAATGGAACCGATTATGACGATGCTGATGATGATTATGATTCAAATGCAGAAGGTAATGATATGGAAGGAAAACATGGTAAACCAAGTGCAGATTTCGAGGGGTCAACGCGCAAATCGGTTGATAATTCTAGCAAACCACAGTTAAATCCTACTAGTGCGACCACATTTGCCGATGACGAGAATGCAGAGTCAAATTGTTTCTTCCATATAGCAATGACACCATCTGAGTGCACAATTATTTGCTCTGCAAGTTTATCGACCCGTTTTTTTGCTCAGCCGTTGAAGTTGTGCAAGGAGCTAGGCTACTCAGACGTGGAAGTTTTACCAGAGGAGTACTTGAGCTTGGTTGTTGACTCTGATGGAAGTTTTGCCAAGTCGCACAGGATTTTGGAATTGACAAAGCCATTGTCGGAAAATGATGTGTCGCTTTTCTACATTTCGTCCCATTTCAATGACGTTGTTTTGATTCCTTCTCATTTGAAGAAAAGAGTGGAGAAAATTTTGGTTCTGGAGAACTTCATATTTTCAGAATCTTCGGGTAGCTACATATCGACATATGACGTTGATGACAAAGAAGAGGAGCCTGTTTTGTCAGACCTGCATCAAAGGACGTTTGGATTGTTGGCTAACCATGATATTCACCCTCAAATACACGAAAAACACAAGGTTTTGCTCACTGGTGCTAGGCCTGGAGAAATAAAATATTGCATCTTGAAAACCATCAAGCTAATCTCCTTGGCAACTTCTTTACAACCATCTTATTTTGCAATCACAAGAACATTTTCAAACGAGTTAAGTTTGATACTACCGCAATCAAACAAAATGAGGCTGAAATATGGATACAAGTCAACCAGTATTATCGGATCATCCCAAGATGTTTTGGTACCTATTGCAATGGACTTGTCCAAGCTTCCTATAAATTGTACTGGTATTGTAGCTGGATTGGCAAATAAATTAATTATAAGAGGCGGGAATATGCTTGAAATTGGGTACTTGTCTATGGCAAAGTCTGGTGTGATATTGATTCCTGAGGAGGATTTGGGTTTGGCAAGAAGCTCTCTAAGCGAGTTTTAATTAAAAAAAAAAAAACAACAACAACTGGGTATATCATGCGAATATGTTGAATTTTGATGCCAATTGTGATATGGAATATTTCAAGTGATGCTTGATCAAGGACGAACTACCAGGATACATCAAATTTGAGACCCGCTTTTCAGTGACACATGTATCGGGCACTTTTTTCAACTCGAATCTGTCCTCCAACCATGTCAATGCCGCTGGCACTCCCGCAAATGCTTCCACCATATGATTATAACTTAAATCTTCAGCAAATTCTAGCTTGGCTCCTTGCTTACACCACTGATTGACCAATTTGTAGATTTCACTTATCGGCGACATTTCATTCAACGTTGAATGAAATATAAAAATTGGCATACTTGGTGCTTTTTTGCCCAAGAGGCTGTTTTTGCTGAAATAATATTGGATGATTCCGTTTTGCGAAAAGTTTCTATACACGTCAACGTTGAATTTGGATCCAAAGTAGTGGATTGCTGCAGACACCAAGCAGTAATTTCTCAAATTTAGCCCATATGTGTGAATTACATGTCTGAACCGAGGATATTCATTCCCCATCCCATTCAAAATATTCACCACTAGTCCAGCATATGGTCCACCATCAACAGTATCAACCAATGCGCTAATATTGGCTATAGTGCCTCCCAAGGCAGCGCCAACTATCTTCAACTCTGGCGCGTATTGCGGGTGAAGTATTGCCGTCCACGCCGAGGCCAATGCACCACCAGAGTAACCCAACATTGCGAAACGAGCGTCTTTGCCAATGAATGTTCCAGCTGCTCTCATGGCATTCATGACTGAAAATGCAGATATCTTGGCCACGGGGAATGACAGCTGGGGACCCTCGTAGTCAGCAATTAGAACAAACCATCCTTTAGATAACGCCATTGAAATGTATGCAAGCTCTGCTTGAATTTGAAATGTTTGGAATGAACCAGAAAGAATTGCGTACGAAGGACGGCAATCGCCACTGGCTGAGTTTTCAAAAGCTTGATACGCCAATATCTTAGTAGAGTCTGCGTCTGAGTCTGGGGGCTCAAGTATTGTTGCTGAAATTGCGTTTGGATTGCCAAAGGAGTCTTCAGATCGTATGAGAAGTTGCCATGATATAGCATTAACCGGTGCTAGGTAGGTACGAATTGGAGCGGGCGGCTGTCTAACCCTTAGTATCTCCCCCAATCGAGTGCTTTCGTATCCCTCTGGTGGATTATAAAAGACGTCCAAGTGAGGAGGTTTTAGGGCTATCGACGACTCAAGTGCGATTATCAACAACCACAAGCGAACAATCATTGAAAGCAGAGCTTCACCTTTTATTTTGTATAATGACGGTGGAAATTTGCATTATTTGATTCAGTATATATGTATACGTGTGTATATGTATGGTATAACAAAAAAAAAAATAAAAAAGAAAATGGCAGCAGTACACTACAATTGGGATCGCTGTATTCATGGACGCTGTCATTAATCAGGGTGTCTCATATTAAAAGTAAACTATAAGATCAGTGACATGTGTGCCATTGACATTGTGTAATGTGTGGGAATGTTCTTTTTGACATGCCATTCGTAGTTAGTCTATAGGGTGGAGGTGGTAGCACCAGTATATTCAGACAGAGAAAGAGACAGGCAGAGAAAATTCTTCTTCTTCTTCTGAGTTTGAAAGCGAGTGAAAAAAAAAAAAAAAATTTCTTACCCATAGTGAAAAATAAGAGTCCACTTTGCAGTTGTCATTCAAGCACAGTCGAATTTAACTAGTTAAGCAGTTTCAAGGCATCAGTCAAAGAGTAAAAGATCACAACAATCAATCAATACAACCCACTAGAAAAAGGAGAGGAGAAACTTTTACAATGTTTTCAAGATCACGCAGAGCTCACGACCATATTGCAAATGAAAATTTGGACCAGTCTAGTACCTCATCGTACGCTGGCTCAAACAACAATGGCAATTCCGGAAAACACCACTACAATGGCTATGGCAGCAATCTGTATAATGGTCACCTGAACAACCACCACCATAATCACTATGGTAATGGGAATCAGATTAAAAACATTCAGGAGAACAAGAATGGCAAGCCGTACACTATGGATGAAGTGTTTCAAGTATGGTACGATAATCGTGAAAAGATTTTGAACTCGGAAGTCAAGACGGATGGGAATGAAAACTATAAAGTGTCAAAGCCGGAGCCTATCTACCACTTGACTTTACAGGAGCAATTTGAAAAGAATCAAAGCTCGAATTCTGAGGGTCATCTGGAGAATGTCATTGGTGATGGTCGACAAGCAAATTTTGGCTTTCAAGGAGGTGCGAATGGAAGGGGATTTGATGAGGGGGACTTTTCAAAACCATCAATAGGTGGAAGCGATGAGGTGACCGATTCTTTGCATAATTTGAACTTGTCAGGTCTGGCCAATCAAAAACCGAGCCAGATCCCTTTTTCCGCAGACCCGTTTAGCCTTGAAAGAACATCTAGCTTTCAAGGTGGATTTGGGAGTAAGAGCTCTGCCAGTTCAGCATTAGCAGCGGATCTTCCTCCTGGCTTGCCGCAACCAGCACTGCTCATTTCATCGGACAAGCTTGAATGGTTGTATATCGACCCTTCTGGAAACGAACAGGGCCCATTCAACGGTGATATGATGCAGGAATGGTTTACTGGTGGATATTTGGATCTTGACTTGAAAATCAGAAGAAAAGAGGAGCAAGAATTCAAACCGTTGAAAAATTTGTGTGAAGCTGTGCAAAATTACGTTCAACCTTTCAAAGTGTCACTACCAGATTTGAATAAAAATGAAACCGATTTTGGAAAGAACAGACAGTCGTTGCACAACTCGATTCGATTGCCCTCTTCGTCTCTACCACAGTCTATATTTGCTGGAGATTTTATCAACTCGCCTGTCAACGAGTCGTCATTTTCAGCAAATATTAACCTGCCAATGGGGAACTTAAGCAGTTTGAATAGTGGACTCCAAAGTAGTAGTGGTGTTGGTGGTGGTGGTGGTGCAAGCTACGCAGGAATGGATAACTTTAATCCACTGCCAGCCACATCAGTACCATCGCACGATAACTTTGATCCAAACTTCAACTTGCCTTCCATGCCGTCTTTACTTCAGCAACAAATTCAGCACCAACAGCAACCTGGACTCTCTAGAAATAACAGTGGCTGGGGCATTGATACAAGTTCATCACTTGTTGGCCAGGTTTCAGGTCCAGCTTCTGCAACCGGTTCTAATGCAGGAACTTTTGGAATTGGAAATGCTTCAATGAGCCACCCAGCACCTGTTTCTCCTTGGGTTTCGAGCACTGTTCTTGGCCAATCAGTCTCTCGAATCAACTCACCTTTCGCATCAGCTGTAGGTGGTACTGCACATGCATCTGGCGAGAACATTGAGACAAGAAACGACTCCTTGACAGGGAACAACGACGAAGATACAAATGAAAGTTTGGTCATGAACTCGGTAGTTACTGATATCTTGCAAGATGATATCGAGAAGCCTAGTCCTGAGTTTGCACATCCTGTGTCGGAGGAACCTGCTCCTTCGGCAACTTCGAAGCATGCTGTTGGGTTGGAGACAGAGAAAGCGGTTGACTCCAAGACGGAAACTGTGAAAGAGGGAGAGGAAGAGGTTACAGCTCCACCCACCAGAACTGTTGATTTGAAACCTTCAAAACCACAAGCTTTGGCTCCCTGGGCAGCAGAGACAAAGACGGGGGATGCAAAAGACTCAGGTTTGTCATTAAAAGAGATTCAAAAGAAGGAGGCTAAGAAGTTTGAGCAGCAAAAGAAATTGCAAGGCAAATTGAAAGCTGAGCAAGCGCAGAAGGCATGGGCTGCCACTGCAGCTTTGGAAAAAGCAGCCGCTGCTGAGCAAGAAAAGAAGAAGGCACAATTGCCAGCGACATGGAATATTGCTTCTGAGGCAACCCCTGTTGTAAAGTCATTGGCTGAAATACAAAAAGAAGAGGCCGAACTTGCCAAGGCAAAGGCTAAAGCAGCAGCAGCAGCAGCAGCCCAAGCCCAAGCACAATCACAAGCAGCACAATTGTCTGCAACCACTCCAATTGCCTCCAGTTTTGCTCCTAGTGTGTCATTTGCCAGTGCATTGGCAAATGCAGCACCAAAGGAGGACACCACAGCATGGACTACCGTCGCCTCATCCAAAAAGCAACCAACAAAGAAACCAACTGCTTCCACCACTTCCACTGGAGTCCCCACATCCAAGATCACACCCCAGTTGTTGCGTAGTGTATCTGCGGCAAAGACGACTACACCCAGTGTCAATATGCAAGCAGTCAGAGAAGAGTTTTTAGTTTGGGCCAGATCGCAAATGACCAATCTTTACCCATCAGTGTCCAAAAATGATTTGTTGGAGATGTTCATCACCATGCCCTGCAATTCCCCTGACACTCAACAATTGATTGCGGAAACCATTTATGCATCAAGTACCACCATGGATGGAAGAAGATTCGCTCAAGAGTTTATCAAGAGAAAAGCCAAGGCTGACCACACTTTGGGAGGTGAGGCTGCTAAGGATTTCACTAGCTGGTCAGCAGCTATCATTTCCAGTGCTGACAAGGTTCCAGTTGTTGACGAAGATGGATGGAGTACTAGTGTGAAGCCAAAGAAAAAGAATGCCTCCAGAAAGTAGGGTATATAGTGAAATTACAAGTGGGGGCGAACAAATGAGTCAAACTATAAGAATTTTTTACGATGCAGGTTATATTGCATTGAGTGTATATCTATTCAAAGACCTAATCTCTTTTCCATCTCACTGTGCATATCCATGACATTGTTACCATTTTGGTGTAACCCGTTAGGATACACATCTTCCCAATCCAAGCTGGTATCCTTGCCCAACAACACATCCTTATGCATTGGATCACTGCCTCCTAGAACTTGAGGCTTAAAATCAGTATTTTCAACAATTGACAATTCCATCGTTCTCTTGATTGGCTCACCGGCACCAAATACACGCCTATAAGTCTCAAATCTCGTGTCTTGTTGCGTTTGCTCCCAATTGTTTACTCGTGATTGCAATGGATGGAGGTTGTTGATTTTGGATGATATGTTCACTGGTCCTGATTGGGTGTGTAAGGTTTCTGACAATGATGGAGCATTCTTGGATGCTTCATTGAAGTGGGTGGATGAGACTTCAGATTCCCTGGAGTCTGAGGGAATTATTCTTAACGACTAGAAAGTTGAGGGGACTGTTAGTATAATTGTACTGCTAAGTGTACCTTGTTTCAGTATACGTACCATTGCCGGTGATCTATGGCTGTAAACTCTCAATGGCAAAATTGAATTCACGTCAACTCCCATTCTATGATTTTTTATTATTTTTTTTTTTCCTTCCTCTCTCTTAGATGAATTTTATACAAACGCACACGACTTATGGACTACTAACATTTATTACGTCGTGAGATTAATGCTATGCTTTGTCTGCAGTGTCTTGTTGGGAGAGGTCACTGAAGAAGTGAAGAGGCTGCTCCTTCATAAGTCAGAACTTTGGACTTACGAATAGGAGGGAAAGACCTGCGTGCAACAAGAGACTCGCTTGGTTGCAAAAATCCTGTTTTTGTGTAATAGTGCATTTACTGTACCAATTGAACAATTGCTGAATAAACACTACCAAGGTGGATGTAACTCCAGTTAGTATGGAAGTCCATGAAGATAAAGAAGTTTGTCGTTTGCATTCTCCTTCCTTTCAGTATCATAACATCAGTAGCAAAATTATGTTATGATACTGATGCCTAGAGTCCATGAGAATTGACAGGCCAAGTGATCATCGTGCGGTGTGCCACAGGGCATTTCTTGTGCAACTTATATATATCGGACGAGTTCAACTCCATCAAGAGACCGCCAACTGTCAATTAGCCATCTCTAGTGAAGTTACCCTGCTTCTCTGTCTGCACTCAACGCTACCAAATATCTTCCCAAAAGAAAAAAAAAAAAAAAAAAAAAGAAAATTCATTTCTCAGCTGTAATTCATCTCCATCTCAGATATATCACACCACAGTACAACCGTAATAGCCATGGCTTCAGTATGCGCAGCTCCACAGTGTGGTAAAGAAACAGACTCAATGTTGAAATGTCCAGTCTGCTTACAAGCGGGTATATCAAGTGTGTTTTGCGACCAAAACTGTTTCCGTTCAAGTTATTCAATCCACAAGGCCATCCACAAATCGGATGATGGAGAGGAAACGTATATTCCATTCCCAAACTTTTCATATACTGGTGATTTGAGGCCACACTACCCTTTGAGTCCAAGAAGGTCCATCCCTAAACATATCAAATTACCCGATTATGCTCAACATGGAAAACCCATTAGTGAAATCAAGAATGATCGCATTGGTAAAATACCCGTTTTGACTCCGAAAGAGATTACCAAGATTCGGAAAGTTAGTCAGGTGGCTAGGGAAATTTTGGATATAACTGCCAGTCATATTGCGCCGGGAATCACCACTGATGAGTTGGATGAGATTTTGCACAAGGAGTGTATCAAGAGAAATGCATATCCATCACCTTTAAACTACTACAACTTCCCCAAATCATTGTGTACTTCAATCAATGAAGTTATTTGTCATGGTATTCCAGACAAGACCAAATTGAAAGACGGCGACATTGTCAATTTGGATGTCACGATATATTACATGGGGTTCCATTCCGATTTGAATGAAACTTATTACGTGGGAGATAAAGCCAAGAGCGATCCTGATACTGTGCGCTTAGTTGAAACCACACGAGAATGTCTTGATTTAGCTATCCAAGCAGTGAAACCAGGGGTGGCATTTAGAGAATTGGGAAATATTATTGAAAAACACGCTTCGGAAAATAACTGCTCAGTGGTGCGTACATATTGTGGACATGGGTGTGGTACTTTGTTCCATTGTCAACCAAACATCCCTCATTATGCCAAAAACAAGGCTATTGGAATTATCAAGCCGGGTCAAGTGTTTACTATTGAACCTATGCTCAATTTGGGTACTTATAAGGATTGCACCTGGCCTGATAAATGGACGTCAACTACACAAGATGGAAAGAGATCTGCCCAATTTGAACACATGTTGTTGGTTACTGAAGATGGAGTGGAAGTGTTGACCGCTAGAAATGAAAAGTCGCCAGGCGGACCAATACCTAGAATTTCAGAGTAAAATACACATTGTAAATAAAAGTGACGATTTGCACAATTTTATAGAATCTCTTTATCACTGATTAAAATATCAAGTAGTGTGTTTTGAATCTTGTTAAGTGATGATTCAAGCACTTGCAACTTCTTTTTGAATGAGTAGTTCCCCTTCAGGTTAACAGCATCATCGAAAGCACCATGGTGTATGGATATCCCAGGGTAATACGCAGTGAGGATAATATATTGTTCATGTAAGTCTTTTAAAAAATTGTAATTCTGCAATGTTTTCGTCATTTGAAATTCACCAGACGTGTCAGATGATTGCAGAATCACCATTCTCATAATTTCACCAGTACAATCAAACAACCCCATCACGTAGTCCGATTTGTCGATAAACTCAACAGGGGAGATAGAGGGAGTAGGTAGTTGTATATCTGGATGTAACAAGTATTTCACAACGACGTCTACTTGCCCGTCCGCCACTAAGTTGATCAATTGAGAAAACAATGCATACTTGATCAATTCTCCTGTTTTCTTGTAGTATGCAAAGGTGCAAAACTCAATCAATTCTTCAACAGCACCCAGAATTGAGCCTCGTAGATGATAATTGTTCACATATATATCGTCATCCTTGCGTAGATGCTCACTAATCACTTTCAAGTATTGCGACAACTCTTTGGTTACAATGTCATCCAGGACTGATCTGTGTAGCGTGAAAATTGCCTTTTTGGAGTAGCTCGTTATTTCACGACACGACCGAATTACCGTCTCTCTTTCATCTTGTTTTACTCGTAGATGATCCCTAGCAGGAATAAAGATTTGTTCTTCTATACTCATTGCTAAATTGACGCGTAATAAGGTTTACCATACACTCCGTCTATATTGGAATTTTCTTCGATGCAGTTCCATTTCATGCGTGAAAAAGAGAGAGAAAAAAAAAAAAAAAAAAAAAAAAAAAAAAAAAAAAAAAAAAAAAAAAAAAAAAAGAAAAAAAAAAAAAAACAAAAAAAAAAAAATTGTAAAGAAGTTGTCACGACAACAGGACTCCCTTCATTCAGCAATGTCTTCATCAATTCAACTACTTAACCCTAAGGCCGAGTCATTCAGAAGGGCACAGGCACTACAAGTCAACATCAATGCCGCACAAGGCTTACAGCTGGTGCTAGCATCAAACTTGGGACCTAAAGGAACTTTGAAATTGTTAGTTGATGGATCCGGAGCTTTGAAATTGACCAAAGATGGGAAAGTGTTGCTCAATGAAATGCAGATTCAGCACCCCACTGCAGTGATGATTGCTCGTGCGGCTACTGCCCAGGACGAAATCACCGGGGATGGAACTACCACGGTGGTTTTATTGGTTGGCGAATTGTTGAAACAAGCAGAGAGATTTATTAGTGAAGGCATACACCCCAGAGTCATTGTTGATGGGTTTGATGTTGCTCGTGAGGAGAGTTTGAGGTACTTGGACGAGTTCAAGACCAAGATTGAGACATTTGATCGTGAATTTTTGTTGCAAATTGCTAGAAGTTCGTTGATTACTAAAGTTAACAATGACTTGGCTGACGTGTTGACACCAATTGTTACTGATGCAGTGTTGACGGTCAAGCACGATGACCAACCTTTGGACTTGCATATGATTGAGATTATAACTATGCAGCACGGCCACTCAAAAGAGACTGAATTGATCAAGGGTCTTGTTTTGGATCATGGGGCACGCCACCCTGATATGCCTAGAAGAGTAGAAAATGCTCATATTTTGATCTTGAACGTGTCATTAGAGTACGAAAAGACTGAAGTCAACTCAGGTTTCTTTTACTCCTCTGCCGAGCAACGAGACAAGTTGGTTGCATCAGAACGTAAATTTGTTGATGAGAAGTTGAAAAAGATTATTGACTTGAAGAACCAAGTTTGCGGCGATTCGTTAAATTCGGATCAAGGATTCGTTATAATAAACCAAAAGGGAATAGATCCTATGTCGTTGGACGTTTTGGCCAAGAATGGAATATTAGCGTTGAGAAGAGCCAAGAGAAGAAATATGGAGAGATTGCAATTGGTGTGTGGAGGTGAAGCGCAAAACTCAGTCGATGATTTAATTCCACAAGTGTTGGGATATTCAGGATTGGTTTATGAAAACAGCATAGGTGAAGATAAATTCACTTATGTGACGGAGAACAAAGACCCTCGCGCATCCACAATTTTGATAAAGGGATCGAATTCCCACACATTGCAACAGACGAAAGATGCCGTTAGAGATGGGTTGAGATCGGTGGCCAATGTGATAAAAGACAAGAGTGTTATTCCTGGAGCCGGGGCCTTTTGGATGAGCTGTAATAGCCATTTACTTCAAGACAAAAAGATATTGAAGGGTAAGAATAAACCAGGTATTCAAGCGTTTGCTGAGTCACTATTGGTGGTCCCCAAGACCTTGTCAGCAAATGCTGGTTTGGATCAATTGGAAACTATATCCACATGCCAGGACGATATACTTGATGGGCACGTTGTTGGAGTCGATTTGAAAACCGGCGAGCCTTTGGATCCAACAGTGGAGGGTATCTGGGATTCGTATAGAGTTGTGAGAAATGCCATAAGTTCAGCCACTGGTATTGCATCTAATTTGTTGTTGTGTGATGAGTTGTTGAAAGCAGGTAGATCGAGTTTGAAGGAAGGAGGCGGCGGCGCCGGAGGTCCACAAGCTCCAGGCGGAATGCCTGCAGGTATGCCACCAATGGGCGCACCAGGAATGATGTAAAAATATAATTTGGGTGGAGTACACTGGGCAAACACTTGTTGAGAGAGCGGAGTGGAGTGTATGTTAAACTTTAAAGTTTGATTTAGTAAGAGATGGGGAAGATATAGACGTGTCTGCATTTACGTAAATAGTGAAAGCTTGGCAAGACAAGACTAATACGCATTGTAGGGCACTGCGGATGTAGTAAATATAACCATTGCATATAGCCCTAAAACATCCCGAATAAAGCTTGGCACTTGAATGAAGCTGTAATGAACAAAAACATTGAAAATTTTGCAGCAAGCAAAACAAAGGGGAGAGTTAAAAAATTCAGTGGACTCTGTATCAATTCGCGATAGATATCAACATAGGTGCCAAACAAGGCAACTGTTAAAGTCTTTGAACTCTCTTTACAATCTATTATCGAATCTCCTCTAAATTGATCGCTTTGAAAACGTTTCTTTGTTTAGCTTTAACGCCTAGCTCGCCGTGCCTTTTTTATTTTATTTTTTTTTTTGCCAGACCTACCTGAATTTCCAGTACATGCGCGGAGTTAATGGATTATGTTGTGTTCTAGATCCGAGCTCACCAAATCCATCAGTATCAGTCTTAGTTTGTGCTTCCGGGGAATGTTGTTTGGGTGATGTTTGATTTTCACTCTCACAAAAGGTCTAGCCTCTCTCCCTTGACGTCTTTTTTGTGTCTCAGTTAGATTGAAAGCAATTTACTTGTTGTGCCAGTATAGCTAGCTTCTTAACTCTAATTTTAACATGCTCTGCATGTGCATTTCCTTTTGTTCGATATTGATGAATCCGGATCAAATCTTGTAAAAACAAAGTTTCCGGAAACTCATAAGTTGTGGTTCACGCATTCTATGCTCACAAACATTTACAACTATTTTCAAAAACTTGGGTGAGTGTGACTTGTTCCGAGCGTACAATTCCCCCCGAGTTGAAGAAAAAGAAACCCCAGCAGAGTAGTTTTCCGTGCAGCGTGATTCAAGTAATGTAGCGGAAGATAATAGGATTTAATATATCAAGGCGGATAAAAAACCAAAGTGTTACAAAACCAGGAGAATTGCACATTGGAAATATGGTCTGGATCCTACCTTATGAAACTTTCAAGTGCATTGACGAGGGAGACAATAATAGAATTGGCACGCCTTAGTGGGACTTCACTTGTACTGGAGATGTCCAATCTAATACGTTGAAGCCAGTTCAACTATACGAAGTGATTGCATTGCTTTAATACGGTTTGTCAAACCCTCGAGACCCTTTTGAACATTAGCACAAACGTTGGGGTAGTTCGTCGGCTAAATGGGAAAACCAAGATATAGCAAAAGCATATCATGTATAAATAAGGTAATGAGGTTTGAGGCGTGTGGCGGTAATAGACGAGGAAGAACACTTTCAGCCACTTGTTTTCAGTCGCCGATCTAGATCTTCCATGATCAATAATTTAAGAGTGGGGTATGCCAAAAGATTTAGACTCATAACCGAAATACAAAAAAAATTGAAAAGCAGTGTTGGAATAAGAAGGGAATTGTGTAAGCACTTGTTTGTGTGCTTTTGTAACTGGGATGGGATGCTTTTAGTTCATTGTACATAGGCACGAATGCAGATGCCTTAACAAACATAAAAAGAAAACAAGGAAATAGGAACATGAAGACTTGCATATGTATTGTTATTGTTGTTGTTGTTGTTGTTGCTCTTCTTCTGTCCTTATTAATAGCTGCTAACCGCACTCTAAGAATAGAACTCTTTGCTTCTTTCTGGCTTTTTTTTTTTTTTTTTTTTTTTTTTGTTTAGTTTTGTTTTTTTTTTTTTTTTGTTNTTTTTTTTTTTTTTTTTTTTTTTTTTTTTTTTTTTTTTTTTTTTTTTTTTTTTTTTTTGGCGTTAATGCTTTCTTCAGTTACATATCTCAGTGAAACAATCAAGTAGTATGTTTGTGTTTCATACATTTTACGAAGTCGTTGAGAATGTAAAAGTAGCCAAGGCTCTGCTTGGCTTCAAACTGGTACGCGGAGATAACGTTGGGCGGAGTATGCTTCTGGAACTGCTCTTAGTTGTTTCAAAGTCAAGGAAAAGGCGACACAATTGGAATTAAAAAAGATCCTCACCGATCAGATCCCCCACTCGATCTTTATGCTCTCCTTTTTTTTTTTTTTTTTTATTTTTTATTTTTTATTTTTTATTTTTTATTTTTTATTTTTTATTTCTCCGTCAACCTCATCTAATTACACAAAGACAAGGTTTAAAATTATTTAAACCTCAGATTTTAAACGCCTTGAGTTTTACGGATAATGGAATGGGGAAAAATTATAGGATATTATGCGTAATCTATTATTGTAGATCCTAAATGGTTGACTTTTAGGCCGGTTGAACACAGAGCCGATTCAGTATTCGAATGGGCTTACACTTTACCGTCAGAGTACTCGTCCTTCAATATAGAACGAAGTGCCACAAAGTGGCCTTGTTTGCTCATTTACAAAAGAGCTGCAGAGATGAGAGAAGAAAGCAAAGAAGAAGTGGTACCACCACTGTCATCGGCATTGACAGGGAAGGAGAAGAATGAAATTTTACTCTGCCGTGCAAAGTTACTCAAAAAGAGATGAGAAGTAAGATTAAACGAATTCGATACGAAGGTTTGATTTCAAACAAAAAAGAGCTGCTATTAGAGAAAGAGACTAAACCGGCTTCTGCAATGGTTTATTTACTCATCGAAGCTTCCCTGCTTCCCAGTACCTTGTGGTTGCACCGTCTCATCAAACGTCACAACGTCTTTTCCAATCACGGTGCACGTGCTATTCAAAATGCAATAGATCGATTAATACTCTCACAAAGTTGTTGCTATGGCATCAAAAGTCAGTCTGTATTGTTGGTGAAGTAAACACAAAGACACTATTAGAGCTTGTACTTCAAAGGCTGCCAAACGTTTGTATTTGATAACGACCATGTTTTTGAAGTAAAAAACAAAATTTTACTCTTTGGAAAGTTGTGCATGACGGCAACGATACAGGTGAAGAGAGATCTAGGGAAAGGGAGGGGGAAAGAAGCAATCCAAACAAAAAATAATAATAAAAAAACGGAGGGAGGGGGAAAGGGAGGGCGGCAAAGATCAAAACCACAATATGTCAACAGCCACTCTCGCTTGATACTTGGTCGTTCTTTCTGTTTGCTTCCCCCCCTTAGTGATTTAGTTCTCCCTTTGAGACTTTACTTTAATTTATTGTACACCAAACATATTTACGAGAAACTTTTGGAGGATAGAGGGGAAAAACCACAAGCTGCAGGCAGCAAGCAGTTGCAGAAAAGCACGAGTAAACAAATCAATGAATAAGAAACAATTAGACGAACCAAGGTTCATAACCATTTCGTAGTGCTCTTCGCATATCCGGGAACTGTTTAACTCCGGCATTTTAACTTTTGAATATTTCATGTCAATCTATTAAATTGAAGGATATGTTCCAAAAGATGAATTAGTTTGTTGCGTGGCTCAAAAGTAAGAGCGAATTGGCTTACACAAGAGCGAGATATAATAAGGTGGAATTCTGCTTTGTGTTTGATAGAGACACTATATTATACTATGTTATATGTGAGATTGTACAGCAATATCGAGAATGAGGAGGATGATTGCATATTTCCTTAAGAGAGAAGAGAAAATTAGAGGTAGGGAGAGCAACGCAAGGCGGTAGAGCGTGAGTATCTATTGTTAGCGTATTGTGTATTGCCAGAAGCTGATTGTTACTACTGCACATTGTGCATAAGGAATTTTAGGGGAGGGGCAAATGGTGTATGCATAATGGGGAAACAGGGTATAGATTTCCTTTACCGTAAGGGAGGACAAAGCAGACTTAAGTGTTAGAATAAAAAGGGGCAATAAAACTTTAAGCACATGAGAGCCAATTGAATTGAGTAGCCACTAAAAAGGACGAGTATATCAATCTCTGTTAAAAGAGCATGTCTTTTAAGTGTATGTGTACGTTGGCTAATAATAAAATTTTATATGTTTCTGCCATGTTTGTGTAATATATGCACAATGTGTGATGTATTGCTTTATGCAGGAGATACTATCCTTAGAAAGAAGAAAACATTATATGCAGTACACATAAAGCAAATTTCCACATTTTGTCAACCCCAATGAACTTAACCAAAGAAATTTCTGAGATTGGGAATCAAGGCGTGGTATCGAGGGCAATTTAAGAAAATTGGAAACACTTGAACGACACACGCAATATGTTGATAAGGTTGGTGTCAAATGGATGCTTGAGAAAACTATTCTTCAAATTTCCAAACTTGGCAATTTGGAAGAGTATGTAGACGTGCGCCACATACGATGTAAGACATTCTATTTTTTCTCTTTTCTTTTGTTTTTTTGCAACACTTTTGCTTCACCTATGAGGATCAAGTCAAGGAAGAGACACGTCAACTGTGTTGTGACCATACGTACAAAAGCTATCAGTATTTACCCACTAGTTGTTATAATACACTGCGAGGTGGACTCATTGCTAGACTCATGTAGCTCATGATTGAAAGAACGAGGTTGAGAGTTACGAGATAAAACCTTGGCAGCACTACAAAATTACACACAGTTGTCACCAATGCACCATCGAATCATGTCTACACATTTTGCAGTGGTACTTAGATAGTAAACCTTTGTGAAGAAGGCGATATTCATGGAAGAGCAAGTTAGATCACTCTTGAATTGTGCTGTGCTGTCCGGCAGGAGAAGACAAGCGTATTAATCATGTCTAATTTTCCCTCTCCTTCACTGGCAGAAAGGAAGTTGCATCTTGACTCACAGATATTCGGTACTAGCTTCTATATCGCAAGGCTCTAGGTTGTATCCGGCAAAGGCGGTGGTACATCACTTGAATGTAATTTGAACTGTGATAGAAGGTTGCCTTTGAGCACAAAATAGAGTCTCAGTAGAAAGAACAAAAGTTCAAAATGCAGCGAGTGTTCTTTTCTCATTTTGAGCACTATGCACGACAAACAATTTACATTTCTTTTGTCCCACATTTACTATTTCTACTGCGTGAGAGGAAATATAATAAAATAAAATTAAAGCAAAGAAGCACAAACCTGTTTAGAATTTTTTTTTATACATCAGTTGGCAATAATAACAAAGATCACCAAAGTATGCACAATTTGTGGAAATTAACAATAAGTTGATCTGCATCTTTACATGTATTAAACCGAGTCGCCCTTTTCATCTTCACTGAATAATACAGCAGATTCCACTTCCAATCACAAAAAAGGAAATAAAATATAAACACAACTACAAAGTGAAACCTTGTCTCTTTGTTAGTTTTTTTCTTTTTGAGCCGTATATTTATATTTAAATATATATATATGTAAGGACGTCTTGACTGAAACTTTTTGCTTGTTTTCTCTTCTCCAATCTAAGTTTGCAGAAAAACCTTAAACGACGGGATCAAGAGTCGAAAGAGAACAAAAAAAAGAAAAAAGCACAGACAGTCAACTTATACATTTGGGCTTACACTGCTGACATTTGACAATCAGAAACTTAAAGTGAAGATCGGATTTAATTAGCCACAATCTCCGCAAGATTTTCTAAGTTACACCATATTCATCACCATACCCATATAGTGTAGTCCCGACTCCACCAGACCAAGAACGTTCCTTTGCTTTGTCCTCTTGGGTGCATTTTCAATTACACTTTTCAAACACGAAAGCTTATAACGAAGGAAATCTTTTCTTTTTTTTTTTTTTTTTTTTTTTTTTTTTTTTTTTTTTTGACTTATCTTTTGAAACCTTATTTTCAAATTCAGCGAAGGGATTAGATTGCACTCAACTTTTCTATTTGGCGTTTATTTTTTAATTTTTTCACCAAAACAGTTGCACATTTTCTAGCTTCACTACTACCCTTTTCTCGCATCCCCTTGTGCATTTGTGACTAGATTATTATTTTTTTTGAATTTTTGGCAATTGCAAACATGAGTACAGCATCGATAGGCACTAAGAAACGGCAACGTCGTCAACCAAAACAGGAACGAGAAAAACAACAACCACAGCAAAATCCAAATCAGTCATCGCCTTCGCATTATAACGAGACCCCGCGTGTCGCCGGTAGCGGTTTCTCGTACCCCCCTGCAAATGTAAATGGTGGTGCAGGCATCCCCTCTTATTCGCATTTGCAGGAGAGGAAACCATCAGCTTCATATGTACCAACATCGAGTAATCCAGCGGATGCAGAGAGGTTGCAGCAGGGACAAAAGTTCAAGATTGAACCTCAGCATGGACATCATCCACCTGTTTACCATCAATATCCTCCTCAACCAGCCTATCTTTCGCAAGATATATTTCATCCTAGTCAGCAACAACAGCAACAGCCTTCTCGTCCAGGCATGGTGAGTCACCCTAGTCAGCCGCACCCGGGTCAAGACCCCAATTACCCACCAGGTGCAGGACCAAATGCGGACCCTCAAAGACAGGGACAACCACCTCAACAATGGACCCCATACCCTCCCAATCCCAACCCACGCTACTATCCACCGCAAGCACAGCCTTCATCAGTACAAGGTGATGACGGCCAAGTTGTACGAGTAAAGAAAAAGCCAGGAAGAAAGCCTCGAGCAAAGGAGGACTTGACAGCCGGTCATCCATACGGCAGTTCCCAGCCTAGTGGAAACAACCTGGCACCACCAACTATAACACATCCATCACCAGGCTCAATTCCTCTCCCATACCAACAAGGGACGCACATCCCACCGGCGGGCCCGACTCAAACTAAAACTCCAACTTCAGCGTCACCAAGACCCTTTGCTTCAGGAAAAGTGACAAGAAGATCACGTATGGGATGTCTTACTTGTCGTCAAAGGAAGAAGAGGTGTTGCGAATCAAGACCAAAGTGTACTGAGTGTGGCAGACTAGGGTTGAATTGTGTATGGCCAAAACCAGGTACTGAACACAAGAACAAGCCTAAGGATCAAAAAGAGGACGAAAATACTATGGAGCATGAGATTTATGGTAGAATAAAGGTGTTGAGAGGAATAGTTGAGTACAGGTCCGAATAGAGACAGACAGAAACAACGTGTGTGTGGTGAAAATTTTAGACTTTTATCAATTCAATTCTTCGACGACGAGTGAATTCATTATCGTCATTGTGTTTTTAGAATTCCAACTTTAACATTTGTATGTGTGATGTGTTACTTTGTATTCATTGTCATCTTTAGTGTATCAATTTTTTGAAAGCGTAGTCACTGTACATTTTTACACACTCCAGTAGGTTAACATATACTGCCTATTTGGGAAGTCTACAGAGTGAATTTTAATTAATTAATATTTTTTTTTTTTGCTATTTTTTTTTTTTTTTTTTTTTGCTATTTTGTTGAGATAGAACACCAAAAATTCACACCACGTAATTACCCACGACAGTCATAGATTTTTTTTTTTTTTTTTTGCAACACTAGTACATAGAACAGAGCACTTCGCGTAGCAGATTCACAGAGCCGCTTACTTTGCCAATTGGCTTTTACCATCATGTCGTTGCAAGTTTTTTCAAGTCTAAGGAATCGTCAGATTTCGATTCTAGAGCGGATGCTTCATTTGAACAAGGATGGGTCAGCAGACTTGACCTTAGCCTCCAAATCGGAGGAAATCATATGGAAAGTTCTTGTGCTCGATCAGAAATCACGAAACATTCTATCCTCGGTATTGAGAGTGAATGATTTATTACGGTGTGGAATTACGGTTCATGCTTTGATCAATCAACAACGTTCGAAATTGCCTGATGTGCCTGTCATCTACTTTGTTGAGCCTACCAAGGAAAACATAAGCACCATCATTCATGACTTGAATGATGACAAGTATGACATCTATTATATCAATTTCACATCACATTTACCCCGTGATTTGTTGGAAGAATTTGCTAAGCAAGTAGCATTGCTGGGTAAAGCGTCGAGAATAAAGCAAGTTTGGGATCAATATTTGGATTTTGTTGTTACTGAGCCCAATTTGTTTTCATTAAACTTGAACAATATTTTCACAACCTTCAACACGTCACAGACGAAAGAGGATACAATTCATGCTTTGGTGGGCACTATTGCCGATGGGTTGTTGTCACTCATTATAAGCTTGGACGTTGTTCCGATAATACGCGCACAACAACATGGTCCAGCTGAATTTGTGGCACAAGAACTCGACTTGAAGTTGCGCGAGTACTTGAGTAATGCCAAGCTGTTGGGTAATGATCATAATGCAGCATTAACTCAACGGCCGGTGCTTATTTTGTTGGATAGAAACTTTGACTTGGCGTCAATGTTTGCTCATTCTTGGATATATCAATGTATGGTGAGTGATGTTTACCTGTTAAAGAGAAACACCATCAAGTTGCGCAAAACCACCAAGGATAAGAATGGCGTTGAATCAGAAACAGTGAAAAATTATGACATTGACCCACGCGATTTCTTTTGGAGCAAGTATGCCCAATTACCCTTTCCTGATGTGGTTGAGAGTGCCGACGTTGAATTGAACTCTTATAAACAAGAGGCGAAGGAGATCACCAACAAGACAGGAATATCGTCATTGGATGACATTGATCAAAACTCTACTAGCTCCACTGCCAATATTCAACAAGCAGTGGAGAAATTGCCTGAATTGACAGCAAGAAAGGCGACTTTGGATATGCATATGGACATTCTATCCAATTTGATTAATGAATTACAAGCTAAAAACTTGGACACCTATTTCGAAATTGAGCAAAACGCTGGTGGAAATCACAACGATACCAAAATCTTGAAGGAGTTTTTGGATTTATTGACTGACGACGATGCTAAGCAGGACACCTCATTGGATAAATTACGTACATTGATCATTTTGACTCTTGTTAGTGATCATTTATCTTTGGATTACATTTCGAAAGTCAAGTCCATTTTGCTTCAACACTATCCCCAATTGGACATGTCGGCATATGACTACATTTTGAAATTCAAAGAACACCTGAAAATTGCCAATTTATCCAATTTATCTGATTCCTACAGTAGTGGGCATAGCGGCAGTGGGGGCTTGTCCTCCTCATCCTCAAACGCACAAACCTCCTCAGCTTTGCTTAGTGGGTTGTCATCAAAACTTTATGGTTTGACAGAGGGCCGTATTTCGGAAGGGTTGAGTTCAATAGCGTCAAAAATCAAGAATTTCATCCCTGAACGAAACTTGCTTCCCATAACCAAGATTGTTGAAGCGATCATGGATCCAAGTAGTTCCAATCAACAATCAATCGCATTAACTGACGAATATCTTTACTTCGATCCTAAATCACGGGGTGGTGGCCATTCAAAACCACCAAAGCGACAATCGTATACTGACCTGATTGTGTTCGTAGTTGGCGGAGGAAACTATTTGGAATATGTCGATTTGACTGAGTGGAGTGGACAACGTGGAGATGGCGAGGGAATTAGAAGTGGCGTTGGTGGTGTAGGAGGAGGTAGTGGTGGTGGAGGCCCCGGAGGCGCTGGAGTTGGTGCAGCTGGTGGGAGCGGTGCAGGTGCGGGTGCAAATGTTGGTGAAAAGGGTAGGTTTAATGTCATTTACGGAAGTACCGATATTCTTTCAGCAACTGAGTTTTTAAAAGAATGTCAACAATTGAGCAAGAATTAGGGGTAAGCGTAGACTAAATACATAGAATCAACTAATTACCAATAAAAACTTTTTTTCTCATTCTATCGATATATTTAGAGGAATGTCTTTGATTCATTCAAAACTTTAGTCGATCTTCTTGAATCCAAAAACAACAACTCACACTCTTCGATATCTTGTAATTCAACAGTCGAGCGACCAGCAATAGAGCTCAATATACCAGCTGGAGTCAATAACTGCAAAGCGTACCTCAATGAAGTCTTTATTCCATCTTGACTCAATTTATTGATTGCGTCATCACTTAGAGTCAAATTCTCCAAGTTTGCTCTCTTGGTAATGATGGTCTTGATCTCATCTTGATTATAAGGCAATGTCCTAACAATTAACAAACGATCAATCAAATCTGGTGGACATCCATGGGGTGCTTTAATAGACAAGTCATCAGATCCTTTAACTGTTGTTAAACCTCTATTTGAAGCCAAGATGACAATAGGGGCAATATTGCTTTCCAATGCCTTGTTCAAATAGGTGAATATTTCCAAATCCAACATATTGACTTCATCAATAAACAAAACACCAGGAATCAACTCGGCTATTCCTTGATCGATATACTTTGATACTACTTTATTCACTTCGCTGCGCAATTTATCAGTGATTTCCGTCTTTTTGGGCTTCAACAACTGACCCATCATACTCAACACATCCTGTCCACCTTGAGGTCTAGCATTTGCAACGTCCAAATCGTGCAATGTCACATCTTGGACAATCTCCTTCTTCTTGTGTACTTCCCCTTTTGGAAGTGGAACGTATTCTTCAGCCTCTAAATCGAATTCGGTGGCGTATGCATCTGATCTACCAACACGCTTAACTGCACCAGTGTTTGATTCGATGTAAATGACATCTCCAACAGCAACACGCTCCTTTTGTAGCGACTCGTAAATACTTGGGTCCAACCGTAAATTCTTTGTTCCCTTTGCCGTTTTCAAACCAACAATAACATGACTTATAGTTTTGCCATACCCGCCCAATGGATTCTCAGCTTCCTCTGGAGTCAATTCAATCACTTCACCTTCGTAAACCTCCTTGGTCTCCTTGATCCGTAACCCAATTGCCTTTCTGAAATTCTCCATCAACGCACTGGTCTTTTTAACTTCAGCTGAATACAACTCCAGCCCAACAATAGGACAAAAGGGGACTTTGGGCCCTAATTCCTGCGACACTGCCAACGCCAATGCCGTCTTACCAGTGGCAGGTGGACCAGCAATCAAAACTGCCTTACCTGACATTTTCTTACTCTTGATTAAATCAACAATTATACCACATGCTTCACGTGCGTCTTGTTGTCCTACGAATCCGCCTTCTATTGGCTTGGCAATTCCATGTTCGTTCAAACCGAGTCCTTTGATGTGGGTGTGTGCAGCAGTTCTGTTCTCCTTGGCGGAGGTAGAGGCAGAAGCCGAGGTGGATGTGTTTTTGTTGTTGTTGTCTGGGACTTCACTTATTTGTACCATTGTAATGTGTGAAATGCAGTGATGAGTGATGCCTTTTGACTACGCTTGTGATGGCTTTTTTGATGGCTCCGTTGTTCTGAGAAGAAGGAGAAAAAATTCAGAAATTTATCTTCAGTGTCGTACAATCTCTTTTTGTGACATTGATTAAACTACTTTTTACGACATTGGCAACCTGTGGAATTTTTTTTGAACTTTGTTGACGAAAACAGAAAGATCACATACAAATTCTGAATCGTATTTTAAGTTTAATTCAAACTTAGTCTTTATATTGAGATTTTGTTGTTGCATGCTGGAGAGTGCTCGAAACGGTATCAGCTACAAATAACTTTGATTGCGTGGAACCAATATGATCTGCATCTATATACAAAACTTCACTCAATCTTCCTTTTCCTTTTCTTCCTCGTCTTCTTCTTCCTCAACTATATACTCAACCAAGAAATTCGCACCCTTGAATTCAGGCACTTGTTCAATTGTCAATTCCGAGTCACAGTCAATAACTTTCTTAGGATACGGTTGTACAACTTCAAACTTGAATGGATTTTCCAGGTAATATCCATGCACGTCGTCATACTTTTCTTTATGTTGCTCGGGAATTTGCAGATCCAATTCCAGAATCAACTCGTCTAGAGTCACTTTATCCTGAACCCAATTCTCATTAGCATGATTCAATTCCAGTGCCACCTCTTCAATAAACAATTTGAGTTCAATGTATATGAAAAATTGCAAAATTGTAATTGACTTGTCAAACTGTTCAACTAATCTTTTCCCACTAGGTAGTTTAACAGCCACACGCAAGGAATCATCTTTACTAGTCAAACTATGAATATGATTCTCCTTGATTAAATTGAAAAGAAACCAGCGTCTCAACTTGACCAAAAGTTCAGCCTCTTGTTTCAAACGCAACTCTTCATCTCGTTTTTGTTTCTTTATTTTATCCTTTAGTAGTGATTGCGTATAAGCGTCATCTTGCTGTTGTCTAATCATTCGACTAAAGTCGGTTTCCTGTTTATCGTATCGAGCAGCCACCAATTGCGGATTGTACTTGTCGATATTCTTGGTCAAATACTTGGCGATTTTCAAAACCGTCACATTTAATTCGTCATCCATGATAAACTGTCTTGACAAGTTTGATTTGTAGACTATAGACATTGAAGCCATAATATCAGGGCTTGGCGATACGTTAGCAACAAGCATGACGTACGGTGTCTTTTTGATTTTGTAAGTTTGGCCAATCTCCCACGCCTCTGGCGAATGATCAACATTTGCGAAATACAACTTTGCCGATTTGAAATTACCGTCAGTTTTGTTGAACGATTTCTTGAAAAGGGAGTTTTGGAGCAACTTTGTAACAAAATTTGTGGTTTCTATGGCATCGTTGGTCAAGATAACCAATAACCAATCGTACTCATTTTGACAATGCGAATGGAGTTCATTGAATCCAGACTCAACTATGTCGTACGACTCAAATGTGCTAGCTTCATTCAGTTCCTCATTTTTCTTCAATTCAGACAAGTAGGAATAATCCGGATGAAATTTTTCAAAGTCAAACGGTTTATTGAGCTTGAAATTGTTATCATTCTCATCATCACCACTACTCCAACCAAACCCAAAAAAGAACTTGATGGAGCTGATAATCACCAGAAGAAAATTCTTGGGTATAATTAGCAAGATTATCCACAATGTGTTCAAAATTGAGTTTGAGTTTGAGTTTGAGTTGCGAATTGTACGCAGACTCACGCTTGATGTGTCGCTTGCCACTTCACTACTTTGCTCAATCAATGTTTGATCTTCCAACTCCTTTTTTTCTGACAATTTACGTTTCTCCTTTTCGCTCTCTTCTCTTTCATGAATGAGTGAACTATGAATCCCCACATCCAATTGCCAACGTGTAGATATTTGAGGGGCTTTAGGTAATCTAGGCATAAGTGAATTGAGGAACATTTGGCTCTGTAAATTGACGTACTCGCTTCTTGTTCTGGTTGATGCTGATCGGTGTATTAGTTCTCCAATGCCTCCATCATCTTGGATAATACCGTCACCGGTGCCACCACCACCGTAACCATTTATGCCTTCAATCTCTCTCGGATCTATTGCCGAGCTTGCACCTCTATCACTTCGATTATTCAAATTAGCCGATTCAACTGTCTCAAATCCTGATTCCAAGTACGTCAAGATTGCATTGTTTAAATCAAAATCGTGAACAGTCAACAAACGGTGGATTTTGTCGTCAACGTCACTTGAATTGTCAGATGATTCCAAGCCTGCTATTACCTTGAATTGGTCAAGAGTCTCTTGATTCCCTGACATTTGTGAAGATATTGCTCCTGCAGTATGGAAACAAGAGTGTGGTGGTTCCTTGTATAAGGAGAACTGGAAACTTTGCTGGTAAAACAAAGACAAGCCATTGACGTGTACTTTTGCCCAAAAAAAAAAAAGAATTGTACCAAAAGGCAAGTTGTATGTATGGAATCTTTTGCTGCAGCAGGAGCTGCGAATTGAGTAGTGAATGAGTTTGCGATTATAAGTAGACTCTCTTTCTATAAATGTTTTGACCAAAATATAGAAAAATATGGAAAACGGGGCTGTTTGATTCACTTGTATTGCAAAGCCGGATGTTGCATTAATATTGTTGCAAAAATTAATGCAAATTTTTACTACAAGATTGGACAGATTCAAGAGTTATAACTGAAAGACCAAGCTTGACAGATTTTTGTTTCATGGTCTAGATAGTATGTTTCAGAGTGACAATACCAAAAGATCTATATTAATTACAAGGAGTGCAATTACTTTTCAATAGGTGAATATATTTGCAATACTGTCGCACAACAGGTCAATTGAAACAAGGCTTAGTACACAATTTCGAATAAAGAGATATTTGAACGCATAAGAAGGATGCCTTTTGTATTGCTTATGCGTTGTCAATGAAGATGAAGGTCTTTGTAGTGCATTTCTAACCTCGGCTAAATAAGCTCTGCACAAAACCAAAATTTTAGCCTGCACAATAAATGATGATGCTTTTATGATTGAGTTCTTTGTGAACAAAACAATGATGAGAGGCGTGTACCAAAACCTGGGGAAGAAAAGCTGCAGAATCGTAGTCTTTTGTTGCCAATTTCTGTTTTATCATCAGGGAACGTTTGTGGAAAGTCAAAGACAGGATTAGAAGGAGAGTAATACATGGTTAGATGAACAGGGGGTTGATTTGTAGGGTGCATGATAGTCTTGTACAGAGGTGTCCTCTCTTTTTGTTACATTTTCTGCACATAATGATTACTTCCAAAAACCTCTCCGACTAACGGCAAATTCCGGTGCAGAGTTATACTTCATTTAACAAACAATTTAATTAAAAGATTGAGTTACCAGGAAACAGAAGCTTATTGCCAACCAAAGGATTGAAAATGAGATAACAAAGACAACAAATTGCGATCCAAGCTGCATTTGCAATGATTGCATCCTAAAATTTAAATGACGTCAACCCCATTCTAATTCGCTTGCTAGCTATGCGCTCTCACTACTGCTTCTTCTTCTACTACTTCCATTGAATAAAAGAAACGTTTAACAATCAAACGTTTGAGATAAAGAGAGGAAGAAAGAGAGAAAGAAAGAGAGAAAGAGAAAGAGAGAAGGGTCTGAATTCCGTTGTGCGTGTACCTTGTTACAAAAACTTGCACTGCCGCACACATACACACAACAATCCTCACAGCTCACAGAACAATCTACTTCACTTTATGTTATTTTTCTTAACAGCATCATTTGTTTATCATAACGGTATATAGGTTATTACCAATAGATTCGCCTTGGTGTCTTCTTTTACCTACTACACAAGGCACACGTTGGAATCTTATGACTCTATTTTGTCTTTTGTGTCTGCTGTTGTAATTTTTTTTTTTTTTTTTTTCTTTATTGTCTTTCTCCAATGCCGAGGCAATATGGGGAAACAACATATTTATTTTATTTTTCTTATTTTGTAGCAAGCATATACAACATGACTTTTACACGTCATAGATGGCATACTGTGGAGAAGCGACTTCCAGTAAAGACACACATACCTAGAGAACAAGGCATTGAGTTTCAACACTTTAATGTCTGTAGAGCTGGATAGATGTTCTAAGCGCCAAATAATTTGGTTTGCTGCGATCGTCCGTTGTGTATTACACAAAGAACACCCTTTCTTTTCACGTGTACCAGAGCGTGTCTCATTAAAATTGCTATTTAACATGTTTAGCATGTTTAATATTAATACCAATTTTTAGTGTTTTGACCGGGGGGGGTTTTTTTTTTCTTTTTTTTGATGCTTTCATGTCTCTTATCCAATCATAAATATTTATTTATATCTTTGTATTGTCAATGTAAGTTTTCGACACTGATTGCACTATTCTTTTTCTTCTTTTTTGTTTTTTCAACTCTACGTTAGTCAATCAACACAAACCGTTGGTCTCAAACACAGCTTTTGAAGAGTCAGTAAAAATAATATCTGATTTTGCAGACTCTTCATCCTCGGAAAAATTGCAACATCCAAAAACACCAGAAAAAAATAAAAAGTTCCTTTCTTCCATACAGAGATACAGAACGAGAGTTTAAAAAAAAATAAATAAAAAAAAAAAATATCACAACGCCAAAAAATTATATCAACCTTCAATTTTTTTTTTTTTTTCATTTCATTTCATTTCTTTTTAATTCATAATCTACTTTTCTAAACACCTTTGTCCAGGTTTCTTCCTTCACTCAGCTAAAGAGTTTACAACTTGAAAACTACATTGAACAAACAATGTCGAGGTTTTTCAAATCAGCATTGGGTAAAGCATCCTTGGCTTTTGGTGCTGCCGCTGGAGGTACAATCATTTACTTGGATTTCATTCAACCCAAAAAACCAGCTCAAATCGCCACATCTTACAAACCTTTGAAAAAGGATTATCCAGAACCACCTACACGTGAAGAACTCGTGTCAAGATTAACTCCAGAAAAGAAGTTTGATGTCTTGATTATTGGTGGTGGTGCTGTTGGTTCTGGATGTGCCGTTGATGCTGCTACTCGTGGTTTAAACGTGTGTTTATTGGAAAAGACCGATTTTGGTTCCGGTACTTCTTCCAAGTCTACCAAGATGGCTCATGGTGGTGTGAGGTATTTGGAAAAGGCCATTTTCCAATTATCCAAAGCCCAGTTGGATTTGGTTATTGAAGCTTTGAATGAAAGAGGTAATATGTTGAGAACTGCTCCTCACTTGTGCTCAGTTTTGCCAATTATGATTCCTGTGTACAACTATTGGCAAGTTCCTTACTTTTTCGCTGGTTGTAAAATGTACGATTGGTTTGCTGGAAAGCAAAACTTGAGAAACTCCACCATTTTCAGCAAAGAACAAGCTGCTGCTATTGCTCCAATGATGGATGTATCAAACTTGAAGGCTGCTTGTGTTTACCACGATGGTTCCTTTAACGACACGAGAATGAATGCTACCTTGGCCATTACTGCTATTGAACATGGTGCTACTGTCTTGAATTACTTTAATGTCGACCAATTGTTGAAGGACGACAAGGGTAAATTGTATGGTGTTAAAGCTACTGATTTAGAAACCAACAAACAGTATGAATTGAAAGCTACCTCAATTGTTAATGCCACTGGTCCTTTTGCTGATAACATTTTGGAAATGGATGAAGACCCACAAGGATTGCCACCAAAGACTCCACAAAAGCCAAGAATGGTTGTTCCTTCAAGCGGTGTCCACATTGTCTTGCCAGAATACTATTGTCCACAAAATATCGGTTTATTAGATCCTTCAACTTCAGATGGAAGAGTTATGTTCTTTTTGCCATGGCAAGGAAAAGTGTTGGCCGGTACTACTGACACTCCAGTCAAATATGTTCCTGAAAACCCAATTCCTACTGAAGAAGATATCCAAGATATCATCAACGAAATGCAAAAATACTTGGTTTTCCCAATTGACAGATCCGACGTCTTGTCAGCTTGGTCAGGTATCAGACCGTTGGTTAGAGACCCAAGAAAAGTTGAAAAGGGTAAAGAAGACTCGGGTTCAACTGAAGGCTTGGTGAGATCACACTTGTTGTTGGAATCACCATCTGGCTTGGTCACCATTTCCGGAGGTAAATGGACCACCTATAGAGAAATGGCTCAAGAAACCATTGACTACGTTGTCAAGCACTTTGATTTCGCTGGAAAGAATGTCAAGCCATGTCAAACGAACGAATTGATCTTGGTTGGAGGTGACGATTACTCTAAAAACTATTCCGCCAGATTGATTCACGAGTACAAGATTCCATTGAAATTGGCCAAACATTTGTCGCACAACTATGGATCGCGTTCCGCTATGATCTTGGACTTGTATGCCGCCAACGATTTCAACAAGTTGCCAATCACATTAGCCGCCAAGAAGGAGTTTATCCCCAATGTCAATGAAGCTTCACCAGAGAACCAATTGAGTTATCAATCATTTGATGAACCCTTCACCATTGCTGAATTGTTGTACTCCTTGAAGTACGAATACCCTAGAACACCAGCCGATTTCCTTGCCAGAAGAACCAGATTGGCATTTTTGAATGCTAGAGAGGCCTTGTCTGCTGTTGATGGTGTGGTTGAAATTATGAGTAAAGAATTGAAATGGGATGATGCCACTAAGGAGAAAATGAGAAAGGATGCAGTCAAGTATATTGCCAATATGGGTATCTCACCAAAGAAGTTTGATGTTGAGCAGTTTACAGTTCAATAGAAATACTAACTACACTGAGTAGTGGTGATGGGTAATGATGGATCGATGAAATTGTGAATATTAAAAATTTTGAAACGAATTGGATTGCCAAAACGAAATATTTTGAGCCTATTTATAATAAAGATAGAGTTTATAGATAATAGAATACACTTGTACAGAGTGGAAGATAACAAAAAAAAAAGTTGCTAGTCGCCATAAATTGGCCACTGTTTGGTCTCATTTGTGCGTCTTCTTGAGTATTGAAAACGCGTCAATCAAAAGTTTCAACCGAGCGCAAAAAAAATATACTTCAACAAACCTCATTTTCATTCTCTTGAAGCGGTTATCAACGACATAAAAGTCATATATAAATCATACTTTCCATTGATAGAGACAGGTTTTATCCTCAACATCCACCCCCCTTCTACACAATGCAGTCGTCAGAAGTACCGTATCACAATGCCAACCACCTGCCATATTCAAAACTCACACCAAAGCTCAACCTATCTTCCTCATTTTCATCAACTAAATCATCCCTAGGTCTGATCCTAACGACATCGCTACCGTTGTTGATTGCGTATCCAATTGTGTTTGTCTCACAAGGACTAATTCTAACGCCGACACCACCACCACCATCATCACCACCATCATCATCATCATCCACTACTATTACTACTCTTGCTGATTCCATAGCGGATGCAATGGCAGTCACTGCCCCACTGCCCCTGCCGCTGATACCGCTGCAATTTTCAGCTGCCATTGCGTCTAGTCTGGCTATATTATTTGTGATTTTTTGCGCTCAGTGGATAAAGATCATTCCTAGTGACAGTACCGACATTTCAACACGGTCAAACATCAACGCAATTATCAAATCATGTAAAGTTTACCTATCAATTATTTTGATATTACTTTCGACAATATTCCTCCCCTTTGATCGATGCAGCTTGATTGTGTTTGGGCTCTACTTGAACTTGTTCAACGTGTACACTCCCGCGTTACTATTGCTTGATTTGCTAATCATGAACCCCAGTCCCAATCCACAGTTGGGTTCGGAATGGCCAAAAACAATGATTGGGCTAGGGTATGCGTCAATCGTTCTTGCTTTCGCGTTGTTGCGAGGAGATGTCGATCATGTATCCAAGTTACGGTTAGATAAGACTGTGGTTTCTGTTGCGTTGGTCATGGGAGGATTCATTTGGTTGGGTTTGAGTAGACTACTGGCTGGAATCAGTTTTAGTATGATTGCAGTCAATTTGATTACATTCACAATTGGTCTAGTCACATTTCAAGAGTTTTCCCAATTGAAAAATAATGGCAATGCGCGTGGTAGTGGTGGTGGTGCTGCTGCTGCTGCCGGTGCTGCTGCCGGTGGTGACACGATTCAAGTGTTGGTTTTGTTTTTCGTGGGATTGAGCTTGGTGAGTAGTGTGTTGAAGTACCTTGTGTTTCAGCAGTTTAGCTTCTGGTCGTGCATTGGTGATTCGGTGTTGGCATTGTTGATCATTCCCGGATTGAAATCAAGTCAGCGGTTCAAACTGTATGTAAACGGTAATATCAACAACATTGATGGAGCAACAACAGCATCAGGGACGACAAATTCCAACACCACGGGCTCTGTTTCGTCGAGCTCAATATTATCACAAGTTGTTAAACATCAAGACACAAGAGCAATATTCAACTTCCTTCTCCTCAACGCCAGCTTCATGATTATCCAATTTCTCTATTCATTCCGATCAAAATCACTAGGACTCTTGTCCGATTCATTGCACATGTTGCTAGATTGCCTATCATTAGCATTGGGACTCGTTGCTGGTGTCTTGTCAAAACGGGAAATTGACAATGATCTGAATTTCCCCTTGGGATGGTTCCATTTGGAGAATTTGGCGGGATTTACTAATGCCACATTGTTGATTGGGATTAGTGGGTCTATAATGTTTGAAGCCGTGGGGAGATTGATCAATCCGGTGCGTTTGCAGCGGACTAATGAGTTGATTGTTGTTTCGGTGCTTGGATTATTGGTTAATCTCGTTGGTGTGTTTGCTTTCAATCATGGACACAGCCATGGACATAGTCATAGTCATGCTAGTCCACAACATGATTCTCTGCATCTGCATCTGCATACCCATTCCACTGCTTCTTCGTCCCATACTTCAAATGGAGACGATTCAGCCAATGACAACATGCGAGGTATATTTCTTCACATATTAGCTGATGCATTGGGGTCAGTAGGAGTAGTCATTTCGACCATTTTGACCAACTTGTTCCACTGGCAAGGATTCGATCCCATTGCCTCCTTCATCATTGCAACATTAATCCTTGCTTCAGCTATCCCATTGATAAAATCAACGGCATCGAGCTTGTTACTCAAGATCCCCGCAAGTCAAGAATCAGTAATTCGAAACACGTTGCATGAGATCTCACATGTGAAGGGGGTGAAATCATTTACTACACCCCGGTTTTGGCCAAGTGGTGGTGGTGCTGCTGATACTGGCGGCGGTGGCGCAGCAAAGATTAATGGGTATTTGCATGTGCAAATATATCGTGGTGAGAATAGTTGGTATATCAAGAAGCAAATTGAGCGGTTGTTTGGAGAAAATGGGGGTACTTTTAGTAATGATGTGATGGTTCAAGTTGAGAATGATTATGATGATTGTTGGTGTAGGAGGAGGAGGAAGTAGGGAAGGGGGAGTGGAGTGGTTACAGAACAAATATATATATATATATAGAAAGAGAGAGAGAGAGAGAGATAAGTGCTGACGTATATTTATTGTCAACTCTTTGTGCTACGTAGTAGTTGGGTAGGAGATATAGACATATGAACGTTGGGAAGATGTGAGGACAATGTTGAACTTGGATGCAATTTGATTGCAAAACTGTTTATTGTCGCAACTGTAAAGTTCACGACATTTTATTACGTAACGATTTCGCTCTCTCATCTCACATTTATATCAAATTCGACTCATCCTTTGAAAAACTACAGTCATATACCTTTAACTAAACTTATCTTGTCTCCAGTGAATTCAGCTACTTCACATCATCCAATTTCAAGAGCCACATTGTACACAATCTACATAGCAGCAAAGAGGCAGAAATAAAAAACAGAGAAATGTCACGTACGGGAGTCATAGTAATGGGTCCAGCAGGAGCTGGCAAATCAACATTTTGCAACTCAATAATAGCCCACATGCAATCAATAGGCCGCCGAGCCCACATCGTCAACTTGGACCCCGCTGCAGAACCCACCGAGTTTGAATTCACTATAGACATACGTGACTTGATCTCGCTACAAGATGTGATGGAAGAATTAGACTTGGGCCCCAATGGAGGATTAATCTACTGTTTTGAGTACTTGTTGCAGAACTTGGATTGGCTAGATGAGGAGATTGGCGATTATAACGACGAATACTTGATTTTTGACATGCCGGGGCAGATTGAGTTGTATACACATATCCCCGTCGTGCCCACCATAGTCCAGCATTTGAAGCTGAGTTTGGGGTTTAATCTATGTGCATGTTACTTGTTGGAGTCGCCTTTTGTTATTGATTCTTCGAAATTCTTCAGTGGTGCGCTAAGTGCCATGTCAGCGATGGTATTGTTGGAGTTGCCACATATAAATATCTTGTCGAAAGTTGATTTGATCAAAGATGAAGTGTCTAAGCGGAAGTTGAAGCAGTTTTTGAATCCTGATCCGTATCTTTTGGCGAAACAGGAGGATGAAATAAATCCGCAGTTTACAAAGATGACCAAGAGTATTGCTAATTTGATTGATGATTTTGGTATGGTGCAGTTTCTTCCGTTGGATTGTTCAAAGGATAGTAAGAGTGTTGAGAACATATTGAGTTATATTGATGATGTGACTCAATGGAGTGAGGCACAGGAACCGAAAGAACCAAATGATGAAATAGAGATCCCTGACGATGCATTTTAGTGGAAAAGTATCGTCTTTTCTTGTGTATAGTATAGTGAAACGATGTGATATTTTGAATAATGAGTGGATATGTAACTGAACTCGAACTTGGGTAGATATCCTCATAAAAAGGTCTTATAATGAAAGTATTAGGCACTAATGATACAAGTCTATCACGTGATAGGCGCGTGAGATGCTGAAGGTGTATAATTCAGAGATTATTTGCAAATATGTTCAATAGCATTACATGTATCATCGTCTTTTTCTTTTACACGACAATTGATGCCATGTCGTGTAGAAGTCCTGCAAATGAAACATAGGTGTGTTTGTGTTTTCTGGGATATTTTGCATCCTGGGTATAACGAGAAATGCATGTTTTGTGTAGGGTTAATTTGGATATAATGAAAAAGAGGAATGGTCAAATAATAACCTATACTGTAAACTTACATTAGTTCGGAGTATGTTTTTTTTTTTTGTTTGACTAATGAGTTGATATTTTGAATAGAAGGTTACATTATGATGCGTAATTGTACCTTAAAATGAGTTGATTTGTTATTTTCTTGACTCTTTTTGGTGGCTAATCTGTAGCCAATCATAAACTAGAAACTCATCAATCAACACCAACAACATCAGCCAAGATGTCGTACGTTTCACTACGCTGGAGTAGAGTGGAGTGGAGTGGAGTTCTCCTTTAATGGCAGATTTGAACAACTGTTTTGAGTCAATTCTTGTTTGTTCGGATAAAGCCGCTTTCCAAAGCTATTGACTTTTTTTTTTTTTTTTTTTTTGTTCCTCTCTATTGTAGTGACAGTTTGGCAGTTTGGCAATTTGGCAATTTGCCGTAAAAGCTGAGCAATAAAAAGAAGGCTACTAACATTTACAAAACTTAGTTACTGTGCAATCATTAGCAGAGACTTTCAAGAGTGGGGGAGGAGGGGGAGATCCTTACTCAATTAGACACAAATTGGATGTGGATACAGTTACACACACACACACACTCTCTCTCTCTCTCTCTCCACAGCCAATGAAGTTCTTCTTCATGTGAAAACCTCTCACTCAACAAACAACAAGCAATTGAAAAATAAACAAAAGATGTCCGTAACGGCTTTGTAGCTTAAAGAATGACAAAATAATTGGAATAGAGATTTCTGTTTCTCTCTCTCTCTCCCACCGATCGGGCGCCGGTTAAGGGTTAAGGATAACCCAAAAAACAAAGTTCACAATAAAAATTGCGTAATAATATTTTAATCTATTGTGCATAATCAGTACAACATCTGATTGGATGATAACAGAGTACACATCCATACACACATACATACATACATACATACATAAACATAAACATTAAAGTTATAATGACTATAAATTAGAAATTTAAAAAGTTTCTTTTTTTTTATTTTTAGTTTTTTTTCAGACAATCTTTAATCGCCTTTTAATATTTTAATAGCAGAGAGAAGAGAGACTAGTAAACTATGTATATGTATATATATATATATATATCACATAAATACTTAGACTAAACCTCAAAGATTATATAAAGACCTTGACCAATTCTTCCTCTTTCTTCTTCTTCTTCTTCTTCAGACACATTAGTCTTTCCTTTTAATACACACATATATCTATCTATATATATATATCTACACATCATTCATTCACAATGGTCTTGCCACACGAACCAGAATTCCAACAAGCTTACGATGAGTTAGTCACTGCCATCCAAGACTCCACTTTGTTCACTGAGCAACCAAAGTACAAAAAGGTTATTCCAGTTGTTTCTGTCCCTGAGAGAGTTATTCAGTTCAGAGTCACTTGGGAAAACGACAAGGGTGAAATCCAAGTCAATAACGGTTACAGAGTCCAATTCAACTCTGCCTTGGGTCCGTACAAGGGTGGTTTGCGTTTCCACCCAACTGTCAATTTGTCCATCTTGAAGTTTTTGGGTTTTGAACAAATTTTCAAAAATGCCTTGACTGGTTTGTCCATGGGTGGTGGTAAAGGTGGTTCTGATTTCGATCCAAAGGGTAAATCCGATTCCGAAATTAGAAGATTCTGTGTTTCTTTTATGAGACAATTGGCCAGATACATTGGCCCAGACACTGATATTCCAGCTGGTGATATTGGTGTTGGTGGAAGAGAAGTTGGTTTCCTCTTTGGTGCTTACAAGCAAATGCAAAACAACTGGTCTGGTGTCTTGACTGGTAAAGGTTTGTCTTGGGGTGGTTCTTTAATCAGACCAGAAGCCACTGGTTACGGATGTGTTTACTACACCGAAAAGATGATTGAAAGAGCAACCAACGGTAAAGAGTCATTCAAGGGTAAAAGAGTTGCCATTTCCGGTTCAGGTAATGTTGCCCAATACGCTGCTTTGAAGGTTATCGAATTGGGTGGAATTGTTGTTTCATTGTCTGACTCTAAAGGATCTATCATTTCCAAGAATGGTATCACTGCTGAACAAGTTGAAGCTATTGCTGCTGCTAAATTGAAGTTTAAGACTTTGGAACAAATCACCAAGGAGGAAGCCACCATTTTTGGCGGTAACAACTCGGTTGAATACATTGCCGGTGTCAGACCATGGACTAAAGTTGGCCAAGTTGATGTTGCTTTGCCATCAGCTACCCAAAACGAAGTTAGCGGTGACGAAGCTAAGGCTTTGGTTGATGCTGGTTGTAAATACATTGCTGAAGGTTCCAATATGGGTTCTACTCAAGAGGCTATTGAAGTTTTCGAAGCCAACAGAAACAATGGCGTTTGGTATGCTCCAGGTAAAGCTGCCAACTGTGGTGGTGTAGCTGTCTCTGGTTTGGAAATGGCCCAAAACTCCCAAAGAGTCAACTGGACCAAGGAAGAAGTTGATGCCAAGTTGAAGGAAATCATGGTCAACTGTTTTGAAAACTGTTATGACACTGCAAAGAAATACGCTACTGATAAAGGAGGTGAATTGCCATCACTTTTGAAAGGTGCAAACATTGCTGGTTTTTTGAAGGTTGCCGATGCCATGTTTGACCAAGGTGAAGTCTTTTAAAAAAAAATAGAGATAGAGAGAGAGAATGGGAGGGTGTCAACCAGTTATAAAGAGGGGAGTTTCATGATTGAAAAAAACAACAACAACAACAACAACAACAAGAACGAATGCATATGCTTTTAAAAAGGAGTATAGAAAGTTCACTATTCAGTTCATTGCATATTATTGTTATACATAGAAAGCAAGAGGAGATAAATACATAGGGTTCTTTTCAAAGCGGTGTTTGCTATACATTATCCAAAAATAGTAGGCAGTGTAAACTTATCTGTAATCCAGTATCTTTATAATTGACACTGTCGAGTGAGCTTTATCGTTTAGAGAACCCACATCCCTGACAAAGCAACGTCGATGCTCCCTCTTTTACTCTCAGGAATACTGACATACTGACCAACCATCAAATCTCCCATACAAATCGCTACTCATTGCGATATGATCTCATCCTGCATATAGAGTCATTCACTCAAGTGAAAAAAAAAATAAAAAAACAGAAAAAGAAAAATTTCATTGACTCACATTTTGTAAGTGACATATATACCATTTGAATCTCCTGACTCTTAACTTCTTCTTAAACCTAATTACCACACTTTTCATACCATGTCCTCTGCATTGAAAGAAACGTTTGCCCGCTGCAAAAGAGAGGACCGTAATGCTTTAGTGAATTTCATCACGGCCGGATACCCCACCATTGAGGACACGATCCCCATTTTAACCAACATGCAAAAAGCTGGAGTCGATATTATTGAAATAGGTATACCATTTTCAGACCCCATTGCCGATGGCCCCACTATCCAAACTGCAAATGTCAAGGCTTTGGAAAATGGAGTCACTGTTCCCAAAGTATTGGCATTGGTGAAACAAGCTAGAGAAGCTGGTGTTACTGTCCCCTTGATCTTGATGGGTTACTACAACCCGATTTTGAAATATGGTGAGTCCCAATTTCTACAAGATGCAGCAGCTGCTGGTGTCAATGGGTTTATCATTGTGGATTTGCCACCTGAGGAAGCTGTCAAATTTAGAGGTGCTTGTTCCAAACATGGGTTGTCATATGTCCCATTAGTAGCCCCAGCCACTACCGATGAAAGATTGAAAGTGTTGGGACAAATCGCCGACTCTTTTGTGTATGTTGTTTCTAAAATGGGAACCACTGGTGCTTCCAAAAAAGTCAGTGCCGGTATTGAAGAATTGTGCGCCAGGGTACGAAAATATGTTGGGCAAGATACACCCATTGCTGTTGGGTTTGGTGTTTCAACAAGAGACCATTTTCTTGCGGTGGGTAAAGTTGCCGATGGGGTGGTTATCGGTTCGAAAATTGTAACGTTGATTGGTGAATCTAAACCTGGGGAACGTGGAGAAACTGCTTACAAGTATGTGAGATCTATATTAGGTGACGACTATACTGCAACTGCTCCGGAAGAATTTCAGAACGGCGGCAACAAGGATAAAGAAGAAGGCGGAGATTTGACCAAGCAGCAGCCGGATTTCAAAGAGTCTCATAAATATAACCCACGTTTTGGTGATTTTGGTGGTCAGTATGTTCCTGAGGCGCTCCATACCTGTTTAGCAGAGTTGGAAAGGGGGTTTGAGGATGCTGTTGCTGACCCTGAATTCTGGAAAGAGTTTAAGGACTTGTATTCATATATTGGAAGACCATCCTCGTTGCACAAGGCAGAAAGATTGACTGAATATGCTGGAGGTGCCACAATTTGGTTGAAAAGAGAGGATTTGAACCATACTGGATCCCACAAAATCAATAATGCTCTAGCTCAAGTACTCATTGCCAAAAGATTGGGCAAGAAGAAAATCATTGCTGAAACTGGTGCTGGTCAACATGGTGTTGCTACTGCTACTGCTTGCGCCAAGTTTGGTTTGGAGTGTACTGTTTTCATGGGGGCTGAGGACACCAGACGTCAAGCTTTGAATGTTTTTCGGATGAAAATTCTTGGAGCCAATGTTGTCCCTGTCAAGAATGGAACTCAAACTTTGCGTGATGCAACCTCGGAAGCTTTTAGATACTGGGTCTCGAATTTGGAAACCACTCATTATGTAGTTGGTTCAGCAATTGGCCCCCATCCATACCCTACTTTGGTCCGTACTTTCCAAAGTGTCATTGGACAGGAAGTTAAGCAACAATTTGCTGAATTGAACAATGGTAAATTGCCCAATGCTGTTGTGGCTTGTGTTGGTGGAGGATCCAACTCAACTGGGTTGTTTTCGCCATTTGAAAAAGATTTGGACGTGAAGATGTTGGGAGTTGAAGCTGGTGGTGATGGTCTTGACACTGACCGTCATTCAGCAACTTTAACGGCTGGTATCCCTGGAGTTTTCCATGGAGTCAGGACATTTGTCTTGCAAGATGACGACGGACAGGTCCATGACACACATTCCGTGTCTGCAGGATTGGATTACCCTGGAGTAGGACCAGAATTGGCATATTGGAAATCCACAGGCAGAGCCAAGTTCATTGCTGCTACTGATGCCGAAGCTTTACAAGGTTTCAAACTCTTGTCGCAATTGGAAGGTATTATTCCAGCTTTGGAATCTTCGCATGCCATTTACGGAGGTGTCGAGTTGGCCAGGAGTTTACCCAAGGACCAGCATATCGTGATCAATGTTTCCGGTAGGGGTGACAAGGATGTGCAATCTGTGGCTGAGGTCTTGCCTAGATTGGGTGAACAAATTGGTTGGGATTTGAGATTCGATGAAGATCCATCTAAAAAGAATGTTGTATAGAAAGGATGAGAGATAACCATATTAGAAAATTCAAACATTCTCTATACAAACGACATGTCTATATGTTGTATCGTTTTCTGTGCTTTTCTGTTCTTTTTTATTCTTTAGTTTTTTTAAATCCTCTCCGGCATGGTCATGATCAACAAGATTGTCGATGTCCATCCCAAAAAGTTTTTAGCGCCTTTGGCATCTCCAGTCTCTTCATCGTATTGTTCCCACACAAACCCTGTTTTTTGCCATTGCTTATATACGTTTTTCACCAAATTGAGTCTTAGATTCAGGTACGCGTCGCTGAATTTCTTCTTCAATTCATCAGACATATGACTGGATGAGTCGTGATAATAGTCCTTGATATTTTGCAAGATCAAGTAATTCATGTGGATCCAAATTGGCGACCGCCAGTAATTTTCACCCGTCCTGTAGAATTCATCTGATTTGGATAACGACCGGATACCAAAAGGTGACCACAACGCATCAGGGTCTGTTATCAAATTGATCACCTTGTCCAACCTCGTCACATCATCAACTGGGATTAGCTTAGTCATGAATGGGAGTAGCGACACGTACCCCTTATGACACACGTGCACCAACTCATCATCCTCATTCAAAGTAACATCGCAATAAGCATCATCTTGGGCCGACCAATGAATCAACTGGATATTGTCGACAACATCTTGCTCAAATTGCTTCAACCCATGTACTTCAGAATCGTCCTTGCCCAAAATCTCCGCCATCTGGCGCAATGATCGCGCCATGACGCCAATCCATGAAATCAAGTCAATGTTCAAATCAGCAATATCGGGAGGGGACGAGCGCGGATAGTCATCGATACCACTGGCCAAACAATGGGTAAAAGTGCTGCCTCTCCAACGGTAAACACGTCTTTTTCTAATCGAGTCGCGAGATCGCCCTTCCTCTTCTTCTTCTTCTGCTTCTTCATCATCATCATCATTTGCGACATAGCCTTGTTGTGTTCTTTGAAACATTTCAAAATGGGACTTCAATTTAGGAAAGACATCCTTGGTATAGTTGAGTAAGACTTCCGGGTTGTTCAATATAAATTTTCCCAACGGTACGTCATCGATAGAATTTACCGCACTTAGGTCCTCGGCATCTACATCCACCGGCTCGTTGACATCGCCGAACGAGTCCACACTCTGCTTGTTCGACTTTCCAGCGGCAGCGGCAAAATCAAGCAATTTGCTCAAAACTAATGTCAACGTAGGTGGATTAACAATATGAGGACTCTGCACTTGGAATTCCTTGGGCACCCTTGATCTTGCCTCGGTGCCCAAAATTTGTTCTCTAGCTATCCATCCATCCTCATCAATCAAATGGAACCATGATTTGACGATATCCAAAACCAAATCAGAGTCGTAATTCAACAACGGCAACAAATGGAACCCTTCATCCCAATAGAAACCTCTAGGGAAAAACGGACGCGATGGGACCAAGGTGAATAGTTCATATGGACCTTCAAATGACCCTTTCAACTGGTATGACTCGAATGTATCTTCATCAAATACAGTCTCTCTATCAACCAAGTGATCGCCATACATGTAGGTGATTCCACCAAGTAAACCCGAAAGCATTTCCTTGGCGAATTTGTAGTACGATTTGGTATTGAAAGGAGGCTGGATTTGGAAATGAGCAGCAAACACCTTATCCAATTCTTGCAAATTCGCATCAATTCGACCTTGAAGATTGTCAAATGTCAATGCATTGGATTTGGGAGTGTATGCATTTGAATAAATCACATCAAATTCACAAGCACCTTGATATATCTTTTGAACAAAATGCAAATTACCTTCGAAATGATACATGTCTCGCACAATAAAGAGGTTTTCCGGAGGCAATTGGCCAACTTGGCCATTGTTTGAATCGGCAATCAGTTTCACTGAATCTTGTAATATGGTAACAAATATATCGCGAGCTTGCCAGACATTTCCATCAGGCACCGTCAAACTCAAATGATGAGTCAATGCCGGGTCAAGTTCCTTATCGACGCCCAGTTTGCCCTTGGGATGTTTATTGCTCTTGGGTCCATCATTGATGTCCAATGTGAATGCACCCAATTCTTCAGAAATACCACTAAATTTTACTACCCCGTCATAACCTCCTTCCTTGGCATTGGCATCTAATCGGAAATGTCCACTTCTCTCTTTTTGACCAGTAATTTCGTCAACTTGGTCCTTCTCGCCTTCGAGTCCCGAGTACCACACAAAGGAAATTATCGAGTTTTCGTATCCCTTGTGAGGCTCAGCCTTGATTTTAACTGCCCAAGATAATCCTTCTTGAGATTTAATGAAATCGATAATGATATCGAAATGTGACTCATCGTCTTGGATCAATTGCCGACCACCTATTCTTGGATCATATGAAACCCAATTGGCTTTCCCCATACGATCAAATTGCTCGTAGAAATGACGTATTTTACCAATCGATTGATAATCAGTGATGGGGAACCACATTAACCCAGAAAGCAAAGATTTGGGAATTCGTGGACGAATGCCAAAATACAAGGATGATCTGTATGGGCCCCATAGCAAGGAGTTGTCTGCTAATGTAGCGTATTGTGATGCAAGTGTGTTGGTACTGTCGTAGTTGTGACTGTTGTTATTGCTGTTTTCCTCGCCGTAGATGTCAAATTTGATCTGCTCTGCTAATGAAAAGGTAAATAAGTAGCTAATTAGGAGAAATGGACTCCAGAATCGCCATAGCATTGCGTTGATTTAGAATGCTGTTTGAGCTTTTGGCAGAGTCTGGCGTTTTTTTTTTTGGTTTTTCGTTTGTTGTATGCAAACATTGCACAAAATGGACTGGTCCTGCCCAAATGTAAAATCTCATCTTGAACCATTGCAAATACAACTACGGCCAACCAACTCATACGTTCAACTTGACTGTGGTTTTTCTTTTTCTATTTTATTTTTTTTTACCTATGTTATGTGGCCACATAAGTCAGGACTTGGTGTTCGACTAAGCTACGGTGTTTCTGGAAATCCAAATGTTGAGATCAAATCACTGCCAAGTGCAAGTGCAATCACAAATAATGAGTTGTATCCGATGGTTACTTTTCCTCGCAAAGAGGGACAAAGAGGCGAGGATGGATACTTAAATGAAGTGGCATGCAAGTCCCTACTAAAGAAACCACTAAACCATTGCGTTGGCGAGCTATACAAATCATCTGCTAATAATATCTCAGTTGGATTTGATGATGCTGCATCAGCTTCAGCCAGTGTACCTTACAAGATCATATCCTCGTATGAATTGGAAACCAAGGCTATCGACTCGGTAATTGCCTATGATCCAGGCTTTGGTGATATCGTTCAAGCATTCAAAATCAAACCACAATCTCAAAATGAATTGCTCAATGGGCTAGCTCACATCACAGGTGAGTCATTGTCGGTCTTGAGTCTATCAATTGTAATTCAGGATGGCGATTCGATGAAGCTCTCAAAAGCATATGAAGTGGATTTTCTAGCTCAAGTGCGACAAGTTGTAGTGGCTGAAAATGAAGACAAAGACAGGTTGATTATCCTTGTGAGAACTCGAGTTAAGGTATATGTGACTACTTGCAAATTATCACGCTATTCAAACTCCTCCAAATCGGATCCAAGTTTCAAATTGTCCATCATAAAAGAAATTTGTTTAGAAAAATTGAGCCGGTCGACGTTTGCTGATGTGGCTGTTTGTCCGGTTGATGCTCGAAAATTCGCCACGATTGACATAGAAGGTAACTTATCGGCATGGGCAATCAACAAAAATAACGATAAAGTGCTGCTATTAAGCAGTGATGATTTGCAATTACCAATCACAGATGCCAAAAATTTGTCAAATTGGCTACGACTAACATGGTTGTCTAATCTCAATAGCATTATGATTTCTACAAGAACAAAGATGTTCCAATATGATTTTGACATGCCGGTTCGAAAGATTTTGATTACCTCTGACACTTGGTCGAGAACTCGAGATATAGTATGCGTTGGGGGTATGATCTTCTACTTGACGTCGAAGGAGTTGATTTGGTTACGATGTGAAGCAAAGGTCGAGAGGCTACTATCGTGGAAACATTTCTTGAACGATAATGATCCATCGCTAAAGTTATCGGTGTACGCCAAAGATGAGAAGTACTTGTTATTCATATATTCACAAGTTTCTCCAGTGGTATTAATGTACACCTTTGGGTTTGAAAATACTATGCCATGTAGTTTGAGAGATCCTTACATGTTACAAAGGCTGAATGCAGCTGGCTTGAAGCAATTGATACCCTTGAATATGGATGATACTAGCGATATCGTTTTTCTCGAGTTGTCCGCATCACTACACTTACAGCAGCGGCGTTTACAGTTTGGTCCCTTGTCCCAACATCCAAGCACAATAGAAGAACAATTTGAAGACAATGACAACAAAAGAAAGAACCACAAACATAAATCGCACCACTTGAAAAAGCTTCACGCGGCGCTTGTTCAAGCAAGTTCGACTGGTGAAGATGAGGAGCTGGTGGTAGCGATTCAGCAATATGCGTCGCGGTTAGGTGCATCACTTGAAGGGAAAGATGCTCAGAAACAAAACAACACTGGCTATAGATCGTTATTGGAGGTTGATTACCGAGCACCATTTGGAATCTCTGATCTTAGCGAGTTGGATGATATGATTGCTGAGTTGGAGGAAAGTCCACTAACGGAGAATATAAATATCAAGAGTTTTATCAATAATGCATTCATACAAAGAAATGGGTTTATCAAAGTTGCACAAGCGCAGACACATATCGTTGACATTCATGCATTGCTACAACGCGTTTTTGGAGGGTGCAATGCTGCAAACTCCATAACAAACTCAGCGATCTTGCTAGGGTTGTCCCTAATAAAGTTTCAAGCTCAAACAAATCAATTTGAATCCGCATATGAAACTGCAAAAGCCGCGTCTCATAAACACGTTCGAAATGTACTAAACGAGTGGGATGCCCCCTCGTCATCTCAAACGGATCATCAACTTGCTTCACAACTGTACAATGCCTCGCAAAGTGTTCCCCTGTTAAAGTCCAGCCAAATAGAACCCACGCAACCCCCAAAGCTTTCGCAAAGCACCAGTTCACAGCTTGGCGACTTTTCAAAGCCAAACTCCAAATTCGCATCACAACAAAGATCACAATCGCGATTGGGAGACGCTCTTCGTATATCATCCCAACGTAGCAGTCAAGGTGGATCACAAGCAAAAAGGAGGAAAAAGAAAGGTGGGTTCTGAATTTGGGAAAGCAGAGAGATCTTGCATTGCCCTGTTTCACCTCATGAAAGGTCTTTCTTCCTTTACAATGTAACCTCCTTTTTTATATCTTTGATCTTTTCTGCTAATTTACGAGGATCAACACCTTCGTCCAATAGTTTGTAGCATAGTAGCAATGTTGACTGATCAACACCGCCAACATTCAAAATTCTAGATAAGTCGCCCAATATTTCATTTGCTGTCGTCAGCATAGTTGTGGTTTAGTTTAAAGTAGAAGAAGTACCGTCACGTCTTGGTTTTTTTTTGATTTTCTTTTTTTTTTTTCTTCAGGAGATTTGATTTCGTATAACATGGTGGGCTTCAGTTGATCCAGTATAATTTTCATGAGGATACTGTTACATCCAATTGCAAGAACAAGCAAACGCTTTATTCACTTCAAGCATGACCCTTTGAATATTGCCTTCTTTGGAAGTGGAGACTTCAGTGTGTCCAGCTTGGGCAAGATACTTGAATTGCAAAAACGATGTCCTGAAAAAATATCCAGTGTCAAAGTCATAACTAGAAGCTTGAAACCCAGTGGGAGGTATTTAAAGACTCTTGCTGAACTTCCAATCAGCGAATTTGCAAAGAGCCACGATATTCCTATTTTGAGAGCTGATACATCCAATGAAATTATTGATTTGACACAGAGAAACAACTTTAACTTGACGATAGCTGTTTCGTACGGTAAATTGATCCCAGCTGAATTCTTGAACAAGTGTGCGTATGGAGGGTTGAATGTCCATCCTTCACTATTGCCGAAATATTCAGGCTCGTCTCCTATACAATATGCCTTGCTCAATGATGACAAGACGACTGGAGTTACAGTGCAATCACTACATCCAACAAAGTTTGACCATGGAAGGATCATTGCTCAATCTGATGAGTTGGAGGTAAAAAATGATGATGATTTCGATACTCTATCCAAGAGGCTAGCACAAGAAGGGGGTCAACTTTTACTGGATGTTATTGAAAAGGGACTTTTCCTCACCACAAGCCGCCTACCGAACATCTATGAAAGATCACTAGCACCTAAAATTGATAAGTCTAAAAGTCAAGCACTATGGAAAGATTACAACGCTAGACAGATTAAAAGATTAAATGATGCCATAGGACCAGTGTACACATTTATAAATACACGTACAAAGAAAAAAGGTCAGTTTGTTGACGAGAAGAAGAGAGTCATATTGAGTGAAGTGACAGAGCTAAAGGATCAACATAACATGCCACAATTGAGACATCCTGGTGATTTCAGCCTCATAAAAGAAGGGTTGTGCATTAAATGCAAAACCGGGTACGTTGTTACTCGGAAGATCAAATTACAAACAAGAGGTGATGAATCTCCAGAGAAATTCATTGGCTCTTATCACAAAACAGTGGGTGATGCGCCACCACTATTTATAGACTAACATGTATTTAAAAGTTCTAAGTTATAATACCCTCTGCCTCGTTCATCATCCTTTTCTTTATAAGGTAACTCGGCAAAATTTGTTATATTCCTTCACTGCAACTCCAATCTTTTGATACAAATAAGTTCTATTCTTTCGATCAGGTATTGGAATAAACGGACCTTTTCTATTCTTCAATTCAATGGTCAATCCTGTTGATTCTACGGATATAGCCTTGACTTGATCAAACCTGACAACCCATTTCGAACGAAGCGTTTTGACATCAAACAAAATGATATCCTTCAATGTCACCAATACTGCCATTTCATCTCCAGGAAGCAACAAATGGGCCAAATAAGTGTGGTTCCAATAGATACCGCCGTCGATATTGTACATCCAAAATTGACCTTGAGCTTCTCGTTCATTGTATGGTTTAATCACTTCGTCGGGGTTGATGTATCTTGGTAACCTGATTCTTTCGAGTTTCTCACCATCCAACACAGTGGTGGTGTTTCTAATACCCTCGCTCACGTTGGAAGCAAAATCAAAGAACCCAATTGCTGTTTTCGTGGGCAACCCAATAATCCCTTTACCAACTCCCTTAAAGAACCCAGCTGCTCCATCTTCATCTGCACCTTCAATTGGCGCAGCGGCAATACCGCCAATTCCAGAAGAAAGGGCCTCAATGAATGAGTTTGCACCGGTAGTGATACCGTAAACAGCATGATTAGCTCTGTTTCTACGTGTTTGCAAGCGACGACGTTCTTGAAACTTGGAATCCATAGTTGCCACTGTCAAACCTTTAGCAATGGATCCTGTGACTTTGGCAATCGAATCAGAAAATCCAAACACCGACTTCTTCATAAAACTAAGACCACCTTTGGCCAAACCTATACCGAGCTCGTGAGGGTTATCAGTCAAAACGTAGCCTTGATAAGGCTCATAGAAAATATCCATCACACCTGACGAAAGGAGGTTGAACAACCCAACTGGATTACCTAAAAAGTCAGCAGATCCCACAATGTTGTAAAGCTGGTAGAAAAACGCTTGACTATAATGGGTCTTGATCGATTCTAGCAAAATAGGCGTTGGTGCTCTAATGTTTTCAATGAACAACGCATTCAACTTGATTGGTGCATCGTTGATATTTCCAATTGCCATTGTTAATATGTTTAAGAAAAACATAACAGTGTTTTGACTGTTGGTCTTGTCTTCGGCATTCAATCTATCTGTCCTAACAAATGATATGTTGGCCAGGATGGGTTGCAAGTGCAATGCCTCAAAATAGATGTCACTACTATTACTAAGCTTCAGTGGCTCTGGGATATCTAGATTCTCATCACAAAGTTTATTCACCAGCTCCTTATTCCATGAAGCTCCTGGGAATTTAATAAAGTCAAGCATTGCATACAAGAAATCTTCATCAATTTCGAAGTTCAATTCTTGCATAAGCGTAGTTGCATATTTTATGAATACCACCCCGTGTGAGTCATCTTTAACTTGACAAACTGATGCTGAGAGTGCAGGATGCTCATTCAACTCCCTTCCGGTCTTTGGTATAACAGATGGATAAAGTATGATTGGGAAAATTCCGCCATAAAGTTGATTGTCAATCTGCACCCACTTAAGTTTGGCACTAAAATTTTGGTACAAGTTTGACTCATTGTACCGGAATTCTATCCCTCTCAAGGTGATGTAACAAAGTTCTTTGTCATTAGTGTTGATCAACGAAATTCCAAGACCATCGAAATTCGTCACCACCTTGGTATGATAATTGTCTTCCACGTCCGCCTCAACAAACTGGTCTTGGTTAGACGGCAATGATGAAGTAGACTGAGACTCAGTGTTTATCTTGTACATGCTTTGTGATGGATCGTAATCAGTGATCACCAAGCATTGGGTGGGGCCATCGGCAACAACATTAAGGTCAACAATTTGCTGTGACTGCGAGTCGGTCGAAGGCAATCTAAACGGGCGAAGGTTACCAATCTCTGCTAAATTGACACCTCTTTCACGGCCATGTGCTCTCACAATTATTTCCTTAACAATACCATTAGGATAGTCATATGCATATGGCATCACACTTTTGGGGGGAACACGATAGTAAATGGGTTTGTAAACAGTGTCTCTTTTCACAATTTCACCATCGGCATTGATATTAGGATTGATCTGATAAATGTAAAACTCCTCATCGGTGTAATTCTTGATTGAGTATGGCCATTCGTTGTCGGCATCTTCAATGTGAACAAACATTGTTGCATCTTCGAGAAGCATAGTCACTTTGACCAACACCTGCCCCACATTACTTTTCTGTACTTTGATATACAACTGGCCAACACTATCAATGGAAAATGGCTGCGACCACCTGGCAGCTTGTCCCAATTTCATAATCAAATTCTTTTTATCCACACACCGCAAGCCATAGAGTGGGAGCAAGGCATTCGGCCTTGCATCTATCTCTTTGATTGACCCTTCTTCTGCTAAACAAACACTTTCTTGAAGTTTGTTGATTACAACATATCTCGGGGCGATTGTGATTGTCTTGGTTAAATTGTAAATTCCTTCACCTTCCAGAATTGTTACTCCCAAGTTTACTTCCTTTTGTTTGCCCAAAAGTTGTAGTCTCAACTCGCTGGCTTGTCCAATGGCATCAAAACTCAAGGGTCTTGACCAAACCGTTTCTTCCGCTTTGATTGTGGCCCTATTCTTTCGCTCATCGAGTTTGAAGAAGGAGAACATTGTAGGGTAGATTTGCTCAGAGTCAACAGTCTTTGCCATTGAAACAAATTGATTATCGCGTTCACTAGCAACAATGTCCAAATTGGACCTGTTCAAAATCACATATGGACTGTAAATCACCACTTTCAAACTTGTGCTATCTGCCTGTTTTCGTGGGTAATATATGTTCAATTTTAGTGTGTTATCACCCTTGAGTCTCAAAGTGTTTTCGCGCTGGAAATCGCTGCGCATACCTTTGTTGATAACAGCAAATTCCGACTTACCATAGTTGCAATTGCGAGGTTGAACACTGAGGAGTAACAAATTCTTCAAACTTGCCACGTGAATGTAGCTCTTTACACCCTTCTTAACACTTCCCGTCCAATCACGTCTTGAATTTTTATCATACAAGCGATAATCAAAATCATAAGGTAACAAATTTTCAAGCTCAAGTGGCGCTGAGATCACGAATTTCATGTGAGGGTATACTTGCGCCAAAGGCTCATTTTTATCAAAAACAGCCTTTGCTTGAAAGTAGAATACTGACGTGTCGCCCCTAGTTGTAGCTGGACATCTCAAGGACGACTCACCCTTCATCGCCTCTTTCCAATATATCTCTCCCTCAGACCAATCATAAGATGTGTGCAAGTGAGGCTTCACTCTAAAGCTTCCACTGTAGGCAAGGCCAATTGGCACAGATAGTGTACTCTTTGGTTCAATCACCATTTCTTTCCGCTCCTCGTCATCAAAGCATTCAACAATTATTGGCACCTCTGCATCGTTCTCAATAACAATTGTAGATCTAAGTGCAATGACCTTGACATTATCTTCACGTAAACTGATCGAAACAGAAAGCCTATTGTGAACACCTCCAACCTCGGGATACAACACATGCAAGTCCTCCCCTTCTTTGGAAGCTGATATCTGTTCTATTGTCTCGTACTCGCCATTATCAAACGAAATGTCTAACGTGTTTGCGGTGTTGACATCCAAATTCTCACGAATTTTTCTCCAATCTTCAAATGCCCATGGTTTTGATTCGCCATATTTGATTTTGGTCTCAGAATCTGCTTTGTTTCCATTCGTCCAAACCGTTATATCTAAACCTGTGTCATTGACAATCAAGAATGGATAGTCTTCACCCCTTGGTTTCAACTTCACGTCACTGCTCAAAAGGTACTGCACTTGGGATAATAATGCCACCGATCTCGATGTGAGCGTCATTTGTGCAACTTGTCTTGAAACACATTCCAAAAATAGTTTTGAATTTGGACCCTGAGACTTGGAAGCATGTACTTCGACAGGCCAAGATTCAATCAATGGCTCCCAAGCAGACTTTGAATAATTGAAAATGTTGACATATGTGGACAAACGCAAGTCCGCACTCAAATCAGTTGACCAGTTCTTCACACTTACTTCAAACGGATTCACGTTCATATCTAGCACAGGCAAATCTGACACATCCCCAATCAAAACAAATCTCAATCCGCCAAAACTTGCAGTCAACTCTTCACCCTTCACAACGTCATTTCCAAGAGGTTGCTCGGGTTCTGTTTTCACCAATTGCTTGTCATTGTCTGTGGAAGATGAATCGTCGTCAATGCTTTCCGATACCAGTTGATTCTCATTGCTGGTTGTGGATGTCGTGTTTTGATGTTTGGCATACAAATCATTTACTCGTTGAACTATTGCCAATCCCAATCTGACATCCCTAACAGACACTCTAACCACCAAAGGATCAAGAGAAGCTTCAATTTGATCCAAATACTTTCCTGGGGAAGATTTTCTATCATCATATGCAAAGGAGATGGAAAAATCATCGATTATTCTGTACCTTGAGTTTTTATAATTGTCCATTCTCGTCAAGTACATTCCAATCTTGCTCGTAGCCAACGACACGACATTCTGCTTGGAGATTGAAATTTGTTCAACTTTAAAAGCAATCGCTTCAGTATCAGCTTTGGTATCATCAGCTAAAAGGAAAATTGATGGCTTGACAATATTGATGGAAAATCCAAAATGTGCTTGAGTGTTTTGGGCAGAAGCAACACTCACTTCTGGAATCAGCACCACAGATTTCCGGGGTTGGTCTTTTTCAACAGGTGCCTTCTCAGCTGGAGGAATTGCTGATTCAACAAACGCTTGCAAATCAAACAAATAGTCGAGAGCCAATATAGCTCTTGGCTTTTCCACCGTCAAAATCATCGCCAAGCTCTTTTTCTCGGCAACTACATCACAAGTAACCTGCAACAGGAATTGATTCTCTACATCATCAGCAGCTGGTATGATAACAGGAAACTTGCTCTCTGTATGTTGTCTTGTGTCTTCAACAACAAAGGACTTGATAGCCAAGTTCGATTTAAACAGTGTATCTTGCTTCGAGTTGAAGTCCACTTTGACCTCATTGAGTGAAAATCTAGACAACTGAGCTTGTTTTATGTTGTTTGTGTCCGCGGTATTATTATAAAGGGCCATTGAAATTCGAGGAAGCTCGAATGTAATTTTTGCCATCATGTGGTCGGATGGGATGTCTTCAGCCGACGAAGATGGCTCTAACGTCTTACCACCAGGCGCGTTGTCGTCTCCCTGTTTAACTTTTGTATTGTGTTTCAAAACCTCATTTGCATAAGCTGCCTCCTCTTCAATGTCATCCATTCCCGACGACTCATCCTCTATATTGAATGCAGCAGCAACTGAGTTCGAAATCTTGGTCAACAGTTTGACTTGTAATTCGGTCAAGTGGACATCCAACTCGGGCATTTTCCCACTAATTTCAAATGTAGGAGTGTCTTTAACATACTCTTCAGACCAATTGACATCAAACGAGACATCCAAATCATCAATAATTTTCAAGTCTTGCACTATTTGGTTGAACTGAAAGTTGGATACTAGTTGAACGTTTCTTATACCAACCGAAATCACATTTAATAAACCTTGATAGTCATTGTGTGCATATATTTCACCTAAATTGGCAACAACCCTATCAGATTCACTTTCATCAACTGGAAACGTGATTTTTGGTCCTTGAATCAAGACATCGAATTTGAGCTTGTTGGGTAACTGAGCAGCTTGGTTTATAGCAGCCTCCCGAGTTCGATCGTAAATGGCCTTCATCTGCGCAAATTGATTACCATATCTAACAATCCTACCAAACGAACTCTCGATAAAATTGATCGAGAGGGCACTCACATTAAACTTGAGCTCGGAAGGTCTATCGCCATGCAAATCAAAAGTCTTGTAGCTGAATTTTGCTAAATCATTCTCATCCATTTGTATCAAGTAACGTGGTGAGGTGTCATTTTCGTGTCCCAACTCATCTAGAAGCGACAATGCACCCAAACTACCTGACATGTCTAATGCCTCTGGCAAAAGGAATAATTTAATTTCTGCCGCATTCAACAGAAACGTTGCCAACTTGACACCATCCTCATTAAGCACCATAATCACACTCTCAAGACCAAGATTCATATTGATTTTCTGTGGTGCAGCATCCACATCTTCAGAATTATGATTCAATTCATCTGCTGGTGTGGGGTCTTGATTAGGATCAGTAAATGTGTTTAAGCAAAATGTCAATATACTCAAGAGTGACTTTCGAGTAATGACAAATTTCACAGTACCAAGATGGAGATCAATGTCTTGATCAAATACTTCAATTTTTTTATTCTTGAAATCCACGATTCTTAACCTTCTGTTATATTCAACATCCATCAATTTTTTCGTCGAGTTTTTGTCTGTATTTGAAGTAAGAAGCTTTTGGAACTCCTCCTTTCCCGACTTTTCAATGTGATCCAATATATTGAAGTCCAAGAGTCCCAAATTCAAGTGTAGATCGGTCTCTGTTTTATAAAGGTCCAATTCCAATGCATTACCCACAATCTCAATTAATGGCTCTGCTTCCAAAGTATGCCCATCAATGCATCTTGATAAGTGTAGCTTGATAAAGTCAACGCTAAATTTGAGCTCAATAAGATGTTGCTCGGAATTGCTAGGCTTGGGAACACTCTTGTTCTGTTTTTTGCCCTTCTCTAATGAGTCATCATCATCATCATCATCATCATCCTCAATATCAATTTCATTCCCAGTAGATTCATTTCCATAAGCTTCAAAAACACTTGACTCATCTAGTGACTCAAAGTTGGTATTGGGGATAGCTGCGTCAAGTATGCCAAGAACCGTTTTGTATTGAAAGTCATTCATTGCCAATTGGAGTTGAGGGACATTTCCGCTTAATCTGATCCTTGCCAAATTTTGTGCATCCGGCAAGATCGACAATCCAAGATTGAAATTAACGTCGAAATTGTCGAGCATTAACGCAGGCTTGGCCTTATCTTGGGAATATAGTTGCTCCATAGTCAACTTTATGGTATGGCCCACAAAGAACTGAGCATCTTGCAAGCTAAATTTGAATTGATCGTACAACAACTCGTTCAAGTTTTTCCAATCCTCCTCAGTGTACTTCTCCTTATCTTTGTACTCCTTAATCTTGGATTTCTCAACCAAATCACTAACAACGTTAATATGGCCCGCGTCTAATATTGCCACGGGAGACTTGTAGCTCGAAGGATCCAAAGGCATAATCAATAAAGGTGTTTGCAAATCCAAGTTTACATTGATTGTCTTGTGTTCCTCGAGAGCATACTCGAGTCCCAATCTAGTTTGAGAAGTTAGCCCTTCAACAGTAGATTCTGCTGCATTCATTATAGCTCCAACGGTGTCCAAGTGAATTTTTGGAGGGGTAAAGAATTTGATCAACTCCTCAATAAACTTTGCATTATAGAAAATGGTCATTGACTTTAAGGAACCCAATAGTTTCGAATCAGCTGAACCATCAAGAGGGTTCTGCTCGTACTGGATTTGGAAAAATGGGGTGGTCGAGGACCCAGATCCACTAGTATTTGCATTTGTATCTGACGTGGTTTGTTTGACACTGACAATGTGGTTATAAATGCTAGAACCCGTTCCATCCTCGACTTTAAACTCCAATACTTGAAAGCCACCAACAAACGAATTTGGTCTCTGCAAAAAATGCGCTTCGCATCCTTCAAATGCAACGTCAGCCAAGTTTGTCAAGTCATTTCGCTTCACCACCAACCCACCTTTATTCAAAGCAGCTGAAATGCGAACCTTGACGCAATCATCTGGTAAGTCAACAGTTGCAATTTCCGCCTCTTCGTCATAATCAATTGCATCATAAAGAGTTTTCCTTTGGTCATCTGTAAGAGAAAGATCGATATGCTCCCCGTCTGCATCCATTGTTTTCAGCTGTTCATCGCCCTGTATAGTGCTGGTGCTGGTGCTGGTGCTGGTGCTGCTATTTCCGCCTCCTCCCCACCAGCCCGAGAACCATCCTTTACTTTGCTGCTCATTCTTTTGTGCAGTTTCAGTGTCGTAAAGCTTTGCTTTACTACCTTCTTTTCTAAGCTCGCTTCTGGCAAGGGAACGGTACAACTTGATATCATCCAAGGAAAGAATTTGTTCAAGATCTTGAAGTTGTTTTTGATCATCTTCATTAGATTTTTTCTCCAATTTTAACTTCCACAACCTGACATAAGCTTTGCGTTCGTCTCTTCTCTTGGCAAAATGTTCCCAGCTCCATCTATAATTCTTTTCGTGAATTTCGTTCAAAACACATTCGGCTGCGTACTTGAACCATGCTTTGGGGTCCTCATTAACGGACACTTTTGGTCTGAGTTTACGAAACTTGGCTGTCTTAGAGTACCACCGAAATTTCGATGCCGTCCACAAGATATCTTCATACTGCTGCTCATTCAATTCCAACCCAAACTCTTCAAAAAAAAGCTTGGTATCCAAGTGAGGATGCTGCTCAGTGGCCCCAAGTTTGTGTATGGTGAGTTTCCCATTACCGCTAACGGGCTTCATCAAGTACTCTTGGCAATCATGCTGCGACTCAAATTCCTTCAATTGACCTTCCTTGTCAAGATTGGAATACAACTGAGGGTCCCTGGTCTCCATGTAGCAGTACAAGCTTTTCAACGTGAGTAGTTTCCTAGTGAAAGCCTGTGTAATTGCAATGAATGAAGGTTTCCAATTTTCATCTGTCGAGACTGCAGAAAGCTCATCCAAGGACAATCCCAAAGTATACGGCTTTTCAGTCAAAACCGATTGGTCCTCGTATCTCACATGTATTTTCTTTATCGTAACTTGAAGATTATCCACAATTTTCTTAACAAGGGATTCAGCAAATGTTTCGTCAGCAAGATCCCGTCCCAAGTCTTCTCCCTTGGCTTCAAGGATCGCCTCAAGATCCTTCAATTTTGACTCTTTCAAAGCTTGCTGTCTCTTTTTTTCACTTTCTTCGTCGTAATCTTGCAAAATTATAGGCGATGCCAACACATACAAATCTTCAATTATGATTCTCACTGGTTTAGATTTCAAATTGGACCAAGGGATCTGCAAGGTTAATTCACCCAAATGACCAAATTTAACATCGATGGGTAACTTGAACTCATCAAGACTTTCCTTTTTCAATCTCAAATTCCGAAGTTTTACATCACCACTCCATATTCCAATGTTTAGTTGCTTTGGATCGAAATTTTCAATATATGACCCGAGGAATCTATTGATTAGATTAGCGACTAGCGATTCAAACATGTCAATTCGTGGTGTATGTGATTCGGATGGGGTGTTGGCTCTGTTATGTGTGTCAATACGAATTGTATCTGCCCTTGGCGTGGATTATAGAACGTATGTGATAAAAGATGGTTTGAAAAGGAAATTGATTGCTGAAAAGAATGTGAATATTCCCCCTTCTCCGGTGGATGTTTTATTGTTCAATTGGTTTTTGTGTACAAAACAGCGCTCGGTCTATAGCAATCAAATTTATAACTACATCGCCACAACTAACCAACACCAACCAGAGAGAGAGAGAGAGAGAGAGAGAGAGAGAGTTACACTTTTTTACCCTGAACGATCCAAACTGTGGTATCTGGGTTATATGAATAAGCGTTGGGAGCCTGTGTTTGCTCTGCAAAGGAGCGGTTTCTAGCTGAAGCTACATCGCAATCTAATTCAGAGAAGAGGTTATTCATTTCGAGCTTACAGTAATAGATAGCTCTTTAATCAGTCAGCAATTCTCAAAGCATAATCAAAGTGGGGAAGTCTATATAAAGCATTGACACACGTTTTTTTTAGCTACACTACACGCTTGTTGACGATACTTAAGCAAAATCGAGTCCCATCTATTGGAACCGATGAAGTCCTCGTCATTCTGCTACAAGACAGCAGCCAGATTGAGTTTTGAATTCTGTGCTTTCTGTCCACCATTAATCTCCGGCGTTGATGTAACCTTGCTATTCTGCAGTGGCTTGTTGTCAACTTTCGCCCTTTTAACAGGCGGAGCCTCGACCTCATGACCCAATTTGATCTGGGCCAAATTTATAATCGGTAATAGCTTATTATATCGCTCGCAATATTCCTGTATACTTTGTTGAACCGTCTCCAACTTCGTCATTGTTGTGCGATAGTAATCTAGCGGTGAGTTGGACTCGGGTATCGTGGCTAGCGCCAGTAGGAACTGTGACATGTCGTGTCTTAAGATGTTTATCTCTGCTTTCAAGCGTTCTATTTCGTTGTATATGAGTTGAGGATCGATTCTGCCTGAAGTGATGTCGTCTATTTTGATCAGTTCGGGGAGCTTGGGTCGCTGAGTATCATCTAATGAGCCAAATTTGAACATTGAATATGTGAGGGTATCTAGTGAGGGTCAGTGTAATGTTGTGATAGACAGTGCAGGCGTAGGCGAGATTTATAAAAAGTGTCTTCCGCTATGTGTTGGAGATACTTGTTTCAACCAAACCCGATTAAATTTTATTTTATTTTATTTTTTCTTCTTTTTTTTTGGAACACCCTTTGGCAAAGACATGGTAATTAAATACTATCTTATCGCAATTCTAAATGTAATGAATATATAGCTAGCTCGATATACCAGACTCTATCTCTTATAAACCCTACAAATTTATCATCCTTTTCTGCTCTGTCGCCTTCGTATAGTAACTACACCTCCATCATCAACAGTCCAATTCACTTTGTAATCCCTCACAAAATCTTCATACCGCACATCATCAGGGAGTAAATCGTTTTCAAGCACTGATTTCTTAATTGTAAAATAGCTGGAGTTCAATATTTGAATCATCCGGTTGACCATCATCCGCTGACCCATTCCCATCATGGACTTGATTGCGTAATTCTCCACCAGATTGTATATTCTGACCCATGTATAATAATCCTTGTGTACCCAGCTGCGTATTATTTGCAAAATATCTTTCCGGTTCGATATATATCGAAAATGAGTTTGAATGGCTTGAGGTATGTCATTGTTGAAGTGGGTTAAATGAAGAATTAATACTATTGCAATCTCTTCCACCTCCAAACTTGACAACTTCAATTCGTCCTTGTTTTGTAGCAAGAAGTTGATACTGGGGATATAAGTTTGATACTGGCCACAACAGTATGAAATCCTCATTGAGAATAAAAACACCTTTTTATGGAACGGAGATGGCTTCAAATACAACAAGCTTTCGCGTAATTTTCGAAGTGACAAGGCCAATGACTCCATATTGACCGTTTGTTTGTCCCGGATAGCCTCGGCTTTCAAAGACTGAGCATTGGCAAAGTCGGTTGGATCCAGGTCCTTTATTCTTTTGAAAGCTTCGAACAACGACTTTGATGTATTGGTTGATGTGTATTTGATAAATTGACGTAGGATGACAAGAAAATATTCTTCTCGTAAAGTCTCTGACTCTTTCAACCGCGTGTCCTCGCCTCGACTTATGAGACCGTAATCATGGGGTTGCCTCGTTGTATTACTGCTCTTTGCAGCAAATCTCTCTCGTCTCTTGGCCATTTTCTCGTCCTCTGTCAAATTGGTGAGCTTTGTCGTTTCTTTAACACCCTCGCTGGATCCATTAGTGGTCTTTTTTCTGTGTGGTGGCACATATTTGTGCGAACTGTTGCCGTTGTTATAAGCGTTGGTGGACATAAATTTGGTTGGTTGAGATGATTGATGCGTGTTTGGATCCTCTCCTGACTTGTACTTGTGGCGTACAGGGGAGTAGCTCTGCTCTAGCTCGTAACTATTGACCAACGCTTTCAAACTGTTGTCCATATGTGTTGATGCTTGTTCATAACTGAAATCAATTCATTGAGAAATGCTCTGACTGTCGGTTTCGTTTTCCTTTTATTTTTTTTTTTTTTTTTTTGTGATCCCCCAGATTGATTCATGAATGTACGATGAACTTACAGTGATGCTACACACCAGAATTAGTATCATTGGTTCGAATTAAAACTACTACTTACGACTATTTTAACAAGATCAACCGCCCTTCCATTTATTTGGCGGCCAACAATTGAGTAAACTCCTGGATATCAATCTCACCATCATTGTTGGTATCAGCTTCTTTAATCATTTGATCCACATCTGCGTCCGACAACTTTTCACCAATCGACGTAAGCACATGTCTCAACTCAGCAGCACTAATCTTACCATCGCCATTTCTGTCAAATACCTTGAAAGCTTCAGCAATCTCAGCTTCCGAGTCGGTGTCTCCCATTTTTCTAGCCATCATGGTTAAAAACTCTGGGAAGTCGATTGAACCATCTGAATTGACATCCACTTCGTTGATCATATCTGTCAACTCACTTTCTGATGGGTTTTGGCCCAAAGATCTCATGACTGTGCCTAATTCCTTGGTGGTGATCTTTCCATCGCTATCCTTGTCAAACAAAGAGAAAGCTTCTTTAAATTCAGCAATTTGTTGTTCAGACAATTTCTCGGCCTAGTAGATTAGACGTTAGTAGAATCCTAGTATAGCAAGGTGGAGTCGTCAGCAGGGCATTTGCACTTCAAACACGGGACTAGCAATGTTGAAAGTTGTGATGATTGCGCTGTTGCTGCTTTCCGAATCTTGAAAAAGATGTATGGTTTCCAACTCTCTCTTTTATCACTCTGGGTAACATACCATTGTAATAAGTTGTAATATTCAAGTGTTTGATATAAACTAATTTGTTGTAAGAAGTTAAATATCTGAGATTATATCTATGGATGTGAAGGAATGACTGTTGTATTTTTTGTTTTTTTTTACTTTTCTCTCCCTCTTTGTTTGATCTCTTTCTCTGTCTCTTGTGGGTTCTTGTGAAAAAGGGAATTTATTTTTAGCAACGTGTTTTTATCTGTGATTATGTTTTAAGACTTTTGTTTTTTCCTCAGTGTCTTGAAATTCCAAAACACGACACTGTATTTTCTTAATTAAATTCTGGCAACCAAAGGATAAACCAACTACAGCAAGTTAGCTTTTGTCAAGTTTATGGACAATGATCAACTTAAACATACAGAACATAGGGGTTTGATGGAAAATAATGTTGAAGAGGAGTTGAATGAAAGTCAGTACCTGACTTTTTTAAAAAGTTTGAATGATGATACACTCATCTCTCATATCAATGCCATCACTCAATCTCAATCTCAATCTCAATCTCAATCTCAAGATCAATCTCAATCTCAAGATCAATCTCAAGATCGCAAAGAAGTCTCTTTTCAGGAGGCTTCAACACCGAAAATGGTGGGTGGGGCTATGCTTAGCTCTGCGAGTTCTGACCCGTTCAACGATGGTTTGGACGATGATGTATTGAAGTTGGCTGCTGATCTGCAGAAAAGCCACAGTCGTGAAGAATGTTTGGGCAAAGATTACCACCAAATCGCATCTACTTCTGACCAGGAGGAGCTCGATAACCCAGGTCTTGTGACTGATGGTGACGAAGAGTCATCAGAAAGCGATAAAGATGAAAGCGCTATTGGGAAACTTCATGAATTTGGTGATTATCGCACATATTTTGATTCCAAACGGATGAAACAACAAAGACAAGATGAAGCTTATGTCAGGTGGGATCGCGAAAGAAGAAACCTTCAAAATCAATCACTGCAGCCACTGCCAATCTTCTCTGGGTGTACAATTTTCGTAAATGGACATACTAAACCCTCAATTAATGAGATACATCGGTTGGTTATCCTTCATGGTGGCAAGTTCCTAAGCTATTTGTCCAAAAAATCAAGTGCCACTCATATAGTTTGTGACCGTTTGACACCTCGTAAAAATTTGATGTTTAAAAATTGCCGAGTGGTGAAAGCACAGTGGATTGTCGATAGTGTTGAGGCGAACCACCTTTTGGATTGGCAACAATATCGGCTAATACTGGATGTTGCGTATGATCAAAAGCGACTCGAATTTCAACTGAAGATTGCCGGGGAAGTGGATGCCGGGGAAGTGGATGCTGGGGAAGTGGATGCTGGGGAAGTGGATGCCGGGGAAGTGGATGCCGGGGAAGTGGATGCCGGGGAAGTGGATGCCGAGGAAGTGGATGCTGGGGTTGAACATGAGGGTCGCAAGGACAATGCGTTGCCAAATGAAGGTATATTGGAAGAAGAGTTGGGAGAAGAGGATGATTTTGCATCTACATTATTACCTGAAGAGGAAGATTTGTTGCAAATGCTGCAACAACAAGAACAGGAAGAGGAAGTAGGTCATGCGAAACAAGACGGCGTGGGTGACGATATTCCTGAGTTTGGAAATGTTCCCTCCTCCACTTCAACTAAAGGTGTGCACAAGGTGAGGGGGAAAACTGTATTGGATGCAAGACACCCAGAATTTTTGGCTGGTTTTTTCGCAAATTCAAGATTGCACCGTTTGAGTACGTGGAAAGCTGATTTGAGGTTGAAATTTATGAAAAGAATCATCAAAGAAAATCTTCATAAGCCATCGCAAGATCCATTTCGTGCAAGTACATTTACATCAAAGGTAATTATGCATATAGACTTTGACTGTTTTTTCGCCACGGCATCCTGTTTGAAGCATCCGAATTTGGATATCAACAGAGATCCAATAGCTGTGGGACATGGAGGAAATACTTCTGATGTTGCCAGTTGTAATTACATTGCAAGAAGATTTGGTGTTAGAAATGGGATGTGGTTGAGACTGGCTCAAAGATTGTGTCCCAACTTGGTATTGCTAGACTACGAGTTTGAGGCATACGAAAAGTACTCGAGCGAGTTTTACAACTACCTCGTGAGCAGCAACTACTTTGACTCCATATATCCTGTATCTATTGACGAAGTTCTAGTTGATGCCACTTCTTACTGCAACAAATCAGAAAGAGGAATTGAAGAAGCAGTGAAAGAACTTAGCACTTTAATCAGAAAGCATGTTTTTCAATTAACCAATTGTACAGTTAGTGTTGGGCTGGCTTCCAATGTTTTACTTGCAAAGTTGGCACTAAAAAGGGCTAAACCAGATGGACAATTTTTTTTATTTGACGACACGGACGAATTTTTGCAAACTGTGCTTGTGAAAGACTTACCCGGGTTTGGTGGTGGAATATTGGAAAAATTGGAATCAGAACTTGAAATATCGTTGCCGGAGATCAAAGACGTTTTGTCAATGTCGAAAACTCGATTGATGCAGCTTCTAGGTGAAAAGACTGGCGCTAAGTTGTACGAGTATGCTCGAGGTATTGATCAGACCAGCATAGAAATTGATACTTCAAATCCCGAGATCGTTTTGGGAAGAAAATCCATATCGGTTGATGTCAATTTCGGTATTCGGTTTGACACAGTTGGGGAATTGGATGACTTTTTCATGAGGTTGGCACGGGAATTGTATACTCGAATGGTTAATTTGGGTGTATGTGGATCAACCTTAACCTTGAAACTAGCAAAACGAAGACCAGGTGCGAGTATTGTGACAGCTAAATTCCTAGGTTTAGGGGAGGTTGACTTTGTCAACAAGTCTTCAAGACTTGGGATGGCGACTAATGATTGGGGTGTCATTGGAAGTGAAATAAAAGTCTTGTACAGAATGCTCAATATACCTGTAAAGGATTTGCGAGGCATTTCAGTCAGCATGACCAAATTGAAAGACGCTGAGTCTGTAAAGACCTCGAAACAGATGAAGTTACCATTTGGAGCGAATGATCAGGCCCTCAGTACACGCAAAGAGTTGGCGAACCATGTCAGTGCAAGAAAGGACGTTTTCAAAACTCCGACAAAAGCAGTCAAGTTGAAAGCGAATGCCACTGTGGCAACGCAATCATTCAGTCCTCATCGCGGGAGCAATACTTCTAAAAGTACTTTAGATCCTCTTGCAGGTGGACAGCAAATAGATTGGGAAGTCTTTGAGTCATTGCCCTTGGACATTCGTCGTGAATTAGAAGGTGAGTTGAGACGAAGGGGAATTTTGAAAAATCGAAGCCCAGTTAAAGGAAAGTCGTATTTGCAGCAGTTAATTCCAACCCAAGGAGGTACTGCGAAATATGTTCGCGTGATTGAGTCCCCCACTAAATCACCACCAAAGAGAAAATCCACACCCACTGCATCACCGGCAAAGAAACGAAAAGTAGAGCCAGTCTACGATGAATCGCAATCGTATGATTCGTCATTGCTAAATCAATTGCCATCTTCTATCAAGGCTGATGTCCTCAAGGATATGGAGTATAAGCAAAAGATTAAAAGGTTTGACCTAGTTCCCATGAGAGAAAAAGTGACTCGAAAGATTGAAGAGGCAAAGGTCGGTGTTCATGAGGTGACTCCAGAATGGATACAGCAACAACCGAAGTTGTTTGATTTGCCGACGTTCTTGGATGAGCAAGTCACCGGGTTTGAGTTGCGGAAAAAGGTCAAAGACTGGGTCAATACTTCTTTGAACCAGGGAGGTCCTCATGAAGACGACGTGGTTTACTTTGGGACATATTTGCAAGCCTTATTAAAATGTGGACTTGCTGGCAAAGCTGCTATGCTAGTTCGTGATGTTATGAATCTGTTGACGTACCACAAGACTCTACATAAGTGTGTTGATGAGAGTGGAGATATTGATAATCAACTTATGTATTTTGTGATTGGTCTTGATGATTGGGACAGGCAAATTGAGACTGTTTTGAAGCCAATAGTGGAGAAGCATTATAGGGAGAATCACCTAGTTTTAGACTGGTGACATTTTTTGTATAGATCCTCTGTAATCTAAGAAATAAAAGAAAATGAACGCGCTCCGAAGATTGGCACAGTATGCACAAGCAATGAACCGTGTCATTCTAACACATTCGACATTGCTAACTGCTCTAAAGGATCATCTACCATCCAACAAGCAGCGACAGACAATAGTTGATGGTCTACTATATGCGTACCAGCTAGATCAAGAATGCGAAATATTGCCAATCGCACCAATGGAATGGGCATTGTTGGAACAATATCATGACGCTGACTTTATACAGGAGTTGACGCGACCCAGAGACGTGATTGACCAACAACTGGAGAACTACAAAACTATGCAAGAATGTATAAATGACGAGTTTGAAGAATTGGACGATGACGAACAAGAATTAAGCAGCAGTGTCCAAGATGAAAAATTCGGACTATCGTTCGATTGCTATCCATTCCCGTTTATGCGTTACTACGTAAACCTCACCGCCGCTTCAACGATACAATTAGCAAGGAGACTCGTCAACAGCACAAATGAGACCGAGTCACGTAGGACAATTGGCATAAATTGGTATGGTGGCAGACACCATTGTCATCGTTCCAGATGTTCTGGATTTTGTTACGTAAACGACGTCGTGCTTGGAATAACCACAATTCGCAAGATGTGCTCGGGAGGTGTATTCTACTTGGATTTGGACTTGCATAATGGTGATGGCGTGGCGGAAGCTTTCAAGTTTTCAAAAAAAGTTTCAACTTGTTCTGTGCATAGACATGATGTGGGGTTTTTCCCCGTGGGCACGGGTAGGTTAGATGTGTCCGTTGCCGGTATGTACAATGTTCCCACTAGACGAGGATTGACTGATGAGGATATGCTTTGGATTATTGAGAATATTGTATTGAAGTTGATTGAGAAGCATCAACCAGACTATTTGGTTGTCCAGTTGGGATGTGATGGACTTGCTTTGGACCCAAACAATGAGTGGAATATGACGATTCAAGGTTATCTGAGTGTGATGCGACTCTTGCTTGGGAATGTTGGTTTGCCAATAATGGTGCTTGGCGGCGGTGGATACAACCATACAGAGGTTGCTAAATGTTGGACTTTTGTAACTGGCACGTTATTGGGTTATGGGGTTGACAAATTTGACGAGATTCCTGAACATCGACAACTTGATCACTACGAAAGTGATGGATTTATGTTCTGGACAGATTCTAATCTACATCCACGCAAAATGAGGAATGGAAATGATTTAGAGTATTTACAGCATTTAAAGTCACATTTGCTATCTCTATAAAAAAGAAAAAAAAAAAAAAACAACCAAAAAAGAAGTTAAATCAGTTATGTACAAATTTGGGTCGAAGAACAGTATTCCAATTCTCGTCCCATCTCGACTCACTTTCCTTCAATGCACCGTTTTTCAACTTTGACAATAATTCCTCATCTGTAAATACTGCATTCAACAATTTGACCAAATTTTCTGCTGTTGATTCCTTCACTATAAGTCCATTGTCGCCATCCTTTACCAACTCGTCAATGGCGGGGAAACTTAGCGATACCACAGGAACCCCAGATCCGAAAAAATCAACAATTTTCATCGGTAGATCAATCCCGCTCGATGATGTATGTAGCGAGACTCCCAAGTCCGCTTGCGCCAATATCTTGGGGTAATCCTCAGATGCCAACCATGCAGTTTTCACAATTATTCGTGGTGAATAATCAAGTTCGATAACCTTTTGTACAAACTTGTCCTTCAATGGACCTTTGCCTGTGACAATTAGTAAGATGGGTGGTGTATTGGATTGTTGCAGTTTGTCATATAGCTTCAATGCATCTAGCAAGAGGCCAAAATCTTCATCAGGTGTAAATGACGTAGAGCTGATCAATATTTTGTACTGCTCTACATTTTCAACATCTTTGAAAATCTCGTGTTTTGCCCTAAGTTCGATGTCCCTAGTCGGTTTGAATTGCATACCTGGCCGGTCGTAAAATGCAGTCACTTTAGATTTAGCAAATCCAAATTCGTTAATTAAAAACTTTCTCATTTTTTTAGTCACCGTTATATTCAAATCGGCAAATTTCCCCAAGTAGCATTCATAGCCCTTCATCAACCTCACCAATGGATGATTCAAATTCTGAAACCTCAAATTCAATATGGTGTAGTTCAAATTATGCCAATCAATCACAATTTTCCAGTGTCGTTGGACAAAAAACTTGAACAACAATACAATGAGCAAGATTGGTATACTAGGAGGATTCTGTATCATAATCACATCCATTTCACCACCTCGATTCCAAAGTATCGTCGCCAACTGCTTCACTTGAAGCAAGATTTTTTGAGCAGCAAAAAGTACGAATGGCAAGTTGTAGATATTGTGGACTACTCCAATAGGTACAATATCAATATTCAAATCATCCACAATCTCCAGTGGCGGATGCGTTTCAACATACCCGCATAAAGTCACGTCGTATCCCACTTTACTAAATGACGATGCATGGTAACACATTCGAGGCGAGTGACCTAGATCCCCCAACACAAATATCAAAATACCCTTTCGACTTGCTGGTCTCCTGTTCTGCGAAAAGTAAGGTAGTAAAATGTAGGCTATTATCGGAAGACAGATATATGCTGCAAGCATATAGTAGAACCATGGTCCAGTATATTTCCATATATGGTCGAATCCTTGATACTTGATGATTCCATCCATAGTATAAAAGAAGCAATTGATTGGATCTTAATACTCAATTGAAAGACGGGCTCTGATCAACAAGAAAAAAAAAATAAAAATAAAAACAATTATTTCAGTCTTTGTGCTAAGACAAACTAAAAAAAAAGAAAAGGAGTAAATGAATAGCGACAACTGCAGGACTCGAACCTACGCGGGCAGAGCCCAAAAGATACCTTGAATTAATTCAAGTCTTTCTCCTTAACCACTCGGACAAGTTGCCTAACAACTGAGCTATTGACTCAAATTGCTGACAAAAAAGATCTTTGCTCTTATATGTAAGGGTATTTTCACATGACATTCAGGTGACGTATGCGTGATTGTCACATGACTTTGTGCAAATAATCACTTCTAGAACCACACATTTTGCACCTTTGAAAAATGGCAAGAGGATAGTAAACCACAAGCCTAAGTTTAAGGGACGCTTTGCTATCATATCCCTCAAATACTTTGTTGTTATTCAACTGTCTCAGCAAGTTGGGTAAAATTGTGGCTATACTTAATATACAATAGTTGTTGGAAAAAGTCCAACAGCAAAACTAATGTTCTCACAATACTCAGTAGCATCAATTTTCAAAATGTTAATTCCAAAGGATAATGTTGCTAGGCAAAACATTTATGAGTTGATGTGTTATTTGGAGTATGTCATGCCCAGATCCAAGATTATGTCAAAAATTAGTGCTTTGACATACAAAAAAATCATTTGAATTTGCCAACTTTAAGCATCACGTATTGAAAATTAAGGCATTAACTTATAGAGCTAATTGTCGTTTGAACGACAAAAACTTGATTCAGTCAATTATCTCAAATTTATCACCAGCTGAGATATCATTAAGTATTTCCACTGAAGTTCCTCAATTGGTCTCTTCTTGCGTTTTCTATTGTAACTTTTTCTTCGACAGGTTCCAAATTGTTGTTGGGTGCTGGCTCGTGTTGTGAATCAATAGCAAATTCATTTTCAATTTGCATTCCTTCTTCTTCAGAGTCTGAATCTGAATCTGAATCTGAAGTGACATAATCAATTGGATCGTAATCAGGATCATTGATATTTCGCCCACTATATAGCGACTATGTAATTGTTGCAATCAGCTTTCCTTTGTGCCACTCAGACTTTAATGTCCATTTAGCAATTATAGTTGTGTAACGACAAGGGGTGTGATATTCAAATCAGTGACCTAATAAACTGTTACTACTGGTCAAAATTGTTTTGCTTATTAACTAAAGTAAGATTCAAACACTCAAAATTGTTGACAGTTTTTCTCACAATCTTTGCAATAAATTTGCACCCAAATTCCCCCAATTCCCCCAATTCCTCCGCCCCCCAAAAAAATGCACATCAACAAATTAGACTAGAGCTGGGATTCATTACAAAACAGCAAGGGACTGAAACAAAGGACTGAAGCACAGAGCGGGACCAAGCAGACTAGTAGACACATCTATGATTATGTGCAAAGAACCAAACTGCACTTGCCTGGTTGGATCTTCCTATCAAAAACATTATATTCTACTGTTGTGGGGTGTAAGTTAGATTGATGGAGAGACCCCAGTGACAGTCACTAAAATAACTACGCAATACCTTGGTGGTTGCAAGTTGACGGTTGATTGTTCTCGTTTTATCAAAGGTGGGTTTAGTGTACGGCGATAAACTTTCTACTCTCTCTCTCTCTCTCTGTGTGTGTGTGTGTTTGTGTGTGTGGCTTCAAAAAAAAAATAAGAACATAGAAAGACAGACGAATAGTAGTCACTGGTAACACATCGAGCCCACCTCTACTCTACATCAATAGCCTCGTACAATGTCAATAAATTATAGCACTCCGCATGCTGTGGATGTCCCTGTCACTGATATGGATGACCCCGAAGACGATATCATCTTTGCAGAACACCAGGACAATACTCACTCAACAAACACTTTGTTTGACCCACTCGCGGACGACAGGCAGAACAACTCCAACTCCGGTCTCATTGGAAAGCTCAAGTCGCTTTTGAAAAGAGATGCCAGAACTGATGATTATGAGATGGTTCTGCGCTTTGATGCCGGTATTGACGACGACGACGAGGAAGCAATGAATGAGCCAGCGATTGACTTAAAGGAGTACAGGTTGAGACACCTTGAAAAGAAAGTTAGGGACAGAACCATACTTGGTGGTGCTTTGCTCACTGCAGTTGCTGTGGTGTCTTTCATCCTTTACTTTACGAGAAACAATAACATAAACCTAAGCAGCGAATCCAACAAGCCCCTGCATAAGCTTTACTCCAATTCAACTCACGACTTTTACAAAACAACCATTATTGTGTCCCTAGATGGATTCCATCCTCATTACATTAACCCACATGATACGCCAACACTTCACAATATGTTTATAAATGATTACGGTGCGCCATATATGATCCCTAGTTTCCCCTCAGTGACTTTCCCCAACCACTGGACCTTGGTGACTGGGTTATATCCTTCAGAACATGGTATTGTGGGGAACACATTTTTTGATACAAAATTGAAAAAGCAATTTGTTAGCACTGATCCACAGAATGGAAGCCTAGACCCTGATTTTTGGCAAGGTGGTGAGCCCATTTGGAAGACTGCTGTCAAACAGGGCGTCAAAGCAGCAGTGCACATGTGGCCCGGGTCCGAAGTTCCAGGGGTTGGACCCGACTTTGACTCTGACAGATTCAATGGGTCGGAATTATTGACTTCCAAAGTGGAAAGGGTTATGGGATGGCTTGATCGGGAGATTGACACGCGACCAGAATTGATCTTGACCTATGTTCCTACAGTTGACGAATATGGACATCAATATGGAATATCGGGCCCCGAGCTATCTAAAAGTTTAACATATGTGGACGATTTCATCGAATTGATGAAAAGTGAACTTCACAAGAGGAACCTCGACAATATTGTCAATTTAGTTTTTGTCAGTGATCATGGAATGGCTCCTACATCTAACGACAGAGTTTTGTACCTTGATGATTTGATTGACTTGAAGAACATTGATCATATAGATGGCTGGCCATTGATTGGGCTAATACCAAACGTTGATGTCAAAGAAGCAAGGAAAGAGATTCAAGCAAACTTTGACAAGCTTGATAAAAATTTGACTAGACATTACCATATCTACACGCGAGAGGAAATCCCACAACGATTCCAATTCGGCGGACTGCTTGACGAGCACAAATTTAACTACAGATTAGCGCCACTATGGATCATACCCGATGTGGGATACGCCGTTACAACTCACAAGCAAATGGAAGATAATCACGGCGAGTACAAACCCAAGGGGGTTCATGGTTATGACAATAGACATTTATTAATGAGAGCATTATTTTTGGGATCGGGCCCCTTTTTTAAGGACAAATTCAAATCAAACAAAGTAAAACCATTTGAAAATGTTAATTTCTATAACCTTATTTGCGAGTCATTGGAGTTGCAACCAGCTATAAATAATGGTGAGCCAGTGCAAAGTGTTGTGTCACAAGTGTTGCCAAAGGACTGGAATGATAATTTGGTCTTCCCTGATTTACCTTTTGAAGTTGAACATATTGTTCGCAATAATGCAACTTATGATCAATTGTGGAGAATTGGAAACAAGGCCAAACCAGTCAATGAACAACCCAACCCAAGCCCAATGGCGTCACTTGTGTCTGAGCAGTCGACAATCTCTCAGGTTGCAACACAATCGTTACCACAGCCCAGTGACTTCTTGACTACAACGACAACTTCCCTCGACGTGAGCTCAAAAAGTGCGACCAAGACCGAGGCCGCAACTACAACCACACAGGAGGGTCTTGGTGGGTTATTCAATGAAATCATTGATGATATTGAAGATGGCGTAGAGGCAATAGGCGATGCTTTGCATAGTTTTATTGATGACAATTTCTAACAGCTGGCGAGTGGCGTTTTTATGACTTCTTTTATAATTCACTGGTTAGATATTCAGTTTGTATTTACCTTATAACTAATGAACAGTTTTTTGTCTTGTACTTGATCTCTAGAATATGGAGCCAGTATACTGGATGTTATGTTGTGCAGCAGGTGAATCAAGCACAAACGGAGAGTTTGTTCTCCTTCCCGGTGTACCTGGAGAGATTGTCTCAGTCGAGTGCAAAGAAAGGCGACTGGGACTTTTCCCCGCTTGTGTATTATTCTCTTGAGTAGTGGTTTCATCGGTGGAATCTTGACATAATTTAACAATATCGTCCTTACTGAGTAGCATAAACGATTTGGATCTGGTAATGACACCCCACTTCTCCTTTACAAACACAATGATTTTAGACAACAAGAGTCGCTCATTTGAGATGGAGAGATCTTTCCATATCCGTAGCAAATCTGAAATAGAATCTTCTTTATCCTCGAACCAAACTCTAAACTGTTCAAACAAGGAGACTAACTTCAGCAAAACCAAACTCTTGAAATCGGATAATTCGTACATGTTGGCCAACACCACCAAGGCCGAATAGTCATATATGGCCAAATGTTCATCATGTTTGATTTTGCCAACGTACAAATAGTAAACCATTGCATTCACTCTGCAAAACGGCTCGGGGATAAACACCCTGTTTTCAAGAGTTTCATTCATTCCCGATGAAATCATGCGATAAAAGTGTGGCCATCTGGCACTCAAAATAGCTTTATGCACTGGCATGGACTTTGTATTGTAAGCAATCTGGTTCTCAAAATTGCGCTTGTCGTCCTCATCAACCAACGAGGTGATTTCAAAATCAGCAAACAAGTGTGACTCAAATAGTTTTTCAAAATCTGACGAGACAGTATATCTTGATTGGTTCGAGACTCCAAACAGTGCCAACTCAACTTCCAATACGTGGTTTAATTTAACACTTTGCAAAACTGAATCTTGCTCCTCATCAATCCATTCGTTCCCATGCGTTGTTTCAGCTTCATTTTCCAAACCAGTGGGTGCCAAATTGCCTCCAAACAAGTGCAGACACTGCTTCCTCTTATTCCCCAACAAGAATAGAGATCCATTATGATTGATAAACGCACAAGACCATAGGAATTTAGCATCGCGCTCATTTTCCCCAACAAATTTCAGAAAGTCCAACTGCTCAAACAAGACCTGGGCCTCAAAGTCTTTTAAATCCAAGCTGGCAACATTGACTCCACCTTCTACGTTCCAAGTTGGAAGGTTTACAAACAAACTGACCCCAGGATTTCTCTTATTTTCCAATATGAACAAGTCATAGCTCAATGATGAAAAGCTGGTGGTTGCCAAGCTCGAAATTGAAGCTTCACACTTGGCTTTTGTTTTAAAAGAGTAAAAAGTCACCGTCTTCACATGATTCATGTCGCCGTTCAAGCCACCAAAACAATATATACGGTCGTTATGGTAGATTATCGTGTGATCAAATCTCGGTTCAAACTCAAAAGGACCTGTCCAAGTTCCAGACGTCAAGTCATAACAATACAAGTCGCTCAATACGGTTGACTTCACCAACCCGCCACTGATGAAAAGTTTCGTACCATCCGGAGTCAAACAACAGGCATGCCTTGATCGCGAACTGGGGGCATTGGTCAATGCGAAGTCGGGTGGGCCGATCCATTTTTTGTCGAAAATGTTGTAAATCATCATCAAGTGATCCTTGCGCATGTCTCTACTTGCAGATGCTTCACTGTGAGCACTGGGGAGTGAAGTTTCATCGTCGAAAGGTAACCCGCCATAGACCAAAATGTTGCCGTCGTTGAGGTAGACTGCCAGATGACCTTCTCTGTACAATCCGTCCATTTTGTTATCACATTCCCACTCCATAGTATCTGTGTTCAATAAATAGACGTTGCTGTCCAATGCATCATTTTCATCAAATCCACCATACAAGAATACAAAGGGAGTTCCAGAGCAGGCAACGATTGTTGATTTCAAGTTGTGTGATGGAATTGATCCCCTTGCACAGTGTAATTTCACTGATGCTTCTTGAGACGCATTTGAAGATGGGAAGATCACAGATTTTGTGTTTGGTTGTGAGTCAACCATACTGCATAACCCTAGTAGACCATAGACTTTGTTGGGGATTGATGTAGAGCGTTAATCACTGTGTGGTTCGTGGAGGTGGTGAAGAGAAGACAAGACAAGACAAGACAAGACAAGACAAGACAAGACAAGAATGCATACAGAAATATTTTGTGTAGATTGTGCGGCTTCTATGTACAAAAAAGAGCAATACATCTCTATTGTATGAACAACAACAAATCGCATTGTATATATCACCAAGTTTGAAATGGGTCTCTATCAGTCGCACTAATAATAACCTCATCACTCGATTGGAGCTCGCTTTCTAGTTGTTCTTTGATATACCTCAAAAACGGGCGCTCCGTGTTGGAGTGATTACAGCAGATCACCGAGGATCCACTTTCCTTGAAGAATAGAGCTTCATGATGGGATAGTTCTCCAGTAAAGTATAAATCAGCTTGCAAGCCCTTGAACACACCGCCTCCAGATCCTGCACAAATAGCAATTGATCTAATTTCGTGATCTGGTCCGTTTTTAGATTCAGCGACATGTACATGATCGAGACCAAGTTGCTCTTTCACCCTTGGAACAAGAGCCTTCAAGTTAATTGGTTGTTTAAGATTGACGAGTCTTCCCATTCCGCATTCAGGGTTAGATGAGTCAGGTTCAATTGGGGCAGAGTTTTGGACATTTGACTTACCTGCAATTGCATCAACTAGGAAATCATTCACTCCTCCTTTGGCACTATCAACCGCAGTGTGAGGTGAATACACACTGATGTCATTTTTCACCAACCTCAACAACGACCTTTGCTGAGGATCTTGTGGTGTTATTGACTTTAGTCCACGAAAGATGAAAGGGTGATATGCCATTATGAATTTTGCCCCTTTGTTTATGGCTTCATCAGCAACTGATTGGGTTAGATCAATGGTGAGCAACACCTTGATTGGGGAGTTCTGTTGTGCTGCATCTTCCACGCTAGAGTCTAATAGTAAACCAGTGTTATCCCAAGACTTGTCGGCTAAAGCTGTAGGATAAAACTTTTGAACTGATGAGATTGTTAGTAAGGAACTTAGCAAAACGTTTATCACGATCACATACTTGCGTTGACTACACGCTTGACTGACGTCTTCGACATTTTGTGGGGGAAGGGAAGGGGAGGGGAGGGGAGGGTAGGTTAGGGGTTAAGTTATGGTTAAATGTTGCTTTGCTGGATATTTTTCAATCCTGTAAAAGCGCTACCAATAAATGACACTGTAAATACACTCTTAAAAGCACTAAATATTTTTTTGAGTGAAAATTGCTCTTTTAGCTCAGTTGGTAGAGCGTTGCACTTGTAATGCAAAGGTCACTAGTTCGACTCTGGTAGGGAGCAATGTTTTTTTCTTTTTTGCAACTCTTTTTCCACCGTTGTGTAGACAACATAAAAAAGGGTTAAGGGCTCTAGAAGAAGATTTCATATACGATGTCTGCGAGGTCCCATCCCAAATAAGCTTTCATCCCGGTTCTCTGCAACAATTCGCTGGGAAGCGCATACTATTTTATTACACCAAATCTTTCAAGAACCACAAAACATAAAATTTCGCAATAACATATCAATAAACCAGAAAGCAAAAGCCAAACAGACAGCCACCAGCCGACAATCACCAAAGCAAACTAGTCAAGAATAGGTCACATTTCAACAATGCATTATATGACCTCGTTTTTGCTTATGTCGGCACACACATATTTGAATGCAACTTATTCATTTGATGGACTAAATCACTCGATAGAAACCGCCACCGATATGGACAATGAACTTGACACCAACTATCTCAACAACCTTGGAGTGGGTCCACATGGAAACAAAGGAGAAGAATATCAGTCTGATGTTACATACACAGAGCTTTTTGACAGAGTTGGTTCCATTGTTGAAGTTTACTCCAGTAAGGAACTGTTCTGGCCGACAGCGGGTACTTACAGTACAAGTGAAAGCACATTCACCAGGAAGAGACATCTGATAGGCAAAAGGAGCAATAAAATAAGACAGAGAAAGTCAGGAAAAGTATTTGGAGGTATCAAAATGAACGCCAAGAATGTTCTTGCAATTTGGCAAAACAGGATCCGGAGCAAGAAATTGGTCAACAAGGGGATGAAGTGCAATGAAGTAGACAGAGCAAAGTCTGACTTGCAGTGGGACGGTGGTATCGTGAACAATGCAAAGGCGAACCTCACAAGCGACGTGGAGATGACAGACCTCGAATGGACTGAGGAAACAGATGAATTGGAGGAAGATTTTGACTACTCGAGCGACGAAAGAGAGCCACTTAATTTGACCAGCCCATTCGTGTTGCCAGTGAGGACAGACTACAAACTGTCACCACCTGCTACTCCAGTTGTGATTACTCAGGTTCTCACAATCACCAAATTGGTGACGTTACCAGAAGATACCCTAGAGAGTGTGATTTCACCAGGCAACAGCATAGTCTTGGCATCTGAATCTACCACTAACTCCTCCTTCCCAGCACACATTGACTTTGACTCTAAATTGGAAAGTCCAAGTCCACCATCACCACCTGTGAATGATGTACCTGAAATTGATGCTGAATATGATAAAGTGTTTAGTGTGATTGCAAGCCGTAAAGTGTTGTCGGGTAGTCAAGTCACAAAGACAACCGCATTAACCAATTCCCGGGATTCAGAAGCTGGGACAGTAAACAGTGCAGAAGAATTGACCTTGAGTGACTTTGACAACGTTGCCATTGAAACGATTTCGACTTTGACGACCCCTGTGACCACAAGTGAAATTCCAACACAAAATACACGACAAGAAGTGGACCCAGCACAATTGGTAGAATATGATGATGGTCACTTGGTGTTAGGAAGGAAACTGTCGAGAGTTAAGGACACAGTTTCGATAATACTTGCAACGACGACACCAAGCCACTCGACGACCGGACTATTCAGTATATTACCGATAAAGGGAACAACCATAGTTTTGCGTCCTACTTCACTTCCCCATTTTCGAAGCGAGGTAATCAACCCAAAGAGAATGAACAACACCAAGATATCGGACCCAGGGACACCATTCACCAGTAATGCAACACTTTTAAACAAGTCTCAAACGTCAGATATTCCCAAGTCACATCCTGCAATAAGCCTTGGAAGCATTGATGCCACAAACAATGCGAGTACCACTGACTTGTCTTTTGGGAATGCTGACACAAGGAGTCCCGTTGCAGCTCGAGGAGGCTACTCATTCACTGGGGTGATTCTACCACGAAAACCATTCGTGCTCAACTCGGTTTCTTCAGTCACTGAGCTGACATTGTATCTACCATCTTTTGTATTTCTTCTACTAATAGTTGTAGTGTGCTTGTGAATGGAAAAACATTTAGGTGAACAAACCTCCCGTTGTTGAGTTGATGGAATTTTTGCGCTCTCTCGTGTCAAAAAAAAACAAAACGAAAACGGCAGACTGACTAGAAACCTTACTTTGGCGACATACAACTACAACAGTGCCTTCTCCCAGATAATGTCTCTACTATCCACTTGGAGACAGTTTCAGCTATTTGACTTCATTCCTATACGTGACCCCAACTACCAATCACACGATGCATTGTATTCTGATCCCACGCTCAGTGCCATCAACGCCACGAAAGCGTACTTGGTTATCGCCGTCAATAATTCCATACTTAAGATCATAAACCCAAAAGATATGACGTGCGAGGGCCAATTCCAAGCTTACGATATTGACTACAGGATAACGTTTATAGAACCTGTGATCAACCTGAGCAATTTGATAATGACTTTGGCTGAAAAGCAAGGGTTCCCACTGATCATCAAAGTTTGGGATTTAACAAGGATACTCAATATGGAAAAATTGGAGGCATCGGAATACAAGTTCAAATTCCAGACTCAAGTTTCGGTTACTGAGAATAGTCGAAGCAACGGAGTCCAAAGTGAAAATTCGTTTCCAATTAGTTGCTTCAAGTTTAATTTCGACTTGACATGTTTGGCAATTGGGTATGCGAATGGGAAAGTAATACTTGTTAGAGGGGACTTGTTGCGTGATCGAGGATCAAAACAGCGAGTTATTTATGAAAGCTTTGGTAATGATCCAATAACTGGAATACAGTTTAATGAAGAGGAGCAAATACTTTACGTCACAACAACTTCAAAAGTGTTGACGGTATCGACTACTGGGCGTAATCACGGCAAACCTTTGCGTATATTATCACAAAAGGCTGGCGCAGATCTAGATTGCACCGAATCTGGAAGAAAGCAGGAGTTAATTGTAGGACGTCCTGACTCAATTAGGTACTACAACCCCACTACAAAGCTAAAAACAATCAACTTCGACGTTCCCAAATCGAAAATTGCAAGACTCCATCAGTTCATATTGATGGTGAGCTCAACGGATAATGAATACCTGCAAAAGTTTCAATCGAGGATTATTATTCTTGATACAAGGAATAACCATATTTCGCTAAATTTGTTGATTCCACAAAGTGTGATCAAGTTTGTTTTCAAAATGGGTAATGAAATTTACCTCTTATCTAATGATGGTGTATTATACCGACTTTATGAAAAACCAATCAACCAACAGATTGAACTAGTTTTGCAAAGGGAATTGTTTTCCGTAGCATTCAACTTGGCAAAACAACTGAAACTTTCCTCAGACGTATTGTTGCGGATACAGACATTGCACGCAGACCATCTATTTGATGAACAAAAGTATGATGAGGCTATGGATGTTTACATTAGCTGTCTTGGCTTGTTCAAGAATGAAGCTGCGGATGCCGTCAATTCAATTTCGAACGAAGATAGAGATGATTTTATCATGAATGTGATTACGAAATTCAAGGAGGCAATTAACACGGCAAATATGGTGAAATTTTTGGAAAGATTGTACGCAATGACCCTAGCCAGCGTCGACCATATCACATTGTTATTATGTTGCTTGTGCAAGTTGAAGAACCTTGACCAAATTGACTCTTTTATTGATGAATTGGACTTGTCTAATGCAAAACTACAAGAACTCAATTTTCCCCTCATTATCAATTTATTCAAAGAGTGTGGATTCTACAACCAGGTGTTGAGGTTATTATACAAACTCAATCAACCAAATTTGATTGTTGAAATTCAGTTGAATGATTTAAGTAAACCGAAATTGGCATTGAGTTACATGAAGACATTAAAGATTGACGACTTGCTATTGATATTAATTGACCAATCGAAAAAGTTGCTAGACTCTTGTCCAATTGAAACAACGGAGCTTTTGATCAATGTGTTTACGGGTAAATATCAACCCACCGAGTCAACGCAGGAGCCTTCTACCACAACAGCACCAGATGCAAACATAGAGGAAGATGAAAAGGGTGGGGAGGGAATAACTCAATTGACCAACTACAAGGCATTTCTAAACTACTTGACACTCCGCGGGAATGACTCAGAAAATGAGAAAACCGAGAAAACAACAACAACAACATTATCATCCAATGTTGCAAGAGAACCCACATACCTACCTCCCAAGCCCAATTTGATTTATTCCAGCTTTACCAACCATCCAAATGAGTTTGTTATATTCCTCGAGGCATGCATTGAAGCTTTGGATAGATATCAGGGTAACTTGACGGATAAAAAGGAAGTGTTGATTACCTTGCTTGAAATGTATCTCTCATTGGACAAAAAGACTGGTGAGTCGGAATGGTTGGATAAAGCAGATTCTATTGTTGACCAATACGGTGATTTGTTAGATGACGACTCGTTGTTGTTATTGAGTCATTTGTATCGTTTCAAGCCTGGCGAAATAAAGGCAAGGGAAGATAATGGCGACGAGGAAGGTATATTTATGTCGTACAAAATTGATGAAGACGTTGAAGGGTGTTTCAAAGTGCTACAAAAGTATGGCCAAGCTAAACCGCAGCTCTATAAAATGATGCTCGAGTTTATCGTTTCCAAGCGTGAAGTTTATGAAAAAGTTAATCACGATGATATACAAGTCATACTACAACAAATCAAAAAGTATAAATTGTTGGACCCACTTGAGTTGATTAGTTTGCTCAATGGAGGTGATTCTAACGACAATGAGTTTGTTACGTTTGGTATTGTTAAAGATTATCTCCTTCAGTATTTTACAGCTCAAGAGCAAGAAATCACCAATAATGAGAAACTCATCGAAGTGTACGAGCATGACTCAACCAAGAACTCATACAAGTTGTCACAATTGACACACCCATTTGTGATTCAGAACAACAAGTGTTCAGCATGTCAAATGAAGTTGGACTTCCCAGTGATTCATTTCAAATGCAAGCATTCATTCCATCAGAAATGTTTGTCATCTAGTCTCGTTGCCAAACCAACAAGCAGCAATGGTAGCTCGCAATTCGTGGATGATGCAAGTGACCATGGACCAAAATGTCCTATTTGTGCACAAGCCTTGAGTGATGTTAATGAAGTCAAACAGAGTCAGTATACGTTAACGGAGAATGTCGATTTCTTTGTACAGTCTTTGCGTGATAGCACCGATACATTCAAGTTTATTTCTGAATACATTGGGAAAGGGGTGATGGAGGATGAGTCGGTTAGCATGGACCAGTAAAGAGTGGAGAGATATCAATTGTGTGTTTAGGATGAGTTTAGTTCTAGAAAGTGTTTTCCAACTGCTTAGTCTATTTTCATCTTTCTGTTTTTAGTGGTGGTGGTGTTAATGGGGGGGACGAACTGGGTAGAATGTGTAGAAGTTCTTTTGTGTCAAACATTTCCACTTGATACATATGAAATAAAATTTGTGTAAAAATTAATTGTATTGTACTCTACTGTTTGTATAACATCAAAACTGCCCATCTGATGACCTATCATTCTACTTCGTGCTGTCTCTCGAGTGAAGTAGCACACGATGACGCGTCAATCTTTGTTTATTATCTATTTTTCGTTTAGATAAAAACATTTGGCGCCAGATAGCTTTACTGTACTTGGTGCTGATTATTTGGCGTCAAAAAAAGGGGACAGAGCTTTGAATTTAAACTGCAAGTATCGAGACTAAGGGTGACCAGTATACCGTGTAATGCAGTATGTAACCTAAACCTAACTGCAAATCTAGATTTGAGACAAGGGCTGTATGTCCTTCTCTCCCCCTCTCCCCCTTCCCCCCCCTTAATTGTATACAATAAGTGATGGTACAAAAAACAAAAACAAAAATCAAATCGATCTTGAAACATTCCTGAACCACAAACCAAAGATGGATTGAACAAGAAAAGAAATATGCTGTAGCTAGCCCTGCTTCAGAAATGGAATGTTTTACGGATAGTAGCATCTTGGCGTGGGATTATATAAATAATCTTTGTTGGTGCTTGTAAAGATAAACAAGATTGCCTTTTCATCTACTTTTGCAGAACTTTCTACTCAACCCACGACAATAGACCCAATATTCTGAGAATCTAATGACTGATATTATAAATAAGCATCACATACTGGAGAGAGATTTGGCAAGGTTTGCAACATCGGGAAGAACTGTTGTTCCAAGCCACTCGGCGGCTGAATATGACCCATTTTGTCCAGCATGGTTGAGAGCTGCTGAGAACCAACCAGAGACAACCTCACCCGACACACAAGCCGCTTCGAATAAGCCCACAAGGTCTAGATCTCGTAAACAGAAACATGCACCTGGTGCTTTACACTTGGAGATATCCCTACCTACGTCAAATCCCGATTTCAACAATGTACCAACGTCCTCAACATCATCATTACAACGAAATCAGAGTATGCTGAAACGCAAGCCCGAAAAGTTGACATTCAAGCCTACACAGTTTCCCTTGTCGGTGTACGAAAGACAAAGGAGTTGTGGACAAACCTCGGAAAGTCCAATGCCTAACTTCAAGCCACCTCAACTACTGCAAAAGAGTGACCAAGTCTACAAGAAAGTGAGTTCTCCTATGCGTACGGAATTTTTCAACCACGAATTGACAAATGACGTCAAATTTCAGTATCAACAACAGATTATTGAGTTTCTCAATTACACCATTGGCAAGTATAAGCAATTGGAGAAGTATGTTGACGCTAGCAAATTGGAGTGGAATGAAACTAGTGAAAAAAGCTTGGTTTTGTCGAATCTCATGAGGATTAAAGAGGGGTTCAAGGATATGATCCTTCGTATAATGAAGCAGTTGAGTAAAGAATCTGGTATAATTGACCACAAGGAAGTTTGTGAGTCTGAATTGATCAATTGTAATGTGTTTCAATTTGTATACAACTGTTCAATTGAAGTGGTTAATTTTGGTGATTTAATCAACAATCTGGGCCTATTCAACAATGTTTTTAAATTCAGTTTGTTGAGCTATTATTACAAGTTGGATTTTGTTCTTGCACAAGCAGTGCATCATCGTGGCCATTTGGCCATTGCCATGGAGGTATGGCACAAGTTGCCCACTTTCATCAAATGCATCAAGGATCAGTTGGCAAAGTTGAACAATCACAATATGAAATTGGGAGTCAACAATGTAGTCAAGAGAAATTATCAAGATTTGGAAATATGTTTAGTAAAGTTGAGCTCAGTGACTTCAAAATTTGCCACTGTTGACAATTTGAAACGCAATTATCCCATATTAAAATGGACAGATTTGGTCAGAGTGGATGAACTATTAAAGGTCAAAGTGCCTGAATATTATCCACAACACAATTTGACGCAGTTGCAATTTGTTGATTTCAGTAGTCGACCATTGAGCACAGCTGTTGATACAAGTATTGTGAACGGTCTCCATTCAAACTACAAATTGGATGTCAAAGCGACCGGGACAAAGAAGGAAACTGATTTCAAAGGCAAACAGGATGAGACTGAGTCGAAACCTTCAAGACTGAAGCTGACATTGTCCAGAGGTATCTCAATCAAACGTTCCTTGTCAGCCATGGTGAAACGCAGTGTTTCCACAACGTCAAACTCAGACAAGAATAAAACCAACAAGTTGCATACCCTTACCGATATCTTAACACAACTGCCTGACAACGGGCCTAAACGACAGCCTTCGAGATCACTGTCAAAACAGCCACAGATATCAAGGTCGCAAACCACAAAGTCCAGAAATCCATCACCATTAACAAAATCGACTCAACAAGAGGATGTTCTTCTACAAGTAACCACCCCACCAAGACGAAACCAATCTTTGAATCTACACAAAAGCGAGCAAAGGTTGGATTTGGTTGATGAAGATGCACTGCCAAGCCTGACGCAACCTCCACCAGCACGGTCTCCGAGTAAGAAGGACATTCAACTAATGCTTAAAAACAGACCACTTCCCACAGCGCCCGAGAACACACCGCAACGAGAGAATAAAAGGCAAGAAGGAGCAAAAGGAGAACAGCTACAGCAACCGCAACAGTTACAGCTACAGCAACAGCAATCTTTGCCCAATTCTCAAATGGCAAATTATGTAACCTGTCTTGTGCAGTTGCGCAAGAAATTGAAAGCACTCGGCCCACAATTGATTGAGTTTCTTGAAATTCAGTTGAAATATTGCCGATTGTGGCAGAAGTTCCTTGGAGACGACGTAGATGGCAATGATGGTGATGGTGCAGCACAAATCAATCACCACAGCCAGAACAAAGATGACCATTACATCAAGTCCATTTACCAATCATTTCATGAAAAACTTCTCCATCAAATCAACTTTACGCAACATACAATCGTGCGTCATATAAACTCCAAATTGATTATGCCCATTGACGAATGTTTACAAATGTACAATGGTCGTCGCACATTAACTGACTTGCTGTATATCCATCAGTTTATGGAGTTGATCGTACGACAGTATAATAAATTGTACTGTGAATGGCTTGAAGGCTTGATTGGGGCTCAGTCCATTGCTGAGTATCAACAGTTGTGTGACCGTATGATAGGGTGCCCCGGAATGAAAAAGGGCGATGATATTGTTGAGTATTACGAGCAATTGACAAAGTTGAAGAATTTAGTTGTGTGATATGGGGATATAGGATATAAAGAAAGCTAATGCTACCAATTTTAATTTCATCTCTCTCATCTCGCAGGTCAACGCTATAAAAATATCTTGTAGAGACAGAAAAATTTTTTTTACACCACATCACACTTTTTTCTTTCTTTCTTTCTTATTCACCAGGCACTTTAAGTACAACATATCCTTGCAAAGACAAAGCAGCTACACGGATATACTGAGTAATGCATATTCATATATTTATCTAGCTCAAGTCTTTGAGGGATTGACAATATAAAGTTGTCTTTATGGGAAATTTCAGAATCTCAACCAACACACACACACACACACACACGCACACACACATATATATATATTTATGATGACAAGATTCGCTGTGCACCAGTCTGAGTACTCAACTGCATGACAGACCCAGTAATATACCCAAATTTCTGATCAAATATATATAAAATGTGTTTTGATAAGTTGTGTATTGTTGTGAAACTTTCTCGAAGAGATGATGGAATAGTACTATATAAGCCGGCGGTTTTACAAACTTCTCTTCCTCGTATACATATAGTTGGATAGCTTTTTCCCAGGATGTGCCGTCAGAGGTGAGCTGCCTCGGCTTTTTTAGATTTTGCCTACAATGTAAATTTATCTAAGGTGACGAAAACTGCTTCTAAAACTACTTCCGTCCCTCCTGCTTCTCCTGCCACCATCGTCTATCTCTCCTAATTAATGCACGAGAAACGGTTTTGGTTTTATTGTTTCTATTGTCTTGGGTGCATTTATACCGAATTGGGATAAATTACCACCATCTACACAAAAAGAACCAAACGATTTTCTATCACTATATTACACCAAATTGCAGGCAATATGCACGGAATAAGGCAAATTATACCAACCACCGCCACACAAAATAGCTCATGCGAGTAATTAACAGGTTATACACGTATTAAAATAGATATATGTTGCAGTACACTTTGGCTGTGCTTGTTCTTATCAAGCCATCTTCGTAATTGAGTTGAACAAATGGAAACGCGATGTTTTTGGTTCGTCTCGTGTAAAAGTACAGGCTCTTGCAACCAGGAGCTATATGTCAGACCACAACTGTGCTGTTCGTAGTGGAAATGGTTGCAACAACAAAAAGTATATGCAGTGGTGTCTCACTTCAATGCATCCATTGGTCATTGGCGATCGTTGGTTACGCGCAGGTCATATAACCCTAAACGGAACAATAATGAAATCTTCCTCTCCGCCTTCTCAACCCAATCCAGAGAATTCGCGTGAGTGCTGCGGCTTCTTTGAAAGGTGGCTACATATTCTTCTATAAATGGAAAAACTAAAGACACTATAAAACTCGACAATGTATCTACACAGAACATACAATCATCCGATTGCATTCTCGCGTACGCTACGTGGTGGCTTGACAATTGACAGTGCTCTGATCGTTCCCAAAGACTCAATAACGACGGGGGCATTCTCGTCTGAGGTAGGGCCATCATGAGCCGAAGGTTTTGAATGTGCTCTGTCCTCAAGTGTGGTTGTTTGTGTACTGGAATATGAGGGATGAAATAACAGAAGTCGAAAAAGTACAAAAATCAAAAAGTTCTAGAATCTCTACGGTGTCCCTTAAAATAGATTGTAGCAGAGTATCTGTTGTTGTTGTAGTTGTTTATTGTAAAGGTTTTCAAACGCCAAATACAAAACAATATGACGCGCGTCAAAATTTGTATCACAAGAGCCAAACCATTTTCTTTTCTTTTTTTTTTTATTTTTTTTTTTTTTTTTTTTAATCTGGCGTTTGTGGTGACACCTCGAACAAGATGGTCTCCTTTTTCCTAGTCATGGTATTGTTATTGTCACCTTAGACGATGCAAAACGACCTAAACAATATACCCAAAACCAAAGTCAAATGAAACTGAGACACACAAAAGGAGATATATACACGCGATCTAAAATATCTCTCATCTCCTTCTAGAATAAAACTATACAGTACGCATTGGGCCAAATTGAATTGCACACAAGCCTCAATAACAGGAGGGAAAAATAAAAATTAGTCTACACGATAGAACTTGAGACAATTATGTTGCCCCACACACACACACACTCTCTCTCTCAATGGCACAAGACATATACAGTAAACAGTGCCAAAATGTTCTATCCTCAGACGCGTTTTAAATGTGTTTTGTAGACCGCCACAATTTATTTCAACAATGCTGTAACGTGACGGTATTGTATTGCCAGCTCGCCAAACACGTTTTATGTTTATGATGAGTGTGTGGTCAAAAATAATGTTCCAGTGGCACGATGTGGGCTGTGTAGAGCTTATTGGTTGGAGTTTCGTACATAGAGAGGAGGTGCATTGGGCCTGAACATTGCTTAATACTGTAAACTCTTTCTTAAGCCGTATATGATCATTGTCAAACCGTAATTAGTCAACGCCAGCCATAGTTTACTTGCTTGGATCCATTTTAGGATAAGTAATTATGCGTGTAGTACGTACCTGACGACACAACGCGGATTAATGAGGTTTGAACGGGGTTAAGATATATGGATAGCTGCATCTGCTTGCATTCCCAGAAAACTCTCATTACGTAGAAATTCAAGATCTTTTGTTCTTCGTGCTGCTGCTGGCTATCTCATACGTATATGGAACATGGGGAAACTGATTATTTTATTTTTTGTTTTCTTGCTGGTTTTTGGGTAAACTTGAGACGCGAAGATATGTACAATCACAAACCTAACAATATGGAATGCAAAAGAAAATATCGAACGTTTTGGAGGTAGCGTAGTAGACGAGGGAAAGAGAGAGGAGGAGGAGAAGAAGAAGAAGAAGAAGAAGAAGAAGAAGAAGAAGAGGTATCACGCAACGACGTGAATGGTTGTAGAGCCTATGGTGTGGTGTGCTGGTGCTGTAATGTTATATGAACACTGAACAGTTTGTATGACAAGTGGCAACTATACCGTTGCATAAGTCAATTAACCCAAAAAGGTTACGAACCTTATGGTTATAGACTTTACAGGGTAAAGGAGTGTGTTTGTTTACAAAAACCCAAGGGAAATTGGAATTAAGCGCCAAATAAAAAATTATTTTTTTAGAAAGGAGAATAAATGCTGCTGTTACACAAACACCCTTTCTTTTTTTTTTTTTTTTTTACCTTGTTACGATAAATAGCGAATATAACACAAACAGTGCGTAATTGCACTTTTATTCTCTTTCTAAAACAATTATCAATCGATAATGAAAAACACATAGACGTACCTTTGGGTATTTATTTTGCAGTATTGAGTTATATAACAAAAACATCTCCTTAAACCATCAAATCTCTGACACACACATATGTATATATATATAGATAGAACTTCTCAATTTTCTCCCCAGCATACCCTTGTCTTCACTAATACTACTTCTTCATATTCGTCACCCAAACTCCAATCCAAATCCTTCCACCATGGTTTCCGCACTTGATTTGAAAGCATTAAACATTTTTCTCAGTGGTCCAATCACTCACGATATGATCCACAAGTTGGTTGTCGCTACTTTACAAGTTATTCCATGCAAGGATACCAAGTCTCAAACTTACACCACCACCAACAACACCGTGAAACAATTACCTTCATTGATGACATTTCTCACCAAATTGGTCAAGTACACCAATGTATACACGGGAACTTTGATGGCTACATTGATCTACTTGCAGAAATTGAAAACCAAATTGCCTAAAAACGCACAAGGCTTGCCCTGCACTAGACACAGAATCTTGTTGAGCTGTTTGATCTTGTCGAGTAAATTCCACAATGACTCGAGTCCAAAGAACAAACACTGGGCCAAGTATACCGATGGTTTGTTCAATGTCAAAGACATCAACCTTATGGAAAGACAGTTGATCTATTTATTGAATTGGGATTTGAAGGTTACTAATGAAGAGATGGTTGAAGTTTTGGGATCCTTCTTGGACCCAATCAGAGCACAAATTGTCAAGCTGGAGAAGATCAAATTGTGGAAACAACAACAAGCACAAGCACAACAACTCTATGCCACCGCCACTGCTACTGCCACTGCTGTTTCTGCTACTGCACTTTCCACCACTCCAGCTTCGGCATATCTCACTACCCCATCCCCATCCAGATCAATTTCGGGCAGTCCATCAAACTCAAACTCAAGCACAAACACAAGCTCGTCTTCAGCTTCATTATACCATCAATTACACTACAGACAAGACTCACAAAGCTCAATTTCATCAATCAGCTCATCAAAATCATCCAATTCACTCTACTCAGCTAGATCAAACTCAACGTCAGCTTCGTGCTCAGTATCGCCATTGCCACCAACTAGCGCGGCAACTTCAGCTGCTACTGTGGAGAAAAAGCAGCAATACCTACAATCCAACAATCAGTACATGGTTGACCCACTTATTGAATTTGCTGCAATGAAGGAAGAAATTGAGTTGAACAACTTGTTGAAGAAACTCAACAAATCAACCATTTAATAAAGAGTAGGTTGGGGGGTGGGGGCTTAATTGCCACCGTCTTTTGTTGGTTTGATGAGTCATAAGAGTGTTTTCTTATGGGGAAAGGATTTGGTAGATTAAAAGAGTTTGAAACAGGGATGGGAAACAAAATGCTGGTCATTATTAATCTCATGCCCTGGTTGCATGGTGCTCTTCTCACGCTGGTTTTTTTATGGTCATTTTATTGTTTCGTTTTGCATATACATTTTTACAATTTTATAGAATACGTTTTTATAATACATTTGGTTTAGGATACAACTTATGGTAGATCTGTAACCTTAATCTTCTTTCCTTGTAATTCGACACAGCTAATGGTGCCTGTCCCGAATGAGTCATGTCTGCAAAAGAATGGCAAGATGGAGATGTCTTGGCGGACTGGTCGCTAAAACGCGGGGTACATTTCACAGGTTGCAGGGGTGCTAAATTGCAAAACCCAAAAGAATTTTCTTATCTGATGCAACTTGATGCAGAGTGAGAGACAATGTTTGCGCAGTCACCCATCTCTCAGCCCAGAATATTATCTTCATACGAGATATGCAAAGTCCTTCGAGATCGCCGGCGAATACTTCACCGCAAATGGTGCCATTAATCGAATTTTGCAATAGAAATGCTTCTAAAATACAACACTACTTACCACACAAATCACACAAATATATCACATTATTAATTAATTACTATAATTACACTTTGCCCCATACGAACTGCCTGACGTCATGGCAAATTCATACTAGCTATACCCAACATCTCCTCCAAGGGTAAGCTATTGAACAAATCAAAATCATTCAATGTCTTTAACTCTGCACCTCCAGGAGCAGCCCCATTGTCTTGATTATTAGCCACACCCCCATTGTACCCGGACGTCTGCTGATAATTCTGTTGCTGTTGCTGTTGCTGTTGCTGGTGCAGTTGCAGTTGCTGGCTATATGGTTGCGCTAAGGACTGCCAAAAGGGCGTCAAGACGGAAGGTGTAAACGGAGTGCCCAGCGTCGCTGGTCGAGCAGCGCTTCCATTGGTATTGGAGCTTGCACTAACATTTGCCGCATTGGCAAACTCACCTTGAAATTGATCAACATTGCCATCACCCGCCACTGGACTCGTCTTCATCTTTAACGAGATCCATAAATTATCAATATCAGTATTCGAGACAGTATTGAAATCATCGAGACTCGACCATGACTCCGATGACATTGGATTATTCATAATGTTGGAATGTTCCGTTGTTGTACTAGCTCCATTCGAACTAACCAGGTTTTGATGTGAATGTGCATCGACATATTCATCACCACAATCAGCATTTATATCGCCTTCAGTCACATTGTCTCTTCTCTGTTCCACATTTGCATTTGCATTTGCTGGCCTTACCATCTCATACTCTGTAGCCAAAGGACCTTGATTTTGATCCCTACTAAAATGCTCTGAAAAAGATTCGCCAAACTTCTTTTTGCATCTAGCATACGGCTTCATACCTTTTTGGCAAATTGCAATAAGCTCATTCAATTGCGCATCACTACATTCCAAAAAAGGTGCCAACTGCTTCTTCTCATGGAAGAGCTTGAAAAAATCTTGGTTCCTTATGCAATGCGTCATGATGTAAGTATGGGCCTTGGTTATTCTCCACGCATAGTAATACCGTTGACTCAATCGTGACATCGACATAATCACAATCTCACAAACCCTTTCCAAAAGCTGGCTCAATTGCACCAATTTCCCATATTTTAATCGGTAAGACATGCCAGACTTCATATTGGCGTCATGTGCTTGTGTGTCTGATCTCATCAAATAAATTGTAGAATTCAATCGTGTCAACATTGCAAAACTAAATTGTGAAATCTTGTGCAACATGCCTTCAATAAATGGATTTATAATCAAATCACTACCGACACCAGTACCGAAATTCTTGGCATTTTCCCAAAGCAATTGGGGAACATTAGGTAAAAATTCACCATACAATGAGACCATAATTTTCCTCAAGTAAAAGAATGCCAACGACTGCAGCTTCACATGGGACTCAGAGGATTGGTTTTGTTTCTTAGCTTGTGCTTCATAATGGATATACAAATGAAACAACAATCCATTAAGAAAAAACTTCATATTGATGTAGTTTTTGCACTTCATGATTTTCAAAAATGGGTAAGCATAATTGTCCTTGTCAAAAGGTATGAGAAACAATTTCATAATACCAAAATTGTCATTAAGAAACACCTCAAAGTCAGAAATGCTGTTAGTTAGCATCTGCAAATTAGCCGGCTTGTGCAAATTCAAACACATGTTCAAAATATTAACCAATTTGGTACGATACTTTTCAAGATACGCAAATGTACTCACAACATGCTTCTCCCTTTCAACATCACCTATATTTTCATTTCCCGGTACATAGTAAGGCAAACGAGTATCATACATCTCGTCTCTGATGCATAATGGATTACCATACTGATAACCTTGAATCAAGTCACAAATAACCAAAAAGAACCAGATTTTACGATGAATGTTTTGTTGTTTTGCACTATCTTCCTCAACAATAGACTCTTCATCAGATATGATATCATAAATATTTGTAACCACTGAACCATCCCGATGCAACCCAATAGCAAGAGCCATTTGCACCATTAATCCATTAATAACTTGCGAATCTCCACCATCAGAACCGTCTCCGTGTTCAGGACCAAACATGTAATACAAACGAAGTAGAAAAGTACACTGCAAAACAATAAGCGCACATCTGCGATTCAAATTGAACTGATCGAGACACAACTCTGCCATTTCGATAAGCTTCATTTCAGCTGGGTTTAATAACAAGTACTGTACATCCATCTCTTGCCTGTTATCAGTTCCATTAGCCATTTTCTTATCCATGAGGGTTGTCCTGTTCGTAACTAGCGAAACATAAGCAAATCGAATTATAATGAATAGAGCCCCCAAATAAGCGAGATCAAGTCGTTTTTCAATTTTCAAATCGGTGATTTTGGAATCATTGAAATCTTTAGGGCCCAAGATCCGTTCCATTTCACGAACAAAATCTTGCTCATCAAGCAAGGGGAAAAACGGGTACAAATGGGTGAAGAATAACTCAATTGATTTCCAAATAACCTTTTGTTTTGGTAAATAGTCTCGCAAATTTTCAATTAGATTCAACTCCTCCTCGATTTTACCTTTGCCAAAAGACATGGCACCTCTAGATTTCTTTTCTGGTTCGGGACTAATACCAGTATCCCTCTTGACATCCGATTTTTGTTCCAGTGAACCTGTTGGCTTTGAAGTAGTGGCAATAGCAGAAGTGCCGTCTCTAATACCCAGCTGTTTGAATTTCGTTCGTACATTGCCATAAAGTCTCAAATCGTTAAATCCATCACGATCAATTGCCCGTTCTTGAAACTCCCATTCTTGACCACTCTCCTTCTTTTTGGTACCGGGGTCATCATCATTTTTATCAGTCTCTGAAACTTTTGTTTCACCATTTTCACCGCAACAACCGTTTTCAGCCTTTGTCCCGGTTTCCGGTACTCCATCTCTGAAGTGATGTATCAAGGGTGGCAATTGAGCCGCACGAGGAGTCTGTCGAATCCGTTTCCGGTTTTCTTGACGAACAGAGTGCAAGTATTTCCAGATTTGGCTTTGAGCAGGGTCTTTCTTCAATAAAGTCAACCAAGCAAATGGGCCATGGTTGTATCGTCTAGCTAGATCTTGAACATGCACAGGTGCATATCCTTCGTAGAAATTGATTGTTTCGCCTGGGTTCGTATCATTAAACGGATTGATTCCGATAAATGTCGGATTCGACGACGACTCATTATTAGCTGACGAGGAAATTGTTTCCCAATCGAGCGGTTTCTTTTCAATGGCTGGTGGTGAAGTGTGGGACGCCACAGGAGACCCACTTCTATTATGCACCTTAGATTCCAATTCATGTAATTTAGACTTGAGAAACTCCAACTGCGCGAAAACACCATCGCCATCCTTACTTTCTGTTTGAGACATTACTGCAGGGCTAGCACCAGTCTCAAGGCCCATAGCATGGCCACTACCACTACTTTTTAGTTTCATCTCTTCTTCTCCGCTTGTCTTGCGTTTCTTGATGCCACCATCTTCACCGTACAGCGTACTCCTGGCATCTAAACGCTGCACACTGAATTTTTTGTCCTGATCAGCTTTACTCCACACAGGCTCCAGGTACTCACACGCAGATCCATACTTGACGCACGACCCACAAGGCTTATTTCTGTCGCACTTGATTTTACGCCGTTTGCACGAAATACAGTTGAGTGAAACACGATTCCTCTTTGGCTTGGGTTGATCGTGGCTGCCCACTTGAAACACTGATTGCATTTTTTTTTTCTTTCTTCGAACTGTAGGAAGGACAGAAAGTAAGATGATTAATGAATGGGTGTAATGAATTGGAGGAATTTACGTGAAGAAAGAGAAAAACAATGTAGTCATTTCGGCGCTACCTAAGCCCGTCGGAGTTACTGCGGGGCTTTATTTTCCGTGTACGGATTTAGGCGATAAGCACGGTGAATACCAACCACGGTACTTCACAATGATAGAGCAGAGCATAAGCCGCCATAACCTGTTACAATAATAATACACATTTTTAAAACTCAAGAAAGTACACAGGTAGACACTTTTTTAAACAGATTTGATTGTCTCATCTTTTTCTTTTTTTTCGAGGTTCACATCCTCAAGTTGTTCCCATTTTGACTAAATCCTCATCAAAATCACCATAAATGTTATACAACCGAATCAAGTCTTCATTTCTCGCAACCGGGTCCAACACGTCATCAGGCAAGTTGTTCAAGTTGTCAAATACTTGATCATCATCAAAAAACGACATAAATGTAGACCCCTTCCCACTTTCAAAAATGGAGAAATCATCAACACCAACCGATGATCGTAATGTATCGAAATTGAAATTATCAATGTCGTCATCATTAGCAACAACAATCCCCTTTGCCTTCAACCTTTCTCTCTTTAACCTTTTCTTCTCTTCAGTGGCATTCCGAAACTCGCCACATAAGCGACACAAGTGGTGCAACTCCGAAAGCGTAAAGAATTCAATCATATTGGTTCCTTGATGGAAAAACAGTTGGTCACTAATTGCCTTTTCGAAAAACACATCGGGGTTTTCCACACACTGACGCATAATTATGTACGTCATAATGTACAACCGATAACTGTTTATATAAGTACGTGAGAGTTTCCGGAAATTACCAACAAACAACTCTGCTTCAACCAAAACCATGGTGAATAACGTGTCAATAACCTCAAGTCGAGGAATATAGCTAGGCTCCTTGAACACTTTGAATGATAAATCCTTTTTTTGATGGAGTAACCTAATGAAAAATGACGTCAAGAACGAATGCGTTCTAATCATATACCGTTCATTAGCAGCAGTAAGAATATAATCAAAGTTTTTCCCAAACAATTCAACGGAGTTGTCCAACACATGGGTCATTATGTACACAATCTGCACCACGCTCTTGATATATATCTTGAACAACTCAATTCCAGCATTCATCGACGGCGTTTTGGATTCGTTGTACTCGTTCTCATAATGGATGGCAATCATGTAGTACATTCCGGACAAGTTGGTCCTCAATTGCACAAACATGCAGTACTTCATTACCTTGATGACCTGCTCTTCATGCTCCATTGTTCCCGCATCCCACGAATTTCCATTCGGTTCAACTTTAGCTGGCTTGCAAATACCAGTCAGAAAGAAATCCTTTCCGAAAAAATCGAAAAAAATCTTCTCCAAATGGTTTGTATCAGCCAAGATATCCATGACTTTCGGCTTTTCCCAAACATTGTTGATTTTGTTACACAATTGGCGGTAACATTCACATATCGAATTATATCTCTTGATTGTCTCATTTAGTTCACCAGTTATGTCGTTGGACTCGAATGGAGCATGCACATCACTCATCTTCAAGTTCCTCAAGTTCAAATTGGTACCATTATGGAGACTGCTCATTGCGTCCACCTGGGTCAAGTAATTCCACAAATGCCTCCAAGTCTTGATGAATGGCGGGTTTTTGCAAAGAGCATCATACGCAGTATACGACGTTGGGTCGCGGTTCAATCCAATTGCGAGTGCGTGGCGTATACACACACCGAGCAAGATTTGAGAGTCGGCCCCGCAAATACCATGCCCATCATCAGGTGACACTTCCTTGTAAAAATACAAAAGGGTTAATAACTGAACCAACTTGAATGAAGATTTGGCTGCAATCAAGCCATCACCGATGCAAAGATTGACAACTCTTTTAAATTCATCCGATGAAAATTGCGTCATGTCGTGAATCATTGATAACTCCTCAGCGGTATAATCGTTGTAGACGCTGTCATTATGTATCAAACTTTTGAATCCCAATGACAATATTAGCATGAAAATCCCCATTGTTCGTAGATCTTGATTATTGCGAATTTTCAATGAGGTCCACCTCTCGTGTCCAAAGGAAGGGAAATTTGTCAACAAGTTCTTCACCTCCACAATCAAGGACCGTTCGTCAATTATTGGAATGAATGGATGAACATACTTGAAATACCGACAAAACAATTTAAACAGGTTGACCTTATCCGGCAAAATCGCAAGTAGGACCTTTTCAACGATTGCATAGTAGTCTCTTTTATGCAGACCAGTGGAAAACAATTCAAGTGAGGGCATTATACTGGAAATCTTACGCTCTTCCTTCTTGCCGTCACCGACATTTGGCGATTGATTATCAAGTGGCGAGGTGACGTTCAATGAGTTCAACGACTGTTCACGAGCATGGTTGATTGCTGCTTTTGTGAGATTATTCAATTCAACGTCGTTATTAGATTGATTTGAGTTGCTTGGTGCCATTGGAGCTGATTCGAAATTATTGTTCGGGGTGTCGACAGGGGTCATGCTCAATTTCAGCTTTTTATGAAATGGCGGTAAACCATCGCTATGTTTGGATGAAAGCATCGACGCTGAGCCATTCGAATTTCTTCGTTTTCTGTTGGCATCGGTCCTGATGAACTTTGTCATCTCTCCAGCCCTAAACAAGTGAACCGTAAAGTTTCTCAAGATTGTGATAAATGGATCACTTTTAGTTAAACCAAGATAAGAAAGTACACCTTGTTCCTGAACAATGTGGTTCTCTAAAGCTATTGAGTAGCTTGCATTGGAAAAAACATTCATTCTATCCTCGGTACTGACTTGTAAAGACGAATTTGGTCCTAATGGAATTGAAACTAACGAATTCGATGAAAAAGAGTCCTGCACGCTGGGAGATTTCTGCATTGACACTGGCTTCAGTTCATTGGTATACGAGCCCGGTGTTGTAACTGTTGCGCTAGGTTTATGCACAGTTGTAGAAGGCGATGGCACATTTTCAGATGCGACTGATCGTATTCGTGATGTTGGCGAAATTGTCGGCTGATTGGCAAGACTTGCTTCAGTGGGCGATGCATGTTGCGATACAGGGAAAGTCGCCAACGGCGATGTCGCAAGATGCTTTGCGATTTGGGTTCCTACAGGCGGAGGTAGTTGGGGTTGACTCTCTGGTCGCAAAGCAGTTGATGGAGGGGTTGATGAAGACGTGGGTGCCGAAGGAGGCTGTGGCAAGGGAAGTGAGTTAATTGATCCGGTATGCAGGTGGCGAGAGCCTGCTTTAGTAAACACAGAATTAGAAATAGCTGATGGACTAGGTAAATATGGCTTACCATTATCTTGGGAAGGCCTTTGTTGTTGTTGTTGTTGTTGGTGGTGGTGGTGTTGCTGATGGTGATGTTGTGGTGGCGGGATCGGCAATTGTCTGGGCAGAATTCTCTCAGAACTATTATTGGTTGATGGTGGTGGTTGCTGTGGAAACTGCGCGTGATTGACAGGTGGAGCTGATCCTGCTGATGGTGTGTGAGGATTTTGAGCTCCCGGGGATGGATAGTTCGGAGATTGATGTGGTAAAGGTGGTGGTCCATAAAATGGTGGAGTGTGAAACGCATACGGAGAATGCTGCTGCTGCTGCGGTAATGGTGGTGGCGGAGGTGGCGGGGGCCCTCCAGGGGGGTAATGGTGGAGTGGGTTCTGGGGTGCATAACTCGGGGGATCTAATGGATTGGGAGAGGGAGCATAATATTGTTGTGGGTGCTGTTGAAGATGTGATGAATAAGGTCCTGCATGAGGTGCTTGTCCGTTACCAGGGTACTGTTGTGGTGCATTGTAGCCATTGTAGGGGTTTTGTTGGTGCATATCCCCTTGACCTTGCAACTGCAGATGGGGATGCTGGTATTGATGTTGAGGGTGTTGGTAACGGTATCGATATCCCGAGTCAAACTCATACTGACACAAGTGAGTTATTCCTTTTCTTATACACGTGCCACAAACCGGCCTCACCCTATCACACTTGGACTTTCGTTTTCTGCACATGGAACAAGAAGCAGGAATTCTATTTCTCTTTCTCTGGGTTTGTTGCGAAGATTCATTATTGTCACTAAAGCCATTTTCATCGTCAATATCATTGTTTTCAGATGCGACTATAGGGTTGCTGCTGTTATTGTGTGGTGTGGTATCTGTGTTGGAAGACAGTTTATTTGATTGTGGTTGTGGGACAGGGTTTGTCGGCAGATTGTTGTTGGAGTTGTTGCTGGTGTTGGTGGTGGTGCTGCTGCTACCTGGAGCTTGGGGCACACTTGCTGAGGAATTCGGAACAGGCTCCATAGTACTGATATCTACTATGTGTGCAGACAGTCTTGGTTGTAATAGCTTGTATGTATCGATACCCTTTGATGTTATAAAGTCCTTCGGTCTCCAAGAGAGTTTCGTAAATATTATTATTTATTATACAATGAGACAATCCCGTTAAATTTCGGGGTTCTCCAAATAAATTTTATTTTATTTTTTTTTTTTTTCTCTCTCTTTCTCTCTCTCTCTCGCTCGTAAAATTTTTGGGGCTGGTCACCAGCTAAGAATACATATCTGCTGTAGCTGTAAGTGGGGGGAGGGAGAGAGAGATTACATTATATTTTCATTTTATTTGTTATCGCCTGCCAATTGGCAAACAGTGCATATACTTAATGTAGTGAACTGTAAATCTCAACCACCCATGTCTTACTTTACTGAAGCAAACTTCTAAAGCTGGATACTTTCTTGTAGGTCGTGCATTTAGGCTAATATTGGCACAGTGCTTGTGTGCAGTATTGTCGGAAAGCATTGCCGCGGTGGTTTAATATTTTGTTGCGACATTGTAACTTTTTGCAACACACACTTCTTTCAACCACAACATCAGAGGACTTCAGTCATAGACAGAAGTGGATATATAATGTTGTCGGTGGCTCAACGAAACAGTTACTGACGTGCATGTATTTTATATGAATATTCGCTTGAAACAGCCAGCTTATTTTGTCGAGAGGATCTTGGTTTAATTTCTACACCAAAATAAGTAAAATGGCTTTAACATTGATTTGCAAAGTTCTAATATGGATGTGTTGACTCGAAAAACCAGCTATTTTAGACTGAGCAAGTTCTTTTAGGTCTTATGTAACCATTCCATAGACCCTTTTGTTTCCCTAACCTCCTACTTGGAAATAAGTTTCCCTTTATACAAGCTTCATACTATTGCTATGATGGAAGCTAAACATTTGTGACCTTACTATTTTGTCATTTACTTTCCAAAATCAACAAAAGTTATAAGAAGTTTGTACCAGCACCACGGAGCTTATCAGTGTATGAGTAGTAGAACCTTTGGGGGTTGCAAAATAAGGTAGCGCAATACCAGAAAGACGTGTCTCCCTCTTTCTCTCTCTTCAATTCTGTTTACAATTTTTTTTTTTCCCACGCTACTACGCGGTCCAAAGCTGTATCTCCTTTGCTTACAACGCAATCACTTGAACAGCCCAATATACAATGAGCGACGTTGAATCAGGCTCCGATGTTGAAAATTACTATGATGCAGAGGAACTAGATGACTTCATAGACTACAGTGATGAAGAAGTCACAGAAATTGAACCATCAAACGCGTCTCGTTCACACGCAGGACATTCCATCAATACTCCCTTGGAGATAGACAACAGAACTGACAGTGAGGGAGAAGAGGAAGAGGAAGAGGAAGAGGAAGACAAAATAAAGTCCTTAACTACACGATTGAAACCGAACGAAACGCATACGCAAAAGTTGTTGCGTGCCCACATTGCCATTTTGGTATCTGCATTAGGTGGTATTGATCATACGTCAGAAGTAAAGCCTCCTCCATATAAGCTTGGCCACGACGCATTGGCATGTTTGAAGGACATTAAGAGATGGATCAGAGCAGTTGATGAAAAACAAAACAACTACGAAGTTGCCCTCGCATGTGCTGAATGCGGTCTAATTCAAAACGACATTATTGTTATCCTTTGTCAATGGGAGCAGAAAATGGCCAGAAAGGAGAACATCAAAAACAAAACCTCAATGGAGAAAATCATGCTTTCGTGTTTAGAGATACTAGTGCTTTTGACTTGGCCCGTGGATTTTGATAAAAACTTGTCTGAGAATCAAAAATTATTGTATGCAAATATCCGCAAGATCCATGTCCTGTACAAGAAACACATATTGACATTCAATAATGGACAGTTATTAAAAGCCGTGATAAGGCTTGTGCTTCCCGTACTTCAGAAATCAAAAATTGAGAGAGAACCACGCGAAAACCAAATTTTGCGCCTTGTTTTATATCTTATTAGGAACGTGTTGGCTATTGAACCTGTTGCATCTTCAGTTTCATCGAAATCACGAAACACTATTGTTGCATCGGCAGATTTACCTAGTGGAGTCACCCAAGATGATATCTCCATCAACAATGTATTAAAAGTGTTTAAGAAGAATAAGGTTTTACTGCTCTTATTGACCATATCTGGCTCAATAAATGTCGAGTTTGACAAGGACTTGTTCGGTGAAGTAACGCTTGAATGTGTATACTTGATGATTAAAGGGATAGAGGCAAAAGATGTGCTAGTTCGTCTACCCCCAACAACTCAAGCGCGCAGTACCGGCAATGTGTCTATTGATGCATCTGCCCCTGTGGCCCCTTCAACGAGTACAGTTGGTATGCAGTTGCTGGACCTACTAGCAACTGAGGCGAAGAAGAAACAGGCACAAACACTGAAGATTGCAACTAGGCATGGTAAATTTGGCACCTTGTTATCCATTCGCTCTTCTGATGCAACATCCTACGTTGTCTCAGGAGAAGAAGCTTTGGCAGATACTGATGGTACATTGGACAAGTTAGACAAGTCGAAAACTTGGAAAACCCCGAATCACTTCAAGTATGACTCTGATGACTTTGTGAAAACAAGCACGCCAATATACCTTACGGGGCCAGGCAGACAAATCCTTCATGACTTTGTTGACGAGTTTTTGTCTGGTGGCTGTTTTAACAACTTGATTGAAGTGATGGCATCAAAACTCACGAGTCAGTCCGAGTATTCCACGGTTGATGAATTATCCAACGCCAGTTACTTCTACACCATTGCTTGGTTTTTGAACTATAAGCGAGAGCAAATCCTTTTGAACAATACAACATCGTTTGATTTTGGTTCGGTACGAGCAGCTTTGAGTGAAGTCAACTTTATATTGATTGTGACTTATTTTAGAGACTCGTTTGCCAAAAAGTCGTGGAACTCATTACACGTGGCAATGATTTGTTTCAAAGAGTTGCTTCAAATATCGAATTCCATATTTGGTAAGAAAAGAAGCACAAATGAGACTGATGAGGATGATACTCAATACGAAATAGATCGTGAGTTGGCAGAAGGTATCATTCGAAAATTGTTTTCATTTAATGATTTTCTAAACATTTTGGTGCTAATACCACAATCTGCATTTAAGCACTCACCAAGATTCCTCAAACAGTCCATTCATGTGATCACCATCATCTTGAAATCTTTTGAATCTTTTGCCAGGGAGGATTTGCAACTCTATGTTCAAACTAAACGGAAACAAAGCAGGCAAAATAGAAAACGAATTAATGAATTGAATCGAGATACCGATGCAAAACTTTCAGCGGCAATTTACGATTCCGACGATGAAGCAATTGCCGAAAACATCCGTGAAGTTACTCGTGAGCGAAGATTGAACTTCCAAGCCACCGAAGTTCGATTTTTCCATCAGGCTATCGTGACTGCATATATTGAATACTTGTGGCGATTTCAGGACTTGAATGACGAGGATATCAAGATGTGTTTGAGTTATTTCCACAAATTGTTTGTTGTTAGAAAGGATTACAATGGGTTGTTTCGCTTGGATTTCATGCAAATGATACATAAATTGAAGAATCATTTACCAAGAAGTTCCTCAATCAGGTTGAAAGTGGAGGAGTTTATTTACTATTTTATGAAAAAGTTCAAGTTGGCGCTCGGTAGGTTCCCCAATATTGTTGAAGTTTTGTTCCCTAGAATCGAAGAAAGCTCATACAAGTGCTACTTGTCAACTGGGGAGTTGTATGAAAAGGAGGATCTATTGGAAAGGAAATTTGAAAAGAAATTTCAACAACAAGAAGAAGAAACTGACAAGACATACAGGGGCGACGACGACGACGCAGAGGAAGGAGAAGCCGACATTGCATTTGAGTTGGAAGCTAATCCAAATTCGTCAAGACAAAATGGCATTGAGTTAGATCAGTTGGATGAATTGGAAGCCCAATTAAATTCAGAGCATAGACCAAGATCAAAAAACTTGGAACGTGGTAAAGCACACAAGAGGAAATCGAAATCGAAAAACAGCGCAGCCAAGGTTCGTGACACTCCACGTGCCCAACGGAGAGGAATACCAGCTGGTCTTCTTGAAGAATCACAACCCACTCGATCAGCAGAGTTTGTTCATGATTCAGACGATGATTCCGACGATGAGAGACATCAAGAGTTTTTTGCTCGAGAGGAACGATTGAGGAAGTTGTTGAATGAGATTGGAAGTATCACCAATAATGAAAAGTTGGAGGAGTTTAAGAAAGTATGGCTGGTTTACTCAAAGAATGGTGATAAGTCAGTCTCTGACGTAGTTAACAGCGCGGTTGAGAAAGTATCGCTATTTGTTCAAGATGACGATGACGATGTGGAGGAGGAGGAGGATGAGGATAATGCCGGCAGTGACAAGTCTTCACAAACAAGTATTTTAGGAAAGAACAATGGAGAGAATGGCATCTCACATGAAAGCGAAGCCGAATCTTATAGCCAGAGTGCGCAAGAGCTGGAACACACTTCAGATACTTCGGATGTGGAATCAGACACTATCAAACGTGCAAGGGTTGATGATGACCACAACGACGAACAAGCTCAACCAATTCCAGCAAGAAAGAAGCGGCTTGTCATCAGTGACGACGAAGATTACTGAAACAAGTTTTGAACATTATAGCAATTTTTTATTCTAAGCCTATTTTTAATCTATAGCACAATGGTCACTGCCATCTTTATTTCGTACAGCGTCTCTAATGGTCATTCCAGAGCTGATAAGCATGACAGAAAATCCAAACACAATACATCCAACACTAGGCAACGCCTTTCGCAACAAAAACCGTTTCTTCTCCCAGGATTGTGCTAAGTGCCAGTCCAATTGTAGCCACGATAATCGCAAATAACACATTGGCGGAATGATATACGCCATCAAGCTTGCTGAAGTAGCGCCAATAAGTTCAAGAATCATACCCAAATTACAAGTAAATAAACTGACCGCCATGGACGTAAAAACGAGTAATGATGTGATTGCAAAGTGTTGCCATTTGCTCAATTCCAAATGGGACGTGCTTCCTCCGACGGCTTTCCGGCTTAATAAGATCTCCTTCAACACATCACGAACGACAAAGATTTCAAGGGGGAAGGTGGTCAACATATTTAATCCGAAACAGAATCGAGCAAGATTGATCCAATTGTCACTACTTTTGAAATTGTTTAATATGTTTCCCTTTGTCAACATGCCGAAATTCAAGTATCCATTGATTCCCATAATCATACAAAAGATCATTGATATGAAGCATGAAATGTGAGTCAACTTGGTAAATTTTTTCAAAGTTGCATTCCTCATTGATTGATAGATGAACATTGTGTTGTGGTGGCACACTAAGGCGAAGGAAATAACTGATATTCCTTGGAAAATGTTTGCATTGAAAAGCCATTGAGAACCAGCCACTTTACTCTTCAACTCAGATGACACAAATGGTGCACGTACAACAGTCAAGACAACAATGGTAAGCATTCCCAACAATGCGAATCCAGAAGCTTTTGCTAATTTCGAGATATCTCGATTTAGACTCAATGGATACGATATGCACCCCGTGAAAAGAATGATAATAACATTACGACTGAATAGCCATGCAAATGCACCATCGGTTATAGAACTAGGTATGAACGCTTTTAGCACATGCGGTATCGTATCGCCAATAATGACGCAAAATGCCATGCAGCCGCCGTATGCAAATGAACTAATGGATACAAGAAGGACGATTTTACCAGTCAAGCCAAAACAATGATGAACTGTATCTTGATATGACTTCAGTTGTGCAAGTATCGAATTTTTCACAATTAAAACTAGCGTCCAGTCAATGAGCACAGTGAGTCCTATCATAACCAAAATCCCACCTAAAAACCCACTATTTTTGAAAGCCAAAGGTTGACCTATTATTCCTGCACCCAATATCGAATTTGTCATATTCATAAATGCCATCTTCATATTCGAAGACCCAGATGACGTAGATTCTCCTGCTGTTGAGCTTGCTGTTATTGCAGTGGCACTATGTTGCGACGACGCACGTCGATGGCTTTGCCTTTCCGTCTCGTCTAATTCATCAACTGGTATTTCATAGTCAAAGTTATTAATCGTCTCCAATTCAAACTCCTCATCGCTGGCGAGATCATGCGAGGGGTAATTGTAATTCAGCTTGTTCCCATTAGAGGGAAGAAGCGTTTTCCCGCTTGCTTCAGTCGATGCGGACGCTAGATCGGCGGAATCGGGTAATGCAGCGTACTTGTTCTTTGTTATGGACAGTGACATGATTTCAGCGTTGCTCTATGCATAAGCGGTGATCACTCGGGGTGAGAAGGGGAGAGATGCTAAACCTGTGTCTATGCGGTGTTGGATATAGACAAAATGGGCTTGGATCTAGCTTGAGTATCGTTGGTAAGTTTGAACCCCAGATAAGGTGCTGAAAAAGCCTTGCAAAATTGTATTTGGTGAAAAGAACTATTACGCTCTCGTCCAAATTCCCAAAAAGGAAAGTCATGCGGCTGCGAGGTGTAAAAATAAACAACGCACCGCGGTGTATTCTACGTGTAGGACAAGTTCTGGATTTGCTATGTTGCATTGTATACATATATAAACAGCAGTGTTGGTAAAGCGATATTCAGAGCAAGTGAGCAGGAACCTTGTTAATTCTAAATTACTGTCTGATTGTGTTTTAGTATGGACCCCTTATGATGGTTGTTGAAGCAGATGTCGCAATTTGTAAAAAGACATGACACTGAAAATTTGACATTGGCTTATGCGGGTTTTCAAATGAGAAGACGGCATCTCGCAAATATGCTACTAATTACACTAGTACAATAAAATGGCACCACCTTATCACAACAGGAACAAGAAGAGATTCGTTGATCGTCGAGAAACGAAATCTGCTGATATTAAAAGAGCTCTTACACATCGTGCTCGATTGAGAAAGAACTACTTTAAATTATTGAAACATGAAGGGCTAAAAGAACCAAGCAAGGAAGAATCAAAACAAAAAGAAGATGATCAAAGCAGTGACGAAGAAGTCGAGGATGAAGGTGGCGATGAACTGAAAAACGTATCCTATCCAAGATTGAATAAACCGAAACCAACAAGCTTTGCCGAGAGAGCAGCTATTGCTAAACGGAGAAGAGCAGAGAAGCGTAACGAAAAGTTGCAGAGAATACAGGATAAGCTTACTGAGGTAGCTAGACAAGAGAAGATTAGGGAGTTGAAGAAGAAGGAGTTGAGTAAAAAGACAAAACGCGGACAACCTGTAATGGGCCCCAGAATAAACAATCTACTAGAAAAGATCAAAAAGAACAATGATTAATTTAACCAATTTTAGTTGTCTAAAACCTCAGGATCTTGCATTTTGAAACATCAATACAAGATCATATATATACAAAGTGGTCAACCTTTTTTGATAATCGACCCAATTAACAAATCTTTTGAAAGCCCACGAAATTCCTTTAAATTGCCGGTTGATTATATCAACACCTTCCTCGTAGATTGTTTGAGCACAATAGTTGGCCATTATCAAAAAGGTCCGCTCGGGACCTAGGTCAGACTTTAAACTCTCATCCAAGTTTCTAGTTAAATCGTTTGTTTTCAATATCAATAAAATCATTCTTGGCATACTTGACAATATGTCCATCAAGTCCTCTAATACTCCCAGTTCATGATTATTGATTTGCGATTGAATTTCTTCAATTTCCTCTTGTGATCTTTTCGATTTGATGTCTTTATTCAATACAGTATCAGGGGCCCTACCCGTGATTGCACTAACGAATATCTTAAACTTTTGTTCACCTTCAATACCAGCAAACACTTTGGCATACTTTTTCATCCCCGGAATATCATGATCCAATACAGCTAGCCAGAAATGAGCATAGTCGCGTTTCATTTGCAATGGAATATCTCTGTATAGTCCATGGTCGTATAGGATAATCTCGAAATTATAACCGTTGTGTGGTTTAACTTTTCTTATAGCCAAGTTTCCACCATGTGGGTCACAATGTAACCCAACATCTGGTCTGAAAATCATTTCGTTGAATATATGGGTTAGGCAAGCACTTACTTTGGATCTGTCTATATGGTTCTTTTCATAGTAGTTGAAGTTGTCTAATCTAGACCCAGCAACGTACTCCATAACCAATATTCTCTTTTTTGCTTCTAGAACATCTGGAATTTTCAAGTAGGAAACATCTTTGAAATGCTTTGCTGTTCTTTCAGCATTTGCTGCTTCGTTTGTAAAATCGAGCTCAACAAAAATCGAATTTTGCATTTCTTCACCCAACCAGGTTAGTGGATACTCAGGAAAAGCTTTGTACATCAAGTCAAACACCAACCTAGTTAACTGAACATCTAACGGCACAAACTCTTTCAAACTAGGATGCTGAATCTTGACCGCAACTTTCTGTCCGTTTTTGCGCAACCTGGCAATATGAACTTGAGCTAAACTTGCAACACCAACTGGATTTGGATCAAAATCAACAAACATGTCTTCTAACTTGACTCCGAGATCAGTTTCAAACAACTTTTCAATTTCCTCCATTGAAGATCTGGGACATTTGTCTTGTAATGGAATCATAGTGTCTGTCCATTCACGAGGCAACAAGTAAGTCAACGCAGTAATATGTTGTCCTAATTTGATGTAAATACCACCATTCTTCTCCAAAGCTTTCAAGGTAATTTCAGCAGCTTTCTTGTGGGTTTTTGATAATGCATCTTGCCGTGCTGTTGTTGAATCAAATTCTTTGTTCAAAGTCTCTCTATATAGAGCAAAGCACCGAACCATGGCAACTGTGACGACACCAACTCGATCTACAGTCAACACTGCATGTCTGAATTTGTCACTAGTGTAGTACAATGCTGACCCACCTATACCTATCCCCACACCAACTGCAAAATACTTGAGAAACCTCTTAGACTTTGGTTCTTTAGCATTGGTGAAACTTGCTGTTGCCGATGATGATGATGAAGAAATTGCATATGATTTTTGTAATGACTGAGATGTGTTCAACCTGTTACGCGAAAGAGCATGTCGTAATGTGAACGGGCCCCCCTTGTGTCCAACTCTGCACATATGCAGCTGCTCTATGAGTCTGATCATGGCGGTGGCCTTGGTAAAAAAAATCTGGGGATAAATATTGTACGATGGATTCGGGGTTGCGGATTTAAGCAACAAAGATAGTCTTTCCTGTCTAACCATAATGTCGCAAATAAATATTGACTGTTGCGATACATACATTTTCGCGACATAGGTTTGTAACTGCCTTTCAACAAAGCACGGTAACCATAATAGTGAAACAACTTCATCTACCAATGACCTCGTGCCTTTGTTTCAAGATAGAACAATTTTGAGACTCTTTTCAAAGGGTTTTCTATGCTACACAAACAAAACTTGACTAAGCATTACAAAAAAGAAGCAATATCATTCGACTGAGTGAGGTATTATTGGCCAGTTTCAATATTAGGAAAGTATTACACACAGTTCAATGAAAAGATGAGTGTATTTAAAGGGCCCATAAAAGCCGCTACTATGCTGGTTGGATTGGCTGATCTTCTGATTGCTTTATTTGCTTGTTATCTAACGCTACTAATTCAGTGTCGGTCATGAAAGTTCACACAGCGATGCTTCTTTACGCTGCCATGGCTGTAGTGGCTCCACTAGCAGTGGATAGCGAGACTGCCAAGAATTACACAAATGGAATTGATGCAAATGGCGCAAACAAAATGAAAATCAAGCACCTGTTTGCATTTCCTATTTTCAAGTTCAAGCTCAAGTTGCCATTTCAAAACACTTCTCCAAACTCATTACCACAAGGACAAATTGGGAAAGTTGAGGAAGGAGACAAACTGCCATCAGTAAGTAAGGAATGGAAATTTCTGCCAGATGGTACATCTGCGGCTACACCTACAAGCACAATCGATATCAAAGACGACTCAAAGAAGAATAATGAGGACGTGGATGAATGTGACGGATCTGAAAACAAGGACACAAATGAGCCTCCAACTGAGACTTCGAAAGGGTTTGGTGACGTGTTCATGGAGATGATGAGTGTAGGTAAAGATTTGACTTTGGAAAAGATTGAGGTATTGAAGGATGTCTTGTTTTTGATTGATCGTATTAAAGAAGAAACCGATTTCGCAAAGGATCACAGTACTGCAGATGTCGGTAACTTAGAATCAGAGAATACCGAGACTAGCACGAATGATGACAATACGTCCTTAGGAAAGCACGACTTTGCTACAATTGGATCACAGGCGTCTCCAGATGCTAAAATTGATGTTTGGAGATCTTCGATTGCACAAAGTGAATTTAGAAAGTTACTGAAGAGACACGAGATCACGCCAGAAGATTTGAGCAACGCCATAAAGTTGGGAGATTTGAAGAAGTTTTTAGAGAAAAAGAAGAAGAAGAAGAAGAAGGAGGACTCAAAGGATAATGGGGGTGACGAAGACGAGAAAGATTTTGATTTCGATGATCTGAATGAGGAGAGCGGACAACTCCTCAAACGTGCTGATCAAACTGAACCCATTTTTGAAGCTAATGATTTCAGTAAGCTCAAAGAGAAACTCGGAATGTCCAGTAAACTGAACGAAGATGGTGACTCGGACAAGGAAGATACCGGCAGTCGCAAAATAAAGTCTCATTTCAAAAAGCCACCTAATTCCAAGAATGATGCATTGCTTACCACGATTACAACTGCTTTGACTCCAGAAACCAATGCTTCCGATGAAGACTGTGCTGACAAAAAGCCTCAACCAAAGTATTACCCCTCTCTACACCCTAAAGGGGAAGAGTTCCCAGAAGGATTGTATGGCGGCGAGCCTCTATTGGAAGAGGATGATTGCGACGACGAAAATAAGGATGGCAAAGAGAAGTCCTACAATGTTCCAATGAACTTGAGAGAGAAAACCAAGTTACAAAATCCCAGTTTGCAAGTTAAGAGAAGCATTGAAGTATCACAAACTGATGATATCAAATTTGTGAAAAACGATGTTGAGCTTCCAAGGGAATCTAGATTAGTGGAGGATGGAGGAACGCCCACTACTGACGTTTCCAATGGTCCTGATTATTCTGATGATGAGGACGACGATGATGAAGGAAATGAAGATGAACTGGGAAAGAAGAAAAGCAAATGGTCCTGGAGCTCTATCTTTGGGTTTGGAAAAAACAAGAAAGAGGAAGAACCTACTTCAGATGACCCCGAATTTGCATCAAACTGGTTATTGAGGAAAAATTTTAGATCCAGAAAGGCGAAATCAAGGTCTTCTGAGATTACCACAACAACGGTTTTCAACACACCCAAGCCAACTGAAACTGGAAATGACAACGAAGAGGAGGAGGAGGATGATCCTGACTGTCCAAAAGAGAAAAAGGAAAGATTAAGAAGAGAAAAGGAAGAAAAACTCAAGAAGAAAAAGGAAGCGCTTAACAAGGATAAAGAGGCGTTAAAGAAGGAGAAGAAATTACTCAAAGACAAGTTGAAGAAGGTACCAAAAACCAGCTCCAAGACAGCTCCAAAAAAATTTGCACCTCATTACCAAAATGCTCCCCCAAATGGGATTGGCCTTGATGCTCCCGCATTGAAACTGGGAGAAGTACCAAATGGGTTGTCACCAGTAAATCTGGTGACCTCAGAAAAGCGCAAGAATTTTTTATTACTAATTCCTGATCAAGGCGACGCTAGACTTTTGAACCCAGAAGAGTTTGCTAATGTGGCTTCAGAATTTGATCAAGCTTTAGTAGTGAATGTTGCGTACAAGACAGTTCAAACTGCTTATAAAATTGCAAAAAACAGGCATTCAGGCGATATTGAAGATGTTGCGGACGTTGAAGAAATTGAAGATTCTGCTATTCGTAAGCATATTTCAAAGGACAAAGACTCATTCGGAGTGGTAATTAAGAATAGAAAAGCTATTGACGAAGCAGTTTCGAAATTCTTTGGTGGAAAAAAGCATGGAGGTTATGTCTCTGACCGGAAATCCGACGACGACAAAGTTGCAAGTGAGCCAGAGGATGGAAGCTCGTCTCACATCAAATTTGTGGGTTACGATTCTTTTGAAGCTCACAAGGCTACAAAAACCAATGACATTGGTTTCGAAGAAACAATTGAGAAGGTGTTTGATTCATTAAAAGAATCGGGATTGATTAATGAAATTTTGACCATGTCCATAAAGGATAAGTTGGTGAGAAGTTCATTTATGGATTTGACAATTGAGAGTCTTCAGAATGGCGAAATTCCATGGGATGGCTTGTTAATGGCAATACAAGCTCATGGATGGGATGTAGACGTTGAAAAGTTGACCTTTAAGAAACCTGAAATTGGAAAGATTTTGTCAAAGTTGGTTTTGGAAGCGATTCCAGTATTGCTTGAGAGAGGTGTTTTAACCCGGTTGGATGTGATTCGAAAATTGTCTTTATCTGAGAGGTTACCGGACTTTAAGATCCCTAGTGACGTAGAAGAGAGTGTCAAAGAAATTACTGAGGATGATGAAGTTGAGCACAAATCTAGTAATGTAAAGTTGGAGAAAGGACATCTGGAAAAACACCATTATACAAAGAACTACAACCTGACTTCTGATCCTGTTGTAGAACACCACAAAGAGAAGAATAAACAGCTTGAGAAGCAAGATCACTTGAGAGTTTACCCTGGACAAGACCATGAAAAAGATGGCCACAAAGTTGAATGCAGTGACTCCAAACAAGAGCATTTCGAAAAATTAAAGGACGGAGAATTGGTACACGAAGAGGACAGTAGTTGCAAGGATCTACACAAACATAAAGAAAATCACCATGAAGAGAACAAGGGTGGAGACTTGAATGAGGAGCGAATTGAGATTGATTTTGGTGAACTTCAAAAGGAGAAGCTTGAACAAGATTACAGGTTAGACGCTAACCCTGATGCTATAAAATCTAAGCGTGACAAACTCGCATTGGACAAGAACTTGAAATCGTCCACCTCACTCTCCAAAGAACACGCTAAGGATCACTATGAATCCAATCGTACATTGGGAGGTCAACGTCATTCAAAAGAACGCTATGCTAAAGAACACCATGAACAGGAACGTCATGAAACGGCACCAGGTGTGGAACAGTATGAGAAGCAAAAACACTATAAAGAAGAACATGCAAAGGAGAATCATGAATTGGGTCCGCAAGAACATGAACAGGTCGTGAAGGAACATGGCAAAGCTGGTAACCAGCAGAACAAGCTTGTTGCTGCTGATCTTGCTAAGGAATCCCAGTTGAATGTTGGAGAAAATTTGCAAGGGGAAAAACCTATTCAAATTCGTCCTGCTATTCCTGGTCAAGTCTTACTTTCCGTTGTGGGATAGAAAACTCAAGGTAGTTTTCAGTGTTTTGGCTCTACCTTTTTCTTTCTTTTTTCTTTTTTTTTTTCTTTCTTTACATTTGTTCTTGAGAGTGGGACGGGATGGCTTAAGGGGTCAACTCCCCTCTATCTCTCCATGCTATACTCATTTATCCATGTTTTTCATTTTGTTCTAATTTTGGTTGTGGCTTGGTGTCACTATACAACTTTTGCATCCGAGGGATGCGGTTTACACGATTACTTTTTTGTTTTGTTACCCATTTCAAACGTGGAATTGTTTTGCCATTTCATGTTTTGGCAACTCCACATTTACAAGTCCCTCATTAGGCGATTATTCCATAGACAACGGCTTTAGACACTTTTAGAGATTTTTAAAAGAGTTTTGTTATGTTTTTTGTACAGCTATATTCCATTAAAATTTTGATTTGCTTATCAGTAGTAACGCTACTTATTGAAAGAAACCCTCGATATTACCGTTTCCAAGATTATTCAACCCCATATCCAAGTCATCATTAAGTCCGTTCCCGTTGGCAACCGTGCCAAAGTGTGCCAACATATTTTCTTGATTCAAGAAATCAAAGTCAAAATCATGAAATTGATTCAATACGTCCAAGTTTTCCAAACCATTCATGAATTGTAATGGCTGTTGTGGAGGCAGCTGATTTTCTTGAATCTGTTGTGGTTGCTGTGGTTGCTGTGGTTGATGGGGACCAAGTGACGGGACTCCTCGACCAGACATTGCTGGTGTAGCACTTACTTCCGTGTCAGCACCGTATTTCACTGATTCGGCGTCTCCAGCGGTAGTTATATTGACTGATTGCAACTGTGGTGGTATAGTTGCCGAATAAACCTCTTCGCTCCCACGCGAGCCCAGTGGACTCAGTGTATGCGTCTTGAAAGTTTCAAAGTTACCTCTTATACTCGATTCAATTTGATTGGGGTACAAATTCGATCTCATCATTGATCCATGATCAAATGGACACTTTTTCATCTTCTTGTTCATGGCTGATTGCAATTGGTGGTGCTGTGGCGACTTACGACTTGCTGCTTGCAAAGGTGGTGGTAACTGACTCACCTGCACTTCTTCATCATTCATAGGGGTTGTGATCAGCGAAATTGGACATTTGGGCACTTCTCTTTTTGAAGTATTTGATTCATTCAAGGACATTGTCTCGGCTGGAGTAGATGCCGTGTTCCCACTACTGTGCATAATGGGACATCTGGATGCGGATCCTGCAATCAGCTTCCCTGTGTGCACAACAGGACAAGATGAGGATGCCGTGGTTGCAGCCGCTACTGCTGATTGCGCATCTCCATCAGCAAAAACGGGACAAGCAGAAGAAGTGTCTCCAGTTTTGAAGTTGGGTATTCCAGAATGAAGTTTGGAGTAATTCAAGTCCTTGCTCAAGGTAATGTAAAACTTCCACAATTTTGTAAGTTTTGTTAATCGCTCCTTGTTTATCAACACCGAATCCAAAAAGGTCACAATCTGTTCAATCTCTTCAGTAAGGTTATCCATACATTCAGTAGGCGTAAGGACACCTCTGTTTGTCAATACCGTTGTACATTCTTTTTTCAACAAACCAGATGGTTGAGTCTCATTTCTGAATCTAAAGAGAAGTCCAACGACGAATTGGACCAGTCTCGTCAACACCTCTGTCCCTATTGAGTAAAGATACTGAGCGTGGCGTTTTGGAGTTACACGTAACAGCTCAATAAGCAGTGACAACTTGGTGAAAATACTTGGCACAACAATATTGATTATTGTAGCATCTCCTAATTCTTCCCCTTGTAACATTATCAAATAAATCATAAAGTACGACAAGTAGTCAAGAATTATCAAAATTTCAAACTTTCTAGCCTCGCTAAACCGTTGAATTCCCACATCAGTAATCCAAGTTTGACATTGTTTGATCAACTGTTCTAAAGTGCTGATGATTAACTTGTTCGATCCTAAATTCAAAATTCCATTATATAGTGAGCACGACACATTGGCAATAAGGTAATGCACGTGCAAGGAAACAATCAATTGGTCTTCGCCCAACTTGGACAAAAACTTCAAATGATACTGCAACAGGTCCACTTCTTCAATCTTGTGATAAATACGCCTCAATAACCCATCCAAGTACTCTGAATGCTTCACCAATGGAACGAAATTCAATGTGACCAAATTGGTTAGTCTAACAATACTAGCCCAAAGGTGACAAAAGTGTAGCTTCAAGTCTTTTCTACGCTTTTTGTACTGTGATCTGATCTCCACCAACTCGGGGTCTTTCCAAATCTCCAATGGGCCATCATCAAGTAACAAATGGAGAAATGTTGTATATAAAGAAGTGAAGGAGTTTTTTGTGTCAGTGATGCTTGATCCTGGCTTTCTGTAATCATCAATTTCCCTATTTAGTAAGGCAATAACCGCGGCACAGTAAGATAATGACTTGTTGCACTTTTCGTTTTCAAAATGAATTAACAACTCTTGAACGTTGTGAAGCAAGTTATTTTGACGGGGACCAAGGCTTAACAACAAAACTTCATTGGGGAAGGTATCTTCAAATTGATCGCACAAATCTTTATCGATAGCTTCTTTGAATATCACTCTCAACTCGGACAACGTTTCTTCAACAATCAAAACCAACATGCATAGGAATATTCCACAAGATTTCAATTGTGCCTCAAAGTCTGGCCCTCCTGTATTCTGTGGCAAGTTGAGCACAACTTCATCATTCGTAGTCTTTTTGAAAACAGCTTGAATGTCAAACCGGTAAAACGAAAGAATGTCTTTACTTTCAATATCACTGTTGTAATAGTAGTCTAGCAAAAAGTGTATTTGCTGTACATTCAACTTTGATTCACCTCTGGGTAAACTGATCAATGATTCCCAAAGACGAATCATTTTCAGCTGGAGGTCGGAAAGCATGGGCTTCTCATTTATTATTGCTGCTGATTCAAGCTTCATTGTTGGGGATACCGAGGTTGATTTCATTGGACTTGGCGTTGTGAACTGTTGCTCTTCCGACATAAAATTGAAATCACACTCAACTACAGGACACCTCAATGGTTGGCTCTGCTGCAGTCTTGGTTCCTTGTTTGATCCATTGGGAGTAGTTGGACGAAGCGAATGTGTAAAGTCAATCTCATTGATTTTGTAATTCGACTTCTTCGGTGCCTTTTTGACAACAGTGTTGCTATTGTGGCCTCCTTTCAACATATTCATCTTATACACATGATACATCTTTTGCAAATTAGTAATGCGAAACCATAGCGTGGTTAGTTGTGGGTCTAATTTGATGATATTAATCCAAGAATAGGTGTCCACGTAGACATTTTTATTGCCAATGGTAGAATTATTAATACTGCAAAGAGTGTAATCATTCAACATTTCTATCTTGTTGTTGTTGTTGTTGTTGTTGTAGGAATTTGTCAAGGGGCTTATCTTGTTCAAAACTGTAATTAGGATATGACCCAGATTTGATAATTGCTGTTGTTGTTGTTGAAGCTGCAGTTGCTGGTGTTTAGTTGTAGCATCAATGGGTGATAGCTGCTGTTGTACAGAAAGCTGGCGCTTCAAATCATCTATTTCTTTCCGCTGAGATTGTATAACCTTTTCATTTCTTTGTTTCAACTGACGATATTCATCCGTTTGTTGTATTCGTGCAGGCGAAAGTGACTCTTCTAGTAAGGAGCAACGTGGCGAGGTCAATTTCGCATCTGTGGCCTTGACGCTGTAGTACTTGTCAAAATTGCCATTGTTGTCGTCGATGTTATTGGTTACATCTCTAGCAGACACATCAGCCCACGGAGGCAAAGCGTATGAGCAAAGATGACCAACTGAGTATTTGATACAATTGCTGCACGCTGGTCTCTCCTTGGAACAAAAGATCTTTCGTTTGGAACATTGTATACAGCTTTTGGGAGTCCGGTTTCTTTGTCGCTTAGGTTTGGATGAGGAAGTTGTGGACGACTTTGTCAAATTTTGCTCCGTCCCTACCATGATAGTCGATCTTTGGACTGGGTGTATTGGTGTGATGGGCTTGGTGTGTGTGTGTGTTTTTTTTTTTTAATTTTTGATTTGAGCTTATTAATGTGGAGATGTAAATCAAGTAAACACAAGAATGAAGCGTGCACGCTATATTTCCATCTGATGATGCTTTTGCCAATGTGGGTTATGTAGTTGTATTATACCAGGAGTAACACAATATTTAAGGCTCTCTGTATAGAAAGAAAGTTAACCTTTTTTCTTGGGAAAAGAAACTCAAGTAATATTATAAGACGAGTGTGAGATATTTTGTGAGTGTAAGTGGGTTTCTCTTTTGCTATACTTCATTGGACAGAGTGTAAATGTAGCAGATATATATACATGGGCACAAAGGTTTTACAGAATGAGCTAATATAAATCACGCAGAAAGCAAGAAGATGCTGTCTAAAAGTTAGTGAAGTATTACAAAGGTGTCTATTTTGCGTATCTGCTTACAAAGAGATTCCGCTCAATACATACATATATATGTATATTCCAGCGCTTAAATTCCTCACACTATGACCTATAAAGAACAACGAATACATAATTTCACCTGACAATGAACTCACATCAACCTTTTATACTACAAGAGTGACCGATGTTTCTAACCATGTGTACTTTCTTTCTCTGTAGCTCGTGCCGTTTTTTTGTTGTTCTTTACTCGTGAACACAAAACAGAGACCGAACTCGGGAATAAATAGCAGAGTAGTACATGGTTGCATTGTAGCTTATACGGAGTTTCCAACGCCGACCGAGTTCCCAACAAAGGCCAAATTTTTACATAATTCATTTGTCGTCCCACTTTTTCATTGTTAAGAGACCAGAAATGGATATGAATTGGCCAAACAATGGAGAGATACTAGCTCATATGACGCATGGATTTGATGAGGTTTTGAATGGAGAAGGATTAGGTCAAGTGGTGGCTGATTCCTTGCCCGTCCCCTTCTCGATTCCACAACGTTTTCGCACCTTTGAACAAATTACACAAACAAATTATCCTTTTATCTATTTCATCAGCAGACGTACACAGTCAGAGTTTTCCGCCCTTTCATGATGGATATCACCTCAATTCTTGGAAGAGGAAGGGTATGAGACATGTTGGAGAATTTCTAAGTGACTAGGCAGATACTCACCAAAAGAACAGTAAAAGAACCGCACAGCGATATTCTTATACTTCTCGAAGAATTCTAAGTCATCAGTATGTCACTTAGATGCTTAGCTTCGAAGCCACCTCTTTTGCGTTAGCTTTTGAGTGCCACAATAATTGTGTCTTCTGTCTTAGTACTTCTCATTCTTTGCATTGTAAAAAAGAAAAGCCCTACAGTACAGCTATTGTAGGAATAAGGTTTTGTAACGTCTTAACCAAAATAACTTCTTGTTCAAACAAACCGATTCACCCGATAACTCCATCCAATCACCACAAAGTGCAAAACCTAAATTTACAAAATAAAATTCCGCTCAAGAACTTTGCCACTATACTAAAAGTGCAACAAAGATCGGGTTGTCTCAAATCGTGGGCAGCTTCTACATGCGAGCCCCTTAATGATGTTAGGGGTCTTCTGAACTGATCCTCCCCCTTCCTTCTGAGTGCAACTCGTCCTCCATATATCCAGCTGATTACATGTTATAAGAGCTCTACAATCGACAAGTAGTGATTAGACACAAAATTCATGCAAAACACTCGGCATTCGGAATACAAACCTGTGTATTCTACTTTACTTCTGCCTCTCCGATTTCTCATGTCTGTGCCTTTTTGTCCAGTTTGTCCAACTCCAAAACTTCCTCGATATCAAGCTTTGATTTGTAATCATCAGGAACCACCCTCAAGTTTCTGTGAAACTTTTCCGGTCCCAAAATCAAAATTACAACCATTGCAGCAAAAACTGCACCACAGAAAATACACATAACTTTTCCGTAGTCGTAAACACCAG